CGCAAATGAGCAGCATGAGTTGACAGTGATGAGTTAAAAATGAGGATATCATCAAAATACACCATTATAAATTTTTCGATGAACGGCCGCAGCGCCTGGTTCATAATACGCGAAAAACGTACTAGGTGCGTTTGACAAACCGAACGGTATTACAAGCCATTCAAACAAGCCCTCACGCGTCTTAAACGCCGTCTTCCATTCATCTCCTGGCCGGATGCGAATCTGATGGTATCCACTCTTAAAGTCTATCGTCGAAAAAATTGTTGTTGACCCAATTTGATCCAACAAATCGTCGAGGCGCGGAATGAGAAATCTGTAGCGTACCGTGATTTTATTGATGGCGCGACTATCAACACACATCCTCCAAGTCGTATTTCTTAGGGATTAACAACGCTGGAACCGCGCAAGGACTAAGACTCTCTTGTGCCTCATCGGATGGGTCCCCCCGTTGATAGGTATTCCCCCGCTTCCAGGTTTGTAAAAGGATCAACTATGGGTTATCGGGGCTATTCCTAGTGTAAGTTTATTAATCTAGCTACTATAGCTAGTAGACCTTAGCTTAGTAGGAATGTAAGATAACAGAGTCGTTTCCACTCCTCTACTGGACCGGTCCCGCTGCTCGGAAACACCCAGTGCTGACCACACTGAGAGACGAACCGGGAAATCACTATAGTTGTGGGAATTCGTCGGATGTTATTGGTGAATTTAGATATGAAAATGAAATCTCCTTTATTTAAAGGACTCTTGGAAAACTAGGAAACAACCAACAGTGTCAAGGTCTTCCGCCTTTGCGTAATAAGTCCTCAACTTGTCGACGAAGCTCTTCATGCTCTTGTGGACTCATTCTATAGTGTGCTCTGTTTGGTAGTGCTGCCCTTGGAGCTCAGTCAATCTGATGCTGAATGTCTCGTAGACGAGGAAGACCCGTTGGGAGCTCTGTTGGGAAGACATCTGAGAACTCTTGTAAGACGTTGTCAAGTAAGGAGGCAGTTTGTGGTATAATCTTGCAGATGGGGGAGACGAATAGATCAAATGCTACTCCTTCCAATTTCAGCTCTTCGTTAAAGCTTGCTAAAGAGCATAGTAACGATGCGGGTTGTGTTGGTGTAGGTTGATTTGGAGCAGCAGCTGCGGGCTGTGATGTGTTGCCTCCGGTTTGAAGAGTCTCGGGTGTTGGCAGGAGAACAATGTGATGAGTTTCCCATGTGAAGCTGTAGATGTTCGTTGCTCCACCGTGAAAAATCTTGCGGTCAAACTCCCAAGGACGGCCCAAGATAAGATGACAGACGTCAATGGGGCTACATCACAGTAGGTACGGTCTTTGTAATGCGGACCAAACGAGAACGCGATCAGTGAGTGATACGAATATCCACTCCGTCTTGCATCCAACCAAGCGAGTATGGTACTGGATGAGCTTCATACGGTAGCCCCAATTTTCGAACCACATATTCGGACACTATGTTGCGAGAGCTGCCTGAGTCGATAATGAAACTACACACACTATCTTGAATTGTGCAAGAAGACCTGAAAATGTTAGTTCGCAGCCAAGTATCTGTGCAGCTTGGAGGAGCCAACAGGTTATACGAGCCACTAATAATCTTCCTGTATCACCGTTGGTTGAAAAAATATGAGAGCTTTTTTCCAACGCTTCCTCATCTCCACATGAATCATAAACCGGCTCTTTACCCTTTGGGAATTCTTCTGCAATAAATCCCCGTCGCATTTGGTTTGGACACGCAGTCTGGCGATGGCCTGCTTCTCCGCACGCGTAGCACCTCAAGGCATTAGGTCGCGTGGAACGTCGCAGCACCTGTTCCTCCAGTGGTGCGCGGGTCACTGCTTCAGGCGCAACTCCTTGTTCCCATGTTGTACTTGTCTGCGGAGGCAAGCTTTGATCTTGCAGCCGTGTCTTGCTGGTTGGCGCAGACCATGAAGATGAGCTAAACTGTTGTTCGAAAGAGGCAGCGCGACGGTGAGCTTCAGCCACTGATGATGGATCGAATTGCGACATAGCATTCTGAAGTTGGGTTCGCAACCCTCCAATGAAACGAGAGACGAGCTGCAATTGGCTATCAAAGATATCATTGCGTGTAATCAAGAGATAAAACTCTTCCGCATATTCGTCAACAGAGGGGCTGTCCTGTTTTAGATTTTGTAACTTGTTATACATCGTCCTATCATAGTTGTGGGGAAGGAATGTTTCCCGTAATTTCTTCTTGAGCTTGTCCCATGAACGGATTGGTTCTCTGTGTGCACGAGCATGGGTGGTTTTTGTTTGCTGCCACCACGACGTGGCATGCCCGCGAAACCTTGTTGCCACCAACGCAACCTTGCGTTCTTCTGGAACCTTCTTGAATTCGAGAATTTCCTCCACAGCTACTAACCAATCAAGGAGCAAATCTCCCCGAATCCGACCATGAAACTCTGGAATCTCCACTTTGAAGCTTGCTTCCCAACGTGTGTCAGGGAAACGATTATCAGGTTGTCGAAAATTCACTATCTCTCCTTGAGGTCTCACCCTAGGAGCAAAAGGGTTGATCTTTGCTCCAGATGGTGTGTAATCGTCTCCGTCATGGTTGGCAGCGCTGCGGTAAGGGATTGTTGCAAGCTGTTTGGTGATGCGAGAAGGGCATCACAAAATTCTATCCAATCGTGTGTCGTTATGGTGACACGGCCATCGTCTCCTTCAACCTTTCTGTTAGGCGGAGCCATCGTCGAGATCAAGAAAGATCAGTTTCCTCCAGGAACGAGATGAATCTGATACCATCTAATGCAGAGGCGGAAGCAAAAACGAAACAAGAACGTGAGAGTCCTCCTCTCTAGCTTGACACAAGCTCTTTGGGCAATTAAGATTGCCTCTTTCTGGATTTTTTTTCTTATTAATCTCAAGACTGACGCTAACAAAGACTCGACTAGGCGTTTTATAGCCTTTACAACGACAACTCGATAAACTCAAATCTCCTAAGAAGAAGGATATATTAATATCAGTAACAAATAAAAATCGGACTCAAATCTCCTAAGAAGCAGGATATGTTAATATCCGTAACAAAACAAGAAAGAATTAAACGATGACTCAACGAGAAGTGTCGGTTGCTTGAAGCCCACGACACAAGCCCAAAGGTAGAGATGCGCTGCTTCACCATTGGTTTGGACAAGCCTCATGACGACACATTGGTCATAACGCTCGACGTAGGGCGTTGTGAGGTATCACAGATATCAGTGGATACCAAGAGTTTGGTTGATATGATTTTAATGGATAGTTTAACTAGGTGTTTCGAAGCAAGATATCAAGGGACCCCAAGTCCCCTAGTCTCCTCAACTATGATTTTGCAAAATCATAATCTAAAAACTACTCCAAAAACTACATCCATTCAGGGCTTTTATAAAAAAAAGTTAATGGGTTTGCTTATCTTCGGGTTTTTTTCGGATGTTAATTTGGGTTTCGGTCCCGGGCAACGTGGCTACGTGGCAGCTACAATGCTAACTACATAAAGAACATGCGATTATTAATTTATGTTATCCATGTCCTAAGCCTTTTCACTATATAAAATATTGAGTAAATCACCTTTTGATGACTAAACCAAAATATGTCAGGTTTTAATTTCGTATAATATTTTTTATTCGTCTAAATATAACGTGATATACGTATAAAATAAAACAATCGTTGGCTCAGCAATATAAAAAAATAACATTTAGATAATTCGGCCATCATTGTGGATCACCTTTCGAAATTCAACAAAATACCCTTTCTAACTTAATACTATTTGAATATCAACTACAATTATCATCAAAGTTTGGGTAAGTATCTAATCGCTTAATTGTCAATAATTTACATGTATTGTATAGCACCACATGTAGGTTAATATAGACGAATTACTTAATTTCAAACTAACTGAATACGTTTTCTTATCATCCTTATATATTGAAATAGATTTATTTTTGCTGATCTTGCAAGCCCACAATTGTCATGATTTTTATTTATTTTACATTTATTTAGTTCTATTATTTTTTTGTCAAACACTTTTAAATTTGTGATTTTGTTCTTAATATTCTAAAACCAATAGCCAAACACAAATAAATATTGAATTTATTTCTCATGTATATATATAGATATATATATATATATATATATATTTTAAAATTTTAGTTTTACGCATAGATTTATGCTCTATTGTACATATATATCAAATATATATATATATATATATACTATAAATACAAATGTATTCATCAAAAACAAATATTTGGCTATAATTAAAACTATTCATAAATATTAAATAGGATAAAATTTGCATGTCCATGGCACATGCTATTACCTAATTTTTCCTTAAACTCGACGTACCTTACATCTCGTGATTTTAATACAACGTTGAACGTCAGAAGATTAATTTAAAAGAAAATAGTACACCAAATAATCCATAGCGACTACATGTTTGTTTCTATGAAATCTAAATTTTCAAGAAGGCATACAAATTGTTCTTAGAAATACATCTATATGTAAGTTTATAGAAATAGATCTATATTCAATCTAATGTTAATTTTGTGAATAGTCATAATCGCAGCTAGTTAAAAATTGGATTTCCTTGTAAAATATTCCCAATCAAACTCCACACAAAAAAAAACAAACAAACAAATTGGATTTAACTTATAATCCCTACTAATAATTTAGTACCTTCCTACTTATCTAATCCAATAAGAAACACAAAATAACAAAGACTAGTAAACATAATAAGACCATTATCATTATTGGTGTGACACAACATTAATTTTAAAATGCGGGATATCAAAATGCCAACAGAAGATTCTTATCCTTACATGTTATTAAATCCCACTATAGTTGTCACTAAACATGTTTACTATTGCTAACCTTCCATTAATTAAATAAGAGGCGGTTTGGGCGGCATCCAATAATGATTCTGCCACGTAATATCATTATCAACCCCACCTTTTGTCCATTGCTCTTCGCTATATAAACAAGAGCCCATCCAAAGCCCAAATAACTGAAAATAGAAAGAGTTAACAAAACCAAAAACTAGTTTTTCAAAAAATGGTGAAGATCGAACTTGGAAGTGTGGGTGACTCATTCAGTGTATCATCTCTAAAAGCTTACTTGTCTGAGTTTATCGCAACTCTTCTCTTCGTATTCGCAGGCGTTGGCTCTGCTATAGCGTTTGACAAACTAACCTCTGATGGAGCCTTGGACCCGGCTGGTCTTGTAGCGATTGCGATTGCTCATGCGTTTGCTCTTTTTGTTGGAGTTTCCATTGCGGCTAACATATCCGGTGGTCACCTTAACCCAGCTGTGACTCTTGGCCTTGCCATCGGCGGAAACATAACACTCATCACAGGTTTCTTCTATTGGATTGCTCAGTGTCTTGGCTCCATCGTCGCTTGTCTTCTCCTCGTCTTTGTTACCAATGGAAAGGTACGTACTAGTAGGCCTAGGAGTGGCTTTATTCTTGTTTCTCCGGTTTGGATCATGAATATATCAGTTTTTTAGGTTACCGTATTTAGTTTTTTTTTGTGGTTGGCTTTAGGTTATTTAGTAGAATTTTTACCGAAATAGAATATAAATTACCCCGGTTTGGTTTGATAACTTTTATTAGTTGGGTTTATTAGATAAAAATAACCAGAAAGATGTATTGTTGTTTTCCGGTTCGATTTAGTAAATTATCTATGTTAATCAATATTATGAATTTCAGTTTATTTGGTTAGACTAGAAAAGTTTTACCAAATTCGGTTTGATCAGTAATAAAAAATTAAATAGTAAACATTTGGTTTTACTCGGTTTAGTTTATATGACAAAAATATTATTACGTTTCAAAAACAAAACGGTTTAAGGGTACAAAATGATTGATAAATGATTTGTTTCCCGGTTTGTTGCAGAGCGTACCGACCCACGGAGTCGCAGCCGGTTTAGGAGCGGTCGAAGGTATCGTGATGGAAATCGTTGTGACCTTTGCTTTGGTCTACACCGTTTACGCCACCGCAGCTGATCCAAAGAAAGGATCGCTCGGGACCATCGCTCCAATCGCTATAGGCTTCATAGTTGGTGCCAACATCCTCGCTGCTGGTCCATTCAGTGGTGGCTCCATGAACCCAGCAAGGTCTTTCGGACCAGCTGTTGTGAGTGGTGACTTGTCCCAAATCTGGATCTATTGGGTGGGACCACTTGTGGGTGGTGCACTTGCCGGACTTATCTACGGTGATGTGTTCATCGGTTCTTATGAAGCGGTAGAAACCCGTGAGATCCGAGTGTAATTAACCGGGTTTTGTGAATGCTTGATGTTTGCTTGTTGGTTGGTTTGATGTTTTGTTTGCGTGTGTATGTTTGGTGTCCACTTTCTTGCAAGATTGTATGTAGAGAAAACAAAAAAAAAGTTATGTCGTGTTAATAAAAAAATGTATATATTTCACTTCATGTCTTTTATTTTTAACGTATAGCATGGGATTTCTTTCATATGTATTTGTATTCTATTTCTATCGCATTTTACTTTCATAAAGTTACTTAGTGATAGATTAATAATCAAACTATTTACTTCTCTTAGGTTTTTGTTGTTCTTGTGACTTGTGATTCTGAATGCATTCAAAATATATCCTCTTGGAGTGTCCGGTCAATCTATTAAATAATTAAAAAATAATCTGATACTTTGGCCAAAACATAATCAATTTTCAAAACATTCTTGTTGAACGAATTCCTTCGCCACGGTATGCGATCATCATTTTCAACGGATAATGGCTCAATTGCAATGTTTGTTCTCTCTCTATCCGCGGTTGCCTTGTCGACCAAATGACAACCGCCGTTGTCACCTCGATGCATTTTTATAGAAAACTCACGAGACATAATTACAACAACATTGTTGATGGCCGTTACGGCGAAAGAGGATCATTCTCCTATCGGCCCGAACGGTGGCAGCCCGAATCAAGCCAAGAACTAAAACGGAAGCGAAATCGGAAACCAAAAATATGTCGTAGGTTATATTAATCGATAAACTAATCTGTAGCCAGAAAATTTTCCGTGTTTGTAGAACCATACATGGACTATCGATTACGTAATTATCCATAGATATGCAAAAAATACTAATGGTAACATTTAAAAAAAAAAAATGGTGACAAACCAATAGGCGACGGCTATTCGAATTGTTTGTAACAAAACTTTTGAACTCGTGGGAGTATCTTTATAGAAAAACCAAAAGCGTTGTTGCTACGTGTGACGACTACAATTATAACAGAAACTGGTCGGTAGAGTCACGAACTCTGTTAAAGTTGTCCGGTCAAATCTTCTCGAACTCAAAAAAGACAAGACAAAAGAGCAGCTTATGGCTCTTAAACCGATGCAAATGTCCCCACATTATCCTACCATCTTATCTTAATTATTCATATTACGAGAGTTCCATGATTTTTCTAATCTACATTTTGTGCCCATTTGATGAGACATTTCCTGAATCTATGGACTCAGCTCAAAGCACAATTACATCGATTTTTGTTCCCTCTGTCTCTCTTCCTATCTTTCTCTTTACTTATATCAGAACATGGAGACTTCGTTTATTTACTCAGCAGCATTATCTCATTTGAACAATTCCAAACTATTAAAGAAAGGGGTGGTTTTTGCTTATTGGTGACCTGCTTTGTTGTCTTCTTCTCTTTCACAATCTTGAGTCAACAACATTATTAACCATTTTCATCTCAAAAAGTTAGTCATATTCTGTAAACTTAGAAGGAGATGGATGGTGGGTTTTATTCAGATTGGAATGATAATTCTTCGTCGTTATTCGGATCAGAGAATCTGGAGGAAGAGTTTGATGAGGGAATTGTTAGAAGTGAAGAGACTTTCTCTCAGATTCCTCAGCCTCAGACACCAAGGGAGCCAATGAAGTTCCTGTCCAGATCGTGGAGTCTATCTGCTTCTGAAATCTCCAAAGCTTTGGCGCAGAAACAGAGACAACACCGAGATCTGTTTACTGTTGCCCAGAACAGTCCTAGAGGCTTCTTCCTAGATGTTGCTGCAGATCCACTCATGGTATGATACCTTTCACTTGTGTGGACATATTCACCAGATTTTGAATTCTAATTTTGATGATTCCTTGATATTTGCAGGCAGAGAATATCATGAACTCAGCTGGGACCCGTAGATCAGGGAGATTATCAAGGTGGTTTCACCACAAACAACAAACCAAGCCAAGCACCATGAGGATCCCGAGGAAGAAAGATAAAGCGCGTGTAGAGAAAGCCCATGTTCACTCAGCTGTGTCCATTGCAGCTCTGGCAGCTGGGTTGGCGTCTGTGACTTCTGAGGAAAGCTGCAGCAAAGAGTCAAGCTCGATGATGGCGCTGGCTCTAGCCTCAGCAACAGAGCTACTGGCTTCGCATTGCATTGACATGGCTGAGCAAGCAGGTGCTGACCACACTTGTGTTGCTTCCACGGTCAGGTCTTCCATTGATATCCACAGCCCTAGCGATCTCATGACTCTCACAGCCGCGGCTGCAACTGGTAAGGCTATTGTTCAAAAGATGGTGTTTGAGGCTTTGGTTGGGTTAGTAAGATGGTATTTGATCTGAGTTTGTGAAAAAATGAATCAGCATTGAGAGGAGAAGCGGCTTTAAAGGTGAGGCAGCCGAAGGAAGCAAGGAAGAATGCAACTATCACACCTTGTGAAAGGAGCTTCTCAGACTCTCACTGGCCCGGCGCAAATTGTCAGTTTAGATTGGAGGAACCAAATCTTCCTCTAGAGGGCGAACTGGTGCAATGTGCACGAAATGGTAATCCTATTCTTCTCAAACTTGGCCAGATTCAATACTGGCTCCACTAGTTAAGATGCTTATAATACTGAACTTTATCAGCAGGAGTGCAGCGAAATAAGCGAGTTTGTGTCTATATTAACAAGAAGTCCCAGGTACTTAGGAGACTGTATTTTAATCTGTAAGAGACACAGATCTATTTGCCTCTCTATACTAGTTACTTAACCTATATGAATGTCTCAGGTCATGATAAAACTCAAAAGCAAACACGTTGGAGGGGCTTTCTCCAAGAAGATCAAATGTAAGCATTTTTTATTTTTCAAGAGTTAGGGAAATTACTTGAAACACGGAAATCTGAAGCTTGTTGATGCTTTTGAAGGCGTTGTTTATGGAGTCTGCGACGAGATATCTGCGTGGCCTTACAGGAAAGAGAGGGAAAATTCCGAAGAAGTCTATTTTGGTCTGAAAACAGGACAGGGCCTTTTAGAGTTCAAGTGCAAGAGTAAGATTCAGAAGCAGAGATGGGTTGCTGGGATTCAGTCTAATCTCCGCTTAGTAAGTTGCCTTGAGGCTGCCAAATGCTCTCTGGAATCTCTGAGTTTCAGCGATCGCATGCGATAGAGAATCCTGTAAATATTTACTATTCACAGTTTTTTCTGTTGTAAATACTGCAAATGAATCATCAATCTTATAGGAAATTCGTATTTTGACAAAAAAAAAAAAAAAAAAAAAAAAAAAAAAGGAAATTCGTATAACCTTCTCTTGAGTAGTTCATACAAAAAATCAGATGAGAATCATAGTCATTGCTTTCTTAACTAGAATACAACAGTTTTGTTTGTGCCATAAGGTAATACCCGTAGTTCGCAGTAAGATTTTATAGCTTTCGTGAGGCATTTTTTCTCTAGGTCCTCGGATTTCTGGACAAAGCTCCTTAGGTTGTCTCGGTGGGAAACACTCTCAACCTGCGGAAAGTCCCATTCAAACAGATTAAATGAGAAATCTGCATAAGAAAATTAACAATTCCCAGAAGGTACTACATATCAACTAGTTGGCAGATGAGTCACCATTTGTTCAATAATGGGCCCTGAATCAAGTTCCTCGGTAACAAAGTGACTAGTTGCTCCAATTAGTTTCACACCTGCATCAAATGCCTGCAAACAGAATCTAGAATATTAAGAGGCCAAAAAAAAAAAAGACCAAACAATATAACCAACTAAGAGAAGGTAGAGCCATGACAAAACTCACTGACCTGTTTCGCGGGATATCCACCCTTAAATGATGGTAAGAGACCATGGTGGATGTTGATTACATCCTTTCCATAACCTTTCAAAAAGTTACCCGATAAAATCTGCCAAAGGAAAATGCTATGAATTAAATTTTGTTAATGAAGCTATTCTTGATTGGAAATAGAGGAAGCAGCTGAATTGTACGCAATAATATTCATCTGAACATAATTGTAAGTCAGAATTTGATCATAAGAAAGACAAAGAGCTCAGGCAAGGACTCAAAATCTGATTTACCTGCATGTATCTAGCAAGAACTAGGAAATCAGTGTCTTTAACCAATTCCAAAATATCATCTTCTCTTTTATTCTCTTTAGTTGTCGATACATAATGATACGGGATGCCATGCCTCTCAAGAAACCGCATAACGTGAGTGTTTGAAGCTCTTTCATGATTGCTATTAGCCAAAAAACACATTTCAGCATCCGAGTCACTAGACATATAAATGCTTACGTAACATACAGATCCAAAGAACTATTAGCTCACCTTATCACACAGGTGATATCGACGGGGAGTTTCCCGTCCTGCCATTTATGCAACATTTCGACAAGACAATGATCCTATACATAGAAAATCACATACTTTAAAGCAGGAAATACAAAGAGAATTGAAAATGCAAAAAGGTGGTTTCAAACATTTTGAATACCTGTTTTGAAAGTAGAAGAGCTATCTTATACTTGGGGTCTATAGAAGGCACACGCACAACCGAATTCAAGGCACCGTATCTTTGTGCAATAGTTTGAAAATCTTCATCCACTTGGTTTCTCGGCCATTTAACCGGATCAAATATAAACTCACTGTCAAAAAAACCATCTTTTTCATTACAACAAAAAAAACAAAACATAATCTTTCACTCGATTCATTACCAAAGCTTAGTACTTTATAAGTCAATTGTTTGGGAAAGTTACTAAAAAAGGGAAGATTTTGGAGTAAATGGTATAGAAGAAACCTGCGAGAGTAGAAGACGTTGTTGTTTTCAGGAACAAAAACATCGTAGCCAAGAATGTTGCCACCTTTTGCAGCTATACAATCTGATAGTTTTGCCACAATTCCAACAGCATCCTATAATAATAATTCGAAACAAAAATAAAAATTTGATTTTGGAAGATGAACAGAGCAAGAATTAGGAAAGAGGAGTGTTGTATGTACCTGACAATGGAAGACATGGACGCCGGGAATGAGAACAGGGGAGACGGAGGAATCGAGGGACTCGCCGTGAAATCGAGACGATTTGAGAATCGGAAAATTCTTAGCGAAACCAGAAACTCTCTCAGAGATTCGTCGTATCATGGTTGGTCTCTCTCTCTCAATCTCCGCCTGAGCCTCACCGCAACGAGAGAGACCAAACCACGGTCCCGATTCCCCAATGGATCGCACGCACCCCACTCATCCATTTTTTTATCTTCTTTTTTTTTCTTGGTGTCCCGTATATTTAAAATTTTTAATACTATATTTGACCAATAAAAAATCTGGAATTTTACACTCTGGTAAAAATATCAAAATGGACATTTAATAAACAAATCAAGGGCCCAATAAGCACTGAGCTTTGTTAAAATTGATTTCCCCATATTTTCACTACATGATTTGAGACTGTTTTTTAAAAAAAAACGGAAATCGATCATACTATATAATACAAGGCTTATATGATACACAAATACAATTCAAGTACAATCACTCAAACAAATAAAAAAAATTGTACACAATTTCGATGATAAAAAAGTGGAAGTGACTATGCTGTCTAAATGGAAACCTTACAAGCAACAGATAAAATTTGTTAAATCTCTTTTTCATATATTCGTAGAATACTAACATATTATAGACGAAACTCTAAAATATCAAAAACTAAAACTATAATTAAACAAATAAAATTTTTTAGTTTACCGTATGATTTGAAATTATTTTACTGTATTATTTATTAATATACAAAAGTCAACATTTTATTGTTTAATTATTCTGCAAACACTCTATTAAGTTCAAGTATATAAACTGTTGTATCATTTGGTTTGTAGATTTTTAGATGAAATATTTATCTCTTATTATTGTCAGTAATAAAAATTTAGGTAGTTCAATGTTTTTTTAAGAAGAAAAAAAACAAAAACAAAACCGTGGTTCTGTTCATATTCCGACTATATAAATGACATAAATGGCCCATAAGATAAGATTTAATTCATTACTAAGTATTATTTAACGGAAATTCTCTTGTGGCCTTGTGGGATTACATAAACACGGATACGAGAGAGAGAGCTCTTATGTCCAAACCCTAGATTTCAAGATCGATCTATCTCCTTTCTCGTTACGACACCGCTCTGCTCGATTCCTATGATTACTCTCTAGATCCTTTTCAATTCCCCCCGGAAGGTCTCTCGATTTTGATCCCTTTTCTACAACCCCAAATCGGAGCTTGGAGCTACCGGATCTTATGGAGTGAAGCCAGATTCTTTGCAACGGTTTCTCGTTTTGTAGCTGCGAAGATTCTTCGGAGAGGAGATTTGGAGACATCGGCGGCGCAATCACAGCTTCCACCCCCTGCGATCTACTACTCGATTTTTGATTCAACACGGACGTTCTCGTGTCTGAATCTGCAAGAACTTGTCCAGGATTTGTAGATTTGGATTGATTTTGCTACACGCGTGGAGGTTCCTTCTGTGAAGTCGAATCAGCGAAGTAAAAATTGAATTTTTAGGGTTTTCTTCGTTTGTATTTACACCTTTTGTTTTGGAAATCAATCTTTGGCCTCGATTTTTTTTTTATAATCCGGAGGCCTTGATTAGGGTTTTCAAAATTTAGTAGCTTTGTGTTTGAGTTGGTGTCATTCTCATATATGATCTTTATAAGATAAGTAATACATATATATGTATTTTTTGCTTTTTATATCAGATACAAAATTTCAATGGCAATTTATTACAAGTTTAAGAGTGCAAGGGATTATGATACCATTGCCATGGATGGTCCTTTTATATCCGTCGGTATTCTCAAAGACAAAATTTTCGAAACTAAGCATTTGGGCACTGGTAAAGACCTTGATATTGTCGTCTCCAATGCCCAAACTAATGAAGGTTTGTGTTCTTATCATTTTTGATAGTTTGCTACGTGAACTTTGGAGTTGTTCATTTTGTCAGATTCTTCTGTGTGCTGTTACCAAATTAAATGTTGCGCTGCTGTTTTGGTATTAATTGACTATTTGGTTGCAGCTGTGACACAATGAACTTAATTTTATTTTCTGTTCTACTTTGAGTTTACAATGATTGTTTACTAAGTTGGATTTGTCTTGATTGGTTACTTTTGTGAACTATTAGGAATTAGTTTGTTGCAATCTGATTCTTGAATTTCTCTGGAAGCTATAGTGTTCTGTGTCTCGTGGCAACATGTTTGCACTCTGTGGCCTTTATATGTTCTTTGTTTTGAATTTTCAGAGTATCTGGATGAAGCAATGTTAATCCCAAAGAATACATCTGTCCTTATTCGTCGAGTTCCAGGACGCCCTCGCATCACAGTTATCACCACACAAGAGTACTTTCTCAGATCATTAGTTTCTATAATCTTGGTCTAATTATTTAGCTATTTATCTTAATTCGACAAGACATTAAAAAGCAGTGCATTTTACTGCTCCATCTTTAGCTAAACATAAGTTAATTGTCTGACTATCGGATTTAAGAAACTTCAGGATCCTCAATGATGCAAATATCTTAACTTTGCAGGCCTAGAATCGAGAATAAAGTGGAAAACGTTCAGGCTGAAACCACCAATTTTCCTGTTGCCGATCCATCTGCCGCTAAATATGTAAGTTGATTGTAGTGAACTTTTCTTGGCTTCTATTCGCATTGACTGCACCTAATTTTCTTCAACTACAAAAGTACTAATTTTCATTCCTTATTTCACCTCTCAGCCTGAAGATGATTGGGACGAGTTTGGGACTGATTTATATTCCATTCCTGATGCCCAAGATGCCCAGCATATTATTCCACGTCCTGATCTTGCACCAGCAGACGAGAAAGTAGATGAAGAAAGCAAAATTCAGGCGCTGATTGACACTCCAGCACTTGACTGGCAACGGTAAGCAATCTTCCAGAGATGGTGGAGGTGAAGCTGTTGAATTTGTAAGAAGGTCTAACATCCCTCTTATTTTTATTCAATGTAACAGACAAGGTCCAGATACCTATGGGGCTGGGAGAGGTTACGGAAGGGGTATGCCTGGAAGGATGAATGGACGTGGTTTTGGTAATTTATACTTACTTTTATTCTTTGATTTTGGTTAAGTTCTGGAATGTCTTCTTTAACTTTTGGCAATAGATTTTATATTTTTGTTTTATTTGCATCAAGTTGTAAGATACTTCGTTTGGTTTTGTTGGCTTTGATAGGAATGGAAAGGAAAACGCCACCTCCAGGATATGTGTGCCATCGTTGCAATGTCCCTGGTATGTCAGCTCTGAAAATCTATATTTTTCTCTCGCTTTTGTAGATGGATATATCATAGATAATAAGTGTTGAGAGCAATTTCTTTACTGTCTCAGGACATTTTATTCAGCATTGCCCCACAAATGGAGACCCTAACTATGATGTTAAGAGAGTTAAGCCACCTACTGGTATCCCCAAGTCCATGTTGATGGCAACCCCTGATGGTTCTTATTCCTTGCCAAGTGGCGCAGTTGCAGTTCTGAAACCAAATGAGTAAGTTGTACTGAATTAGTTTGGGAATGTTGCTATTGGGTACTTCTTCACATATATTGATTATAATTTTAATGTTTGTTGTGTCTTCAACTAATTCAGGGATGCTTTTGAGAAGGAAATGGAGGGATTGCCATCAACAACACGTTCTGTAGGAGAACTTCCGCCTGAGCTAAAATGCCCATTATGCAAAGAAGTAATGAAAGATGCTGCGCTTACAAGCAAATGTTGTTACAAAAGCTTCTGTGACAAGTGTAAGTTCTTCTAATGCATTCTGCTGTTCCACAAAAACCTTTTTTTTGACCATTGCCAGTTCCAGTTCTACATATGTATCCTTTTTCACTTCGGTTATATGTGATTCAGGTATCAGAGATCACATTATTTCAAAGTCAATGTGTGTTTGTGGAAGACCAGATGTACTTGCTGACGATCTTCTACCAAACAAGACCCTCAGGGATACCATAAACCGTATTTTGGAAGCTGGAAACGATAGCACTGAGAACGCGGGCAGCGTTGGCCATATCCCAGGTCCGTCATTATTTTGAATTCATGTGTTTTTAAACTTTGTTTGATTAGTCCTCGCTACTGAATTATCATGGACAATATAGATTTGGAGTCTGCACGCTGTCCACCTCCCAAGGCTCTATCTCCTACTACATCTGTTGCATCTAAAGGCGAGAAGAAACCAGTCCTTAGTAACAATAATGATGCTTCAACCTTAAAGCCGCCAATGGATGTTGCAGAGATCACAAGTGCCCCTCGGGCATCTGCAGAAGTTAATGTGGGAAAGCCAGTTGATGCATGTGAAAGCACTCAAGGGTCCGTGATTGTGAAAGAAGCAACAGTTTCAAAGTTGAATACGCAAGCCCCCAAGGAAGAAGTGCAGCAGCAGGTTGCTGCTGGAGAGCCAGGTAAAACAAAGATGTGCTAATTTTAGCTTCACTGGACATTGCGAATGATTGGTGACTGATAGTCCAGCTCAGATTTCCCTACTGAGATTAATCAAGCTGGAGCTCACATGGACCTTTTTTTTTCAATTACTGAGGAACCCTTGTTGCCATTCATCAAATATAATACGTACTTTTTGTCTCTATACAGGAAAAAAGAAGAAAAAGAAACCAAGAGTGCCTGGGAATGGTAAAAGCTTTCTTTGCTATGCTGAAAGCAATTCACTGTCATTTTCTAAGTTGACCTGAATCGAATGGGAATTGGGAGGTCTAAAAGATTGTTTTTTTTTGTGATTTATTGCAGACATGCAATGGAATCCTGTGCCAGATCTAGCAGGCACTGACTATATGATGCAAATGGGACCAGGTCCGCAGTACTTCAACGGCATGCAGCCCGGTTTCAACGGCGTCCAACCAGGCTTCAACGGTGTTCAACCTGGCTTCAATGGCTTTCACCCTGGCTTCAATGGATTTGGAGGCCCGTTTCCAGGCGCAATGCCTCCATTTATGGGTTACGGATTAAACGCAATGGAGATGGGATTTGGTGGGGGTATGAATATGATGCATCCAGATCCATTCATTGCACAAGGATTTGGGTTCCCTAATATACCACCACCCCATAGGTAAAACACTCACTTAATGGCTCTATCGAAGAAGAGCAATAAAGCTTTGTCAACAGTCTCATGATGGAACTTTGTGTGCATGCGCAGGGACCTAGCGGAAATGGGAAACCGAATGAATCTCCAACGTGCTATGATGGGCAGAGATGAAGCCGAAGCCCGAAATGCTGAGATGTTAAGAAAACGCGAAAACGAGAGACGACCAGAAGGGTAAAAAGAAAACACCAACTCTACTTTACTATAGATTCAGACAAGGATGTGCGAAAACCTAATCATTGGTTGTTGTTTGGTTGTATATACAGTGGGAAGATGTTTAGGGATGGAGAGAATAGCAGAATGATGATGAACAACGGAACTTCAGCCTCGGCATCATCCATCAACCCTAATAAATCTGTATGTCTCCTTTTGTTTGTCTCATCCTTCCCTCTATCTCTCTCTCTTTCTCCTTTTCTTTGTTTACCAGTGCGTCGCTCTCTTCCATTTACTTTTGGTTTTATGTTTATTACGATCAGAAAATGGCTCCAATTCTCTTCCCTCATTTTGCTGATTTTGAAAACCACAATAACAACCACCCTTAAAGAAACTAGGGAATTAACTGCAGGATATAATGGGTTCTTTTGAAAATATATTGGTTTCAAACGTAATTTTCTGAATTATAAAACTTGGGTTTATCAGAAATTATGTGATAATATGAATAAAAGGAAAAAATAGAAGGGTAGATGGCTAAAATCCGAAAGAATCTTAGTAGGCCTAGGATCCGGAAGGTGAGAACTGTAATTGGGCTATAGAGCCCATTTACTTGTTATATGTGGGCCGAATCCAATTACATATTTATTTGGGCTAACAATTGTTTTTACAGAGACAAGCACCTCCTCCACCGACTCACGATTACGACCGCCGCAGACGACCGGAGAGATTATCCCCAGAGCATCCGCCACCGCGTAAAATCATTTCTCCGTCACGCGAATCCAAGAGAAAATCCGAGCGTTATCCTGACGAACGAGATCGTCACCGCGACCGTGAAAGGTCTCGTCACCAAGACCTAGATCGTGAACATGACCGTACTCGCGACCGTCGCGATGAAGATAGAAGCCGAGAACATCGTCACCACCGTGGTGAATCCGAACGCAGCCAACATCACCACCGCAAGAGATCGGAACCGCCGTCATCGGAGCCACCAGCCGTCGCAACGAAAGCAGAGATCGATAATAGTCATAAGTCAAGCGTATTCGCTCGGATAAGTTTCCCGGAGGAAGAAACATCGTCTGGTAAACGAAGAAAGGTTTCTTCGTCTTCTTCCACTTCTCTGACGGATCCATCTGCTTCGGCCTCTGCTGCTGCCGCCGTGGGAACATCAATTCACCGTCACAGTAGTCGTAAGGAAATAGAAGTAGCAGATTATGAATCGAGCGATGAAGATAGGCATTTCAAGAGGAAGCCATCAAGGTACGAGCGATCACCACCGGTGGTGGTTACTGATGTGAATGAAGATAAACACCGATACTCGAAACGTGGGAAGGGAGAGAGATCTCGAGCTTGATTTGGATTTTCAAACTTTGTTTTTTTCTTTTCTTTTTTGTATAATGAAAAACAGAGAATGAGAATCTTCTTGTTTTACTGTAACGAACAAAGCAGAGAGCTCTTTTGTCATCGAATGCTTTTTTTTAATTTTTGTAATGGAATTCGATTTCGTAACTACTTTATTCTTAATCTATGAGACCAGTGAATTTACAGTGAGAAATTTAGTGTTTTGTTTTGACGACTATTCATATCTAATACATATATTCTTAGTCAACTTGATACTGTATTTGCCTACGAAATTTTACTGATTTTTTTTTCGTCGAAATTTTACTGATTTCAAAAATTATGCGCGAAGCGTAAGCATGTTTAAGATTAAGAATTACGGTAATCACGTTTTTAACGTAAATGTATTCATCGTATCGTATGGTTCGTATCCATGTGTACACCAATTCGAATATTTTATGATAACATCAAAAATAAACGAAAAAAACGGAGTATTGAAATTCGTGTGTTAACACCTATGAAATTTCACTGTTTTTGAAAATTTTGAAATTTTGCATAAGCGTGCTTAACCCTTCTTTAATCCATTTTCTGAGCGAGACATGTATTGTTAGTCCATGATTATCGTTGGACATTTCTCTTAACTATTGATCACCGATCATATCAATCGATGTTCGTAACCTATAAATCCAACAATCATTTAGTCAATAATATCATTAGACATTTTTGTGAACTATGTAACAAAAAAGACGCAGATGATTTAATTTAAATTTATGTGTGTTTTAACTTTTAAGTAAAGAATCCAATTTTTTGCTCAACTTCGACCTTATCTACGTTTTCAATATATATAGCATAACACATGTGTGCCTAAACGAAAAGAAAATGGTTTGAGCTGTGTATCATTCATCTTCATTCTATCCAAAAGTCCAAACCCGAGCTAACTGAACAATTACAACGTTAGTTTGTTGGTCGGAGAAAATCAACTCAATTCTTTCTATCTCTCTGCTTTTAAACTTCGGTTAAGATCAACGATGATAGAATCACTGCGTATGCGAGGAATGCAAATATTGCTATCTGTATTAACAGTTTTGGATTCTCTCTCATGTTTGGCGACGTCACCGACCTGTCACAAAACAACCATTAACACTTGTATCATTATGTTATTGCACAAAAGGAGATTAGAATTGTTGGTTGCTTTACCTTGCAATACGCTGCGAGAGCCGATGAAATGGTAAGCTTTGGATGAAGACAATGCCTGGCCCCGTCAGAGTCGCCATTACTACGTTATCACCCTTTTGAATGTTGAAAGATTAAAACAGTTAAGAAACAAAAGAAAAACCTGAATCTTCTTCTCATTGAAACAAGTATATGTGAAAATGTACCCCGAATACTGCTCGTCTCAAAGGAGCATTGTTTTTGATTTGGACATCAATTGAGGGTGTGAGAGCAGCGATACAGGACACGTCAATTGAGAGAACTTCTCCTACCTCCAGAACTTTTTGTACAACTAACATGTTTGGGATGGTAATGTCAGTTTTTTGAAGGGGATGAGGCCTAAACGGAAATATCATTTCATTGGGATAAAATCTCACCAGAGCCACCTGCGAGGATAAAAGCAAGACCTTGTCCAGATAGGCGTTGTCTCAGAAATCCCTGCAACAGCAATTTGTGAGGAGAAGCCAGACAAGGGGTTGCAGGATTGGTAAGAATAATAATTGCATCAGAAACCAAACCTCTGCACCAGCGGCAACAATGTTTCTTGGCCTCTGGTCAACAGAGTTGACAATCTTCACATCATGGACGGAACAAAGGAATGCATCTGGCTACAGAAAGTGAAGACAAGGTCATGCAATTCTGTAAGAGCTTGATCTGAATGAAAAAGAAGCTGAGAGCTAAGTGTCCACATTTCGGGAAAAAGACTCTACCTGGCATAAGATCTCACCTCCAAACATTGCCAAATCGATCTACAGGGGAAAACAAAGTAACCAATGATCACAAAAACATTCAAGAAATAGATCAGGAGGTTTACATTAAGGGTGATATGGAAGATGATTATGTCAACATGGAAAAGCTAAAATCACAAACCGGGAGAATCCTAGCCAAATAAGGTGCAGCAATACCAACAAATCCGTCGTTTTGCCCAGTATTCCGAAGAACTACACTGCTTACACTCTTGCCTAAAATCCACTGCAAAACTCCAACTTCTTGTTCAGGAGTGTACGTATTTTCCATCTCGATAGAGCCAGACATGTAGCACATGGAAGCTACGGCACGAAATCAAATTAGCAACACAAATTAGTTGAAACCGGTCTTACAAAACTGAATTATTCAGGGGAAGTACCAGGCTTAGCAATGACTTTCTCCTCTGACTTTAACATTATCTGCCAACATACGAACAGTGGTTAGAGAAGTTAAAAAGTTAGTGGCATATTAACCACAAAATACGAAGCAAATGAACCTGAACAACTTGGGATTCACCACCCAAAATCTGGAAAGGTGTAATAGTATCTTGTTGACTCTGCATCAAATGATCACTTATTAGACAACACAACAACAACAATTATATCAATGTCATTATCTAAAATCCCCAATTGGCCTGATCCAAGGAAATGACAACAAATCAAAGATGGAATTTCTCTAAATCCTACTTACAATGAACCTCAAATTTCAAAGAAACTAAAAGGAATCTGTCAAATGATCAAAGAGAGAAGAAGCAAACCTGGTAGACATAAGGCTGAAATGGAGTTGAAAAAAACGGTGCGGCCATAGTGGTGAAGACCGCAGAGAAGATCTGTAACCAACAAAACCTCTGAGGAATTCGCGACAGATCAAAGAACACGGACGAATTCTCCGGTCAATTTCGAATGGTCAGATCACAAAGGCAAAGGAAACAAGTGGCAGAAATTCGAAATTTGGTGTTCGGAATTTGTGATAGTCGGCGACGAACGACCGATGAATTTTGCTCATGGGTGGATCTTATTAGCAGCTGGTGACACGTGGAGATTCATTACGTGGACCATTCTCATTGGTTGTAACAACCAAAGACACGTCTCCCCTTTTTCAAGGCAAATCAAATATGTAATAATGGCACCTACACGTAAATTACCAAAAATCTCAGACCCTGTTTCGTAAAAAAGCATTGCCATCAGCCATCCTATCAAACCCTCTATTCGAGTTAGAAAGTCTATTTCCTTGATATTTCCTATAACTTCAACACATATTGGACACCAGTCTACCAAATCATCCTTGTGACGACTCTTTTCAGTACAATAAACAGGACATAGAGAAATAAAAGCATCATAAACTTTTTGGAAGCCATGACCCGAAGATTTACTCTAACCCCAAATCTTCTCATCAGCTGCAACACCGTACCACATACCATCACCACCCCTCGCAACAACATCCTTGCAGCATCTCCAGGTCCACCAACGTTTGCCACATCTTCCCCTGATATGTCTACATATGACACTGACTCTGAATTCTCTTTCTTGTCTTTGTTGGTCTCAGATTTGTTCAGCCCGAGGCGTTCATTGAGCCAGATAGAGATGTTGATTAGGAGTTTGGCCATCCATGCAACCTCGTCTTCTGAAACCGGACGGGTCATCCAGTCCCCTTTGTACTTCACAATCCCTGCTATTTGGTTGCCAGCACCACGTGGCTTGAAGAGCTCGTCACGGTTTTTCTGAGGATTGTCCGGCTCTAGGGAAAAAGCGATTGGTTTTATGACATGCCCGCCAAAGAAGTTTAAAACCGCTGATTTTAGTGAATCTACACACTTAAGGGCCTCTGTGAGGTTTTTCTCGGATACAGTTTGCAGTTCGGCTTCTGCCCGCAGTATGAATAGCTGCAAATGCAAAGAACAAAAGCCTTCAGCAAAGTAAAATAAGTTTTAAGCTCCACTCGCCACTGTGAGCTAAGAGACTCTAGAGTCGTATAAACTAAAGTATAGTATTGGTAACAAGAAACATGCGTGCAGATGTGTGCTCAGGGATTCTGATGGCTCATCGATACAACTAGGGTACTGAAAAACAAATGTAAGAGAACTAGTTCTGAAAGTATATTTACGTGAACAAACTCAGAAAAAAATTCCCAAGTGAATCTGTATTTCACAACATCGCCGATGATTGCGAATTCATCTAACTATCAAGCAACAAATTCTCCTGTTAAATCAGATACAAGGCTACAAACAACAAAACAAGTAAATCGGAAGGTTATCCATAAATTTGCCAACTGGACCATTCCATAATAGAGCTATTTTTAAGCACATTTCTAGATATCATCCTACAACGATATCTCTATCTTCTACTACTTATCACTACAGTACATAATAGAAGGAAGACACTAACCTGAAGCAGTTGTTGTCCGCCATCTTCACCATCACTAAAGAGTTTCAAGTCTTTGTTCCAGTTTTCATGCAAGAATGAACCATCAGCGTTGCTCTCACACAACCCATCTTCCCAATCCTGAAGTTCCACAAGCAGTTAAGAATGATTCTTCAGCATAGAGTTTGAGTATTATGTGAACAAAAAAAAGAATGATTTTACAGTGTTTTGTTAAAATTTCCAAGGGTGTTATGATGAAAAAAAGCTAAAATCCCTTTATTATGGTGAGAGGCCAGAGAACAGATAACAAATGGTGTTAAGGAAAAATAAAGGCATACCTTCAACTGCTCACGGATAGATGGAGCAAATCTAGACAATTCGTTCACTTTTGAGTTTCCTGGTCCAGTTTGTTTAGAGTGAAAGGCTTTATCAATATTCTTCATCAGAACCAAAAGCTCTTTTGACGATGTCAATGTACTCATCACCTATTAAGAGAGACACAATAGAACCATTTAGTCACATTAAGATTTAAAAACAGAAGTCTTGCAATCCATATTCTAACAGATAAACCCATGAATTTGAGAAAAGTAGCTTAAGCAAGGGATCAAACCTTCAGAACCATCTGAGTTATTATTTCTGGATCAGTGTGAAGGAACTTGTGCGCAAAGCCAATAAAATGCATGACCAGAGAACTGTAGTAGAGATAATTGGATATCACATAGCTCTGCCACAAAGACGTGTATCCACAAACGCGTGATTCATAAGACTCCTCCTTTTTCACTACAGATCCATTTAAAGCAGCTTCAAGATCTGAGAAATCATCCAAACTGATCATCCATGGTTCCAGGTACGTAACCCAGATGGAGAAAACCTGAGATACATTCTTAACTGAGCTTCCTATGGGACAGAATAAGAAACTCCTCAATATATAACGATAGAGCGGCCTCTGTAAATGGGTATTCCAGGAAGTGAGAGGCCTAATGCTCAAATTCGCAACATGGAATGACGATCCTGAAGTCGGTGTCTTCCACCGTGGACTCTCGCCATACTCAATGTAGCTTTCACTCCCAACACCACTTGTAACCCAGCTCAAATTCAGATACTTGACAAGCAACTTAACTACTTCTTCCAACCCACAAGTAGGTGGAATCTCCTCCACAGCAGAACGGAAAGGAGGAGCCACACCAAAAGATTTAGCCGTAACAACAGGAAACGGTGAGAAGTCATTCTCAACAAGCCAATAATGCACAAACACATTCACCAAGAACTCAGCTCTTGTCATCACTGACCCATCATACCCATTTCCGTAATGCAAAAGAGAACTACGATAAGGCTGGTGTGCGTTTAAGTCAAAAACAGGAACAAATGCTTTCAAATAAGAGTAAAGAAGCCTTATGTAGAGATTACACTCCAATTTGTGATCAGAATCACGCTTGTTACTCCCTGGAAAACCTTTGATAAGTGTCCAATTCTCTAGCTTAAACATCTTTTTCTTTTGGATAGGATTCACAGCTGAACTCTCATTGTTTCCTCTACAAACCGGATAATAAGAGAGCCAAAACATGTAATACTCAAAAACATTTAGCCTAACTTCATACAATGAACCACGAAGTGAATCCTCCTCAATTTTACCTTTCAAAAAGGGACACAGATTCGATAACGCGCTTCGATCCTTCTCGCTGGAGAGCATGAATCGAGCATACTCCGGTAAACGTTCCGTCGGGAAAACGTACTTAACAAGAGCTAACTTATCAACAGCAAAGATTGAGCTCATAAGTATTCCACTGGGGGATAAGAGATTGAATACTCTCTCCGCTAAATCCAAATCGTTAGCCGCCGAGATTACATCGATCCAACCATTCGGCCGCAACGAAGAAGACTGCGCCGGAGATGCTGCGGTTGCGTCGCCGAAACCGAAGATCTTACAAATTAAACTCGGAAAAGTAACAGAGAAGAAATGGCGACACTGATCAGGCGTATGTGAGTGAAGAAACGATTCGACGGAAGAGCAAGCAGCGGAGATATTCGACGGTGTGGAAGCTGAGAGTATAGCCGAAGCTAGGTCTTGAGATTGCGAAAGCGAATCGACGGTGTACGAGTGTGGAAGCATCGCTAAATACGAAGCTGAAGACGAAACTAGGGTTTTTAACAAGAGATAGAGCAAAGGTTTACGCCGGAGAAGAAGGGTTTGAAATGCGAGGCGACTCAAATCGCGCCTTGTGAAGGGGAAAAGAAAAAACCAAAAAAGGGACAAAAAGAAAAAAAAAATCAACACGAGGTCACGAGGAAGAAAAAGAAAGCGTTACGTGCCACGTGGCATCTGTGTAAATCACCGCGATTAACTTTCCATTGCTATGGACTTTTTACCAAAGAGTGGAGTCAATCGGTGAACGCGGGAACACTCTCGATACTAATCGCCCTAAATTTAACGCTCCTGATTTTGACACGTCATTAAGTTCTTTAAGGCCCATTTAGACCAATTTAAGCCCATGTGACTTTTTACTTATGAATGCTTAGGAACTTGTTTGTTTACTTCTCTGAGTTTTCCAATCTGGAGTCCGGTTAAATCCGGTTCGGCTTGAATCCGGTTAGTTTGGAAAGAGGATAAACAAACTGTTTTTTATTTATTCAAAACTAATAAATTCTAATTTTTAGTACACATTAAACGAAAATTAACGCATCCTAGAGTCAAAATAAAAGCATACAAATATAAAGAAATGTAAGCAAAAAATAATAATTTGTTTTTTTTTTCTCCCTTTTCTTTTCTTTTTTTTTCCCTAATGATCAAAGCTGAACTAAAACATCCTAACAAGTTAAACAACCTAACAAAGCAAATCTTATTTAAGTTACTGTGACCAACAACTAAACCTGTAAACCCCAAACCAGATCCCATTTTAGACCGTCACTTCCTCAGCTCTTTTATAAAGCGTGTATCACGCTTTTGATGTCCGAACTATCAGAGCTAGGGTTCGGGTGAAATGCTGATTGTCTTGACGATGACCCGCCACCTAGCTTCAGCGAAAGAGACTGATCGGATTCTCCATTCTTGTTGGACTCTGCAAGGCTGAGCTTAGACATACCAAGAAGCTCATCAACATTGATAGGAGCTTTCGAGTGCACCGCAGTTGGTCTGAGAATCTCATGAGTTTCCTCTTTCTTAGGTGGTTCAGGAACATAACCAGCAGGCCATATCGGGAATGGAAATGGGTAATATGGTGAGAAATAGGTTGGATATAGTATGGGGAATGAGCCTGGTAGTTGCGGCTGCGGTTGCAGTTGTGATTGCAGTTGTGTGGTTTCTTCTAGTCTGGAAGAAGAAGAAGCAGCAGCAGCGGTTGCAGTTGGTTCCCCGTTGGTAGAGTTTGTGGAGTCCATGGATTCACATTCTTCGATTTCCAAGATCGACGGTGCTTGAAGTGTGCCCGGAGCAAGTGTCTGATGAACAGAGTCAGCACCTTGCATTTCAGTTTCCACAGGAATATTATCTGCTTCTGGTTCTTGCAAATCCATGGGAATATCTCCAACCTACAAGGACAAATCACAACATAAGGAGAATAACCAAAGAGAATTGCATATCAATTAAAATGCTTAAGCAGGATTGGCTGCAAAATGGTATCCTCACGCATATGTAGAATGCAAACAAAGCCACCTAATTAGCTTCTGAATTCTTTGGATCAGTATACCAACACATTTTGAACCACTCCAATATAAAAATGGTGTTTTTGAATGAAGAAGGAACAAACCTCATCAGGGACCATATCAAAGAGACTAGAACGTCTTTTGCGACGAGACACATTGGATTGTCTGATGAAATACTTCTGAGCATGGCTAGCAACTTGTGTTGGTGTCCTAGTGGTCACATAGTTTCTTGAGATACCTCTCCAATCACCTTTACCTAGCTTCTGTAAACCTAATAAGAACATCCTATGTTCTTCCTCTGTCCATGGAGTTCCTACAAAACCAATATCAAACAAACAAATCCATAAACAATTCCTCACCCAAATTGCATTATTGTTACATAAACCAGATCACCACTTGTTACATAATGCAATTAGAGACTTTGATGCAAAATAAACTCAATTACAAAATATTGGAATTTGATATAAATATTGCCCAGAAATTAAAGGAGATACCTTTCTTTCTCTCACGGCTAGAGGAAGAGCCAGCAACGAAATCTTCAGAAGCATAACCATCACCAGCGACATGGTCAGGGACATCACCCGGAGAACCCGGAGTATTGGACCCGGTTCCATGCCCACCCGATCCAGAACCCGTGTAATGACTAAGATTACCCATACTTGCACTTTTCCGGATCGAACCTTCGGTGAGCCTAACACCAAAGAGCTTGACGCCGCGATTGGGACAAGTCCGAGAGTTGTGGCCATTGTGATTGCAGTGAGAACATCGACGAGTCATACCCGACCCGATTTGCTTATCTTAATCGGATCTGATCGGAGTCTGAAACGGTCGTGGATCGGATCTTAGCTGATCGCAGAAGAAGCACAGAATCTAAATTGAGAGAGAGATAGAGAGACAAAGGAGCGGAAGAAAGACAATCGGTTTATCTGGTCGGAATTATTACATAAATTCGATTTATCTGGCCGGATTTTTTTGTAGATTTTTTATTTTTATTTTTATTTTGTTTTACTTTTGCTCTTAGTATGTTTATTTATATATATAAATCGGAAAATATTTGGTGTATCGTTGGTGGATTTTTTTCCTTTTCCATATTTCATAATTGACTTAATAGTCAATGCAACGTGTCTATATTAGAAGATTTATTTTAGAAAAAATGTTGAATTACTTGAACTAAGAAGTCCAACTAGCTATTACTATTAATTATTAATAGCCATTTTTGTATAAAAATTTGGAAAAAGATGTATTACAGGCTATCTAAAATTTCAAAGTTTTAATTTAGGATATAAAACAGCTTTTTCTGTGGTTTCTTTTTAACATCATGACATATATATCTTAAATAAGTTATTATATATTAATGCCACCACATATAGAATAGCTGTAACTAATAAGTAATAACTCTTTCTATATAGACTAGTTTATAGGTTTAATGCATTTGTGATTATCCAATTGTCTTATGCTAAATACTACAATTTCCTTATATTTTTTCTATTTTATATACAAAAACTGCAAAAAGTTTTAAATATTTATGTACAAGTGTTAACCCTCCACCAGAAAATTATCAATTGGCATGAATATTATTAGCCACAAGATTAATTACACTATTCAACATTTAAAAATATTCGAGTAGCCCTTCACGCGTTCCATACATAACCTTGACTAGATTTTTAGAAGTTGTAAACACAAATAAATAAAATATGACATCTGTTTAATAAGATAACATTAGCATAAGAAAAAGTAAACAAATGCTATCATCCCACACATAAAGAAAAATTAGATTTTTGGTTTTATAGATAGGGCCACAAAACTATAGGTTATTTATTTAATAATATAATCTAAAACATATATTTTAGTAAAATAGACCCATGAGTAAGTAAAATATGTTATCTTAAGAAAGATAAACATGATTGTGATTTCATTATCTGGCTAAAATTACAAATGTCATATAATATGTATTAGACACCACCCTAACTCCAAAAGTCATATCTTATATACATACTAAGATTTATTTTATTTTTGGGGTTAATTTATTAAAAATATTCCTAAAACAAAATCTTTACACCTTATACTAAGAAATTTACTATGTAAATTTTTTTATTATTATTATTATAGTCTCAGAGTTCCATAATCATTAACGTAGAGGTTAAAAGAAAATCAAAACTAAAGGCAAATGCAAATTTTGTTTATGAACAAAAAAAAAAAGGATAGAAGAGAGATAATATGAGTGGATGGGTTTAGTGATTTAGATTAGGAGGTCCCACGATCTCAAATGCCACGTGGACAGAAGGAGAGCGGCTTATCCAGAAAGGAGAAAATATTCACATTTGCCTTTCTTTGGTCAGATCTTCTTATATTATGCCGATTGATTCCTTCACAAAGCTTTCTCAGCCGTCCACGTGTCCTTCTCCCGTCGGTGGCATATTCGCATATTATTTCTTGTCATTATTCATACTTATTATATAACAACGTTTACTCAAATCTTCACCTACTAATAGTTTCTAGCTATTTTTATCCACATACTGTATCTACCTTTCTCGAACTTCTTATACCAGTTTCATATTCATTATTATATCATTTTGCATGGAGCCAGTTTCTTTTCTTTTAGTGAGATTGTAATAAAACTTGAGAGACTTTCAACAAAAAGAAAATAAAGTTTGAGAGAAATTCCCCGAAAAACGTTTTGACTGTGATTGACCCAAGTAAACGTGGACCTTGGGCCAATCCAAATCTCGAGGCCCAAATGACGTCTGCTTCCAAGAAATTATCGAACATCGGTGGAAATTGAATTCCGAAATTATAGTGTCGCGTTGAATAAATATGAAAATTTGACGGACTTTCAAAATTAGGAAAAAACAAGGAAATTTAAATGTATTCGGACCGACATGAGAACATTAACTACTGTACTGTCCTAATGTGGCGTGTTCTCAACAATAACACTTATTTGACCAGATACAAAAGAGTATAACAATTTATGCGAACGAGCCACACAAAAAAAAAAAAAAAAAAAAAAACTAGTTATGCAAATTTTCCAACCAAGTGTTGTAGCTCTCGAAAAAAAAGGAGGGAAATGGAATTAGGAATTTTAAATGAGACAAAAAAAAAGCGAATTAAATGCAATACAACAACCTAAAGTGAATGTAATTGAATTTTTTGCAGGCACCAACATCTCTGATACTAACCTGGTCCCCTTTCTTCTGGGCTAAGCTACAGTTACAGTTCTCGTCTCTGCATTTACTTCTTCATTCTTTCTTCTCCTCTGCTGCGTTTGAATTCACTCCTTTATCAAATTCTTCTTTCACTGATATTCTTTTGGAGACTTTGATCATTTTCTCACGTTCACTTGAGAGTTTTCATCATCTGGGTTTAACGTTTTGGTTGAGATGGGTGGTTTTGATTTGAATAATGAATATAAAAAGCAGAGAAAAAAGGGAGATTCTTGGCATTGCCCGGATTCTCATAAACATGGACGCTCTAAAAGGTACTCTCGTTTCAATAGTTTAAGCTCAATCTTTGACTAATGTTGAATCTATACGTTAACTCCATTAATGGGTTTTTGAGATTATCCCCTTAAAGCTTCAGGGTTTAAAAGGTACTCTCGCTGTTTCTTGCACACCAAGTGTTTGCTTCTCTGATGAAAACGACACAGAGACTGTTATGTGAATAACTCTGTTTTAGAGCTTTTTTCTGTTTAGAATATTTTCTCCTAAAGCGAATTCTTGTTTATTTTCTTCCCCAGTGCGTCGTCAGAGCGAGATCTCCATGCTTCTGGTAATGGAGCTTCACAATGTGCCAACAACTTCACTAGAATGCAAGTAAGACACTGTGAAATTATATCTCATTTGATTATTTTTTTCTTTTGAAGTTGATCTTTTTTTGTCTTGTCCATAGACATCCTTTGTTCAAACAACAGCAAACAAGAAACCAAAACCTCTGCATAATTGTCAGATGTTAATCAAAAACAATGTGTCTTCGAACGACAGAGCATCCTTGGAACGCGATGTAAGCATCAACAAGTTTTATGTCTCCATGTCATTAACATGTCCCATTAAGTAAACTTGTTCATGTGAATAATCTTTGTGATTTGGTTAAACAGGTTGAACAACTTCACCTTCGTCTGCAACAAGAGAAATCTATGAGAATGGTGTTAGAGAGAGCAATGGGCCGTGCTTCGAGCAGTTTATCTCCTGGGCATAGACATTTGACTGGTCAGGTAACACTTCAGTATTTATGTGTTTTGCTTGGTTAATCCTTCAAACAGAAACTTGTGAGACTTTGGGTTTATATGTGACTTGGATGATTCAGGCCAAGGAACTTATCACGGAGATTGAATTGCTTGAAGCAGAGGTCGCGAATCGCGAGCATCATGTGCTTTCTCTGTACCGGAGTATCTTTGAACAGACAGTAAGCAGAGCATCTTCAGAACAAAGCTCAAGCATTTCTTCTCCAGCTCATCATATAAAGCAGCCACCAAGAAAACACCCAAGTGTTATTTCAAATGCATTTTGTTCCTCCAAGAATTTCCCTTTAAAGCCTTGGCATGCTATGGTTACTTTTAAAGATTCGAGTAGAAAAACCTCCAAAAAGGACCAATCTTCTCAGTTCCAGTTCAGAAATTGTATTCCTTCAACAACAAGTTGCTCAAGTCAAGCAAAAGTAAAAGAATTAAGACCAATTTCCCCCTAATTTAGTCATTGTTGATACTTCTTCTAACTTTTATACGTTCTGTTTTTTTTTTCTATCAGTCTCATTTAAAGGATTCAGTGACAGTGAAGTCTCCATCGCAGAGAACTCTAAAGGATCATTTATACCAATGCCCAAACAAGTTGTCTGAAGATATGGTCAAGTGTATGGCTTCAGTGTACTTCTGGCTTTGCAGTAGTGCCATGTCAGCAGAACCTGAAAGGAGAACCCTATCAAGATCATCTACTAGCAATGTGATCATCCCAAAGAATATTATGAATGAAGACAGAGCTTGGTCCTGTAGATCCATGGTGGAAGTATCTTGGATCTCATCAGACAAGAGAAGATTTTCTCAAGCATCATATGCTATTAACAACTATAGGTTAGTCTAACAATAGCAGTTTTTGAAAAACAACATCTGAATTTATTTCCATTACAAGAACACATGAGTTCACTTGCAGGCTCCTTGTTGAACAACTAGAGCGAGTTACTATAAATCAAATGGAAGACAATGCAAAGCTAGCATTTTGGATCAACATATACAATGCTCTCCTCATGCATGTAAGAACATATTGATCCCTTTACCTCTGGTAATTCATGATTCTATGAGGATACTCTTATATATATCTTCTCCAGGCATACTTAGCATATGGTGTACCTGCTAATTCCCTCAGAAGGTTAGCTTTGTTTCACAAGGTATTCTACTTTGATCTCAATGCTTGAAATGAGAATAGATTCATATTTGAGTAGAGACTAATGGGTTTCATCGTGTACTGCAGTCTGCGTATAATATCGGTGGACACATCATCAATGCAAACACCATTGAATACTCTATCCTCTGCTTCCAGACTCCACGGAATGGACGTGTAAGAATCTTTATTCCTTATCCTTTTTTCAAACACAAAGACGGACAACCATTGAACACAACCAGTATTACAGTGGCTTGAGATCATTATTTCCACCGCCTTGAGGAAGAAACTAGCTGAAGATAAAGTAAGCTCAATGTTCAGCCTTCACAAACCAGAGCCACTAGTCTGTTTTGCTCTTTGCACTGGTGCTCTCTCAGATCCAGTGGTAACTTCTTTTGACTCTTTATTACTAATCTTATTCACATACATATTCGAAAGTTTGTCATATTACACTCATAAATGTTGGTTTACTTGTGAAAATGAATGGCTTTTATTTGGCACTCACATGATTAAATTGATTGCAGCTAAAAGCCTACACTGCATCAAACGTTAAAGAGGAATTAGAAGCTTCGAAAAGAGAGTTTCTTGGAGCAAACGTGATTGTGAAGATGCAGAAGAAAGTGATGTTACCTAAGATTATAGAGAGGTTTACAAAGGAAGCTTCTCTGAGCTCTGATGATTTGATGAGATGGTTAATAGATAACGCAGACGAAAAGCTTGGGGAATCGATACAGAAATGCGTACAAAGCAAACCAAACAACAAGAAATCATCGCAGGTCGTCGAATGGTTGCCATACAGTTCAAAGTTCCGTTATGTTTTCTCAAAGGACTTGATGGAGAAAAAGACTTGGTGGTTGTAGAAGGATATTGCTTGCGTTATAAGAAACCCTCGACGCCCTAATTCTGGTCCTTGTCCTTGTAAAGTTGTATGGTTATAGTGAGACAATGAAAAGGGCCTTTCTTGTGTACAAGAGAAACTGTCACTTCCCACCACTGGTTTGATGTTTCAAAATTAACTAATCAAACTGCTAATTGTGAAATCATCGTGTTGATACAACGATAAGATTTTAGTAATTTGGGCTTTTGGTCGATGGAATATAACACAAGAGTGAATTCATAGGGATGACTCTTTTTGGACGATCCCAAAACAACAACGTTTTGTCGTTGTAATTCACAACTTTGCATCATAGCCAAGAAGAGAATAATCTGATTCTTTTTCGTGGGTGATACTTTTGCATTTTGAAGGTTAATAGTTTTCTTCTAGATCATCATATTCAAGATTCTATCATTATATGCAAAATAATCTAATTAACGTTGACTAGGGCGAAACCCGCGCTCCGCTGCGGGATATTTTTTTATTGTAAGTTTGTTATATATACGTATTTTAAACATCGAATATTAGCTGAATTTACATATTAATATTATTTTTATAACTTTGTTTCATAAAAACTATTGTATAATATTAATTCGGGTTTTGCGCAAAAAAACCCTCCAACTCGCTCATTTTTGCAACTTTACCCTCCATCTCCGAAAAATACAGATTAATACTACGAAGTCCCAAATAATGTGCAATATAACCCTTATTCGGGTATTGTAAACGTTTTTTCGGTCACATACATTGGTTTTTTAAAATTCTAAAAGTGGAGTTGAACTCTTCATCGCGAGGGCTTCGATTTGATATATCAAATGTCAAAATTTTACGAACTTGACGATAACGAATAAGGGTTATATTGCACATTATTTGGGACTTCGTAGTATTAATCTGCATTTTTCGGAGATGGAGGGTAAAGTTGCAAAAATGGGCGAGTTGGAGAGTTTTTTTGCACAAAACCCTATTAATTCTCATCAATAATGATTCAAACAAAAGTGTAGTCTGTACATAAATATATAAGCAGCAATTTATATAAGAAATATGTGGATCTTGGTTCAAGAACTAATCCCATGTCAAATTTTACAATCTCAAAATCACAGTAAACGTTATGATTCCACACTAATAACCAAAAACACCACTTCGCCAAATCGACAATCCAAAAGACGTTACCAAGTTATTACGTTATTGGTTTGGCATTAAATAAACTTAATTCTTTTGGTTTAGTTGGTTTAACTCCCGGTTCAATAATCAATAAAAGCAAAGGCTATAGAAACAGCATTAATTTCGTCCAAAACGGAAAAGCATTAAGAAAACAAAGTTTGCTTTTTCTATGTTTTTTCTTATATCATTTATTGAAACATTTTTTTCCTGAGATCCAATTTCTTGGTCATTCTTTGACGAATTTATCGTTTTTGGATGTTGAAAGTGTTGATTTTGGAGATCTTTAGTTTTGGAGGTCTGTTCCCAGATCCGTATGATTTTATCGCCACTACAAAAGCAAGAACACCGTCGGCGGCGGGAATCCAGGCGATGCTCTAAACACGATCAGACATTCAAGCTTCTGAACTTTCACCAACTCCAGTTTCTTATCCATCAATATCAGCTCCAGACTCCAAATTCAAGAACTCGCTGGATCAATTTCAGCAGAGAAGCCTATAGATTCGACGAAAATATAATTTTTTGCTATATTAACATTGAAGAGCAGAATTAAGAGTGTCTTACTCAAATCAATGTTTCCAAAAATCAGATGGTGAATGGATTGTCTGTCACTTTGTCCTTAAATCTGTGAATTCGGCGATGATAAATTGATTCATCTTCACCATTCGCCATAGTGAGGAGCTCTATATCTCTCTCTTCCTCTTTTGAGAAATCTCTCCTTTCGAATTTCGAATTGTCTGATATAAAGATTGAGACTTGAAAATTGTTAATTCGGAAACAACAATGGCCTAACAATTTCCATTGACAATGAAACATTCTTAAATCCAAAAACCACAACAATAGAGATCAAATAAGACAAAACTTTTTGTACAACTTAAGTCTGAAATCAAAATCCAAATCAAACCGTTGAGAAATGTGGAGACTTACGAAGATGTGGAAGTTGGGAGTGAAGATGGGGACACAGTAACACAGCTCTTAAGTGGTTTGCAAGTCGAAGCCAACGAGCTGAGAGACTCAACGTTGAGTAGATACAATTAGAGCTTTGCATAAGATGTTGGGCTATTATTTTGGTTGGACCTAGACCTATGTTTATATACTCAAATTGAATACTAACTTTTCCCCGTAATTTGGAGATCCAGTCTTCGAATTTGAACATGAAAAGCTAATTAAGCTTTGCATAAGATGTTGGGCTATTACTTTGGTTGGGCCTAGGCCTATGTTTATTTTTATATTTGTTCTAGTGATGGAGAAAGAGTGACGTGGAAAAATAGAAAGTTATTACTGGCTGAGAAATGTGAGCTGTATTAATCGAAATGTTTTCATTGGCCGACGATTTTAACGATGTGTCAAGATGAGAACTGTCCAAAAAGCTGAGGTGTCAAGCCTGGAGAGACTCTTATTGTTTTTATTGTATTGATTAAACAAACATTTCGTTTATTCTTTTGAGTAGAAGAAAAGAGACGGATGTTTGACCGTTGACTGGAAATCCATATAGCTGAGGGAATGCACGTGTGGGTGTCACCACACACACGTGTGCTTCGCTGGAATGGATGGTTCTGGCTCGCATAGGAATATGTGCGCCACGTCAATTCCACATGGGAAGCCCATAAAATTTACGCACCACCCAACTTTCGAAGCTCTCTCTCAAGAAGATTCTCCAATATCCATTTTCATTTTTTTCCTTATAATCATTGATCAAATTATGACTTTTTAAAACAGAATCATTGAAGAAATTATAATCCCTAGCTATCTTTAGTTTTGGCATGGGAATCTCAATGATCGATCATATTATTACCATTAGTAATAAGCCTCAATTTTTAATGTCAGAAATAATCAAAACTGTCACGTACGCATTCTCCATTGATATTAATGAGTTACCTTAATAATTAAAGCTTAGTTTATTTTTAAAAATACTATAAGAATCCAACAATCATGTGATGCAAACCTCAAATTCCGAGCCTTTTTTAGAATAAGAATAAGTTGCCTTGTATGATGAATCATAATTATGCCTGTTGATTGATTTTTCATTTTTCCCTAAATCTGAAAAAATAATCAAATATTCCAGTTAACAGATCTCAGTACATGTGAGAGGACAATTGGACAAATATATTTGTTTAGAGAATAATTGGTTAGTTAGGTTAAGGAAAAAAAAAGAGAGGTATTAATAAATATCGCCAATGATGACCTCGTTCTACAACCAAAATGCTGTAAAGAACAATCAAAGCTAATATACACATGCATGAAACATATGATTAAGCAAAACCATGATTATTTGTCCTACGCAATTGCCAAACATATAAAATGATTACAACACATACTTTGTTATATACTTTTAAAATACTCCGTTACCTATGATTTTGTTTTGTTTTGTGACTCAACTTTGGATTTGGATCTGTGATGTAGGCATGCATGCAGCTTTATTTCAAATAGTAAAATTTGTCTTCAGAAGAAAACTAAGTAAATGAAATTGTGTGTATTCAATTCAATTTTTTCACTTAATTATCATGTAAGTTGAGAAACTATGGTAAGAGTTCCTTGTCGAAGGCACAAAAATCCTTCTCCACTACTTGAAAGAGAGAGGAGGCTCTACTGAAAAAATTCGGAAAAAATGTGAAATAGCAAGTTGATGGTTTTTGGAAGACGTTATATCTCAATTTGCTATCGACTTGCAAATTTGGATATAACGTTGTAATTTAAAGATACAAAAGAAGAGTCATTCATTACGACAGAACATGATCTCATCTAGGCTATGTTGAAACGAGTTTGAACCTTGGTTAGGCCGAACTCAAACTCAGACATGCTCAAACCTCAATAGTCAACACCAAGAACATACAATTTTATTGTCAATACTTAGCATAAAAATTATTGAAGCATCACTAAATAATTATTGCTCATCATGCTTTGCTTTGCGGACTCTCTTTTTTATTGAGGGTAAATGATTACACGAAAACATGCGCGAGTGGATATAACGCACTTGGTTAGTGCGTGTGGCACAAATAAGCGTGAACACGTGGGACAGCCAGATCACACTGAAACACAACTCCGACATCTTGTCGGATCTTATGTAAAGCATTGGGTCCCACTTTTCATAATATCTCTCTCACCACGAAACCCATCTTTTTGCTCTCAATAATTGTCGCCCCATTGCCGTCTCCTTTACTCTCTATGCCAGCGCGTAAGTACACGTGTTTCACTTTTTTTTTCATACTGAGAGCATCAACAGACCGACTTTTATTGGATGATTTAACCAAGGTTTGTAATATAATCGTTTGTGATAATATATATATATATATATATATATATATTTTTTTTTTTTTGTGATAATATATTGTTGTTGTTTTAATCTCATGAACTACGTTTCATGAGTCTTTTAATGGTATAAAAAAGAAAAGAAAAAAAATCTATTTACAAAAACACAAGTTAGCCTACAACTATATTTTGTGTGAAAAATTTTACCAAAAAAAAAAAAATTGCGTGAAAAAGAAAGGAATATTACTAGATGATACTAAAAAAGGAGGGCCCTTAAAGTCATCAAATAATTAACAAGTTAGCATTGATTGAGGCGGATGGTTACACATGATAAGTAGCAGGCGAGTGAGGAAACAACACAACACGCACGATCACGCTACGATGACCCACATGCTCCAATCTCCATGCCCCCCATGTTACTGTACGCAAAGTACCAATATTGCTCACAATTAAATTTTTATTTTTAAAGGCAAAAGCACAAACATTTAAAGGTTTTACTGACGGAAGAAAAAATAAAAAGCAATAGCTTTAGAATGTCATTGTTGATGAAAGTAGAAACCATGATGATGATATTAATGTGCAAATATTCATCTCACACGTATATCATTGGTTCATAACCGTTGGTTGGTCCACAACTTTGAACAAGTTCAGATTCTTTTTGATTGTGTTTTGTACCAACCACTCCAATTAGTCAATATTCCATTATATCCAACCTCAAAATACTTTTTTTTTCGAACTCTTTCTTTTAAAATATTTGGACAAATAATTGGCTACACTATTGGAGATTTGACTCAACTAATCAAGATACTATTTTCTATACTTTTTTCTTGACATCTACATAATGCATGAACTTTGATTATTATGACGTGTACTTGATTAAGACAAAACGAAGTACGAGATTTGATATTTATCAACTTTGAGATACTAGATATACATGATATAAATCATGATAACTAACACAAGGTGCAAATTGCGTTATCCATATACAAAACATCGCACGATGATTCACTTATATTGGTTTTAATGACGTTGGCTTTAAATCTTCAGACACAAACACATGTACATGTGTTATGTGTACACTTGAAACCAGATTGGCCATCTTATGATACATGGGTTCTTGTGTGAAATCAACTAAAAATGTGGTAATCTTTTTTTTGTTAAAGAAAAAACATAAATATTGAGAAAGTACAAAAAGAAAGACATGGCAAAGGCCAAAGGGGGGACACAAGTTGGAGATAAAGTAATAGAAGTCCAAAACAAAAAGAAACAATAATGATGGATTGCAATTAGCCACCTGACAAAATCTCTCATCATTCAAAGTACTATATTAATCCCCTCTCTTCTTCAATACCATCTCACATCTCTCTCTCTATTTCTCTCCCTCAAGAGTCCTAACTTCGAGTTGAAACAAACCATCTGTATCATTTTCAAGCTAATTTCTTTCTCTACTCAGAAAGAACAAAACCTTTTTGTGTTCTTTCTTTCTTTCTCTATTCTCCTAAGAAAAGATAATTCTTGAAACTTTTGAGTTCTTGTGGAGGTAATCAAATCATGATGATGGGAAAAGAAGATCTGGGTTTGAGCCTAAGCTTAGGGTTTTCACAAAACAACAATCCTCTTCAGCTGAATCTGAATCCTAACTCTTCATTATCAAACAATCTCCAGAGATACCCATGGAACCAAACATTCGGTCCTACATCAGGTATATATGCTCATGAAAATCTCAAATCTTCTCTCTGTTCTTTTTTTTTTAAGAAACAGAACAGATCTCAAAATTGAAGGATGAGACTTTTCTTCGTTTCCAAGTAAAATAAAAACAGATCTCAAACCTAAAATATGATTGCTCTTTGCAGATCTTCGCAAAATAGACGTGAATCGTTTTCCATCAACGACTAACTGCGAGGAAGAAACAGGAGTTTCGTCTCCAAACAGTACGATCTCAAGCACCATTAGCGGGAAGAGGAGTGAGAGAGAAGGAATCTCCGGCACAGGCGTTGGCTCCGGCGACGATCACGATGAGATCACTCCGGATCGAGGGTACTCACGTGGAACCTCCGACGAAGAAGAAGACGGCGGCGAAACGTCGAGGAAGAAGCTTAGGTTATCAAAAGATCAGTCTGCTTTTCTCGAAGAGACATTCAAAGAACACAACACTCTCAATCCCGTAAGTATAAAGTCAGAGAAACCAAATGATATTATCGTTATTACCATGAAATAATCAAGGTTATTATTGTAATTTTGCAGAAACAGAAGCTAGCTCTGGCTAAGAAGCTGAACTTGACGGCAAGACAAGTGGAAGTGTGGTTCCAAAACAGAAGAGCTAGGTGAGATTTTCTTGTCTTAACACCAATTCTGAAATTCCATTTATACCCTTGAGTAGAAGTTTTTACTTAAAAGTTCGATTTTGTTTTACAGAACCAAGTTAAAGCAAACGGAGGTAGATTGCGAGTACTTGAAACGGTGCGTAGAGAAGCTAACGGAAGAGAATCGGAGACTTCAGAAAGAGGCTATGGAGCTTCGAACTCTCAAGCTGTCTCCACAATTCTACGGCCAAATGACTCCACCCACAACACTCATCATGTGTCCTTCGTGCGAGCGTGTGGCTGGCCCATCATCATCGAACCATCACCATAATCACAGGCCCGTTTCGATGAACGCGTGGGTTGCTTGTGCTGGTCAAGTTGGTCATGGGCTGAATTTTGAAGCCTTGCGTCCACGATCGTGATTTTTAATTTAGTGGGGAATGGGTGTTTTGGTATTTTTCGTTATTGTTATGGTCTATCTGTGTAGGGTCATTGTAATTTTGGATGATTGGCCTTCTCATGAACTAGTCCTATGTACGATGCAACCTTAAAATATTTAAATTAGCAAAAAATTAGTTACAAACTTGCAGTATTAACCAAATTTATGAAACTATCTTTTTTGATATCTTACAAGAGTTCTAAATTAGACCACAAATTTACAAACGTTTTCTAGATAAATCTATCGTTTCGGTTTATGAGCATGTTATAAGTGTAGCGTAATTTGATTCAAAAAAAAAAATAAGTGTAGCGTAATCGCAATTTTTAACGAAATAATAAATTTTTGTGATAGATTGTCCACATCTGATAAAAATAACGTCATTCCTTTCAGATCTGCCGATTTTTTCGTACATTTGGACAAATTCTTAAAAATCGTTCTGTTTCATTTTGGCCTTTTATTCCACGAGAATTAAACTTTAACACCAATTGTTTGGCTCTTAGTGTTTGATTGCGTTTTTTTTTTTTTTTGTCAACAACTTTTTATTAAAATTTAAAAGAAGCATTTTTGGAGAATGTTGTTTACCTAAGTGATATGATGCGACTCGGTACGAACTTTTCGTGCCAAATTGTTTGATTGCGTTCTAAAACTCCGGTTTTGAATTTTCGAGCACCTTAGGAAATATGTTGACGGAAAAAACAATTGTATGAACAACAACTCTTATTGGGTCTTAATGGGCTGCATTATTTCGTCGGCCCATATTTTTAGTCTTCGTTGTCGTTTCTATCTAACTCTCTCTCTCTCTCTCACTCTCAAGTCTCCTCCTTTTACGATTTTCTTAACGAAATCTTTCACCAATAGCTACACGTATAGCGACCCAGATGCTAAATCACTTGATTTCTCGTCTGTTGTCTCCTTCACTACGATCTCATCCCTCAAAAATCTCAGCTTTACGGTTTTCCACAACTGTCTCAGCCGCCGAGAGACTATACGGCCAGCTTCAAGGATGCACAAGCAATCTCGAGAAGGATTTAGCCTCAGCTAATGTAACTTTGGACTCCACTTGTATCAACGAGGTAATAAGAAGATGCGATCCAAATCAATTTCAGTTGGGTCTTAGGTTTTTCATATGGGCAGGAACTCAAACCAGCCATAGACACAGTCCTTACATGTATACCAAAGCTTGCGACTTTCTTAAGATTAGAGCAAACCCAGATTTGATCAAAGACGTTGTTGAAGCTTATAAGAAAGAAGAATGCTTTGTTAGTGTTAAGACGATGCGGATTGTTTTGACTCTGTGTAATCAAGCGAAACTCGCTGATGAGGCATTGTGGGTATTAAGGAAGTTTCCTGAATTTGGTTTATGTGCAGACACTGTTGCGTATAATTTGGTGATTAGGTTGTTTGCTGATAAAGGAGATTTGAGTATGGCTGATATGTTGATGAAGGAGATGGACTGTGTTGGTCTTTATCCAGATGTGATTACTTATACGTCGATGATCAATGGGTATTGCAATGCGGGTAAGATTGATGAAGCTTGGAGGTTAGCTAAGGAGATGAGTAAGCATGATTGTGTGCTTAACACTGTGACGTATTCGAGGATTCTAGAAGGAGTTTGTAAGTCTGGTGATATGGAGAGAGCGTTAGAGTTGTTGGCGGAAATGGAGAAAGAAGACGGTGGTGGATTGATTAGTCCGAATGCGGTTACTTATACTTTGGTAATTCAAGCGTTTTGTGAGAAGAAGCGGATTAGAGAGGCGTTGTTGGTATTGGATAGAATGGGGGATCGAGGTTGCACCCCGAATCGCGTTACTGCTAGTGTTTTGATTCAGGGGGTTTTGGAGAATGATGAGGATGTTAAGGATCTTTCTAAGTTGATTGATAAGTTGGTGAAACTCGGCGGTGTTTCTCTTTCTGAATGTTTTAGTTCAGCTACTGTGTCGCTAATCCGTATGAAAAGATGGGAAGAGGCGGAAAAGATTTTCCGTCTGATGTTGGTTCGTGGGATCAGACCTGATGGTCTTGCGTGCAGTCATGTTTTTAGGGAGTTATGTTTGTCGGAAAGGTATCTCGATTGTTTCGTTCTGTATCAAGAAATCGAGAAGGAGGATGTGAAATCAACGATGGACTCGGATATATATGCGGTTCTTTTGCTTGGTCTCTGCCAACAGGGAAATTCTTGGGAAGCTGCTAAGCTTGCGAAATCAATGCTTGATAAGAAAATGAGATTGAAAGTTTCTCATGTTGAGAAAATCATTGAAGCCTTGAAGAAAACTGGTGATGAAGATCTCATGAGTCGTTTCTCTACTGATTAATTCAATTATTCAGATAGGTATGTTTATTTATATAAGAAGAAGGATTCTTGTTTCACACAATCATCACTAAGCTTATTTGATACTGCATAAATTAGTATAGCGATTGAGGTATTTGCTCTTTTTAAGGATGCAAGGGCTCCTTGGTCTTGCGGTTGAGTCTTGGTGCGGCAGACACTTGGTCCTCGAGAAGAGGTACAACGTAATTGACGAGATCTTCATCCGCAATTATTAAGTGGGCACCAGGTACAATCACAAGCTGTACTTTTCGAGCAAGAGCCAATGCTTTCAGACCTATCCAATCCTCTATATAGAGCTTTGTCTGGGACACAGGGAGAACATGTGTGAAGTCACCATCCGGATAAAACCCGAACCAAGATGACTCTTTTGGGACAATAACCGTATCGTTCTGAAACTGTATAAAACAAAAACAGAGTCATCAAGAGAGGAATCAAAAGATAATAGCAAAGTATAATGGTTAAGAGAAGAGAAGCGAACCAGGACAAAAACCAGCTTCTGTAAACTGGTGAAACGGTGTTTGTAAGTTTGGTTTCTTTGGTCCGGTCTCTCATTGTTAAGCTTAGGTAGATACTTACAACCTTTCAGGTACTCTCTCACATTCTGAGAAACAGAAAAATAATGTTTTTGTTTTGATCATTATTTACTAATTTGTTGATTTTGCAAGTTTCCTAATACACTATGGTGAATAGATAAGACATACTTTAGGGTCTTTGAAATAACCACTAGGAGCAAGATTATCCTGCAAAAGTCATTGAAGATTTTAATTAGTTTTCTAATTGACGACTTAATCATATGATATATAGAGAGAGAAAGAGATCAGTACTTGAACAAAGTCGCTATAGACAGTTTCATTGCCTAGCCCATTTGCTACGTCACAAAGTAAACCAGACTTGAACAAGGAAAAACCAAAAACAGAAATATAAAATGTTGTTACTATGATTGATTGATTAAATATCAAATCAAAGATATATAATTGATATTTAGAGGAAATAAAAAAGCTTACTCTAGTACACTTTGGAAGAGCGGTGATGCCAGCATGAGGACCAGCCAAGGATACATAGTTGTGAACAGGAGGCCCATCGTCGCAGAACTCGATCAAGCCTCGAGCCACTAGGTTCCCCTGTTCCATCATTCATCAACATCCATGAAACTGAAACATGTAAATAATAATCATAAACCGATATTAGGGTTTTCAAGAAAGTATCAAGAACCTGAGCTCTTCCAACAATGCTGTATCCTTGACTCAACTCTTCCATTTGCTTCACCTTCTCACACGCTATTTCCGCTTGTCGTGTAAGTGGCATTAACCATGAATCGCTTATTCCATTGCCAATTTCTCTGGATTCCATACCAAAAAAAAAAACAAGAATCAGATCAAACCAAAGACATCATCATAAATAGTCACTCTGCACGTTTTAAGTATCAAGAACACATAAATAGCCCCGATCTTTGGATTATCAAAAGGAAGAAAGTGTTGTTGCTTGACTTACAAGCAAAACCCAGGAGAGCCTGAGAGGTTAGTGAGAAGCTGTGTGAAGTTACTAATTGTAGCATCAGAACATTGAGTTCCGATTTCATGAAGTATTATGAACGGAACTGAAAGAGAGACATGAACCATGGCTAAGAATGAAACCACCACCATAACGCAAGACCTCTTCAAACCTTTCTCCATTGTAAAACGCCAAAAGTACAAAAGCTGCGATTGGCGTTTATGTTTATATGTTTATGATATTTTGTGTCTCCAAGAACTTTTGAGATGGGAATATATAAAGGGAAGAGAAAGAGCGTCATGTGGTTGGAAGTTGTGGCCAAGTAAGAATTAACAAAGAATTAGATGACAAAATGGACGATGCTGATTGGTTTTTACATTTTCAGTAGAAATTAACGGTGCTGATCATTAGTTGAGATCTTGCATTAACGTTTTTGGTAGCATTTGCATTAACGCTCTGTTTCCTTAGTTCTTCCTCTAATGACATCTCCGCGTTGCCTCTTTTAGTACGTGTCTATGTATGAACGTAAAATATCTTTAAACCATTTTCCAATAAAAGTATATTTGGAGGTAAATGTTTTGACATTCGAAGTCGAATAATATTTTGTTATAAGTTTGTCCCATATTTGGAATGAAAAATCAAATAAGGAAACATAGAAGTATAAGCTATCAAAGAAATTAATATATCCGACATTACTCTCCCACTGCATTAATACTTGGTACCACTTGCCACAAACAGATAGTAGTTTTTAATTGTCTTCTTATAACAAGTAAATATATTGTTGGGAATTTAATATTATCTGAACTACAGAATAACCTATCATATTTGTTTTATGTATAGTTAAAAAAAAACAAGAGAGAATGCATAAAATCTATATATTTAATTCTTAAATCCACAAAATTTATAACTTAACTTGCTCACTGTATAAATTATAGACTAAATTTTATTTTGACAACTGAATATAAAAAAGATACAAATAAATGTGCTCCATCTGTAAAGAATAAAATCTACAGATTATTTAAATAGAATTCATAGCTTATGTAGATTATAAGATCTACAAGCAAAAAAGTAAGTCCGCAGAAATTATGAAAACAATTCATGGTACCTTATATTTCATTAAAAAAATCTTTGAACCAAAGTTACAATTTTCTAGCTACTTAATCTAAATCTACACAAAGAAATCGTCGATTAAAGTTAAGTTACAGGTTTTGTGAGGGCTCCATGAAAGTAATAGCTTCAAAATGTGAACTGAATAGTAATAAATATTTTCAAGTCTAGACGACAGCTTCTGAATAAACATATCGAATCCATAACTAGTAATAAACTAATAACTGTGAAAAATTGATTATAACTTAATTAATTAGTCAACTCAAAGAGAAAAGAAGACACAGTTTTGTCAAACAAGAACAAATCATTTATCTCTAATCTTACACTACCATAGTACCATGCAACATCGTGGATATATTAGAATCTTTTTTAGATTTCTAGATCGTAAGAATACTTAAAATGGACCCATTGACTCACTTCTGTATGCAGACAATATAAGTTATTGATGACTCTGATCAATACTGCTTCAACAAGCACCAACGAGAATAGGAGATGCATGCTTGGTTGTTCATGTATATATAGAAGAGGTTGCAAAAGATTTGCCAACGTTAATGTATAAATGGGCTTTCTTGGGGAAGCTGCTAAGCTTGCGAAATCAATGCTTGATAAGAAAATGAGATTGAAAGTTTCTCATGTTGAGAAAATCATTGAAGCCTTGAAGAAAACTGGTGATGTAGATCTCATGCGTCGTTTCTCTACTGATTAATTCAATTATTAAGATAGGTATGTTTATTATTCATAAAAGAAGAAGGATTCTTGTGTCACACAATCATCACTAAGCTTATTCGATATTGCATAAATTAGTATAGCAATTGAGGTATTTGCTCTTTTTAAGGATGCAAGGGCTCCTTGGTCTTGCGGTTGAGTCTTGGTGCGGCAGACTCTTGGTCCTGGAGAAGAGGTACGACGTGTTTGACGAGATCTTCATCCGCAATTATTAAGTGGTCACCGGGTACATTCACAAACTGCACTTTTCCAGCAAGAACCAATGCTTTCAGACCTATCCAATCCTCTATATAGAGCTTTGTCTGGTCTACAGGGAGAACATGTTCTTTGTCACCATCCGGATAAAACCCGAACCAAGATGATTCTTTTGGAACAATAACCGTATCGTTCTGAAACTGTATAAAACAAAAACAGAATCATCAAGAGAGAAATCAAAAGATAGCAGAAAAGTATAATGGTTTTGAAGAGAAGCGAACCAGGACAAGAACCAGGTTGTGTAAACTTGTGAAACGGTCTTTGTAAGTTTGGTTTCTTTGGTCTGCAGGTCTCTCATTGTTAAGCTTAGGTAGATACTTACAACCTTTCAGGTACTCTGTCACATTCTGAGAAACAGAAAAAATAATGTTTTTGTTTTGATCATTATTTACTAATTTGTTCATTTTGCAAGTTTCCTAATAAACTATGGTGAATAGAAGAGACATACATAAGGGTTTTTGAAATAACCACTAGGAGCAAGATTATCCTGCAAAAGTCATTAAAGATTTTATTTAGTTTTCTAATTGACGACTTAATCATATGATATATAGACAGAGAAAGAGATCAATACTTGAACATAGTCGCGATAAACATCTCCATTTGTTATGTCACAAATGCCACCAGACTTGAACAAGGAAAAACCAAAAACAACAGAAAAATACAATGTTGTTACTGTGATTGATTGATTAAAAATCATATCAAAGATAAATATTTGATATTTAGAGGCAATAAAAAAGCTTACATTACACGGAGGAAAACCGGCGATGCCAGCATGAGGACCAGCCAAGGATATAGTTGTAAACAGGAGGCCCATCGTCGCAGAACTCGATCAAGCCTCGAGCCACTAGGTTCCCCTGTTCCATCATTCATCAACTTCCATGAAACTGAATATGTAAATACTGATCAAAAATAGATATTAGGGTTTTCAAGAAAGTATCAAGAACCTGAGCTCTTCCAACAATGTTGTATCCTTGACTCAAATCTTGCATTTGCTTCACATTATCACACGCTATTTCCGCTTGTCGTGTAAGTGGCATTAACCATGAATCACTTATTCCATTGCCAATTTCTCTGGTGGATTCCATACCCAAAAAAAAACAAGAATCAGATCAAACCAAAGACATCATCATAAATAGTCACTCTGCACGTTTTAAGTATCAAGAACACATAAATAGCCCCGATCTTTGGATTATCAAAAGGAAGAAAGTGTTGTTGCTTGACTTACAAGCAAAAGCCAGGAGAGCCTGAGAGGTTAGTGAGAAGCTGTGTGAAGTTAGCATTTGTAGCATCAGAACATTGAGTTCCGATTTCATGAAGTATTATGAACGGAACTGAAACAGAGACATGAACCATGGCGAAGAATGCAACCACCACCATAACACAAGACCGCTTCAAACCTTTCTCCATTGTAGAACGCCTAAAGTACAAAAGCTGCGATTGGCGTTTATGTTTATGTTTATGATATTTTGTGTCTCCAAGAACTTTTGAGATGGGAATATATATAGGGAAGAGAAAGAGCGCCATGTGGTTGGAAGTTGCGGCCAAGTAAGAATTAGATGAAAAAATGGACGATGCTGATTGGTTTTTACATTTTCAGTATGAAATGGACGGTGCTGATTAGTTGAGATCTTGCATTAACGTTTTTGGTAGCATTTTGCATTAACGCTCTGCTTCCTAGTTCTTCCTCTAATGACATCTCCGCGTTGCCTCTTTTAGTACGTGTCTATGTATGTATTTTTAACATATTACTAAAATAATTTCATACTACATATTTACAATAACTTATAAATCCATTGTATTTGAATATGTTTAACAACTAATTTCTTGTCATTTTTACTACAATAACATTATAAATAGGATGGATAGAGTGTAACTATGATGGATAGAGATACCGTCCAAAACTTGATGAATATTACGGGACGACAAAGGCATTTTATCTTGGTTCAGGTCAAGCTAAGGGAGTGAATATCAAGCTCTCATCATGGCAATGCAGAACTGTTGGAGTCATGGTTACACGAAGAGTCATTTTAATTTGAAGGGGACAACAAATTAAGGAATTGTGGACTTGCAAATGGTAAAAACCCTAAAATTTAGAGCCTACAATTGGATCAGAGAAGTACAAGTTTGGAAGAGAAGATTTCAGGAGATCAATGTTTGAATGGGTGATAAGAGATTATAATAAACCAGCTAATCTTCTTGCCAAAAATGATTTATAATTTTATTATCATACTTTTGTACCCTCTGTGATAAATCAAGTCCTTCATTGTGACTATAAGGGTTATATTAATAAATATCAGATGTTTTTATAAAAAAAACTTTATTTATAAAAATTAATAAATTTAATTTATCTTTGCTCAAATTTGTTTTTTTTTTTAATTATTTTTAATGGAGCTGCATCTGATTGATTTTCAAATTCTATTAACATTTGAGGACTATTTGTGCTGTGATTTAAAAATACAAAAGGAAAACTAATAAATTAAAGTAAAGAAGTAAAGATATATATATATGTGAATATGTGTTGAGGGATAAAATGGCACTGTACTATTACTTGCTGTGCAGGTAAAATATCTCAAAACCATATTCCAATAAAAGTACATTTGGAGGTAAATGTTTTGACATTCGAAGTCGAATAATAATATTTTGTTATAAGTTTGTCCCATATTTGGAATGAAAAATCAAATAAGGAAACATAGAAGTATAAGCTATAAAAGAAATTAATATATCAATCATTACTCTTCCATTGCATTAATATACTTGGTACCACTTGCCATTAACAGAGAGTTATTAATTGTCTTCTTATAACAGGTAAATATATTGTTGGGAGTTTAATATTATCTGAGATACAGATTAACCTATCATATTTGGTTTATTTATTACTAAAAAACAGAGAATGCATAAAATCTATATATTTAAAGTTTTTATATTTAATTCTTAACCCACAAAATTTATAAATTTTATAATGTATAGAATAAATTTTATTTTGACAACTAAATATGCAAATAAATTTGCTCCTTATGTAAAGAATAAAATCTTTAAATTAAATTTTAAATTTTTAGCTCCTAAATCTACAGATGATTCAAATAGGATTCATAGCTTATGAAGATTATAATATATATATATATATGAGCAAAAAACCTTTAAACGAAAACTATTCTGAATCTAAATCTGCACATAGAAATTGTCGATTAAAGTTAAGTTACAGGTTTTGTGAGGGCTCCATGAAAGTAATAGTTTCAAAATGTGAACTGCATAACAAATATCTTCAAGTCTAAATGACAGCTTCTGAGTAACCATATCAAATCCATAAACTAGTAATATATATATATATATATATATATATATATATATATATGTGTGAAAATTTGATTATAAATTTCAGTGCTAATTAATTAATTAGTCTAGTAAATCTAACGAATTATGACACTGAAATGTGAACTCAAAGAGAGAAGAAGACACACTTTGTCAACAAGGTTCACATCCTTTGTCTCTAAACTTATACTACCATGCAACATCTTAGATTAGAATCTATTTTTACATTTCTATATCGAAAGAATACTTAAAATGTACCCATTGACTCACTTCTGTATGCAGACAATATAACTTATTGATGACTCTGATCAATACTGCTTCAAAAAAGTACCAATGCATGAGATGCATTATATTGGTTAGTTTATGTGTATATTGAAGAGGTTGCAAACGATTGGCCAACGTTCATGTCTAAATGGGCTTTATTGGGAAGCTGCTAATTAAGCTTGCGATGTTCCATAACAAAATGAGATTGAAAGTTTCTCATGTTGAGAAAATCATTGAAGCCTTGATGAAGAAAACTGGTGATGAAGATCTCATTTCGTCGTTTCTCTACTGATTAATTCGACAATTCAGATAGGTATGTATATATTTATATAAAAATAAGGATTCTCGTTCTACAAATCATCACTACGACTAAGCTTATTCGATATTGCATGAACAAGTATAACAATTGAGGTATTTGCTCTTTTTTTTAAGGACGCAAGGGCTCCTTGGTCTTGCGGTTGAAGCTTTGTGCGGCAGACTGTTGGTTTTGGAGATAAGGTACAACGTGTTTGACGACATCTTGATCCGCCATGTTGAGGTGTCCACCGGCTACACTCACAAACTTCACTTTTCCAGCATCATCTAATGTTTTCAGACCGATCCAATCCTCTGTATAGAGCTTTGTCTGGTTAGCAGAGAGAAGAGGTTCGAATTCACCATCCGGGTAAAACCCAAACCAAGTTGAATCATTTGGAGTAATAATCTCATCGTCCTGAAACTGTTAAAAAAAAAACAGAATCATCAAGAGAGGAATGAGAAGATAGTTGAAAAGTCTAGATGGTTTTGAAGAGACCAAACCTTGACAAGAACCAGGTTCTGTAAACTGGTGAAACGGTCTTTGTAAGTTTGGTTTCTTTGGTCTGGTATCTCATTGTTAAGCTTAGGTAGATACTTAGAGCTTTCCAAGTACTCTTTTATATCCTGAGAATAAATAAAAGAAAAACAAAGATTTTTGTGGAATCTATGTTAAAACTTTATGTTGTTGTTTTGATCATCAATTACTTATTTGTTGATTTTGCAAGTTTTCTTATAAACGATGGTGAATGGACATACATTAGGGATTTTGTAATAACCACTAGGAGCAAGATGATCCTGCAGAGTTATTAAAGAATGTTAATTAATTTCTAATTGAGTCTTTAATCATGCTATATATATAGAGAAAGAGGTATATATATACTTGAATGGTCTTGCTATAGAGAGCTCCCTTGATCAACTCATCAAATTTCTTACATGCTGGATCGGACTTTAACTTAAAAAATAAGAAACAAAACAAAATAATCGTTGTTGTTACTTTGATTGATTAAAATTAAATTACATATAAAGTTTAGATATATAATTTGAGGAAATAAAAAAGCTTACACCACAAAGAACCGGAGGAATAGAAGAAATGCCAGCATGAGGACCAGCTAAGGATATATAGTTGTAAACCGGAGGTCCACCGTCGCAGAACTCTATCAAGCCTCGAGCCACTAGGTTCCCCTGTTCCATCATTAATCAAACATCCATGAAACTGAAACGTGTTATAATGATCAAAATCTATTTTAGGGTTTTCAAGAACCTGAGATCTTCCAACAATGTTGTATCCTTGACTTAACTCTTTCATTTGCTTCACATTCTCACATGCTATTTCTGCTTGTTGTGTAAGTGGCAAGAACAATGAAGTTACTACTCCATTTCCAATTTCTCTGGATTCCATACCAAAATAAAAAATAACAAGAATCAGATCAAACCAAATACATCATCTTGTTCATGCTATATAAAACAAGAATATAGATACATGGCCCGATCTTTCGGTTATCAAAACGAATAAACTATTTTGTGGATTGACTTACACGCAAAAGCCAGGAGAGCCAGCGAGGTTAGTGAGAAGCTGTGTGAAGTTAGCATTTGTATCATCAGAACAATGAGATGCGATTCCATGAAGCATTATGAACGGAACTGAGAGAGAGACATGAACCATGGCTAAGAATGCAACCACCACCGTAACACAAGACCGCTTCAAACCTTTCTCCATTGTAAAACGCCAAAAGTACAAAAGCTGCGATTGGCGTTTATGTTTATGTTTATGTTTATGATGATATTTTGTGTCTCCAAGAACTTTTGAGATGTGAATATATAAAGGGAATAGAAAGAGCGTCATGTGGTTGGAAGTTGTGGCCAAGTAAGAGTTAACGAAGAATTAGATGAAAAATGGACGATGCTGATTGGTTTTTACATTTTCAGTATGAAATGGACGGTGCTGATTAGTTGATATCTTGCATTAACGTTTTTGGTAGCATTTGCATTAACACTCTGCTTCCTAGTTCTTCCTCTAATGATATCTCCGCGTTGCCTCTTTTAGTACGTGTCTATGTAATGTAATATTTACAATAACTTCTTATCATACTTGGCACCTTCTGTGATAAATTAAGTCCTTCATTGTGGCTATTGTAATTCACGTTTATATTAATAAATGTCAGGTGTTACAAAGATTTTTTTTTTCCAAAATATAAATAAATGTAAAATATCATTTTTAATGGAGTTGCACTTGCTTGAGTTCCAAATTCTGTAATATTTGAAAACTATTTGTTCTGTGGTTTTAAAAAAAAAATACATATATAAATACTTTTAAATGGAAAACTAATGAAATAAAGTAAAGATATGAATGTGTTGAGGGATAAAATGTCACTGTATTACTTATTGTGCTTCTTTTGTTAGCCAATCACATTTCTAGATCTTGGTTTGTTTCCATCTCTCGTAAAATATCTCAAAACTATTTTCCAATATAAAAGTAAATTTGGAGGTAAATGTTTTGACGTTAGAAGTCGAATAATATTTTGTTATAAGTTTGTCCCATATTTGGAATGAAAAATCAAATAAGGAAACATAGAAGTATAAGAGCTATCAAAGAAATTAATATATCCAACATTACTCTCCCATTGCATTAATTACTTTGTACCACTTGCCATTAACAGAGAGTTATTAATTGTCTTCTTATAACAAGTAAATAAATTGTTGGGAATTAAATATTATCTGAAATACAGAATAACCTAATATATTTGGTGTATGTATAACTAAAAAAAAACAAGAGAGAATTGCATAAATTATAGATTTCAAGTTTTTATATTTAGTTCTCAAATCCACAAATTTTATAAATTTAACTTGCACCTTGTATAATGTATAGACTAAATTTTATTTTGACAACTAAATCTACAAATAAATTTGCTCCTTCTGTAAAGAATAAAATCTCTAAATTAAATTTTAACTTTTTAGCTCCTAATTCTACAGATTATTTAGATAGAATTCATAGCTTATGTAGATTATAAGATCTACAAGCAAAAAATTAAGTCTGCAAAATTTATGAACCTTATAGATTAAAAATCTTTGAACCAAAATTATAATTTTATAGCTCCTCGAAAGTAATAGGTTCGAAATGTGAACTGAATAACAAATATTTTCAAGTCTAGACGACAGCTTCTGAGTAAACTTATCAAGTCCATAACTTTGAAAATTTGATTATAACTTTCAATGCTAATTAATCACTTAGTCTAGTAATTAAATCTTACGAACTATGACACTGAAATGTGAACTCAAAGAGAAAATAAGACACAATTTTGTCAACTAGTTCACATCATTTGTCTCTTATCTTACACTACCATGCAACATCTTAGATTATAATCTTTTTTCATGTCTAGATCGAAAAATACTTAAAATGGACCCATTGACTCACTTCTGTATGCAGACACTATAACTCTATACACTACAAGAAAATAACGATATTGCAATATGAGAAATTGTTGCTGTAAGGCAATATATTGTTGCAAATATACAATTGCAATGAAGACGCAACTAATTTTCTATCGTTGCTAATTGAGCGTTGCAAATTAAAATTTGTCGCATAGACGTCGTAAAATTTGCAATGAATCAAGTTCTTACTATACATGTTGTATTAATGCAACAATATTTTTGCAGCAGATTTGTCGTATAATTACGACTCATTTGCAACATTAAATTGTTGTAAATTATCCCTACGCAAAATTTATAACAAATACCGTTGAAAATTTGCGATAGCTATTTTGCAAGATACTTTCGTTACAAAAATTTTGTTACGATTAAAAATGCATAATTTGTTGTAAATATTGTCGTAACTAATAATTTTTTATATTATTCTAATAATATATGTAGTCAAAATTTTATTGTGAATCATATGGTCGATATATACATTTCGTTGTAATAGTTTTGCTATAACTAAAATTTGACCCATAGATTGTACTAAATTATAATAATTAATCAAAATTAAATTTTTATTATTAAAATTTATTATAATAGATGTTACAAGATTGAATAATAAATAAATATATATTCGATAAACAAGAAGAAACTTCCAACAATTATCAATATACGTAAAGAAAATATCAAAAGATAAACAAAAGCCAAACAAAATAACTAAAACTTATACTAGCCACTTTTAGTAGAGATAAAAGTTTCTCCAGTCCTTTAAGCTCGGTGATCCATCTTTGATTTCTGCAATTTTGTTAAGATCTGCTTTAACAAATCCATGGTTAACGATTCATCTAGAAAAAAAATTAGAAAACAAAAAACAGAGTTAATACTAAGATAAACTTATAAAAAAAAAATGAAAAACCAAATAAAATAAAATAAAATAAGAACACTTAAAAACTGGATATTGTTTTTGCTACATTCGTCGTCGAAATGATAGAAAATCTTATATAAAACTGGTAATAGTGGGAGAGACGATATAGAAAATCTTGGATTATTCCAAAGCATCTTCCTTCAAGAAAGATGACGAATCAGGAAAACTTCTTACTAGAGTTAGAGTCATCCATGGTAGTATCATACCTAACACTAACTCTGTTCTTCTAGTTAAAGAGTATGATAACTCTCGTCAAGTTTTTCCAAAGAATAAACTTGTCGAATCTTATTTTTATGTTTTGTTGATTATGATGTGTTGGGGTTGGTGTTGATCAAGTTTTTAATCTAGGTGTCGACGTATTTGGTGGTTAGAAGGTTGTTCCGATACTTATAAAGATTTTAATATATATTTGTTGGTTCTAGTAAAGTAACAAAAACAAAAGGCATTTAATAAATATATATAACGATTCAGAGTATTTGTTGGTTCTAGTAACAGTAGAGACTTATCCCGAAAACAGGAATTATCCAAAGATTTGGAATTAGTGAAAAGAAAAGCAGCGCAAAAGAAGAGAGAATATACCATTTTCCTTAGATATACTGTATAATAATATTGTGTATTTAATCTGGAGTAAACTATGGTCAACTTTTACTGCACTTGAGGAGTTTATATAATACCATATATGTTAAGAGCGTCAAAGAACATTAACTTTATATCAAGAGCATGTCAAAATTTGGTTTAGTTGCTTAATTTTAAATATGCGACATATTTATTTTTTCTATTAAGATAAAATACTGACAGTTTTTCTTCACAAATTTAGAACAAGTAAATATTGCAAAAAAAAATACTAAAAAGTTGCAAATATAGTTACAAAAATGCTATGTTTTTTTACTATAACTTACTTACTCGCAAAAAAGCCACAACCTACTATTGTTGAATATTTCTTGTAAATTTGCATGAAATTTTCACATGTCGCAAAAAAATTGCAAATTAGTAACGGAAATTTACAACAAAAGTTTTTGTTGTAATATTGCAATGAATTTGTAACAAAATTGTAATGTGTATTCATCATTGCAAAAATATTACAAAATCTATAGCAAAATTTCAACAAAACCGAACGTTGCACAAATTATGTTGCAATAGTACTATTTTCTTGTAGTGATAAGTTATTAATGCATTGGTTGGTTTATGTGTATATTATATTGAAGAGGTTGCAAAAGATTGGCCAACGTTCATGTATACATGGGCTTTCTTGGGAAGCTGCTAAGCTTGCGAAATCGATGCTCGATAAGAAAATGAGATTAATTGTAAGTTTCTCATGTTGAGAAAACCATTGAAGTCTTGAAGAAAACTGGTGATGAAGATCTCATTCGCCGTTTCTCTACGGATTAATACGATAATTCAAATAGGTATGTATAATGTATCTATATTTATATAAGAATAATGATTCTTGTTCTACAAAATCATTACTAAGCTTTTTCGATAAATTGCATGAATAAGTATAATAACTAGTGAGGTATATGCTCTTTTTAAGGATGCAAGGGCTGCTTCGTCTTGCGGTTGACTCTTTGTACCGAAGACGGTTGGTCCTGGAGATAAGGTACAACATGTTTGACGACATCTTCATCTGCCATTCTGATATGTTCACCGGCTACACTCACAAACTTCACTTTTCCAGCATCATCCAATGTTTTCAGACCTATCCAATCCTCTGTATAGAGCTTTGTCTGTTGAGCAGAGAGAAGATGTTCAAATTCACCATCCGGATAAAACCCGAACCACGATGAATCTTTTGGAACAATAACCTTATCGTCCTGAAACTGTAATACAAAAACAGAATCATTTAGAGAGGAATTAAAAGATAGTTGAAAATTAGAATGGTTTTGAAGAGACCAAACCTTGATAAGAACCAGGTTGTGTAAACTGGTGAATCGGTCTTTATAAGTTTGGTTTCTTTGGTCTGGTATCTCATTGTTAAGCTTAGGTAGATACTTAGAGCTTTCCAAGTACTTTGTCATATCCTGATAAATCAAAAACAAAGATTTTGTGATATCTCAAAAATTAAACTAGTTGTTTTGATCATTAATATAATTGGTGATTATGAAAGTTTTCTTATGGTGAGTAGAGACACATACAGTAGGAATCTTGAGATAACCACTAGGAGCAAGATGATCCTGCAGAGTTATTAAAGATGTTAATTAATTGGTAAAAACTAAGGATTTAATCCTAATTAATTTGTAACAAATTATATAATAGATGTTTTACTTGAATGAAGTCGCTATAGATATCTCCCTTGATTAGCTCATCTGCTAACTTACAGAATAAGCCAGACTTTAACAAGAAAAATACAATGTTGTTACTGTGATTGATTGATTAAAATCAAATCATAGAAAAAATATTTATAGGAAAAAAAAAAAAAAAGAAGCTTACACCACACATAGGAACAGAGGATATCCCAGCATGAGGACCAGCCAAGGATATATAGTTGTAAACAGGAGGGCCACCGTCGCAGAATTCGATCAAGCCTCGAGCCACTAGGTTCCCCTGTTCCATCATTCATCAACATTAATGAAACTGAAACACGTAATAATGATTAAAAACTGATTTTAGGGTTTTCAAGAAAGTGTATCAAGAACCTGAGATCTTCCAACAATGTTGTATCCTTGACTCAACTCTTTCATTTGCTTCACCTTCTCACACGCTATTTCCGCTTGCCGCGTAAGTGGCATTAACCATGAATCGCCTACTCCATTTCCAATTTCTCTGGATTCCATACCAAAAAAGAGAGTTGGATCAAACCAAATACATCATCATAGTTAGCGACTTTGGACGTTTTAGATACCAAGAATACACAACTATTTCTACATGTCCCGATTTTTCGGTTATCAAAACGAATAAACTATTTTGTGGATTGACTTACAAGCAAAAGCCAGGAGAGCCAGAGAGGTTAGTGAGAAGCTGTGTGAAGTTAGCATCTCTAGCATTAGAACATTGAGCTGAGATTCCATGAAGCATTATGAACGGAACTGAAACAGAGACATGAACCATGGCTAATAATGCAACCGCCACCGCAACACAAGACCGCTTCAAACCTTTATTTCCCATTGACAAACGCGAAAGTTGCGATTAGCGTTAATGGTTATGTATTTTTTTTCTTTTTCCTTTTTAATGTTTATGTGTCTCCAAGAACTTTTGAGATGGGAATATATAAAGGAATAGAAAGAGTGTGTGATGTGGTTGGAAGTTGCGGCCAAGTAAGAAAGAATTAGATGAAAAAAATGGACGGTGCTGATTCGTTTATGTATATCAACAGTATGAAATGGACGGTGCTGATTAGTTAATATCTTTTTGCAGTTGCATTAACTCTCCTTTTTCTCCTCCTCCTATGTTATCTTCTCGCTGCCTCTTTTAATAGGGCACGTATATATGTGTCTATGTATTTATAACATTGCATATACCAAAAGGGTTTCATATTCAGATCTTTATAATAACTTTTAAATCCAATCATATTTACTATTGTATAACAATATGTTTACAACAAAGTTTTATGAATTAATTCTTTGAAAGAAGTAAATCTTTGATAATTTGTTTGTCTATTTAATATTTGTAACTACCATTTAATCATTTATCAATGAGAAGTGCATATAATTGATTTTCAATTTATAATTATAAGATTTAGAAACTATTTGTGTTGTGGTTACAACTTACAACTTCAAAGTACATATATAATTAATTGAAAATAGAAAATTAATAAAATAAAGTCAAGATATGTGAATGTGTGTTGTTGTTGAGGGATAAATTGTCACTGTCACTTGTTTACTTAGAGCATAGACAGTGGTATAAGTTAGAAGATGCAAATTAAATTAGTAAAATAATGTTAGAAATTTAATGAAGAGAGAGAAAAAGACTCGAGAAATTTTTTTTTTTCTTGCTTTCTCACAACTGGCCAATCACAGCCTGCCATGTAATCTCACACCCAAACCAAACAAGTTGTTAGCTCACATCCGGATGCTGTCTCTAAGCCAACTATTTGAATATTTTTATTTTTTTTAATCCTCACACCCGCATAGAAAATACTCCATTGCTGATGGTCTTATTGTGCTTCTTTCGTTAGCCAATCACATTTCTAGATCTTATTTTGGTTCCATCTCCCCCAGGTAAAAATATCTCCAAAACTATATTCCAATAAAAATATATTTGGGAGTACATGTTTTGACGTTTGATATCGAATACTATTTGTTATAACTTTGTCCCATATTTGGAATGAAAAATTAAACAAGGAAACATAGAAGTATAGGCTACCAAAGAAATCAATAAATCCAGACATCACTCTTTCATACCACTACTTGCCATTGACAGATATGTTTGCTTTCTATATGATTAAAAAAAAAAACATATGAGAGATAATGCATAAAATAAATAAATTTAAAGTTGACTTCTGAATCTTAAATCGTACCATGCAGGCTTGCATCAAGTATAAATTAAGGGATGCATATTCAATCAAACATTTGGAATGATTTGTGTTGGAATGACAAATCTTCTGTTATTCAACCTTATATTTTGAATGATTGTCATGATGCCAACCTTTCGAACCAGCTAATAATATATATAGAATTTTTTGCCGTAAAAAGAATATATTTTTATGAATGATTGGAGTTTTTAGGTGATTTTGATGATTGTGGGTGATTTTAGGGAAGTTTTATGAATGGTTGCAAAGTTCTCCCAAATTCCATTTAAAACCATGTATTTTTTTTTTACTCAAAAAGTCTTCTAAACCACTTTAAAGTCATTCAAAATCCAATGTTTAAATAATTTCCATAACTTGGATTTGATGTACCTTTTGGAATCACTATTTCACTAACACTGGATTTTATAATACGTTTTAAAATTGATGATTGAATAACATTGTCTTTTTTTAAAAAAAAAACATTGTCTTTTTAACACAAGTCATTCCAAATGTTTGTTTAAATACACCCTCCCTAAAACATTCAAAATATATGGTTGAATCAATTTTAGTTAAACAACTAAATCTACAAAATATGTAAGTGAATTTTGTTCCTTTTGTAAAAAGTATGAAATCTATGAATAATATTGTATAACCTTTTTTTGGGCTAAAAAGATCTACAACTTTTAAGAAATAGAATTCATACCTTATGTAAATTATAATATCTGCAAATAAAAGTTTTAATTTTCTAGCTCATGAATCTGCAAAATCTATGAATACAATTCATAGTTTATGTAAATCATAAAATCTATAAACTAATTGAATTTTCTAGCTTATAAATGATAAAAACCTACAAATAGAACTCGTCTTATTACAGGTCTTGTGAGGGCTCCATTGCATGAAAAATGTGAACTGAATAATAAATACCTTCAAGTCTAGACGACAGTTTCTGAGCAAACATATCAAATCCATAACCAGTAACTGTGAATATTGATTATACATTCTTGTGCTAATTATTAGTCTCGCAAATCTTACGAATTATGACACTGAAATGTGAACTCAAAGAGAGAGAGGAAGACACTTTTGTCAACAAGTTCACCCCATTTGTCTCTAATATCACAACCATCCAACAACACCTTAGATTGGATTCTCATTTCAATTTCAATCTTCTTTTACATTTTTAGATCGACTAGAATACTCAAAATGGACCCATTGACTCACTTCTGTATACAGACATTACAAGTTCTTGATCAAGACCACTTCAACAGGCACTAAGGAGATACATTTTTGGTTCTTAAAGAGCCATAATTGATTCCAAAATAACTTTGGCACTTTTGTGGTCCACAAATACAGAGTCGACAACAAAACTAAAGACTTCTATAGCTCAATATTCGTCTACATGATCATGTGAGCTAATGAGTTTTACCTGTTAAAGAATTTTATTGATTCGATTCGTTTCTGGCTTTTCAACACAATCCTTTCAAGCAGCTGACCAATTCATTCCAAGAAGAAACTACTTTGCTTTAGCATGCTTCTTCACTTTTCTTGTAAATGCGAACTCTCCGAATTTATGCCCAACTTTCCCCTCTGTGATCTTACAACGCACATGAGTTTTGCCGTTGTAGATTCTCACCGCCGAATCAACATACTCTGGCAGAATCGTCGATCTTCTTGACCATATTTTCCTGTTCAGTGCTGCATTTTTCTTCTTCATCAGGAACGCGTCAACAAATGGATCTTTCCATACAGATCGGCTCACCATTTTATTGTCTTTCTTCTCAGCTTCTTCTATACTCTCATCCAAAGACAATGGCAAACTTGGCCAATCTTTTGCAACGTTCACACGGATGTTAAACCCATTCAGCTCCTATTTAACCATCCCAAAACCAACAAAAGGGGAAAGTTAACCATACAACACAACAATTGACATGATAGGTAAAACATTCTTTAGATTTCTAACCTGTCCATTCATTGCTGATATAGCAGAGTTGGCAGAATCCTCACTTATGAAGTTAACAAATCCATAACCTCTAGACCTCCCAGTCACTTTGTTTGTCATGACTCTTGCTGCACAACCAAAGATACAACAAGATTCTAGTTCAATACACAGGACTGAAATGATTAAAAAAAATTAACCGTAGTACGGAATCAGCAAGATAGTTAAGTCCCGAGGCACACCTAAGCAAAAACAAAAGTACCATATTGCAAATGCTCATCAACACCAATTATTTATGGTACAACAGCTTAACCCAAGCCACACATCCTTGAATGGTTTATACATTAAGTAGCGCAAACAAAAACACGTTGTGAAAAGAAAGATAGTAAGATCCAGGGCATACCCTCTGTCACTCCATTAAAGCTAGAGAATGCGTCCTTCAAGGAGTGCTCATCAGTTCCAGGCGATAGACCTGGGAGAAAGATTAAGAGTGACCAAAACATTTAAACTGCTATACGCCTATACACGAGAAAGCAGAGTAACAATACATTCGCAACCGCAAAAAGAATCAATCTGATAGGAAGTTATAATTACCACCAATATAAAGTTTAGTGGACATATGGCGGAGAGAACCAAGCATTGATGTCACTGGAACATTTCTGTTTTGGATAACCCCATGTTTCAAGTGACCACCGAGTTTGGTGCAGAAAGCCATACTAGATGCCTGTAAACGATGAAACGGTATCAATGACCCAGAAAACTATATCAACAAAGCCCTTAAAAGTTCAACTAGGCCTAGAAGGATTAGTATTTCAAGTGTAAGTAAACCACAGACCATGGCAATTAGGACAAACATTGTCTAAAATGTACAAAAATACCGATAAGTCCAATATCCAATAGCACGCAAAAAAACAATTGAAAGCTCTGTTGAAGCAGAAATACTCAGTATCCTGATCTTCAAAAGCTAAATTACGAATCAAAATCATTGAATTTTACTGTTGAAAATCCAAATTAGAGACATTTAATCACATTAATGAGTAAATCAAAGAAACAGAGAGCTTAGAACCCTAAAGTAAGTTCATGTATCGCTAATGATCTACATTCTTCAATTGATTACAAAATGAAGCAGATCAGACCTAATTAAACACGTAACATTACACCTCTCACTTAGATTAGCCTCCAAAAATAAAACCCATTTCGTGTATTTCGCAGAAATGATAGTACAGAGAAAGGAAACCATTGGAACGTACCAGTTAAGAACGACCAAGAAGAACCCTAGACTGCTGAAAAATGTTTCCGCTTTTCTCAGAGCATCATCGTGTTCTCTATTTTTGGACGGTCTGGATCTGATCATAACTGGGCCGTTACTTAAACTATTGGGCCCAATTTATATATTTTTCCTCCTGGTAAGCCCAATAACGTAAATTACTAGTCTTGTGATGGCTTCATTGAACTACACAGCTGCAAAATGTCAATTAAAGAACAAAGAAGAACCTTCGTGTCAAAGACAGCTTCTGACATATCAAATCACCCTAACCATTAACTGTCTGAAAATTGATTATAAATATACTAATTATTAGTCTCACAAATCTTATGAATTATGAACTCACAGAGAGAGAAGAAGAAGGCACAATTTTGTCAACAAGTTCACACCATTTGTCTCTAATCTTACACTACACAATCCAACATCTTAGATGGGTTCTCATTTAAATTAATCTTTTTTTTTACATTTATAGATCCAAAGAATACTCAAATGGACCCATTGCCTCACTTCTGTTTACAGACAACACAAGTTCTTGATGATTCTGATGATCAGGAACGCTTCAACAAGTACTGCGGAGATGCATCATCGGTTGGTTCTTGGAGGAGTTCACGGGCAAGTCTCACTGGTCTGTCTTGTAGATACGCAATGTCGCTGTTTGGTGCTGTTATCAGATGATGGTCCGATCCTTCTCCATCTGTTTGAGGAGAGAATCCAGAATTCAGCTCAGATAAAAGATATGATTGTCACTTATTTTCAAAATCTGCTTGGCTCAGAAAATTTAGATGTGACTCCTCTCCCTATTGATGATATTAAGAGCTTACTGTCCTTTAGATGCTTACCTGAATTGGCTGCGCAGCTATTGAAAGTTCCAACAGTGGAGGAGATTACACAATCAGTTAAGTATATGGCAAAGAACAAGGCACCGGGACCTGATGGATTCCCGGTGGAGTTCCTGAGAGAGGCTTGGGATATAGTGGGTAAGGAGACTGTGGAGGCTGTTCAAGAGTTTTTTTTAACAGGGTACCTTCCCAGGAAGTTCAATGCCACTGCCATAACTCTCATTCCAAAGATCAGAGGGGCAGATAAGCTATCTCAGTTTAGACCTGTATCTTGCTGTACCACGGTCTATAAGATTATTGCAAGGCTTTTGAAACAGAAGCTCAAACTGTTTATTTCAGATGCAGTACAAGGTAACCAAGTGGGTTTTGTTCAGGGAAGACAGCTTTGTGAGAATGTCCTCCTTGCTTCAGAATTAGTCTCTAATTTCCATGCTCCTGGTGACACTACTAGAGGCTGCTTGCAAGTGGATTTAGCTAAGGCTTATGATAACATAAATTGGCAGTTCCTTATTAATGTCCTCCATGCGATTGACCTTCCAGCGAGATTTATTGGGTGGATCAAGGAATGTGTTACTACTCCAAGCTTTAGTGTTGCTTTTAATGGTGAGCTTATTGGTTTTTTTCCGGGAAAGAAAGGTATAAGACAAGGGGATCCCATATCGTCATTATTACTTGTTCTTGCCATGGATGTCCTATCTAAACAGCTAGATAGAGGTGTGGTGAACAATAGGTTTGGTCCTCATCCGATGTGTTTGGTGCCGGTGATTACTCATCTTAGCTTTGCGGATGACGTTCTAATTTTCTTTGATGGTCAGGAAGAATCAGTGATTGGCATTCTGGATATTCTTGATGATTTTAAGTTTGCCTCTGGTTTGGGAATAAACAGAGATAAAACAGCTCTCTTTTTGGATGGTGGAGATTTTCTTGATAATTTAAATGTGTCAACACGACTGGGATTACAACAGGGGTCTCTTCCTGTAAGATACCTAGGTGTTCCCCTATCTTCAAGTAAGATGAGGAGGCAGGACTATCAGCCACTAATGGACAGGATTATTAGCCGGTTTACCTCATGGACTGTGAGGCAGTTATCATTCGCTGGGAGATTACAACTGATTCAATCGGTTATTTATTCCACAATAACCTTTTGGGCTTCAATTTTTATTCTTCCCAACCAATGCCTTGCGGAGATTGAAAGAATGTGTAGCGCCTTCCTTTGGAAAGGAAAGCCAGACTCTGCTAGAGGTGCAAGGATTAGCTGGGAATCTATTTGTTCTCCTAAGGATTGTGGTGGTCTCGGCTTAAAGAGGCTTCAGCCTTGGAATAAAGTGCTAGGTCTGAAGTTGATTTGGCTAATTTTTGCAGCTGGAGGGTCTCTTTGGGTTTCATGGGTCAGAAGGAACCTAATTGGTCAGCAGTGCTTCTGGGATATGGAAAATATAACTTCTGGGAGTTGGATTTGGAAAAGTATATGCAAGTTAAGGACACTTGCACGACCATTCTTGGTGTGTAAGGTTGGTTCTGGCATTACTTGTAAGTTTTGGACAGATAATTGGACTGATTTGGGACCCTTGATTGATATCACAGGTGACATTGGTCCTAGAGTGACTGGTCTCCCAAGAAATGCGTCTGTTGTGGAGGCATTGAGGGAGGGTGAGTGGTGGATTGATAATACTCGAAGTAGGAATCCTGTCATTCAGTTTGTGAAAGATTGCCTCCCGTCTCCCTCTGTAATCAATTTACAAGAGGAGGCTGAAGATGATTGTTTTCTATGGAAGATTGGAGATAATGAAGCCTCTAATATTTTCTCTATGGCACGAACTTGGGATCATCTTTTTCCTTCTGAGGTTAAGGTTGAGTGGTTCGAGTCAATTTGGTTCAAGGGAAGGATACCTAAGCATGCGTTTGTGGCGTGGATTATTGCTCGGAATAGGCTGCATACAAGGGATAGACTTATTGGGTGGGGCTTATCCGTGCCCTCGGTTTGTTTGCTGTGTAATGTTCAAGATGAGTCCAGGCAGCACCTATTTTTTGATTGTCTATATGCTTCTGAGGTCTGGTCCTATTTCGTCTCTAGGGCTCGTGTCTCTCCTCCCTCGATGTTTGAAGCTGTTCTCAGGTGGCTGAAGCGTCCCTGTACAGATAAGAACATCTCTTTGATTCTCAAACTCATATTTCAGGCTGCAATGTATCTCCTTTGGAAAGAGAGAAATTCGCGGCTGCATTCTGCATCCTCAAGACCTCCGGCTGCTTTGATCGTTGATATTAAAAACACTGTCCGTTGCCGCTTGGATCCTTTGTCAAGAGCCCAACAGATAGTTCCTCCGGATCTTTCTCTTTTAGCCTCATGGTTTGGAGTTTTCCAAAATTAATGTCTTCTTCTTGTAAGTCTTTGTTTGTTATGCAGGTGTTACTCTAATAGGAGGCACTTTGTTATGTTGGGCTTTCAGGATTCCTGGCCCTTTTGTATGAAAAGGTTTGTTAAAAAAAAAAAAAAAAAAAAAAAAAAAAAAAAAAAAAAAAAATGATGTTTGAAATATAACATTTGGCTAGTTTGATATTTGTATTTGTAATTTTATATTTTTACTTTTTTTTTTGTTGATTATAAAACGTTGAAGACAGGGGGCCTAGATAGTAGATACCTTGAAGTTCAAGTTGACGAGATAAAAAAAGATATCTTTAGGTTTTGTAAGCTCGAGATTTTCACAGACACACAAATGCATGACGTCGCTCGATCTTTCGCTCTCTCTCTCAATTCTTTTTCTTTCTTTTCTTGGCTACAATGGCTGGTGCGATGAAGTGGACTTGGGAGGAGAACAAAGCTTTCGAGTTAGCGCTCGTGGAAGTCCCGGATTCGCCGGCAAAGCTGGAGATTATCGCCGCGCAGATGAGAAAGCCCGTGGAAGAGATAAGGTATCACTACGGAAAACTGGTCCAAGATGTCGCGATTATCGAATCTGGTGGAGTTGTTGTGCCCGAGTACTCACCACGTTCAGCATCACCGATCATACCAAAGAAGTGGACTTGGGAGGAGAACAAAGCTTTCGAGGTTGCACTCGTGGAAGTTCAAGATTCGCCGGCAAAGCTGGAGATTATCGCTGCGCAGATGAGAAGGCCGGTGGAAGAGATAAAGTATCACTACGATAAGCTGGTCCAAGATGTTGCGATTATCGAATCCGGCGGAGTTGTTGTGCCCGAGTACTCACCACGTTCGGCGACACCGATCTTGCCAAAGAAGGGAACTCGTTGGTCAGCCCAAGAGCACGAGTAAGTCATCTTCTTGCTAATTCAAGATAATGATGAATTTTAGATGGAGGTCTTAGGGCATTAATTGTTTACTTTGGTGTATGTTTTCAGACGATTTCTGGAAGGATTAAAGGCAAAAGGGCCTGGAGATTGGAAGGCCATCTCTAGGGACTTTGTCAAGACTAGGGGTCAGAATCAAGTGAAATGGCATGGACAATATTACTTGAAGAAGCAAAAAGTGGAGGCAGAGACTAAGGAGGGGAAAGGCTCTGAATCTGGAGATTTAAAGAAGACTGACTGATGATGAAGCTAAGATTAATTAAATGGTATCAGAAGAGATTGATTCTTGTGGATAAATCAATTTTCTTCTACGTTTAAGTCTGTCTAGCTCCTCTTTCTTCTTTGAAACTCTTTTTAATTACGTTTTGATTCTTGTGCTGGAAGAAGATTAGCATGTTGCTTATTAGTTTCTGATTCTGGGGTTTTAGCTACTGTACATATGGGTTACTAAACCAAAAAGAAACAATGGCTAGAAAGCCACTTTCCCCGAATAAAAAAGCTAGAATGCCACTTTCTTGTTTGTAATTTCTTTTACCATTTTTTTTTAAATCAAAAGTGATGGAAATGTCCAAAAAACCTTTAAGAGAATTAGAAATTACAGATCCAACCAAGACAATCCGACCCAAATCCAATAACCCACGACTTGTGAGAAAGATCAAAGAATATACGTAGACCTTTAAGTTGAAGAAAATTGAAAAATACAGATCCACCGAAACTGATGTTTTGGTAGCTTACGCTGTAGAAATCGAAATCGAATCGGTGATGATGAAGATGAAGCAGACAGTTTCATAGAACTCAGAAGCACAGAGTTACAACGAATCACCACACTCTCCTCTTCGATTTCTTCTCCGTTATCAGATGCTAGAGATTTACCGGAGAGCCATTACGTTTCCCCTGAGAAATCTCCGTTCAAAATCGAGAATCCCAAGTCAACGATCGTACGATGGTAACAAGTTCACGCATTTTTTGCCTCTTTATTCTCCGATCTCGCCGCCTCCTCCTCAGTTTCCGCCGCCGCGACATCAGAGGACTGCGCGAATTCCGATGAATTCGTCTTCGGATAAAGTCTCCGTCGTCCTTTGTAGTGCACAATGTGGTCTTTGACATATGGATCAAGGTGCGTTATACGCGTTTAATTTCTGAACCATTTATGGAACTAAGTGAAGCTCGTTTGATGTTCACTCATTGCATATTTGTTGCAGGGAGATAGTTGTCTTATAACTGCTTCTGGTGATCAAACTGTAAGTTGTGACTCAAAGATTTTTGATTTACTTGTTTGTGAGGACAGAATGGTGACACTGACATTCTTATACGCTGGAATACAAATTAAAGTGTGAGATGTAGATGAGAATAAGTGTACTAGAGTTCTTATAGGACATGCAGGAATTGTAAAATCAATGTTTTCACATTCAATGGATTCTGGTTCATGTCGAGCATACATATGTTCCTTTTTAACTTATTTATGTTTTTGGTCAAGAGGGCTCTAACTTTTGTTGCTTACAAATCTTCTTGTATCTGGTTCAAGATGGATGTTTTGCGTTGTTGGATTTAATATGTAAAAGTAGCTCTCACAAAGAGGAATTTTGTATCAAGTAAGTCTTTAAACTTGATTGTGATGATCTTTTTTTTTTTGTCTTTTCTCTTCTTTATAACCATCTTGATAGTTGTTCTGGTCTTCACTCAGCTCTACTGGGATGGTTAAAGGATCTCATCAATCTCCTCTTTCAAAACGAATCAGACGTCGCAAGGTTTTCCTTCTTCTTAGTCCTAACTCTTCAATTCTAGTATTATATCCTATCTTATCTGCTAATGGTTCGTGTTTCCAAGCTGCTTCATCAAGCATTACCTTTGTGCTTTATTTGAAGGATGAGATCACAATTGCCACTGCTGGAGCACCAGATAAGCCTTTGTGCTTTACTCTGACATTGCTTTGATCTATAGGATAAAATGAACAAGTTTTGATTTCTTGACTTCCAAAGTAAAATGAACAAGTTTTGAGTTTTCAAGAAACCAGATTGGTGATTATTTGTGTATTTTGTCCTTGTTTATTTGTATAGGCACTTCCATATATTCGTTGTATTGGGGAATCTTAGCCAATAACGAAAGAAAGAGCTTACTTTGAAGCAACAACTTTGAGAAAGCATGGAAATTTATCTACTTTGGAGCTATAATGAGCAGAAGATTAAATAGTTGCAGCAGAGACTGAAAGATTGCGGATTTGTTTGATTGTAAACAATAGAATCATATGGTGAAAGTGAAGTTTTATGTACAACTAGATCACTTAGGTACAACTGGGACAATTTTGGTATAACTTGAACTATTTGGTGCAACTAATGTATACCTTTTGTTTGTGTATGGTAAAGTGGATCTTTTGTTTATGTTAGTCGTTGGTTTGCTTTTGGAGTCAATCATGTCCGAGTCTTATGGAGTCTAGATAGTGGAGTTGTGGAATTGAGTCAGTTATTGTAGTGGAGTCTGTTCCTATTTTTAAGCTTCTGTCTGTTGTTTCTTTTGAGTCCTTGTAAGGCTATTTAAAGCCATCTTTTTTAGGTATGGTAAAGTGGATTTTTTTTTATGTACTATGGTGGTATTTTGGTATATTTAGGTACAACTACGTATTTTCAGTTGGACTCTAATAAAAATTAGTAATTTTAAGTTGGACACATGAATTTACACTATTAATTATCATTTGAGAGGTTTTCATAATACAATTTGCACGAAATCATAATTTTCACCTCTTTTGCATCAAAAGAAGTGATCACCTACAAAGTGTTTCTTATACTATAAGGAGTGTTTTATATGCAAACAATAGTATGCACTAGGAAAATGATAAATTCGAGTTTTATTTATTTAAAATTATTTCTTTATAGTTCAACATGTTTTTAGAATCCTTATTAACTCTAATTTATCGTTTTCATAATTGTTGAATACAAATACGGATACATTTATGATCTTAGTTGTACCTTATCGAACCTAATTATACCTAGTTGAACATAGTTGTATGAATACGACAAGTACATATACTGATACATATATGGTTATAGTTATGGTCTTAATTGTATCCAGTATAGTTATGGTATTAGTTGTACCAGCCAAACCTAGTTGTACCCAGTCGAACATGGTTGTACGACAAATACAAAAGATTTTTAGTCATCAGGAATTCTTTTAATTAATAATCATTTATCTTCCACAATATCATATATTTACTTCGAAATTAAAATACTAATAACTTTTAAGAATATAATTAGTAATCAGAAACAATAAATGCTTTATATATGAAAATGCTTAAGAAGCTTACAAATTTGATACTCACAGTATAACGTCGTTAGCAATAATGGAATAACCAAACCTAGTCTCTCTATCTAACCAACATTTAAGAAAGAACAAAGTATTTGATATAACTCAAAATTAGAGAAAAACAATCCAAATCTTGAAAATGGGCAAAGACTCAAATCTAAGCAATAGCATGCATGTCCTTGAGCCACTGGTCCAATGGTACCAATAGAGTAAACAATAAACCCTATCTTTCCAGCTTCTCTAAATCAACAACATTCCTACCTTCAAAGACAAACGCTGGTTTCTGCATATTTTCAAAGATCTACTCATAGTCAAAGCGTCTTAAACTCGTCCCACTCCGTTAACAAGCAAATTCTTTGGACGTCTTTAGTGGCGGCACAATTTGACAATCCAAAGACAGTGATGATCCATTTTGAAATCACATCTTTGACCTGCATAAGAAAACATGGATCGAGTAAAGCTTTATTTCTCTATCACTAGAAAGTGGTCACCATACAATGAGACTTTTCACTACTAAGCAAAACATAGTAGCAAATCAGATTTTACCTTACACACATTACAATGATGGGAAGAGGCAATTACAAGCAATGACTTACAGATTGAATTCATTACAAGACTAAAGTATGAATTTTGAGGTAGAATTTCCCATAAGAACTCATGATTACGAAATTGACAGTTCTCATTCCCAACATCGAATCCCACCACACTTATCTAAGCGAATCAAGAAGAGATCTTAGATATAAAGTTACAAAAGCATTATGAAATTCTTGCTCCTTGAAGAGAAATCAAATCAACGAGAAGAAGGACAAATGATGAAAAAGACTATACAATGATCAGAAACTTCAAATCGTTTATGTCGATGCTCTGATGACTGAGAAAGCGTCGTCGTCATCGTCGTCGGAGCGGTGGTGGTTGTTGTTGATATCCATGGCGGAAGATTGAGGAACTAAGAAAGAATCTCTCAGTTTCATCAATGGCGGAGGAGAGAGAAGAACAAACCGATTGCAAGGATGAGACGCCGAAGACGACGGCCAGCTAGATCGGTGGGCGAACCGCTCCGGTGTGGGAGGAGAGAATCGGAGGTCTCGTGAGGATGCGAGAAAATTGTTTTTATTTTTTTGTTTTTCTTTTAGTTTTAATTTCTCAAAATTAATTAAATCAAAAATATTCAGTAAGGGCAAAATAGAAATAACACATACTATGATGGCATACAGACTCTAAAATGGCAGGTGTGATTCATTTTTCTGGTTTAGTGGCACTCTAGCCTCTGGCTCAACCAAAAACCACAGTTGATTTCAATATAGTAAAGATGATTTCAACCAAAATTGTGAACTGAGCGAATTTAAGGTTTAACCAAACCGAACCAAACCAAAATGGTGTTTATTAATTGAACCAGGACCGAAATTGTGATTCTTTAAACCAAATCAAATGAAAAAAAAAAAAAAAAAAAAAGACACAGCTCTCCTGTAAATCCAGAGAGAATAGATATATAAAATTTGCTGCTTAGTGGTTAACATCTCCAAATATATCTCTGTTCCCCGCCGCTTTTGTTGTATACCTATTCTTAGTGAAGGAAGAATGAGCGAATCTAATAGATATATGTTGATTCGTCGCATAGAAATGGTCCATAAAAGAAGAAGCAGAGCATTATGTATGTTACTATCAACAATAAAAGTCTTAATCTTTTTCTCAAAATTGCTATCGCATTCCCCCACAATGGTGGGTGGCTGTTTATCCGCTTACGTATCGCAATAACACAAGTTCCTTTATTAGTTTTCCCTTCACCAAAAGGGTTTTTCTACTTAAAAAAAGACTGGCATTACTGATTTTGTCAATGCATTTATCGTATTGGTAGAGGTATCCTTGATATGAGGGACACTTGCGAGTGTACTTTTACTAGTTATCATCCCTGTTTCTGAAACGCAGGAGGTCCGAATACCGGGAGCTGAACCAGTGGAGCTTCTTCCTAGACGGTCTGACATAATAGTCCGGCAGCTAGAGCTGGTAGAGAGTTATCAACTCGCCGTGGAGAATCTTGGCACTCACCCCTTAATGGCATTTTGTCTCCTCTTATCATCGGTTGCTCCACAATGGCATCCACTGAAAAACACAAGAAGTCCAGACTTTGAGGGCTCCACAAATCGATAGAATGCTTTATTTGATTTGATCGACATTGCCAAGTGTAAAGACATTAACCGAAAAGTAACAAAGACCGGTTATGCTTCTCAATTTATATATAAGGGATTTTTTAAAAACATATTTTGAGATTCCAAATATAAATTTTTAATACTTACACTCACAATTTATTCGAATCAAATTCAAAATAGTATTTACATATAACTACAATAAAATTTACTAAAGTTATAAAAACAAAGCATGTATTACACACTGCAACATGCTATTTCAAAAGCTCGGAGGGAGAATTAAGAACCTACTCGTCGGGCCAATTCATGTTGAACCATTTTTCAGTAGCTTCAACACGAAGTCCTGGAACTGCCTTCTCAACCTCTTCCCACATCCACAAAGCCTCTCTGTAGCATGCTACATGGCGTAGAGAAGTCAATGAAACTGCAGAACTCGGTATGCTTGATAAGCTACATTCTCTCATGTCGATTTTCTCAAGTGTCTTTACCTTTCCTATCTTTTCCGGAAGAAAGCTTAGGCTGAGACAGTGAGAGATGTCGACGTACACTAGTCTTGGCAATTCACAGATTTCTACAGGCAGAGATTTTAGCTCTGGGCAAGCGTATAGCCTCAAAAGTTGAAGGGCTTTTAGCTTACTTATATTCCTAGGCAATTCCTTGATGTTGGGACAATTTGTTATGCTGATGGAGTTGAGAGAGGTGATTCCATAGATGGTCGAAGGTAGTTCCACAAGATCATCGCAATAATCTATTGTGAGACCAGTCAATTGTGGGAAGATTTGGGCAATGTCTACAGCTGTTTGATCAAAACTGCTATTGATCTTGCAGATAATCAGATATAGCTTGCGGAGGTTCTTCAAGGGTATCATACTGCTAGAGAGTTCAGGGACATGGACCCTCTCAAGCCAGAGACTCCTGAGATTGGTCAAATCGGTAGAGATGGGGAAGTCATGTAGATGCGCTGGAGAGATACCGTTGTTGATAATCACGAACACCCTAAGCATTCCCATCTTAGCAATGAAAGGAGGCAATACATAGTTGTCTGAAGAAAAGTTTAATATCAGAACTTCTGCCTTGGGGAAATCCATGTCAAACCAGTCCATCTCAGTCATTTCTTCTGTAAATGAAAAAAAAAGAAATCCATATTAATACCTTATGATTCTAGTGACAAACCGAATTAATTCATTCGAAGATTGTTGTGTAAAGAATTCTTGCCTGTGTGAATGGAAACCACCCGGGCATTGTATGGCTCATCATTGCTCCTCATCCATTTTCTGGGAAGCATGGACTCTCTTTTTGGCATCAATAACCGCTCTCTTCTACTTACTTCCCCACGATTGGTAAGATGAAGTGCTACATCTCTTAAAACATCGTGCTGCGTCACAAACATATCATAGTAGCTAGTGTGCATAGCGACATACCTGCAACATTATCCATGGTAAATTAGTTAAGAATGGTTAAAACTGTAAAAGTGGCTACAAGAGATGAGAACATAAAGAATTCTATAACCGTACGTTGGATCTTTCACGAGAGTAAGGAGATTCCTGTTTGCTAAATCAACAAGAACATCAAAGGCAGTTGCGGTCTCGAGATCATGTATCTCGACCAACATGTTGATGAGAACATCAACAGGGATTTTCTTGCCTTCAGGGAAAGCACCCATATCCAAGAAACACTCTTTGCTTTTAGGATCGAGATTTTCTAGAGTTGCTTCGATTTGAGCAAACACTTTACTCTCATGAATTTCGTCAACAGGTTTACCTCTTGATAACCTCTCCACTGCACCTTCCCAGTAATTTTCAGGTTGATCTTTTAATGAAGCGCCAATGACTTTCAGAGACAAAGGTAGACCTTTACACTCCCCAACAACCTACCAAATAGAGTCAAGATAAGTACTGAAAGTACAAAGAATATTACTACTATGCATGTAACACTTGTAGCAGACCCATTACCTGCTTGACCAAACTTTTGCTGAACCCTGAAGGGACTGATTTCTGGTTGAAAGCAGAGAGACAGAACAGAGACGTTGCTTCATGTTCATTTAATAACTCTATATCATATGTGGTTCTAGGATCTGCGAGTTTAGACTGTGAGACCACAAGCGTTGTGGTCCCAGGAATATTGAACATCAGCTGGTTTAGAGATTCCCTTGTCCTAACATCATCAAGGATCACTAGCTTCCGTGTATGACCAATGGATTCCGGAAGAGTGGCACCAAAGCCAGCCTCATGACCAGTAAGAAAATCCCGTATAAGGGCTCTCAGCTCCTCAAGGTTGGGAGATTGTGACACAGTCAGAAACAAAACTCGGTTCCCAAAATGGCCTGTAAAAACCATAAATTAAAGCTTTTTTAGCAACAAAGGAACAGTCTCGCCGTCTCTTAACAGATTCTAATATCAAGAACTCAACAATAGCTCACCGGAGATGAACATGACATAATGGAACATACAGAGATAGATGCATGATCATCCAAATAATTAGGAAAGCACATAAGACTAAACAAAACTGATTACCTCGGACCTCCTCGTCCCGCACAAGCTCTTTGGCAAGAATGGTTTTCCCTGAACCAATCATCCCTGAGATCCCAATAAGTCTTGACTCATCCTTCAAATCCTTCAAATTAAAAAGCATCTCCTTCACCTTTCTCTTGCCTAAATCCAGTTCCCAAAGTCAGAAAATATGAAACAAAACGGTTCCCAAAGAGGCTGGTAAAAGCAGCAAATGAAGGCCTTTTTAGCATCAGAGAAACATCCTCAAATGACTCTTAACCAGAGTTCAATATCAATAACTCAACAATAGTTCACCTGAGATGACATAATCGAACATACAAACATATATACACATAGAAGCATAATCGATTATAAATATTTGGTCTCTATGTATGTTCGATTAATATGATTAAATGATGAAAAATATGAATATAGAAATAATGTGTCTCTCAGATCTCATAATCTCTCATAGCTTTGATATTATATATATAATTAAAACTAGATAAAATAAAATATTATAGTGTGATTGAGTTTAAACTCATGGGTGTTTAGAGATAAAATACACATGTCAACTAGTGGTGACACATAAAAGCTTCTCCTAGATTTTTCATTAGGAGAAACTTTAAAATATTAGAATAGATAGATAGATAGATAGATAATTCAAAGCTTATGTTCTCATTACTTAGAGTGTGTCCAAAACTAAATCAGACTTAGCTATTCTTAATCTAGATCTTACACATTTTACGTCGGTATGGTGTTTGTGAAAATGTTTAAACCAACTCGTTTGTGAGCAAAGTAAACTTTAGCCACTAGTTTACTAAATATATATGTCATATGTGTATGGTAGTGACAAAATCATATCAATTATATAATTGAGGTTAGTATTGATAGTTATATAAATTATGATATTTGTTTCAGCATTACTAGTTTTGTCACTAATTTTATAATTTAATTATCATTAATTTTAAAATAGAAATTCACGTTTTACGTGGATCCTATTCTAATTAGTAATTACATGATTATTTAGTTAGGTATAACATAAAAACATTCGTACCAGGAGTGTTAATCATATTGCCTATGGGGCCATCTGGTGTCACAACTCCATATGTCTGGCATTCCATAGTAACAGTTGTTGCGTGTGTTCCCGATTGGACCACCTTCTTTCCTTTGATGTTGTTTGTGGGGGCAGATTTTCCACTTCCTGTAGTCCCGACCAGGTCTATGTTTTGGATTGGATGTGACTCCGATGTCCAACCATCCATCTTCGGATCTTCGGCCATCTGTGGAAAGTCTCTGCATTCCGTTCGTTTGTTACATAATCCGTAGAAACAATGATCAATCAAAATGAGGATCACCTTTGCAAAATCCTATCAAATAAGCTTTCTAGTTTCTATAAATAACAAGAGTGACAATGAAAAAAAAAAAATCGCCAGGTTTTTATAAAATTAAAAAACCTGATCGAAAAAATTAGAGAAGAAAATGTTGGAAAAAGAAGAAGATACCTGTTATTGAAATGGGAGAAACGTTGTTTCGTAGCTTCATCCTCCCATTCAACCACTTTTATCCATTGCTCCTCGATTTTCATTTCAATTTGATTTCCTATAGAGCTCTCAAAATTGAATGGAAGTCTTCTCAGCTCGGGACAATGCCTTATCTCTAAATATTCCAGAACTGGGAAGGGTAGAGGAGCCCAGTAGATGCTCTCCAGTTTAGGTAAACCATCTAAGACGAGCTTAGTTAGATTTTGAAAGGGCTGCTCACTCGTATGACCCAGCCTGGCCATAGCTTTCTCTTTGCTTATTACTTCTTCCATTTGCGGACATTCAGATACACTTAGATCACCAATACACGGGGCTAATAGCAACCATGTCAAGTCTCTAAGACATTCGCACCCATGAATAGTCATTGTGCGTATGTTCTGGAATTGTGGAATGTCGCCTAAATGTACCGTCTCCCTTTGGATGGTGCTTCTCCAATCAATGGTTATCTCTGGGATATTACATCCCAAAATATCAAGCTCGCGAAGACCGAACATAGCATTCAACGATAATACTCCTCCATCGGCTATTGTAGTTTCAGTGAGATGTAAACGTTGGATAGAACTTGCCAACTGGTGGATACTTAGTAACCGCTGCAAAACAGAACATCCTCTCACTGTTATACTCAACTCCTTCAGGCTCTCCAAAAGTTGTATATCCTCCAATAACTTGAAATCCATAGAAACAGAATGAAATAATCTCAATACTTGCAAATTCAATAAACTTGCTATCACGTCAATTTCTTGAAGATTAGATGTGTAATCCAAATCCAAGTGTATCAAACTCTTAAGCTCTTGTAAGCCACGGGGCAATCCTTTTATAAATGTCCATGATAAGTTGAGAAACCGCAGCAACACCAGGCTTGAAACTTCTTCCGGCAACTCAGAAAGTTCTCTATTAAATGATAGATCCAAGACTACGAGACCAGTCATCCACCGAAAGAAAGTACCCGAGATCCCTTTTAAGTGTCTGTTTCTTCGGAAGAAAAGGGTTGTAAGCTCGGAACACTGAAGAATATATGATATATTCTGAATCTGAGTAGATGTCACTGACATTCTTCTAACCATCCCCCAGTCGTTGACCATTGGCATCTGGTGTAATCTCTCACCGGCAACCACAACAAAGTGTTCAGATGCTATCCACAAAGCCATTTCACGAACCATACCATGCATCTTTACACAATTTCCATTTCCACCCTCCATCAACAATCGCATCCTAACCAAATCACTGATAATTTCATATCCCTGGATCTCAGCTTCCTCTCTAGCTTCTTTTGCAAGGATTCCCTCGCATATCCAGTAGTTTACCAGATCTTCTTTTCTTATATCATAATTTTCTGGAAAAAGAGCACAATAAAGGAAGCATAACCTGATGTTCTCATCACTCATATTATCATAGATAGACTTTAAAATGGGAAGAGCCCCATCTTCCATATCTGGAAATTCGGCTTTGGAGGAAGCCAAAACATGAATTGTGTAACGCCATTCGCGTACCGTCCTTTTGCGTGACATGGTCTCACCAATGAGATTGAGAGCAAGGGGCAAACCACGGCATGCACTAGCAACTACTCTTGCGAGCTTAGGTATGTCTTGATGACTTCTCAAAGTGTTCTCTCCGACGATCTCTTGAAACAAATCCCATGCTTCTTCTGGGCTCAAACATGTAATTTCTACCATAGCATCAACCCACTTGCTTTCATAACATGCTTCCCGAGTGGTGAATACGATTTTGCATCCATTTTCTCGGCTGGGAAAAGGAACTCCAATTTCCTCAAGATCCAATCCCCTCTGGATGCCGTCCAATAACAAGAAAAATCTCTTTCCCGTTAAGGCCATCAATATTTCAGCTGCCTTGTCCTCTCTAGTTTCTCTTCCCCATTGTAGGCCTAATCTATTGCCGATTGCCTCCTGTATGCTCTCGACCTCATCTCCGGTAGCCACAACAACAAAGATCACAAAACCAAATGCATCTAGAAGAAACTTGTTTTTGATTTGAGTAACAAGGGTGGTTTTGCCTACCCCACCCCTACCATAGATACCCAAAGTCCCAACATTTGTTTCCTCTAGAAGATTACATGCCCTTTCAAACAATCTTTGTTGAGAAACAGTGAGTTGAATCGGGGGCATCTTCATCACAAGAGGCGGAAGAGCTCTGTGAGGGACAACTTCAAAAACTCCCTTAGATCTCAGAGTTTGAACTCCTTGTAGAGTCATGAGTACCTTTTCACAGTAAAGATAGGTCGATGCAGGGATCAGGGAACAACAATACCTTGATAGTCTCTGAATTTCAGAGACACTTTCATCAAGCAGACGATTGGCTTTCGGTTCAATATCTTCGACCATTGAAATCCACTCTTTGACTTCTTGTAGACCTATCTCCTCCTCTTTCGATACCCTTTTCAACAGATCGTTTCTCATTGCATTGAGGTCTTGCATTACTTTATGCAAAGCCTCTAGATTCTCCTCCAGGTTCTCTAAATACTTCCTTTTCCCACACAAGAATGGAGATTCAACCGAGATTTTATTACCCATTTTTGTGTTTGTGATTTAGGAAGCGTCAAGAGAAACAAGATTTGGGACTCCTATCAATTATGATTCAGCCACTTTCCCCTTTGGATTTACCACTTTTTCGATATTTTTCTACTAACATCTAAAAGAATCTTGAGCAAGGGATAGAGCTGAGATAGAGGACAATTATTGTGAATAGAAAAAGGATATCTCTACCACACAGACACACAGTACACCTTTAAACATGCGCGTGGGATAACTTTTCTCTCTTACTTCTCCCCTCCATTATTTTTTTCTCTCTCTTTCTCTCTGGTCTCTCTTATTTCTTCCTACCATTTGAAAGTCAACACCATATAATCCTGCACAAAGTTGTGTTTTTAATTTGCTACTTTCATCTCAGATCTCTTTCTCAATCCTGAGCACAATGAATTGGTGTTGGCCGGTAGTTGAGCCATGCTATAACTATGGATTGTCTTACTTGTGTGTAAAGGTGGGTCACATTTGGAAATTGAAGAAAAATCTCGTCTTGTTGACAAGTGCTTTGGATAAGCTTAGTGCAGAACGGGATGTTGTTTTAAACAGAGTCAATGCTGGAGAGCTTAAGGGTGAGCAACGGCTAGCTACAGTGGGTACGTGGCTTTCACAAGTTGAAACCATTGAGACACACACCAATCTGTTAATTGAAGTTGCTTCCTCTCGGAATGCTTCTTCACAGGATGTTTCCGAACGTCTGTCAACATATGGGTGCTGGTTCTTAACCTGCAACCTAGGCGAAGAGGTATTCAAGAAGTTGACTCAAGTCAAAAGTCTCTCCGGTGCCGGTCAAGAGTTTCAAGAAGTGACTGAGCAACCTCCTCCTCCTGTGGTACAAGTGAAGATTTGCCCAAAAACAGTTGGTCTTGATACGACGCTGAAAAAGACTTGGAAAAGTCTTCGAAGAGATGAAACTAGAATGTTGGGAATCTACGGTATGGGAGGCGTTGGCAAAACCACACTCCTCACTCTAATCAACAACAAGTTCGTTGAAGTCAAGAATGAGTATGATGTTGTTATCTGGGTTGAATCCTCTAAAGATGCAGATGTCGGGAAGATTCAAGATGCAATCGGGGAAAGATTACACATCTGTGACAATAATTGGTCTACATACTCAAGAACGGAGAAAGCTGGTGAAATAAGCAGGGTTCTAAGAGATATGAAGCCCCGGTTCGTGCTGTTGTTAGATGACTTATGGGAGGATGTGAGTTTAACAGCAATAGGCATTCCAGTGCTCGGGAGAAAATACAAAGTCGTGTTTACTACTCGTTCTAAGGATGTCTGTTCAGTTATGGGGGCAAATGAGGACATAGAAGTTCAATGTTTGTCCGAGAATGACGCATGGGATTTGTTCGACATGAAGGTCAAATGCGACGGGTTAAATAACGACATTTCTGATATCGCAAAAAAGATGGTGGCTAAGTGTTGTGGCTTACCCCTTGCGCTTGAAGTAATTAGAAAGACTATGGCATCTAAATCTACTGTGATTCAATGGCGTCGTGCACTCGATACTTTGGAGTCTTATCCGAGTGAGATGAAAGGTACAGAGAAGGGCATATTTCAAGTTTTGAAGTTGAGCTATGATTATTTAGAAACAAAAAATGCCAAGTGTTTTCTGTATTGTGCTTTATTTCCCAAGGCATATTATATCAAACAAGATGAGCTGGTAGAGTATTGGATAGGTGAGGGTTTCATCGATGAAAAGGACGGAAGAGGGAGAGCAAAGGATCGATGCTATGAGATCATCGATAATCTTGTTGGGGCAGGTTTGTTATTGGAGTCTAATAAGAAAGTGTATATGCATGATATGATCCGTGACATGGCATTGTGGATAGTATCTGAATTTAGGGATGGAGAAAGATTTGTTGTAAGAACAGATGCTGGTTTAAGCCAACTGCCTGATGTCACGGATTGGACAACGGTGACAAAGATGTCTCTCATCAACAATGAGATTAAGAACATACCAGACGATCCTGAATTTCCTGACCAGACAAATCTTGTAACCTTGTTCCTTCAAAATAACAAGCTGGTAGATATTGTTGGTAGATTCTTTCAGGTCCTGTCGACTCTGGTGGTTTTGGATCTATCTTGGAACCTCCAAATCACCGAGTTGCCAAAAGGAATTTCGGAGTTGGTTTCTTTGCGGCTTCTCAACTTATCAGGGACGAGTATAAAGTATCTGCCGGAAGGTTTAAGAGTCTTGAGTAAATTGATTCACTTGAATTTGGAGTCCACTTCCAATCTTCGAAACGTCGGTCTGATTTCAGAATTAAAAAAGCTGCAGGTTTTAAGATTTTATGGCTCTGCTGCTGCATTAGATTCCTGCTTGCTGAAGATCTTGGAGCAGTTGAAGGGTTTACAACTTTTGACCGTTACTGTGAACAACGATTCTGTTTTGGAAGAGTTTTTAGGAAGCACAAGATTGGCAGGGATGACTCAGGGTCTATATCTCGAAGGACTTAAAGTACCATTTGCAGCCATTGGTGAGTTGAGTAGTCTTCACAAACTTGAAATGGTAAACTGCGATATAACAGAGTCGGGAACAGAATGGGAAGGCAAAAGAAGAGACCAGTATTCTCCATCCACATCATCCAGTGAAATCACTCAGAGCAATATATGGTTCAAAGATCTCTCAGCTGTGGTAATAAACTCATGCATACATCTAAAGGATCTGACATGGCTGATTTATGCTGCAAATCTTGAGTCTCTAAGCGTAGAATCCTCGCCTAAGATGACAGAATTAATAAACAAAGAGAAAGCTGCATGTGTTGGGGTTGATCCTTTTCAAGAGCTACAAGTCCTTCGTCTACATTATTTGAAGGAACTAGGAAGCATCTATGGGAGTCAAGTCTCTTTTCCAAAACTGAAGCTGAACAAAGTCGATATAGAAAACTGCCCGAATCTTCATCAACGTCCATTGTAAGAAAATCGATGATGATCTCATATAAGGAATTGAATGGGATAGTGGAGGAGGTGAAGAGCTATATTTTCCTCTGTCACTTTGTCCCGTTCTTATTTCTTGTTTGTTTCCACTACTTGTCTTTTGTATTGTTAAAGATATTTTGAAATGTAGCGATAAGGAAGTCAAATGCTTGTAATATTATGTCAATTCTTACAAACACAGTTTTCTATCCGTTATAAGCTCAAAAGAACATGCCTCTCTTGACCAAGAAGGTTGCAGTATCCTCATGCTCTTAGTCCTTGCAAACTTGTTATCATCCTTTTTGCTAATCCGTTCTATTGGATCATTCTAAGGAACGTATTCACTATCGTAATCTCATTAATCATTATTAACACAATACTTTGTGAACTCGTCATTAATATAATCTCCACCATTATTATCATATCATAGACACTTCAACAACTTGATCAAACATAGAGTTGACTTAGAGAATTGCAGATAGACTTAATCAGAGATATTCAGATTGGAGGAAAAATGAAGGTTCGGTTCGGTTCGATTCGATACAATTATTTAGTCCGGTTTAGTTTAATCCGATTATTATGACCGGTTAATTCTGAAATTTTGCAATAAAAATTGGAACGGAAACCTGGATTTTGGAAATTTACAGAGGATCACTTCCTCCGCAGCTTCCACCTCCGAAGCCCTAACGTTGGCCATCAAAATTCGATAAGCATTAGGATCTAACAAGCAACGTTTTGATCTCTCTTCAATGAAACGATGGTATGCTTTTTAAACTCATCTCTAGTAGTTCTACGGTTTCTTAAACTGTTACTATATAAGCTCCAAACCTCAAAACCAACTCATGTTTTTGTTTCTGATCAATTTCTTGTGTTAAAAGTAAGAGAAATCGAGCTGTTGTGAACGAAGAAGACAGAATCAGTCAACTTCCTGAAGCATTGATTCTGCAAATATTGTCTCTTCTTCCAACAAAAGATGTCATAGCCACTAGTGTTCTGTCTAAACAATGGCAGTCTCTTTGGAAGATGGTACCTATACTCATGTTTGATTCTTGTGATCACAAACGTAAACTCGGGACATTTTCAAAGGATGTTTGCAAAACTTTGCATTCACATAAAGCTCCAATACTACAAAGTTTACATCTTGACGTTGATTTTGACACATGTACTGCTATCGATATTGGAATATTGCTTGGAATCGCATTTGGACGAAATGTGCGTAAGCTGTTACTTGACGTGTACCCCGAGAATAATAAGAGTAATAGGCCATTCAATTTTCCTCCAACCTTGTTGTATACATTTGAAACACTAGAGACCTTGATACTTAGGTTTCATGCTCTTGTCGATGTCCCTTCTCAGATTTGTCTCAAGTCCCTAAAAACTCTGCATCTTGATTATATGTATTACAAAGACGATAAATCAGTGTGTAACCTTTTATCTGGTTGCCCTTGTCTTGAAACTTTGGTAGTGAGTCGAGCTGCTTGTGGTGATGGTATTACAACTTTCATTATTGAGGTCCCATCATTGCAGAGTCTATCAATTCATGATGAGAATGACGGAGTAGACCATTGGGAATATGTGATAAATGCTCCTTCTTTGAAATACTTGCACATTGATCTCGAGAAGGGTCCTGAAGTTTGTCTAAGTGAGACTTCTCTGGAGTTGGTAAAGGCAAAAATTTCATGTGTAACAATCAATGAGAAGCTTTTGGGATCTCTAACTTCAGTCAAAATGCTTTCTTTGCTCTTTTGGCCACCCTTGGAGGTAACTCTTTTTGCAATTGACTTGTTTTGTTGTTATTACATTGTTTCTGTACTAACAATATGGCATCATTAATGCAAAAGGTTAAGTATCCTACTGGTAGTATCTTCTATCGGTTGGTATATTTGGAGGTATATACAGGTAAACCGGCGTGGTGGAATCTACTTATGTTCATGCTCGATACTTCGCCTAACTTACAAGTCCTCAAGCTCCTCATCGATGTAAGCATATTAGCATGATCATTTAATTTCGTGTTTGATGATCTGATATATGTAATGTTACATTGTGTTTCCCCCTCAGCAATGGCATAAGATTGAAGATCATGTGGTCTGTGAGAAATGGAATCAACCAATGAAGGTTCCTGAATGTTTGTTGCTCCATCTTGAGACATTTGTGTGGGAAGGCTACGAGGAGAAACGAAAAGAAGAGAAAGAGGTAGCAAAATATATACTAAGGAACACAAATCGTTTGAAAAAGGTAACTTTCTCCAAAACAAATTGTAGTTCAGAAGAGAGACTTGAGATGCTAGAGGAATTGGCAAGTGTAGTCAAGACTTCAAGTTCATGTCAGTTTGAGTTTGAATGAAACTTCTATATGTAGAAGAGTCTTTGCCTTTTGATCCGGCTTTGATTTAATACATTAATAGCTTAGAACTTGAGAAATAATGTTGATCATAAAACAAGTAAAAAGCTTTGGACTGTCTTAGTTTTAAGTTTCACATACATGAAGCTGATGAGTGCTATCAACCAATACTTTAAAAACTCCCATAGAGTTGTGAGTTTCAACTGCTTCCAACGTGAGGCGCACATCTTCGCTGTAATGATGGGTCGATTCAGAAACCTTGGAAAGATCATCATACTTGGATAACTTATATCGTTCTGAGATACTCTTGTGAAGGAGACCACTGGCCTTGGATTCAATTTCTTGTGCAATTGAAATCCAATTTTTGACTTTAGGTAGCATTATGTCCTCTTCTTTGGACAACCTTTTCAACAACTCATTTCTCATTGCTTTTAGGGCTTCCACCTTCATCTCCAAAGCCTCAAGATTTTTCTCCAGGTTGTGTAAATACTCCTCTTTCCAACACAAGAAGCAAGAAACAGAAATTAAGTGATAAGATTATTGTAGAGTTTAGTGATATCAAAATTATCATATCACTAACCAATCTCTTTTCTTCAAGCTTTCTATCACGATTATTCGAAATAAACTAATAAAAAATCACAAGAGATGACACAAATTATAAAGGAAGAGAATATTACCCATGCTATCAAGCTGTGCTAGCTCAGCCACCTATTGAAAATCTTGTGTAGACGAGAGACTTTTAACTTTCACTCAAATTCTTGAAAACGTTTCCACAACAATGGTATGTTGTCTATTGTGCTCAAGGTTTAAGAGAGAAGCAGATCTTTTGTGCAGGATCTTGATACGTTTGGCTTGGTTTAGTAACTTTAGTTGAATTAGTCCATTGCAATTCTATCTTCTTCTATGGATTGAAATTACAACTTGGTTTACATGTATATATTATATGCATTGAATATGTCAGTCCAAGAGTTTGAATATTATGTAAACTTGTGTTGACCCACCGGTCATTTATTTGAACAGATCTTTATATTGTAAAGTTTATTAAGAGTGGGAAATCTATCAAGAATTCAGACCGGTTCAATGCGACATGGATTTTGCAGAGGAACTATTACTATTTACTATACTGAAGAGAGTATCAAATAACAACTTACATTACATGAGAATAGGTATATACAGAATCTAACCACTTGATTTGGTTTGGTTTGATCCGTCTATTTATAAATAATCAGTGTTACAATTGGAGTGGGAAGGATCATGATCATCATCAACAACGTTGTAATAGAGAGAAGAAGGTTTGCCATCAAAAGTAGAGACAAGTCTATGAGGAGAAAGACCGCAGTACCGATGCCTTAGTCTCGCCTCGCAGATTTCAATCACTCTCTTAAACATTTTGTCTTCTCTTATCATCGGTTGCTCCACAAATTCCTCCAAAGGCATCCACTGAAAACACAGAATAATCATTGTAATCAGGACCATCTTGTAGCATGTACAACTGGAGCATTCCAATAAAGACTTTAACTGCAAAATTCTTATTACATTTACCTTTGCGGCTTTGATCTCAAAACTATCGATGATTATCTTATCAGAGAGTGGTCTCAACATACATATGAAGAACAGATCAGATTTCTCAAATGCAACGTTGTGAGCATGTCTGAAAGCTATTACCTCCGAGAACTCTGTATCTACCTGAATAACACAACACAAGACCATAAATTGTTTATGATCTTGCGAGTTTTAAATCAAAATCAAGATTTATATCAATGTTCTCGGATATAATTACCCCAGTTTCCTCCTTGACTTCTCTAACAGCCCCAGAGAAAATCTCTTCAGATTCATTAATAAACCCTGTTGGTAACTTCCATAGACCTGTAATCGATGGAGCACAATACTTTTCTTGTACCACAAGCACCTAATAAGACCAAAAACCAAATCAGATAACTCTTCTTTTTACCACCTCTACTTGAAGTGTTAAGACTTTGAGAGAATCATCATTCATATATCCATACCTCTTTATGTTGGTTTAATACGAAACCTCCAACACCAACTTGATGTGAAGCATTTGCAGGAAGCATACTAGGTTCCTCCTCCGGTATCCAATATGTTAACATCACATATCCTTTCTCTGCATGATGATACTCAAAACCTTCCTGCAAAATCCACAAAGTATCATTAACTTGCATAAACAAATCAACTCTGCTTTATCAAACAAGATCAAGAACCATTTTCTTATTGTTTACCTTTATAGCTATTGGGACTAATTCTGATTGTTCCACAGGTAACTTTAACCAAACTCCTTTCTTTCCCTACAATTTTTCCCCAAAATGAACAGATTAATAAAAGATAAATGACTATTTAGTAAAAGGGTTTAAGATTTTTATTGGGTTGTAGTTTACCTTTCTTCTCCAATCGGATAGAGAAGCTCGAAGCATAGAGGCGAAAGCGTAAGGGTTTGATGGTAATTTTCCATGATCAACTATTACTCCATTATACTGATCATCATAAGCATCAAGTAATAATCTTTCTTTAACAGAACTGTTCAGTGTTCTGCTTTTTAGGTTTACTCCATTCATCTTGTAACCTGAATCTGAAGTTTCAGCTATGTTTAGTCCATAAACAGATTGGCTCTTTGTATTGCTTGACAATGTTGCCTTTGGTCCATCAACTTCTCATCCAAATGCAAAGATTTTTAAAAATCAATTTTAGAAAAGACAATGAAGATTCTTGTTGTGAAGAGGAAGTCATGAATTTTAAGTGTTATTATTACCTTTGGAGGAACAGAACTTTGGAGGTATTGGAACACCAGAAAATGGTTGTCTGAAACTGTGCATAAAACCCAAATGTGTTCTTCTAATGGCAGTAACCTCAGAAAGAGAAACAGAATCCATTGTAGATCAAGAAGATCTATGTGGAAAAAAAGAAGAATAAGAAGAAGTTTTCTAGAAAAGGAAACGATTAAAGAACTTTATAATTTGTTTACAAGCATTTGAGCAGATTGAAATCTTAAATAAGAGAATGAAGGAGAAGAAAGAGAGATGTGTTTGAGGGAGTAATGTTAGATTTTTTTGAGGCACACTTATTATGTGTGGTGTAAAGTGGATCGAGTGGTGGTTAAGTGAGAAATGAGAAAAAGAAAAGAGAAGAACAGTTTTAACAATCAAAGACAAAATACACGTGAATTTCTTTTTGAGCTACGATTTCAATTTTCAACCGACCAGATATTACAACCCTAATATATGTACATTTTTCTATCTTTTACAATGTCTTAGAGATTTTATACAATTGTTAAAAGGGATATAATAACTTAATAGTATAAATGAATCCAAGACAAATTTTAAATAACGTTTAATGTTACCTATCAACTATCAAGCCAATGATAAAGTATTCCAAAGCTTTTGATATAAACCTACACGATATATAGTGGCATGATTTTTAATTTTAATACAAAAGTTATAAGCAAAAATAGTGTACGAAAAATGCAGGGAAAAGGAATCAAATAGTTAGGTCTCAGAGAATCTTTAACAAGTTCAAGAGAATTGTCGGTACGAAGGAATCTTCAGGAGTTCAAGGATGGATAAACGGATATATCTCAATGATCCAATCCCTCTCCTTCAGAAAGAGGCTCTCTCTTCCTCACGCTTCTTACAATCTCGTTCGTTGATTTTTGTGAAGCGTGTATCTCACGCAATAATCCACAAGAGTGGGATAATAAAGGCATCTGGTCGTTGCTGGAGCTACGTGGACATGGGCCTTGGTGGCTTAGATTCCTTGTCTTTTCTGTTTAAAAGTATTTTAGTTCATTTCGATCCTTTTTAATTTGTAACTTCAATAGAAACAGATATGTTGGGAAAATAATAGGGTTACAGATTTTTCGACATTGGATCGGATAACATTTCCCTCAACTATTTTGCTACATATATATGTAAAGGTTTACCTTTTTCTAAGCAGATTTTTACCACAAAAGTATATGTAAATAACGATGAGATGGTATAATTAGGTTTGCGTTAATTGAGGATATGATTATTCGTTATTGGAAATGATGACGTTTAGAAAAATGATATGCAATAATTGGAAATTATGGAAGGATTAGGTATAGTCCACGTAGGATAATTAGGTAACCTGAAGTGCTTGATGATCCACATTCGTGATAATATTGTGTCTTCCATTACAATTTGAATAAATTTAACAATTTGAGTATATATGTGTGGATAATGATGTAAAGCTAACCATGATTCGTGGGTCGGGTTTTTCAAATAAAATATGTTTGGATATTGAATAGTCGTATGATGACGAACGATTCTTACCTGATTGGTATTCTATAGTCATAGAATATTAGTATGCTAAATTTAATACGTAATACTTCATTATTTTGCTAACAAAATTTCGTAACAAACTAATTATACCATTTTTTTTTATAAGCGTCGTTGTTCATCTATGAAAACGCTTTAGAAAACCCAATTTCATCTACGGAGTAATTAAAAATCAAACTAATAATATTTGGGTTAAGTTGATTTCAGGGCCGTGCCTCAATGGTAAAAAAATAAACATTGGCTTAGGGCATCTTAAGTTTTGGAAAATTTTAAGGGCATAATTTTCTAACTTCATTTACTTAAACTCAAATTAAATAATAGAGCTACACCAACTATATACACATATGCTCAAACATTGACAGCTTTTTGATAAGTAAACCAAACTAATCATGAGTTTACACAATAAAAGTTATAGTTTTCTAGCTAAATAGTTAAGTAATTAAACAACAAAATATAGAAATAATTTTAATCACTAAGAAATTAGAATAAAGAATATTGATAATTGGTTACTTATATAATTAACTTGACTATACCCACAGAAAATACTAAAGACCCTAGCCATTGTATCCATGAAATATGATATTAGTTAGAAACTTTGATTTTGAAAGTTTAGTTGATGATTTTGTTGGAAAAAAAAAAGTTACTACAAAAAAATAGTTTTGTTTGCCAAATTTAGTTCTTTATTTGTCTTTTAATTATATATAACAATGGAAACTGTAAACATTTATTTTATAAAGAGGGGCATTTTATTCTTAATCGCTTCTGTCGATCATGGGTGTTGGCACGGCTCTGGTTGATTTGTAGTTTCAATTATCTTTTGTGTTTCGATGACAGGTTGGTTTTCAACTTATACATCCAGAACTTCACTGGATTTCCTTAGAGAAAGATAATATATTCAAAGTTTAGACCACAAGGCCCATTAGTGCCTTAATGAGATAAGATAGTGTGTACTGAAAATATCTTACTTCTTACAAGACCCAAAGAAATTCTTCGATTAGAGCATGAATATTGGTTGAAATGTTGAGTATCTTAGACAAATCTTAGGATTAAAGTTGATTAAAAATAATCAAACCAACATCTTAAAGCTAAGATTTGTATCTAAGTTAAGATGTTTTTCTTAACTTAAGATGTTGCAAGGTGTCACATTGTGATTGGTTAAAAGTGATATGTTTTGATACGTATCAATTTTATTGGTCAATTGGTGATATGTTTTGGTCAATTGGTGATATGTTTTGATACGTATAAATTTTATTTTTATATTAATATTTTTTTTTCTACGTATTTTCTGTTTGATAAAAGTGATATGTTTTGATACGTATAAATTTTATTTTTATATTAATATTTTTTTTTCTAAGAACCACATGTTAAGAACCTACCATTAATCACACAAAAATCTTAACCCAAAAATACTATCTCTTACCTATCACTTTTACAAATATATTACTTAAATATTTCTAAGATTTATTTCTAAGATACTACCAATAATCATGCTCTTATATTCTAAGAAAAAGTTCTTAAGCAAATTAGATGTCAAACCTGAAAACCAAAAGAAAAATAGATGTCGTCAAATCTAAAATACTAAAATACGTAGAGATTTCGCCGTGGAAGATAAATATTCTTCTGGATACATTCATGCATGGCTTTCACAGTCGTCATGTATTTTACTAATTACGCAAAAGTCTAACCACGTGCGAAATCGTTTTGACCAAATTTATCCATTATGTATCATAAGAATCGACTTGTTCAGACAGGATCACGGTTATGCATTTATTGTCTCAATAACTTTACATAACGCCGGTCAATTTCACATGTTGAATAATTCTTTTTATACTATAATTCCTCAATTAATGTCAATGCAATTGACATTATTCTAGTATAATTTGTAGTTTGAGTTACTCCGAATTTATTTTTTTATTTTTTTTAATTTCTTCTAGTACTCATAAATAAATGAACGTGACCATTAATTAACTGAAATAATGTATTGTGATTTGTGAAAAAGAATGAACAAATAGAAATAAGCAAAAATATGACAAACTATAATTATTTTTTTTAATCGCATGCACCTACGTGTACCATAAGTCCACGTCAGCATACACATAGCCAAAACTAAAGAAAAAATCAAACAACGGTCAACTGAGAATAACCAAACGATGGATGAGGAGATAACGGCGACAGAAGCGGAAAGTTAAGAAACCCCGTTAAGTCCCAGTCTAATAACGGAAACGTCTCTCCACCGTTAACGTCAACGCTCTGTTCCGTCTTCAACACTTTCTCAACCACAGTCACTTTCTCATCGTCTCTCTTCCGTTTCTTCTCACCTTCGTCGGCGCGTGGTTTCCACTTTCCAACTTCAAGAGGGAAATTCAAAATCGCTTTAGATCCTCGTAGTCTAAACGCTGCTTCATCATAAGCTCTAGCCGCTTCAATCGCTGTATCAAACGTCCCAAGCCAAACGCGAGATCCACGTTTATTCGGGTCACGAATCTCCGCCGCGAATTTCCCCCACGGTCTTTGTCTCACTCCTCTGTAATGCTTCTTCTCTTCTTCTGAAACCGGTTTAGTAACTTCCCGTTTAGGATTTTCCGCAGCGAATTGAATCCACTCTGTTTTAGCTGGAAGCGAGATTTTCAATGGCGGTTTACGAATTTGAGATTGAATCTCCGGTTCAACTTGATTTTGATTTGAAATTTTAAAATCGAAATCAGAAACAGAAACTTCTGAGTCGAATTCAAATGGAGTTGATATAAAATCCATGAATCTCGGGGTATCGAGATCGATGATTTCAGGTTTGCAGACGGATTCAGAGAAATCAATTGGAGAGAAAGAAGACGATGATGATTGGAAGAGCATAGTAGAAGAATCGGAACTAGATTCCGTTGCTGATGATTCGAGCTTCATCCATTGATCTGTAGCTACCGGTGAAGTCTCGTCGAGTAGATGCTTCTCGATGAACCAAAGTGCAGATACTTCGTTAGGAGTCGCCATTGATATAGTCTAAACTTTCGTTTTCAAGTGAAACTTAAGAAAACAGAGAAGGAAGAAGAAGAAGAAGATTGAAGATTTGATTTGAGTAGAGAAGAGAGAGTGGAAAGATGTATATATACATATGAGAGAAGCATAGGTGACTTTGTCGTCAAGGGGACTTTTTCAATGGAGGTGATGAATAAAATTTGAATTAATTAAAGGAACAAGAAGGAGCCAACGAACCATCCTCTCTCTTGTTTTCTTTTAAGTTTTATAATATGGATCAGGTGTAAAAGAGAGTACCACTTGGTTGCGTGTTTCGTGGACTCATAGCCGTTGGATCGAATGACCGACTCATCTAGTCGACATTGTGATCGTTTTCGTTTTGTACTTCTTGACTACAATAATGTTTTGTCTCTTGGTTATATGGTAAGATATTTAGATATAGTGAGTTCGAAATCTATCGCAAGTATATTGTACTAGTCCAAGAGAAACATCATATTTTATTTTATTCGATTATTGCGATCGTTTTCTTGAACATAAAAGATGTCGATGCGTGACCCAAAAAAAGAAAGAAAAAAAGGTGTCGATATTTTAGTAGTCTCTATTAGTTGAATAATTAAACCGATTAAGTATTCTAAGGTTCAACTCTAGTGTATAGCAGCCATGTAGTAAAGAACAAAATTGAGCTTTCTCTATCTTTCACAAAGTTAAAATGCATATGTTTGTTGGGAGATCTCGAGATTAAGAGAGCAATGTAAAATATTTTTCCTTATTGTTATCATGGAAGTTAATATTTGTGCATATCTTTCTATTATTAATAAAATAGATTTATTATTATCATAAATGTATAGAACTTGCTAGACAAATAATATCTTTGTATAAATAAGCATATTGACTAATGAATAAAATTGAGAGAAACTATTTTACTACTAATGTTTCCTCCAAATTTATCAATGTTAAGTTGTTAACACCAAAATGTCGCCATTAATCTTCATCTACGTTTTTTTATTTTTAAACATATAAGTATATAACCTATATATATATAACGTACCATTTACATACTTATATACAACAATGAATATTTACAAGTTATTTTCCATTATTTCAAACTTCATAGTTCATACATATCTTAATTTTATGAGGCTTCGCCAAGTCTAAGTGTGAATTATTTCCTAACTAACTATAAAAGATGAATTACAATTGACTGAGAGCAGAACTTTAAACCATGCGCATATATTGCTAACGTATCCGCATATATTGCTAACGTATCCACACATAGTTTTTCTTCGCAATGTGTGAATATGATATTTACTAATCCAGTTTTCTACTTTCCGGAATTGGTTAAAGTCTTATACATAGAGAAAAGAAAACCAATTTTTTATGTTTTATTAATCCCAAAGGCTATAAAGGATTTTATAGTAACCTCATTCCATACCATTTTTATTGAAAATAGAATTAACTAAATTTTTGTTGTATCCATCTTCGTCATTTCACTTCCCTTAATCATTCTATCGTAGTTTTAAACTATCTTGCCTATTTTTTCTGGATAAACACTAAGACTTGATACATTTTAGCTAATCTTGATATAATCTCCTCCATAAGCTCCGATAATCTGCTTCTGTATAAGCTTTATGTTGTGTCACACACTCACAATTACTTTGTATTCACTCTGCGTTCAAAGTTACTTGGTTACGTGGTTTATACAGTTACGTAGACTCGCACTCCAAAAATAAGCGTTTATTAATACAATAACAAATCCGATGTTAATTTTGCCAATATTACGAAACAAATTTTAACTCGAATGTAAACACAAATTTATAGCCGCTATTAAAAAAATAAACAAGCAAGTAAGCAACACCAATTTCACAGAGCTCAATAGTGGATAAAGCCAACATTGTATTGTATTATCCTTCTAGAAGATTTTTTTGCGAGGTAAACACAAACGTAACTAAGATGATAGTAAAGCATTAAAGTTTAACCAAACACAAACTCAGAAAGTTAGCGGTTATGATTAGTTTGATGCATTATGGAGGGTTTAATTAGTAAGCAAGACAATACTGAGTTTATCAAAAAAAGCAAGACAAGACTGAAAGAGTCAAGTCAATGCATGCGTTCTTTTATTGACAGAGCTTATTAATTATACAAATGTAGAAAGATGATAATACTAGTATTGAATTATGGTTGGTTTCGTATTTAATTTGCTTCATCCTCATGAACTGCACCATGCACGTGAAAAGAATTTACGCGGTGCATTAACTGGTTTGTAGAATGAATCAACGAGTCACTAGATTCTAGAAAGTCATGTTGTTACAATCAAAATAAAAATTAGCACTTTTAATAAATGATATACCAAATCAGTGATTAAATTAAAAATATATATAAAACTTTTTTCCTAGAAACCCATGTTATTATGGTAGTCTTTTTGTTGTTGTTGTGAAACACTAATCTAATAATTTTTTGTGTTGCTATAATTCGATTATTAATTTATTACTATTTCAATTTTTGGGTTAAAATGTCGAGGGCCTCTAAGTCCTAGCCTCAATTATGTTATATACGTTTGCGTTTGCTTTAAGAGTTTGTATATTTATAAAATAACAAAGTCCTGACATTTATAACCATTTTAATCAAAGTTTCTTTATTAGTTATGAATGGAAGTAAACTGACTATATTGCATTCACATTTATATCTTATAAGAATAGTTCAAAAACATGAGTTTTTTAATGTAGAAATATAAATTTTGGTTTCTCTTGTCGTTTCATTCCAAGATCTGCAAATGGTGGTGCAAATTCTCTGGCAAAACTCGCCCTCTCTGTATTTGGCTCAATTGTTTAAGTAATGAAAGTTTAGTCGGTGCTAAAAAAAAATTGGTATACATGTAAAACGAAAAATTTGATATTCTTTAATATGAATTTCAATTTTATTAAGGAATGAGAAGGTTTGTACTTAACTACAAAAACAGTTAAACCAAAAAAGAAGATAAAAACCAAAAAAATAAAAGCGACGATCGGACTAGATGAAGAAGTGTCACCCAAAGATGAGTCAAGTTTGCATTAGATTAGATCATCATAGTTTTTGAGGTTCTTCTTGACAAGAAGGTTGTGTCTCGAATCCGTCGATCGATATAGCCTTGAAGATTGCTTGCTTAAAGTAGAGGAAACATTATTGTGTAATCTGTTATTTCGTTCGATCCATATTCCTAGAAATTGTTCCCTGAGCAACAAGCCCGTTGAGATTCTTTGGAGAAATGTTGTTAGCACTCCCTAGCCAACTGGAGAAAGTCGTCCAATATAATGTGCGCAAGGGATTTTTTTAACCTTTTCTTAACAAGCTTCTAGCTAGGAGTTTCCGAAAGACGTAATCCGAACGATTTCACTTTGCATAAACAAACATAACAACTCTCATAACTAAGCTTGTTCTTCCTATAAGTTTAGTTTATATTAATTAAAGGTATAATTAATTGTTTTTGGTAAAGTTTAACGGTAATTATGAGGTTATAGATCAATATATACAACAAGAATTTTTGACGTCTAAATACAACTATTTAGATGCAAGAACCAATAAACAATAACAATCGTATGGTAACAAAGCTTTGTTAGCATCCTAATCATGAACTGTGTCGTTTTCTTGAACCAATCTGGTCTCCATTAATAGTTGTTGCTCTAAATGAGTAATGCCAGACATTTTTGTTTCATTTTTTTCTGTCGTTATGGGACAACATATTAAGAGTCACAAAAATGATTAACTACTTTTTCCATATAAATCTACATTCCAAATTTAAAGGTCGAGAAAATATTGTATTCCAATGGAAAACAATAATTTTAAATGATCAATGATACATAAACAACTATTATCACCAAGACACCAACCATTCATTAATCATCTATGTAACAAATTACTCAAGCATTATAAAATTGTATAACTAAATTTAATAATTGTGATTCTTATATAAACAAGTTACCATTCATTTGTCGAGAATCTTTGAATTCTCAATTTAACGTTATTATAATAAGAAATATCGTCTTCTGTTGAATAAAACTCAAATATTGCGGTGGGAACGCACGTGTGAGGTTGTTTGCACGTATGGAATTGAGTTTGCTACTAAAATAGAAGATAGGTTTGAAAAGTCAGTGGTCAAAGTCAAACATGACTAGATTTGGTCAACTTCAAACTTTTGAATATTGCTGACGTGTCATATAACTCCTTCCTTTGATCCTTCCTTTTGCATTGTTTTGTGTACCTTTTGCTTCCAATTGTCTACATTTGTGTTGGTTAAAAATAAAATGAATTAGGAGACGGTTTAAGTTAACAAAATATACTAAGCCGTATATTAAAGATAACCAAAATCTGAGTTATTTTGGTTACAACAAGAAATAGAGGACATGTCACTGTTAAAAATGTAAGATCAATTATTTGATCACCAGCTGGTAATGAGAAGCATCAAGAATGTAAAGTTTTTTTATGCATAAACCAGAGACACTGAATTTATGAATTTTATGGCTGAAATATAGTGTAACTAATCATATCAATGATTTTTTTTGTCAATCGTATATTCATATCAATGAATCTAAATTTTACGGTTTTGATTGGTAAACTTCGGAGTAATTGACAAAAAAAAAAGATAAATGATAAGAATGAGAGTAAAAGTAAAAAGTAGCGTAACTTTTTATTCTCCAAAAATAAGAAAATATATTAACGCTATATGTCCTCTAAAATAGCATAAATATTTTTTCCGATTGGTAATTTTTGGCAAAAAATAGAGTAATATTATTATTTTAACGCTAATAATGTATATCAGTGACTACATAATTTTTGTTGTCATTTTCCTCCTTCATCATGATTTTTTTTCTTCTATATTTGCTTTGTCTAAAATATGTGACTGTTCGTTCAACTCTTGTTAATCCGTAAATCGTGTTTTAGCAAAAACACGACTTTAATTTGAGACTTGCTACACAATAATATATGATAGAAAAATATATTAGAATACTTATTATAGTAGATAAGTATTTTTGAAAAGATGTGAACAAAAGCATTGGTCCAAACCACAATTTTTGTATAAAGTGGGTATTTTTATTGGTTGGAAGAATCACTTATATATTAATTGAGAAGCATTTATAAAAAATAACCTTATCTTCATGTGTGATTAACAAAAATGTCATGCTGACGTGTCGTTCTCATAGAGCTTTTAAATCCATTTAATTAAAAACCCAACATTTATTAAGATATTTACAGATTTTGCCATTAGTTTTACTTATATTTATTTTTTCCACTTAATTTATGTTTTATTTTTATTTTACTCAATTAATTAAAACAAAAATACAATTAATTAAAACAAAAAATACAATTAAAATATGCAATTAAAATATAAAACTCTATACAAAATGGAGTACCTAATATTTTGTATATTGATTAATATACCAAGATATATATCATAAATTATGATAAACATAAACATTAATACATAAATGAAAATTTCACTAATCTTGATAATCATTAATACACCTCCGTTTATCTAATAATATAACAATCGAACACCTTCAATATCATCAATACATTAAAATTGGTTAATAATCGTTTTGTCCCGCACATAGTGCGGGTTGTTATCTAGTTTTTTTTAAAGCAAATTATAAGCAAATTTAAATCTGTTGCAGCATAATATGAGAAAAGATTATTTACGCCTTAAAATTAAATTATCACTGACTAAAGATAAGCATTATAAGACAAAGAACAACAAAACTTAATACTTTTTAAGCAAAAATTGAATTTATACCTAGCTCTCTCTAACTAAAAGGTAAAAAATCTAATTAAATGATGAAATTTAAATTATATTTGAATATTATGTTACCAGTAAAAAAAAATGTCACCAGTGTAAAACAATAATGTCTTTCTAAACCCAAATAATAAAGAAACAAGAAACAATATGAAAACAATATATTCGTAAGGAAAAATATATATATATATATATATATATATATATATTCGTAAGGTAATGTACAACAAAAGAACCCAAGTGGATGTATGTGAAACGTCCAAAGTGATAATTTGAGAATTAGCTGCAGAGTTCAAACATAAAAACGAAAGTTCAACTACTACTTTTTTTTTTTTTTTTTTTTTTTTTTTTTTTTTTTTTTTTTTCAACTACTACTTTGATATTTAATTAATCAAAGTATTTAATAGCAAAACGGAACTTAACCTGATTGGATCCATGTATTTTTTTTTTGGTAAGCTGATTGGATCCATGTATTAATACGTACTTATTCTTCCCAATTAAAAAACCTTAAACACAAATGAATTTTGAGTTGTTTCTTTTACCAAAACTCGTTATTTTTGTCTGTAGTTTTTAACCATATTGGTTAGCTATTCATGTTCTTGTAATCAATTAAAAGTTTTATTTGTTGACAAACATAACATCATATTTACACCCAAAATCAGAAAAATTGAAATAACCCATCAAATGAGAGTGATGTGATTGAAACCAAAACTACTCTTGGAATCGAATAGAGATTAACAATATTTAGTACAATAGTATTTTTTAGAGAGTTTTGAGTGACTATTGACTAAACTATAGTACAATAGATCTTTTACGTGAGAGACCCACCATTAATTTGTCTTTGAGCCTTATTGTTGTTATTGACTTTTAGCCAATATAAAGAGATGGAAATTCAATAATTATCCACAAAATTCCAAATCATTGGTGCACGAAAAGATCTAAGGCTGTTATATTTTTTAAAAAGAAAGAAAATAAATGCAACAAATATGGATTAAACTATGGTTTCTGAATTGAGCTTTTACATGAAAACTTTATCATTATGATTTCACTACTCCATATTTTATTGACTAGAGTGGCACTAATAAATTTTCTTAATCATTCTTCTAATTAATAATCATGAGTTGTTGTATCAAAAAGTTTTAAAATAAACATGACTTTGGCAATTAGGAAATTCTAAATTGGAAATTAGTAAAAATGAAAGGTGAAAGAGAAAAAGTGAGATGATGATATGAATTGGTGGTGACTAGGAGAAATGTATCCCAATTTGTGCAGACATTTTCAGCGTCCCATTCATATAATTATGGCCGACCTCGTTAGATATTTCATTCACCACCATAATAAGATCTAAGCTTAGATATTTCATGTAATTAGAAACATATAATATACTTGCCATGCAACAATCTAATAAAGTATACATAAGCAAAAATAATTACTTTAGTGTAGTCGATGAAATCTAGTTTTGGTTGCAAATTTATGTGGGTATAACAAAGAATAATGAATTAAGACCTTGTTTTTTGATTAGCAAACTAATTTAAACACTCATTAGTTGCTTAATGAAACCGAGAAAATCGTATTCAAAACCGAACGACAAAACAAGGGACACGTCGAGAGACAAAACCAAATCAGCATCTCTCTTCCATAAATGTCATGACCACATGACGTCATCTTGACCCTTCTTCTTTGTGATATTTGTGGATAAAGCGCACGTGTTTTAATTCATGAACCTTCGTAGTAACGAAAAATCCACAACTTTCATATTTTTAAATTCCCCACTAAACTAAATAAAATTGGAAAAACATGAAAAACTTTTTACTTTTTCCAGGTTCATGAATCTCGTATCCTCTATATAAACCTCTTAACCATCTTCCACATAGAAAAAATCAGATATTTGATAAATCAATAAAAAAACAAAAACCTAGGGAAAAAAAAAAACTCTATAGTTTCTCTGAAAATGTACGGACAGTGCGATATAGAATCCGACTACGCTTTGTTGGAGTCGATAACAAGTCACTTGTTAGGAGGAGGAGAGAACGAACTGCGACTCAATGAGTCGACACCGAGTTCGTGTTTCACAGATTTGCCGTTGAAAGAGAATGATTCAGAGGATATGTTAGTCTACGGACTCATCAAAGACGCCTTCCATTGTGACACGTCATCATCTGACTTGAGCTGTCTTTTTGATTTTCCGGCGGTTAAAGTCGAGCCGACGGAGACCTTTGTGGTGGTGGAGGAGAAACCAAAAAAGGTGGCGGTTGCGAAGGCACCGGTGCCGGCGAAAGGGAAGCATTACAGAGGAGTGAGACAGAGGCCGTGGGGGAAATTCGCGGCGGAGATACGTGATCCGGCGAAGAATGGAGCTAGGGTTTGGTTAGGGACGTTTGAGACGGCGGAAGATGCGGCTTTAGCTTACGATAAAGCTGCTTTTAGGATGCGTGGTTCCCGCGCTTTGTTGAATTTTCCGTTGAGGGTTAATTCCGGTGAACCTGACCCTGTTCGGATCACGTCTAAGAGATCTTCTTCTTCTTCTTCGTCGTCGTCGTCTTCTTCGTCTTCGTCTGAAAACGGGAAGTTGAAACGGAGGAGAAAAGCAGAGAATCTGACGTCGGAGGTGAAGTGTGAGGTTGGTGAAGAGACACGTGTTGATGAGTTATTAGTTACATAAGTTTTGATTTTGTGTGTTTTGTAGTTGAATAGTTTTGCTATAAATGTTGAGGCAAGTAAAGTGTTTCCCCTGATGTAAATTACTATAAATTTTTTTTTTTTTTGTTCTTCAAGTTTACCTAAACAGAGCCATCTCTATAACTAAATAGACACTTTAATAAAGCCCTAAGCTAATTATAAAAACAAATAATTAAATAAAGACCTGAGTGTTAATTTTTTTGAGATTTGAGATTTTGTTGATTCCTACGAAATGTGCTGCTAGAGAGGATTCATTTAAGTAATCAATTGGTATCTTTGATTTTTGAAGCACATAAAACTTTGGACAAGAAAAGAATGAGAAAACCCTCTGTTCCGCCTAGAGGGTTCAGTCTTGAAACCCAGTAGTTCTCTTAATGGACTAAGAACGAATATTCTTTCCATTAATGGGCTTAACCAACGAGAGCCCTTATAGTTTTAAGTGTTAATGGGCTTTAACCAGTTGTAGCCCACGGACAGAAAAAGAGAGGACCAGAACACACTTATTAAATAGTACCCGCCGCAGAGAATAAAAACTCAGGAAGGGTTTATAGATTAGGTTTTTAAGTCGCACCTCTCTCTCTCTGCCGCAGCATTTCTTAGGGTTTCTTGTTTCACTATCTCTTAGACACAAACAAAGCACTGTCCGAATAATCTCTCTTCGATTACTTCTCTTTTTTGATTCTGTATATCGTCATGGATTACTGATTCACCTCTCTATAAAACCCATCAAAGCAAAGCTATTTCTCCGGTGACTTTGTACCTAACTCGATCTTTATCAGAGCGGTAATGGCGTCTTTGAACCCTTTCGATCTTTTAGGAGATGACGCTGAGGATCCGAGCCAGCTCGCTGTGGCTTTATCTCAGAAAGTCGAGAAAGCTGCTCCTGCTGTTCAGCCTGCTAAGGCTGGTAAGTTCCCAACCAAGCCGGCTCCTCCTACTCAAGCAGGTAAAAGTTCTTTCCTTTATTTAGTCACTTAACAGATTTAGATTCAGCTTTGTTGTGTGTAGTATTTGATTGATTCGTTCTAGTTAAGCTTGTTTATGGTTTACATGAAAGATACAGAGTCAAATGTGTCTGCTTTTGTCATTTGCTGCTTTGTTAGATTAGCGTAAGCTTAATCCTTTATTAAAGGTAGCTTTTTTTTTTGTATTTTAGATTAGGGTAAGTGTATATTACAAGGTTTTCGTTTGTATCAATTTGTTGAAAAGTTATTGAATGAGATGTGGTCTTGTTTTTTTTTTTTTATATGAATGTAGTGAGGGAGTCGAGGAATGCTCCTTCAGGAGGAGGTCGTGGTGGTGGTGGTGGACGTGGTGGATTTTCCCGTGGCAGGGGTAATGGTGGAAACCGGGAGTACCGGAACAATGATGCTCCTGGAAATGAGAATGGATTTTCTGGAGGATACAGACCTTCTGAAGATGCTGATGGAGCAAGGCGTGGTGGGTCTGTTGGTGGATACCGTGATGGCGGTAGTCGTGGTGGACCTCGCCGTGGTGGATTTGCCAATGGGGAATCAGGTGATGTTGAACGCCCACGGAGGAATTATGAGCGCCATAGCGGGACTGGTCGTGGGTAAGCTTTCTTTTCGTTCTGTCCACTACTTTGGTTACTACTTTGTTTGACTTCTTCTGTTTCTGATTAATTTTTTTAACTTGATGTTTGGTAGTAATGGCCTAAAACGTGATGGTGGTGGTCGTGGAAACTGGGGCACTACTGAAGACGATATCGCTCCGTAAGCATCCTTGTCTTCACTTTCATTATCCATATGACTTGAACTTTAGGCTGTTTTAAAACTTAAGTTTGTCTTATATTAGAGTGACTGAGGAACCCACCACGGAGGTTGAGAAGAGCCCTGTTGCTGAGAAGCAAGGAGGTGAGGATGAAACCGCTGAAGCAAACAAAGAGCTCACTGCCGAAGAGAAAGCACAGAAAGAAGCTGAAGAAGCTGAAGCCAGGGTACAATCATTTACAGCTCTTGAAACATCTTATGATGTCTTGTTAAGTTTGATGGAGAATGTTTGCTAATTTTTGAACTGATGGTTTTGTCATATAGGAGATGACTCTAGAAGAGTATGAGAAGATTCTGGAGGAGAAGAAGAAGGCTCTGCAAGCCACAAAGGTCGAGGAGAGGAAAGTTGACACCAAAGTGTTTGAGTCCATGCAACAGCTCTCTAACAAGAAGAACACCGATGAAGAAATCTTCATCAAGCTGGTCAGAAATCATCTATTGTTCATCTTCTCTATTCCCTTTACTGTGATGGAGCAATAGTCAATACTTGGTACTTGATTGTTTCAGGGATCTGAGAAGGACAAACGCAAAGATGCTGCTGAGAAGACCAAAAAGGTCTTAATTCTTTCTGTTCTCACTCCATCCTAGTACTGCAAAATTATTAACTTTGTTTTTCCTTCTATTAAAGCACAAAACCGTCTTAAGTATAGGGAAACAGCGGTTAACCTTGATTTGAAACATTCTTTACCTGTTTTGTTTTAAGAAGTTAAAAGAGTTAAGCCCAGTTTTTGTTCTGAGTCAATGCTTGTTTGGTGATTTTGTAGTCGTTGAGCATTAATGAGTTCTTGAAGCCAGCTGATGGAGAGAGGTACAACGGGAGAGGTGGACACCGTGGAAGAGGAGGTCAGGCTGGTCGTGAAGGAGGTCGCGGTGAAGGAGGTCGTGGTGGTCGTGATCAGAAAGGTCGCGGTGGTCGTGAACAGAGAGGTGACGGAGGAAACCAAAGGAATGTAAAACCTGCTGCTCCAGCTCCGGCGATTGGTGACACAGCTCAGTTCCCGTCGTTGGGCAAGTAAAGACCCCTCCTGGTCCTTCAGCCTCTGTATCGCTGCCTCTCGTTTCTCTTTGGTTGAATTTTGTTAGCTTTATTATTTTTTGTTACACTTTCTGAAGTTCTTTTCTGCGAAACCATTACGTGGGCTTTTTAAGTTATGAAAAAAATTATTATGATATTTCTCTCTCTAATTTTGGTATTACACATTCGATATTTCTGTTCATACTTGCGATACTTTTCTAATAGCATGAAGTCTTTCATGCTTCCGCGATGAGATAGAATCGATGAAGGCTTTAGAGAGTGCCCTGCTTTATATGCAGTAAAGGCCTTTTACTATATATATATAGATGAAGTTATACGTTTCAAACTTCAAAAGTACATCAGAAAAGAATTGGATCAAACGAAAACAAATGAAAAACAAGCAAAGGGTATCCAAAGAGTTGTTAATTTGGAGAAGTCTTACATGCAATGCAAACAAATGATTATAATGGTGTGACGATCGAATGAGAATTGGTGACTAATCGAATCAAGAAGAGCAACAGCCTGATTGCTGGTTCACTGGCTGTCCACGAATCTGGACCGTTGGTGGCTTGGCACCTCCAGCTGGCTGGCTAGCCATTCTGCAAAACAACAAAACCCGTTAAGTATGGAAGTAAAGTGTTAAGGAGTTGACAAGTAAAATTGAGTTCTAACCTTGTCTTAATTGCAGCAGTCATAGCCATGAAAGCTTCTTCCACATTGGTTGCATTTTTGGCACTGGTTTCCAAGAATGGGATCCCAAGTTCATCTGCAAAAGCCTGTGCGACAATGAGAGGAGACAACAACAATGTTATTATCGTTTAGACAAGGTTTACGAGCATATAGAGGTCACTTGGTTTATTGTATTACCTTAGCTGTCTCAGTGGATACAACTTTCTGTGATGTGAGATCGTTCTTGTTCCCAACCAGTAGCTTGTTCACATTTTCGCTAGCGTAACGGTCGATTTCATTCAGCCATTGTTTGACGTTGTTGAAGCTCTCTAGGTCCGTGACATCATAAGTGACCTGCCAAGATAGTCAACTGTGAGAGAGAGAACCAATGGATAGATGTATTGATTAACAAGAAGGCGACTGGCTGGTTAGAGTGAGAGTACATACAATGATTCCATGAGCTCCTCTGTAGTAGCTGCTAGTAATTGTCCTGAAACGTTCTTGGCCTGCTGTGTCCCACTGCATACACAGGCGATTACCAAAACAAGAATAATTATGTGCTCTTTCCAAATTTCAACCGATTATGATTGCCTATCTAGCTCAAGAACACTTACGATCTGGAGTTTGATGGTCTTTCCGTCCTGTTCGACTGTGCGGATTTTCTGCATAATATCATTAGTAAAGATTAATACATTTTATCCCAATTCCTGTATGTAAATCGGTGATGCCGCATGAGTATTCTTACAAAGTCAACACCAATGGTGCTTATGTAGCTATCCAGGTAAGAATCATCCTGTACACATAAAATTGGTGACATCAGGAAATAAGAACACGAAGGAGCAAAGTAAAGTGAGAATTAAGCTAAATTTTAATTGAGTAATGTTTTTAGTGTGTGTGTACAATGTTAAAAAGAAACTACCAAAGATGCTAGAGTTGTGGCAAATTACTTACAGCAAATCTTAGAAGCAAGCATGATTTTCCAACCCCAGAATCACCGATAAGCAGAAGCTTGAACAGATAGTCACTGCAACAACAAAACGGTCAACACCAATCTCTCAGTATAACTCATGCTAATAAAAACGCAAGAACATCTGAATGCTATAAGCTAATGAGATCAAATGGGAAAATTGTGTCACACTCACGAATTTTCAACTACAATAACCAACAGAAATTACAGATCTCGATCAAATTTCCTCGGATCTGACCTATATAAGATCCATGGAACGAGAATCCAAATCTAGACAAAATTCTAATAACAAAAGACCTAAAACGAGAATAATCGGGTAGATTCAATTCACAAACCTAAACACCAACAAAGATCCAAAGCAAAATCGAACATCAAAAGATAACGAAAGATGCGGATCGATCCGGAGCAATAGATACATGAAACAACGAGAAGAGAAGTTTCTTACTATTCAGGATTCATTATCTAGATCGATCTCCCTCGGCGAGAATCTGGCGATTAAAGGAATCTCCGGCAATAAATTCAGCGATCGTCGTCGGGGAAAAAAAAAACGAGAGAGACGTGAATGTTCTTTTGTAGGAGTAACTTTTTTTTTTCTTTCTTTATGTTGGCTTAGGCTTATTAAGTGCTCTTTTTGTCAATGACGCGGTTAAGAAATAAAAAGAAGAACGGGACCCACTCTTTTTAAATGCGTTTTGGTTTTGATGTTTGAATACTGACGTGGCGTAGCCAACTCAGAGAGATGCGTGGAGGACAAAAGAATCAATCAATCTTTTTTCTTCTTCTTTGTCGCTTTTTTTTTTTCTTCTTTTTGATTCTATACAATCGGATGATAACTAAATTTAGAACAATACAATTTCGTATCTAGTGAATTTAACTTTTTAGATATTATATGCTAATTAAAATTGTCAAGTTTTTAATAAAGAACCTTTAAGTGTATATATATTCGTTTCACAAAGAAAGAAAGATGTGTTATAAAAAGTATATTGGTATTTATCATAAAGATAAATATATTTATAGAAGAAATATTTATACCCGGTGTGAATAGTATACTGAGAATAAAAGAGAGAGAATTCTATTATCTGATGATTGTTGTGATATTGTATTTCTGAATTATATTTTACAATGAACGTTTAACGTTCTATTTATAGAGAAAAAGATAAGTTACTATGCACGCATAGTGACGGTGGGCTCCACACATATTACGTAAACAATTGCGGCTGCCTGACTTCTTTGATTGTGGCTGCCTGACTTCTTTGACATTTGTAACACTCCCCCTTGGAGACCAGTGTCACTATTGTCTTGTGTAATGTCTTCTGTTGTCTCGTTAAAAACCTTTCTAAGTAAACCCAGTGGGAAAAACCTTAGTAGGTAAAAAGAGTACAACGACGTAGTCTCCCCCTCGAGTGATCAACTTTACAGATCTCGTTGGTGGCGCATTCCAATAGCATAGACATGCTTCTTGAACACCGAGGTAGGTAGTGATTTTGTGAAGAGATCTGCAGCATTGTCACATGATCGGACATATTTGACTTCAATGTCTTTATTCTTCTCAAGTTCTTGGGTGTATGAAAAGAATTTCGGAGGGATATGTTTGGTTCTATCACTTTTGATATATCCTTCCTTTGTTTGGGCAACGCATGCAGCATTATCTTCATATAGGATGGTTGGCTCTTTGTTTACGTTGATCCCACTGCTTGATTGAATGTGTTGGCTTATTGATCTCAACCATACACATTCTCTACTTGCTTCATGTAATGCAATGATTTCAGCATGATTTGAAGAAGTAGCCACAAGCGTTTGCTTCTGGGAACGCCAGGATATAGCAGTGCCTCCGATCGTAAAGACGTATCCAGTCTGTGATCGGGCTTTATGTGGATCTGATAAATATCCCGCATCTGCAAAACCAACCATTTGCCTTTTTGAATTTTTAGGATAAAATAATCCTAAATTCATCGTCCCTTGAAGATATCGGAAGATATGTTTAATCCCATTCCAATGCCTTCTCGTAGGAGATGAACTGAATCTTGCCAAAAGATTAACGGCAAATGATATATCAGGTCTTGTACAATTCGCAAGATACATAAGGGCTCCAATTGCACTTAGATATGGTACTTCAGGACCAAGTATCTCTTCATTTTCCTCATGCGGTCGAAATGGATCACTCTCAACGTTAAGTGATCTAACGACCATAGGAGTACTAAGAGGAGTTGCCTTATCCATGTTGAATCGTTTTAGCACTCTTTTAGTATACGTGGATTGGTGCACAAATATACCCTTTTGGGAATGTTCGATTTGTAGGCCAAGACAAAACTTTGTTTGTCCGAGATCTTTCATCTCGAATTCCCCTTTTAAATAGTTTGTTGCTTTCTGTATTTCATCTTGAGTCCCAATTATATATAGATCATCAACATATACCGCGATTATCACAAATCCGGATTTAGTTTTCTTGATGAAAACACATGGGCATATAGGATCGTTCACGTATCCTTCTTTCGTTAAATGTTCACTGAGACGATTATACCACATTCGCCCAGATTGCTTTAACCCATATAATGATCTTTGCAACTTTATTGCACATAACTCTTTTGGTTTAGATTTCAATGCTTCTGGCATATTAAACCCGTCGGGAACTCTCATATAGATATCTGTATCTAATGATCCATACAAATATGCTGTAACAACATCCATGAGACGCATTTCTAAATTTTCATCAGCCGCTAGACTCATCAAGAATCTAAACGTTATTGCATCCATAACGGGGGAATATGTTTCCTCATAATCAATCCCGGGTCTTTGAGAAAATCCTTGAGCTACGAGACGAGCCTTGTATCTCGTAATTATATTTTCTTCATTTCGTTTTCTAATGAAAACCCATTTGTATCCAACCGGTCTCACATCTTCAGGTGTGAGTACAATAGGTCCGAATACATTTCGCTTGTTGAGCGAATCAAGTTCGACTTGTATTGCATCTTTCCATTTTATCCAGTCATGTCTCTTTTGACATTCATATACCGACTTTGGTTCTGGATCCTCGTTTTCTTCATCAATTTCCTTTGACAAAAGGTATGAGAAAGCGTCATTAACTTCATCCATTTTATTTCGATCCCAGATCTTTCCATTATGGATATAGTTGATAGAAATCTCATGATTTCCTTCAGGCTCATGATGCTCATCATTGTCATTAGACTCATGATTCGTTTCTTCCAAAATGCTTTCTGCTATTTTGGGAATATCATGCTTTTCAACTTCCTTTCGTTTTCTAGGATTTTTATCCTTAGCACCAACTGGTCTACCACGTTTCAAGCGTGTTTTAGACTCACGTGTATCATCTGCTCTTCCACTTTCTTGTGGTATTTCAATTTGAGCAGGAACATTTGCAGCTGGTATATATGATTTAGTTACCGTTTTGGTATCTGCAAAAGCATCGGGAAGTTGATTTGCTATACTTTGCAAATGCACAATTCGCCGAACTTCTATTTCTGACTGTTTTGTAGGAGGATCAAGGTGTAACAGGGATGGTACACACCATTTAATTTCTTTTCCTACTTGCTTATTTTCTCCCCCTAGAACCGGGAATACTTTCTCATCAAAGTGACAATCGGCAAAACGTGCCGTAAAAACATCACCAGTCTGCGGTTCTAGGTATCTTATAATTGATGGAGAGTCACAGCCAATATATATTCCCAACCTTCTTTGTGGTCCCATCTTTGTACGTTGTGGTGGTGCTATAGGCACATACACTGCACAACCAAAAATTCTTAGATGGGATATATTTGGTTCACGACCAAATACTAGTTGTAATGGGGAATATTTATGATATGCACTTGGTCTTATCCGAATGAGTGCTTCTGCATGCAAAATGGCATGTCCCCATACAGAGGTTGGAAGTTTTGATCTCATGATCAATGGTCTTGCAATCAATTGCAGACGTTTAATTAATGATTCCGCCAAGCCATTTTGTGTATGAACATGAGCTACAGGATGTTCAACTTCAATTCCCGTTACCATACAATAATCATTGAATGCTTGGGATGTGAATTCACCAGCGTTGTCTAGTCTAACTCTTTTAATAGGGTAATCAGAAAACTGAGCCCTCAGTTTGATTATTTGAGTTAGAAATCTCGCAAATGCCATATTTTGAGATGATAATAGACAAACATGTGACCATCTGCTGGATGCGTCAATTAATACCATGAAATAGTGGAATGGTCCACATGGTGGATGTATTGGTCCACAAATATCTCCTTGAATTCGTTCAAGGAATTTTGGTGATTCTTTATCAATTTTTAGTTGGCGATGGCCTTATGATCAGTTTTCCAAGAGAACATGCGGCACATGTCTTTTTATTCCCATGATATATCTCCTGGATTTTCAATGGGTGTCCATGTGAGCTCTCTATGATTTTTCGCATCATCGAGGTGCCTGGATGACCGAGGCGATCATGCCATAATGTGAAATCTTCTGGATTTCTTTTAATCACTAGATGCGATTCGATTGCACTTATATGAGTATAATGCAATCCTGAAGGAAGTTTTGGAAATTTTTCCAATATAAGCCTTTTTCCCGATTTATCAGAAGTTATGTACATATACTTCTTTTCATTCTCAGTTGCAGACTGAGTATCATATCCTTGAAGGTATATGTCTTTGAAACTCAACAAATTCCTTTTAGAGTTTGGAGAATACAAGGCATTTTTTATGGAAAACTTGGTTCCATTAGGCAACATAAAGTTGGCCATACCAGTTCCTTCAATCACGTCTACAGGACCTGATATTGTATTGACAATAACGTTTGTCGGTTTTAAGTTAGAGAAACATAAAGATAAACATAAAGAAAGTAAATTTTATAAAAGGAAAACACACAATAATTATACATTAAATTGTTGTTAAAACAACATTATTTTTCAAAATAATAAAAGCATAATATTATATATATGGCATAACTAGAGACTATTTCAGCAGTCTCAATACAAGCTCTTTAGTTAACCGCATGAGCGGTCTCATTAATCTTTTCCGCTATTAGGAATGCCACAAATAAATCCGAAAATTCGGTATACCCGTATGACATATACAGTTTTTGCTGGGTAATGTGGTTTTCATGAAACGTGGTATACGTTTTCTCAAGCATCTGAGAATCAGTGATAATATCACCATAATATTTTAGTTTAACCACAATTTCCATCATAGCGGAATTATAATCCATCACTTTATCAAAGTCTTTGAACTTTAGACTTTGCCATTCATCCCAAGCAAGTGGGAGATTTATTGCCTTTCGATTATCAAATCGAGCCTTTAGGGATTCCTAGATCTCTTTGGGATCTTATATGTGTGCATAATCACATATCATACTTTCATCAAGGTGTCTTAAATTAAAGATCACCAATTTTTCCCTTTCTTGAACCGTCGAAATATTATTCTCTTTTACGGTTTTTATTAAGCCAAGAGATTGTAAATGTAATTCGACGTTGGCAATTCAAAAAATATATAATTGGCCAAAGTGATGTGCAGAGCCGAAAACTTAAGCTTCTCAATATTTGCCATTTGTTTTCTAAAAATAAAAACATGGAATATTATTAGAAATCTTTTAATTTATTTTAAAACATATTTAAAATGAACCGTTTACATTAATAATGCAAGCGATTACAAAAAGAAAAAGCGCACAAATAAGTAAACTAATGTTCAAACGAAATTCTTGCGGAGTAAATTCTACAACGCAAAGATTATAAATACACAAAATAATGATTCCAAAAACAAATATTAAAAGTAACCGAAACATTCTTCAAAACTTCAAAACTTCAAAATTCTTCTTCTTTTTTCGGAGAGAGTTTTTTAGAGGGATGAAAAATTTTGTTTTGATGAAATGAATGAGAAAATGAATGTATTTATAGATTGAAAATTACTGTTCATAGCCGTTTGAAAAGTGATAAATTTTTCTTTATGACCGTTGGCGAAAAAGATTTAAACAAAAATTAATCTGAAAAATTAGAGATCAATCAGATAAAAATTATCGATTCAGATAAAAATATTTATACAGGTGAATAAACCTTCTTGTATAATAATCATAATATAAACAAACAATTCACGGTGATATTATGGTCACGGAGTCATCCACATAGAAACATTAAATAAATATGTGGCGGCTCAGCCGACCGGTAGCAGAAATAAATATTTAAAGCAGCGCATAAAATTAAGGCGGCTCAGCCGACCCGTAGCAGAAATAAATATTTAAAGCAGTGCATAAAATTAAGGCGGCTCAGCCGACCGGTAGCAGAAATAAATATTTAAAGCAGTGAATAAAATTTCAGGTGGCTCAGCCAACCATTAACAGAAAATAATTAATTATGGTGCATGAAGTAATATATATATACATATATAGTTTCTTTTATTTATTTATATAATTTTCTTTTCTCTTTTTCTCTTTTCTTTTTTTTTCTTTTTCTCATTCTCATATTTTTTTTCTTTTAACGAGGCGACATACCGCCCGGTATAATACCGTATTTTTTTTTTCAGCGATCATAGAGTGATCGTGCTGATAACGTGTTATAAAAAGTATATTGGTATTTATCATAAAGATAAATATATTTATAGAAGAAATATTTATACCCGGTGTGAATAGTATACTGAGAATAAAAGAGAGAGAATTCTATTATCTGATGATTGTTGTGATATTGTATTTCTGAATTATATTTTACAATGAACGTTTAACGTTCTATTTATAGAGAAAAAGATAAGTTACTATGCACGCATAGTGACGGTGGGCTCCACACATATTACGTAAACAATTGCGGCTGCCTGACTTCTTTGATTGTGGCTGCCTGACTTCTTTGACATTTGTAACAAGATGGAATATTTCGATGCTTTTTGGTTTTCTGATTAAACTAACATATAATAGCTTTTCATCGCTTGCGGTGTAAGTCAATGTAACGTGAACATGTAAACGACTTGAATATACAACATAAAATTATATTTTCAACTCCAACAGAAATTTATATGAAAATAATATAAACAATAAATATTTTTATTTTTACTGCAACAATTTAGTGAGATGGTAGAGGTGGTGGTTCTTATCGTATCACCACCTCTTGTAATTGGAGGCTCATAAACATTGTCGACGCCAAACATTGTTTAGAGCCAAGAATTGTACTATTTAAAGACACATAAACATACATTTGTTAGCACATAAACTCTCTTTATTTAAACCATGTTTAGTTCTGGAAATTGGGAGGTAAGAAGTATTAATGTTTAGAGCAGCATTGGTTCATGGTGCTAAAATCAGCCTTTGCCCTTTGGTAATGGTTTCATGTAAAATAACTTCCAATTGAATATGGGCTTAATTGTATAGGCCCATAAAATTAGTAGATGGCCCATAAATTGAAATCACACGCGGCGGATAAGCGATAAGGCTCTTTACTCTGGTTTCGAGTTTGGGTTGTGCAAACATGGCGACGAGCTCTCATCTTCTTCCTCAGGTTCTTCTTCTTCAATCTCTGACGCTCAATCACATTTTATATTTATGCTTCTTTGAATTCTGTATCTATCTACCCTTTTATGGAAGCAGGCATTGCATATGATGCCGAGAATCCCTACTTTCTCGTCAAAGAATTTAGGGGTTTCTTCAATTCTGCCACGAGCATCATCAATCAACTCAAGATTATCAGTTTCTAAGAATCATTCTAGCTCCAATTTTGGTTTCGCCATCGATTCCAAGAAGAGAAGAGAGTTTATCGCTAAAGCTGAAGAGAGTACTGAAGGTGAAACTGAGGCAGTTGTGGAGAATGTTGTTGAAACTGAAGGAGAAGGAGAAGGAGAAGCCAATGTGGCGGAGGAGGAAGCTAAACCTCCGAGGAAGACGAGAGTCAAGCTCGGAGATATCATGGGGGTAAAAGTTCTTTTTTCAAGTGTGTTTCTGTAAGATTGTCGAGGGTTTTGTTTTGGCTCTGAAAGTGAAGAGTAATGTGTTTGTTTAGGCAATTGTTCTTTGATCATCAGTTATCTTTCAGGAATTGGAGAAATGAAATGTTGATTTTGCTTTTTTGTTTTTGTAGCTACTGAACAAGAAAGCTGTTGAGGTTGCAGAGAAAGTAAGACCGGTTCCTGGACTTAGGACAGGGGATATTGTAGAAATCAAGCTGGTAAAAATCCTAGTCTCTGTTTAATCTGATGCAATTAACTGCAAGATTTTGAGTTGACATGGTGGGTTTGATTTTACAGGAAGTTCCTGAGAACAAACGTAGGCTATCTATCTACAAAGGTATTGTGATGTCTAGACAAAATGCAGGCATCCACACTACTATTCGTATCCGGAGGATTATTGCAGGCATTGGTGTTGAAATCGTCTTTCCTATGTAAGTTGCTTCTTGCTTACCTCATCCAATTATTACGTAGTTGCTCTGGTATATTGTTAAGCATAAATGTAAATATTAAATAGTAGTATTAGATAGGAGTGGCTGGAGTCAGAATTAAGGGTCTTTGACCTTGTTTAGCAGTCTTTTGGCTTTGGGAGAGATTAGGAACTCTAAAACAAACCCGAAATAGTTTCTTTTATCTTTATAGTCCAATACTGTCATCGTTTTCTTCGTTCCTTGAGAACTAAAGAGAGTTTCGATTCTATATCTGATCATATATGCATTAGCTTTCTTCATGAAAAAAGGAAATAATTTGCTACTCCAAGTATGATACTATACTATAGGACCTATCACATAAATGCTGGAAATCTTACTATTATAGGTCACGAAATGGTGGATTACATTGATCTATGCTTAGACCCGGATTTATATTTTATTTACTACAGAAACGCACATTGACCTTTAATCTTAATCACTGTAGATTCTAGCCGATATTTTAACATACTAGTTGCCATGAACTTTCCAGTAACATTGTCTGATTATACAATGAAGTATTATGTATTTGATATGTTTTTTTTTTTTTTTTTTTGGTAAAAGGTTAAGTTATATTTGATATGTTTTGATCTTAAACAGATACTAATCTCCATGAATTTCTCAGTAGTCAGTAACAACAGCTGAATCTACACAATGATGTTGCTTTAGAATATGTAGCTGATGTGATGTGTTTTTTGATTTGAACAGATACTCTCCCAACATCAAGGAGATAAAAGTGGTAAGTCACAGGAAAGTGAGAAGAGCAAGACTTTACTATCTAAGGGACAAACTTCCTCGTCTATCAACTTTTAAATGATCACCAAAACCAACACCAGTCTTGTCTTGTGTTGTTGTCTTCAATCTGCAAAGGTAGCTACTCTCTTTCTCTTGTAATAACTGTTTGTTTGTTTTGTCTTTTGGATTTCATTTCCTTTCATGTAATTTACAGTAACAGTGATCTAAGAAAAGTAAATCAATGTTGATTGTTTTGATCTTGAGTAAGAAGAATGTGGATCTTCTCTTTCAGGATTTGAATCATCTAAATTATATAAATTGCTTTTCAAAATAGTTGGTTTTTACATGTAAAATCATGTAATTACTGTATTAACTTTTTCAAACGGTAACTATTCAAACTCCTTTTGGATTCAGTTTTGTTCTTATTTGAATACAATAAAAGAATTTTCCAGCCAAAGCAGAATAAATAAAAAACGAATATTCGTGTAAATGATTGAGTATTTTTCTTGTCTCTTTTCTAGCTCGATGACTTTTAACCATCACTGTTTCAATTTTGTTCGTCATGATTCTTATTATCTCAAATTTAATAATCTATTGATGTCCGATATTTAATTACTCCCCAACAATTAATCATTAATGGACACGGAGAAATAAAATTTAAAATATCATCATCAATCGTGAAAATGGCCTACCACCCTGAAAGCTCATTATAGCCGTTTTAGCCATTATATAAAACTTAACACCAATCAACATCTGACACGTCATCGTCCTCTTTTTTCCAGCCTGTCGCTTTTAAACTTTTTTTTTTCTTCGCTTTGCAATGCACAACTGTTTGTTTACACGTGTCACATTTTCCCTCTCGCTTTCTCTATTTCGCTCTCTCTTACTTCTTCCCCGCACTTCCCGGAGACGACGCCGGAGGAAAATCGTACGGAAACTTTGCTTCGACTTCACGTGGCCGCTCTACGAAGCGCTATCTTTCTCTCTCTCTAGAAAACTTCGTTTTACCACCAATCGAACGAGAGGAGAGAGGGAGAGAGAGAAGGTGAATTTTGGGTTATTGGTGGAGAGCGATTATCGGAAGAGCCAGAGAAAGAAATAAGCAGCTTCTTCATCCTCCCTCATCGTTGGACCGTGACTTTTGTTTTCTTCAGGTTTGATCCGTCTTTTTTTCCTCTCTTAATTTCTCTCAGTTTTTCTTTTTGCCCTCTTTTTACTTTTTTTCCTAGCTTTTCTTCGAAACCTTTTTTCTGGAAAAGAGAAGAAGATTAAAATCGGAATTAGGGCTTTGAATTTGATGTGTATAGAGAGATTTGATTGTGGAACTTTTATCGTTGTAGCTTAAAGCGCAAAAAAAAGATGACTGGCGTTGGCGAGAATCAGCTTATCTCCATTCAACCTGATGAGCTCAAATTTCTCTGTAAGAATCTTCGTTAATCTATGGCAAAGATCGTGATATGCATTGTCTCATCTATACTTAATTTGTGAAATGTAAATGACAAATGGGTTCTCTTGAATTTGCCATCTTTTGTTCTCTAGAGATTTCGAATTTGTGTGAATCATTGCTTGCTTTCCTCTTGTTTACACCAAAATTCAAACTTTTGTTAACTTCTTTGTGCTTTTGAGGTTCTGACTTTAGATAATGTAAATGTTTGGGATTGATTGATTCTTTTGGTTATTAAGAAAATTGCTGTTTGAAACTTTTGGAGGGTCCTCCTTTTGGATGACATTGGAATTATTGATTTCGTTTGCAGTTGAACTCGAGAAACAAAGCTACTGTGATCTTAAAGTTGCCAATAAAACAGAGCACTATGTTGCTTTCAAGGTAATTCTGCATCAAACCACCATTTCATATGCTTTCTTTTATGATCAAGTTATTTCATGCGTTACAATGAATTATTTTATTGTGTGTTTTTCTTCAAAAAACCAGGTGAAAACAACATCTCCAAAGAAGTATTTTGTAAGACCTAACACTGGTGTCATTCAGCCATGGGACTCTTGCATCATTAGAGGTACAATGCTTCTTCATAACTCTTTCTTCTTTCATTAGCAGTTTAAAACTTGAACATGGAGATGATTAAGCTCTTCTAAATTCTAGTTACTCTACAAGCGCAACGGGAGTATCCTCCAGATATGCAGTGCAAAGACAAATTTCTTCTGCAAAGTACCATTGTACCTCCACACACTGATGTGGATGAACTTCCACAAGACACTGTAAGAAATCCAAGTTTAAAACTTTTTTTAATTCAGATTCTTGTTTCCGCAGTTTTGGGAAAACAAATTGACATTATATTTGCAACACTTGTGTCTAGTTCACCAAGGACAGTGGAAAGACATTAACAGAATGTAAGCTCAAAGTCTCTTATATTTCCCCGTCTACAACCCAAAGATCCTCTGAATCCGGAGCAACAAATGGTGATGGACAAAGCTCGGAAACCATCTCTGTGAGTACCAACTACTCCCACCTATATAATTTAATCTGCATCACTACTCGGATTTCTAAGTCAATAACTTGTGTGAATCATTTTTTGCTAACCTGTTATGATTATAGCAAAATTCTTTTAGTATGATGATATACCATGGACCTCTTGCATAGACAGACACCATATCAATAGTCCCTTTCCTGTGATGCCTGTGTGCAAGAAATGTTGTTCAAAGTTTCATTCAAATCCCAGACTTTCTAGTATTCACACTTTTGGTTTTCAAGGAATATAAACTGTAATGAGGGACTTAGTTGATTTGGTTGGGACAGTGAGACATACATTGGTTTTCAAAGCTTTTAACTTTTTGTCTCGGTTATTATACCTTTCTTCATAAGGTGAACAAATGTACCTCACAGTATCTCACAAGTGACCACATTCATAGCTTAAGAAAGATTAATTCGTGTCTTGTTTTAATCATCATTCTGGACGTTTATACCATCAATATGTATGAACAGACTATACAGCGGCTGAAGGAAGAGCGAGATGCAGCCGTTAAGCAAACACAACAGCTGCAACATGAATTGGTATGCTTCCATGAGCCTTTCCTTGATATTTTAGCATTGGTTAATGCTTGCAATCATATTACCATTCAGGCAAAATCATGTGAACATAACAGTCCTTAATAACAAAGGATACTGCCTAACATGTTTTTGAACGACATTGCAGGAAACGGTGAGGAGGCGGAGAAACCAGAGGAACAGCGGAAATGGGCTATCCTTGAAGTTGGCAGCTATGGTTGGACTCATCGGACTCATCATCGGTTTCATCCTAAAACTCACCTTAGCTTCTCCCACATAACAACTCTTGAGCTTCTCCGCATCGCCTACCATCTCAGTATATGTAACTGCGGAATCAAAACAGATTCATATATTTTCGGGTATTTTAATCTTCTAAATTTGGGCTTATTTCTATCCCTCTCTTTCTTTCTCCTAATGTTCTACACGTTTCTTCCATCAAATTTTCTTCTTTTTTTCAGTTATATTTTATGTACATTTTTGACCCAACAGACCATTTCATCATTGGATTTTACTTGTCCACTTATTCAGTCCTCTTGTGCTTTATTGAAAATGACTAATCCTTTGTATTTTTTACCGCTTTGCGAAGTAATTCTGTTACAATTAGCCACCAAGCCTTTAAATGAAAACTTGATGAGCATATGAGCTTTTGTTTAAATTGATGAATATGCATAATATTGGTTTTTTTTTTTTTATCAATTCGACCAAAATCTTCTTTTTCTGGAAGATTGCTTCATCAGAAAATCACTATGGCTTTATGTGAACAGTCTCAAAGTCATAAACAAATATTAGTAATAGCAAGTTAACAACAATTGAAGAAAGATTACAGTAAGAAAACAGAATTAAATCTCTCAGAGAGTAACTAACTCCACCAATACAAGCTTCTTCCACTTCTGGTCTAGATTGATAAAACACTCTGATCACTTTCTTCAGCTCTGCTTTGACGTTTACCTCTGACTAAAACCATTTACCTTTATGGATTGTTACTGCTCCTTTCTTTCACTTGTTCTATCTCCATTTTTTTTTCTTTTTGAATGAATGTAAAATTTATTCACCAAAAAAAACCATTGTTACATCAAGTGCATCTCTTTTGAGTTTTGGGACACATATTTTGACAATTGATTATAAATTAGATCCTAGTGGAAAGCCAAAATATAAAGAGGTCATCAGATTTTGTATTTCCGGTTGTCAGAAGCAAGGTGATCCGATTGCGAATATTCTTGTTGATGGTTTTCCCAATAGTCAATGCTGTGATAGGGTCCTCTTCATGCCGTCGATTGTTCCTCTCTCTCCATAGGGTGTGGAGTGTGGACTGCGATTTGGAGCGCATATCGCAGGAGCAAAAGCGCTTTCCTCTCAAGAGTTAAACTAGAGATGAGAAAAGTGATTTGATCCCACTCAATGTGTAATTGTCTTGAAGTATCCCTTTTGCTAGTTTTTCCCAAACTTGTCTTGAATAATGGCCCTGGACGAATAGATGGTTTATTGTCTCTACCGGTTCATCGCAGAATTTACATGAGACATCTACTTGTGCGTTCCACTTCCCCATTCGAACTCCCGTTGTCAATCTTTCGTGCATTGCAAACCACGTAATGAAAGCAAACTTTGGTGTAGCTTCAGAGAACCAAACACCTTTAGTCCAACTGCAGATTGGTTGTTCTACTCTCAAGATTTTCCATGTGAATTTTTTTTTACTTTACTCTTTCCGCCTAAAAGAAAAACAACATTGCGAAATAGATCATAATGAATGAAAAAAATTGTCAAACATAAAGGTTTTTTTTTAAAAGATGCAAAATTGAAGGAGACACTGATTTAGGATTTGAGTTATAATATTGAATCAAAAGTTTTAACAGAGAAATTTACCTGAGAACAGAGTAATCTTCTAGATGTGAAAATTCATGCAAGCTAAGTGAAAATGTAAAATAGATAAATAATGTAACACGTTTAAAGTAACTTGTATGTATTTATTAATTAGGGTATCCAAGCCTTGTTTAAACCAATTTTAGTCGGATTTATAACTGTAATTTATCTTTACCATTAACCCTAATTTCTTCTACGCGAGTGGCTCATACTCATAGAGATTGCAAAACCCTAAGGTGTGGTGCGATTAGGTATGGTTGGGGAACGACAAGCCGAAGCCAATCTGGTTAGATTATTCTCTCTCTCTCTGCTCTCATGATGACATGCCCTCTGGTTATGCTCGTTTGATACGAAACTGGCTTTTGATTTGTCGTTTCCTGTAATGGGGTTTGTTTCTCTTTTGTTCCTATACTTAGAAATTTTAAACTCTTGTGTTAAAAGTCTAAAACAGAGACAAAGGATTGAATCCGAGTTTCTGGTTGTTGTGATCTTCAAACCTTGTTCTGTGTTTCTTTGATTAGCTATCAATTTACAAGTTAGATTTTGACTTTAGACTTTAGACAGAGAGCATGCATGCATAATAGAAAAGCTTATTTCATTTTCACAAACACACATTTTCACCTGCTAAATTACCAACTCCCACTTCCTACATAACAACTACTACTAGACCATATACTTAGCTTTATATTGTAGTCTAAGTTCACAAGTAAACAAAAGTAACGTTACCACTTACCACCAACTTCCTTTGCTTGTAAGAACTTGTTGAGTGTCTTAAAAGCTTGAGCCTTTCGGCACGAATTTGTGTAGCTCAGATTGTGATTTCACCAAAGTACTTCAACCTCACTGTTATTAGCTCATTGACTTGCATTGCTCTGTAATATTTTTTACCGTTTTCTTGTTCGATGCTCTTGCAGTAATAAGTACTCTGAATTTCCAAATGATTTCTATTCAACCTAACTGTTAGCTCATTGACTTTGCATTGCTTTGTCTCTTTTAAAAGAAAAAGTTTATAATGATGTGATTTACGTACAGGTCTATGGTGATATTAAGCTTGGTTCCTTTGAGAGATCGTTTAAGAGCACTCGGCAAAGGAAACTTTATCTGCTACGCCTGCTAATGAAGCAATTCAGAGCGGTGCAAGAATTGATCAATGATTTCGCATTTTCGCATCCCGAGTTATCTGCAAAGGAAACTTCATCTGGCAGTGCAAGAACAACTTCTTGGATGAAAGATGAGATTGTCATGCACACACAACTCTCTACCGTCACTAGAACTAGAAGCTCATCAATGTCCTTGACCACAAACGAACGACGTTTAGAGGAGCTAGCAAACGACATAAAATGGAGGAAGATTAATCTTGATCTTCAATTCAGAAAATTAGTCTTATCACAGAAGAAGCTGGCACGATTCTATACAGAAGAAGCTGGCATAAAAAGAAGGGAGATTAATGTTTGATTTATCGTTTCCTCTTATATGGGTTTGTTTCACTTTTGTTCGTATACTTGATATTTAGGTTTTTCTGTATGTGATAAAAGTATAGTTTAACACTTGTGAAGAGAAGCAACCATTGTTGTTGTTTTAACACTTGTGGAAAACAAATAAACAGATTAGAATGGTTGGATTCATTTTTTTCTCAACTTTTCAAAGGAAAATTTATTAAGCTAATACAAATATTAGTTCATGTACTTTAAGATAATATTGCTTTTAAAATATGAAGCGTGGGTCCAAAAGATCCAAGGTCCAATAACAAGTTTTCTGAAATGTCTAATCTTTGAAATCACAGAGAAAGCCTAAAGTCTCATTCTTTAGAATGGATAATCGTTTAGACTTGGACTATGGAGTCTGGTCTTGACGACTCCATAGCAATTGATGTTTTGCAGTGTCGAGAAGTGGATGACGATCCAGATCCAGAAACTAGAACAAGTTGTGTTTTTATGACTTGTAGCCTTAGCTAATCTATGTTGTATGACTTTAGCCTTATCTAATCCTATGTTGTAGTGTGTGGAGCATAATGATAAAATGAAGATTGTCTAATTCACTTGAAAAAAATGACTATTTCTTAATTCTATACAAACTTAATACTCAAATGAGTAATAATAATAATAAGAAAACAAAGACAACTAATTTAAGTTTGAATAATACTTATGTGTGTGTGTGTGTGTTTGACAAAACAAATACGAAACATGCATCTAGAATAACATAAGAATTTGTCTTGGGCCATGAGGCCTCTTAGCCCACTTAATTATTTTCTTGTACAAAACACATTAGGTTAAACGTATGTATATCGTCGTGTATATAAGACATTTGTCTTGGAACAGAATCAATAAGAAGCATATTTTACAAACTCAATCCCTATTTTGACATGGTATCAGAGCAAAACCTAACTACTAAAAGGTTTTGTGCTTGATCTTGTGATCTCTACTTCCGCTACAAGAAATCACTTCTCTCAAATTCTGTTCATCTTCTTCCTTTGTTTGACCTATTTTTCGTCAATTCTTTCTTTGACAAAACACCTTCACGATGAGCACCGAAGCTGCTCTCACCACCACTACGGCACCGGTGCGGCGAACTATCTCGCCATATGACCTAACCTCCAGCGATAATCCAGGCACTTTGATCTCAAAACCGCTTTTGCGTGGTCCCAACTACGATGAATGGGCCACCAATTTGCGCTTAGCTTTAAAAGCTAGGAAGAAGTTTGGCTTCGCTGATGGTTCAATTCCTCAACCTGTTGCAACAGATCCCGACTTCGAAGATTGGATAGCTAACAATGCTCTTGTTGTTTCGTGGATGAAGCTCACCATTCATGAGAGTATCTCCACCTCTATGTCTCATCTTGACGACTCTCACGAGCTGTGGTCACACATTCAAAAACGATTTGGAGTTAAGAACGGGCAAAGAGTTCAACGTCTCAAAACAGAGTTAGCTACATGTCGCCAAAAAGGCTTACCCATTGAAACATATTACGGGAAGCTTTCACAGCTATGGAGGAGCTTAGCCGATTATCAACAAGCTAAGACGATGGAAGAGGTTCGGAAAGAGCGTGAGGAAGACAAACTTCATCAATTCCTCATGGGTCTTGACGAATCCGTGTATGGTGCCGTCAAATCTGCATTGCTCTCTCGCATTCCACTACCTTCTCTCGAGGAAGCATACAACACTTTGACTCAAGACGAGGAGTCTAAATCCTTGAGTCGTCTGAACGATGAAAGGAATGACGGTGTTAGCTTTACGGTTCAAACTTCCCCACGAACACGAACTTTCACCGAGAGCAGAGATTCACTTGAAAACAGAGTCTGCTCTTACTGTGGCCGTGTTGGTCATTTAGCCGAAAATTGCTTCAAGAAGATCGGGTATCCACCATGGCTTGAAGAAAAACTACGCACTCGCAACAATGCATCTGCTTCACGTGGAAATAATTCAGCAACTAGTAATGGCAGAGGCTCCGGAATTTCTTTTAAAGGAAAACAGAGTGTTGGGCGTGGTACATCTGCAAACCATGTTTCCTCCGGTGTAAGTGCCAACTCTGCGATTACTTCTAATTCTCCATTAACTGATGCCGATCGGGTTGGAATCAGCGGTCTTAGTGACACTCAATGGCAGCAGCTTCGACAGATGCTTGAAGAACGAAATCAAACCTCCACGGATACTCGTTCTGGTAAGTTTTTCATTGAGTCTTGGATTATTGATTCAGGCGCAACTAATCACATGACTGGAACTCTTGAGTTTTTACGTGATGTATGCGATATGCCTCCTGTTTTGATTAAACTTCCGGATGGAAGGTTCACTACAGCCACAAAACACGGACGTGTTAATTTAGGCTCCACTCTAGAGCTCCATGAAGTTTTCTTCGTTGATGGACTCCATTGTCACTTAATCTCAGTTTCACAGTTAGCTAAAGCAAGAGGCTGCATCTTTCAAATTACTGACAAAGTGTGTATTATTCAGGACCGCATCACTATGACTCTGATTGGAGCTAGTAGGCAGCACCATGGATTATATTTCTTAAGAGGAATGGAGACCGCAGCAACAATGACACGAGTGGATTCATCTTCTTCGCAGTTGTGGCATTGTCGTTTAGGACATCCTTCCTTGAAAGCTTTAAAGATGTTGCAGTTTTCAGATTTTAGTAGCAGTGATTTTGATTCAAAGACTTGCGAGATATGTATTAGAGCTAAACAAACAAGGGATCCTTTTCCTTTGAGCAGTAATAAAACTACGTTTGCTTTTGAATTAGTGCATTGTGATCTATGGGGTCCTTATAGGACTACTTCAATCTGCGGGTCTAGTTACTTTCTCACAATCGTAGATGATTATTCAAGGGCAGTGTGGTTGTATCTCTTACCTTCTAAACAAACAGCTCCGATGCATCTCAAGAATTTTATTTCTCTTGTCGAAAGACAATTCTCTACTAAGATCAAAACCATTCGGAGTGACAATGGTACGAAGTTTGTTTGTTTATCATCATTCTTCGCTGAACAAGGCATCATTCATGAGACGTCTTGTGTCGGTACACCACAACAAAACGGTCGCGTTGAAAGGAAACATAGACACATTTTAAATGTAGCTCGTGCACTTCGTTTTCAAGCTCACTTACCGGTTGAATTTTGGAGTTATTGTGCTCTTACCGCAGCTTATCTCATCAATAGAACACCGACTCCACTTCTTAAAGGCAAGACACCATTTGAACTGATTTATAATCGCCCTCCGCCTATGAATCACATCCGTGTTTTTGGATGCATTTGCTATGTTCACAATCAAAAGCACGGCGGTGACAAGTTTGAAAGTCGAAGTAACAAATCGATATTTCTCGGATATCCATTTGCAAAGAAAGGATGGCGTGTCTACAATATTGATACTGGTAAAATCTCCATTTCTCGTGATGTTGTTTTTAAAGAAACAGAGTTTCACTTCCAACTCTCCGACATTGATATTTTGTCTTCGTCGGCTCCGGATGAATTTTTTGCTGATGATCCGTCAAACACATCACCGGTGTTATCCTCCACCACTCAGGAAACTCCGGTCACCACTGCTCCCGCAACTCCGGTCACCACTACTCCCGCAACTCCGGTTTCAATTGTTGCTCTGCCATCCTCTGTCTTGCCCACTGTTCTCGTTGATGAAACTGAAATTGCTACCACTGATTCTTCTAGTCTCGACGACGACAGTTCCGATATTGAGGAGATCCCTTCTCCAACGACGCCGGCATCTGCTCCATCCTCTCCCGTATCTCCGATTTCCTCCACTTCGTCGTCTGATACGGCATCACCGGAAATTGAGGTTCTCGGGAAAGGCAAGCGAGCTAAGTTTCCACCAGTTAAATTAGCTGATTATGTCACCACTCTTATGCATCAACCTTATCCCTCAGCTACTCCGTATCCTATCGATAACTACATATCAAGTTCCCAATTTTCTGAAAATTATCAGGCTTATCTTCTTGCTATCACTTCTGGTACTGAACCATATAGCTACAAAGAGGCCATTTTAGATGAAAATTGGCGCAATGCAGTGACTGATGAAATTGTGTCTCTTGAGGATCTTGGTACTTGGACTGTTGAGGATTTACCTCCAGGAAAGAAAGCACTCGGTTGTAAATGGGTTTTCCGTCTCAAATACAAATCGGATGGTACTCTTGAACGCCATAAAGCAAGGTTAGTGGTTCTTGGTAACAATCAAACTGAAGGTATTGATTATTCCGAAACTTTTGCTCCCGTTGCTAAGATGGTTACCATTCGCGCTTTCCTTCAACAAGTTGCCTCCATGGATTGGGAAGTCCATCAAATGGACGTCCACAATGCTTTTCTTCACGGTGATCTCGACGAGGAAGTCTACATTCAATTTCCTCCGGGGTTCCGACCCGATGATAAAAGCAAGGTCTGTCGGTTACGAAAAGCTTTATATGGTTTGAAACAAGCTCCTCGTTGTTGGTTTGCTAAGCTCACTACCGCTCTTAAAGAATATGGATTCACACAGGACATCTCGGATTATTCTCTTTTTACTCTTGAAAGACAAGGCTCACGGCTACACGTCCTTGTATATGTAGATGACTTGATCATTACGGGTTCTACACTTGCCATCATCAATGAGTTTAAACAATATCTCAGTGCTTGTTTCTACATGAAAGACCTTGGTGTTCTCCGCTATTTCTTGGGTATAGAGGTAGCTCGGAGTCCTACGGGAATTTATTTGTGTCAACGAAAGTATGCCATCGACATCATCTCTGAAACCGGCTTACTAGGAGTCAAACCAGTCTCTCATCCCTTGGAACAAAACCACAAGCTTGGTTTAGCTTCTGGTGCTACCATCTCCGATCCTGCTAGGTATCGTCGTCTTGTAGGAAGGTTGATTTATCTTGGTACTACTCGGCCGGAACTGTCATATGCCATACACATACTCTCTCAGTTCATGCATGATCCCAAATCCGCTCACTGGGAAGCTGCCTTACGTGTTGTTCGCTACCTTAAATCAAGTCCTGGACAAGGTATTCTCCTTCGCGCAAACACGACTTTGGTTCTAACCGGTTGGTGTGATTCTGATTTTAGTAAATGTCCAATGACACAAAGATCTCTCACGGGATGGTTTATTCAATTAGGAGGCTCTCCTATATCATGGAAAACAAAGAAACACGATGTTGTTTCTCGTTCATCCGCCGAAGCCGAGTATCGCGCTATGGCTGACACTGTAAGTGAGCTTCTCTGGCTTCGCGCTCTTCTTCCTGCTCTTGGTATTAAATGTGACGCACCAATCACTTTGTACTCGGACAGTCTCTCTGCTATTAGCTTGGCTAAGAATCCGGTTTATCATGCTCGTACTAAGCATGTTGGTAGGGACGTTCATTTTGTTCGTGATGAGATCATTAATGGTACAATTGCTACGAAGCACGTCAAGACGACGTCGCAGCTTGCGGATATCATGACAAAGGCTCTTGGAAAACGAGAGTTTGAAGCGTTTATTCTCAAGCTGGGTATTTGCAATCTCCATACTCCAGCTTGCGGGGAGGTCTTGGGCCATGAGGCCTCTTAGCCCACTTAATTATTTTCTTGTACAAAACACATTAGGTTAAACGTATGTATATCGTCGTGTATATAAGACATTTGTCTTGGAACAGAATCAATAAGAAGCATATTTTACAAACTCAATCCCTATTTTGACAATTTGTGGTGAGTGAATGCCATGTGGATGATCATATAGGCATGCACAAAGTGTTTCACACAACAAAGCCAATGGCTATTTTGCATGTTGTGCCTGCTTCTTTAACTGAACTAAGGACAAATCACATTTCATCTTCTCCCTTAAGAAAGACTCCATAAAGAAGAAGAAAAAAGACACAACAACAGAGAAAAAAAATGGCAGAAGAGAGATCAAAGTTAACAACAAACCACTTGTATTATCATCGGATTATTCTTTGTTCCTTTCTTATCATCTCACAAGTTTCCATTGCCTCAAGCAACACTAGTAGTGTAGGAGTTAACTGGGGAACAATGGCGAGCCACCAGCTTCCACCAGAAAACATCTTAGACGCTGTAATTTGGCTCAGTCATCGAATGCACGAGAAGGATCCATATAATACTCTTCTGCGGCATCTCGAAATTCTTTTATTGCCTTTGCGTAGTCTTTGAACCGTTCCAGATGTTCTTCTTCTAGTCTTCGTATTTCTTCTATGTTTTTATAAGCGTTATCCTCATTAGGATAAAAAGGTTTTCCATTTTTTAAGTCTCTGTTGTTGGGAAACATGTAATCATAGCATTAGTTAGTGAACCGGTATCAGCCCAATTCTAAAAAATAAGGGGTGGGGGATAGATCTACCTCATCATTTGTCCAATTGAAGCCAAAAGGTCTTGAGTGCTTTGAGCAGACCACCCTCTTTCATATGGGAGCACTTCTAGTAAATGCTCTCGGCATTGTATCAGAATTTGGTATTTTTGGCTTTCCATATCACTTAACCACAGTAGGAGAGCTTCTAGTCTTCGAGATTTCCTTTTCTGTCTGCAAATCTCCAACATGGCGTAACAAATGACGAAACATAACAGAGAGAGCCAAACATAAACAACAGTAGAGCTGAGTCCATAACACTCAATACCGAGAGTGGCATCTTTCTCAACAAGCTCATAGAGGTAAACCTCTGAAACAGTGAGTTTACTCAATGGTTGTGAAACAGTTTGTTTACTCAAGCGAGCTATCAATTCTTTTAACCACAATTCACTGTAGATCCATCTCGCATGGAACTCACTGGCATCGTTGATTCCTGATCTAGGCAAACCAGTCTCCGCCACAATCACCGGAAGATTCTCGTGGCCCCTGACGGCCATAGAGCCAATCACAACATCAACCATCATATCAAAGAGTTTAACTCCGGTAGTAAGATCGTCTCTGAAATTCAATGGAAGTTTTTTAAAGAGATCAATTCCAATTGGATTCGAGCATCTGGATCTGAAGACATTGTAGGGACAAAAACTGATTAGCAAAGATGAGTCTGTTTCTTCAAGGAATTGCAAAATCGGCGAGATATTAATCGCCTCTGATTTGTTCAATTTCGCCGCCGACGAAGGGATGATGTCAAGGAAAGAGAACGTCGTGGATACAGATATACCGTAGATTCTCAGATCTGAGAGAGATTTGTGAACGTTCTGCATAGCGCGGAGGAGAAAAAACGGCGAAACCTCCGGCGAATATGTAATCAGTTCGTTTCCGACGGAAATTGTTGAGATCTTGGTGCGACGATGGAATGGAAGCACATGGATATGGACCCAACGCATCGCGAGCGAACGATTTGAAGCAAGGATAGGAACTAGAGTATTCGGGACAGAGAGGAGGAGAGATACGTTGGTGTAAGCAAAGGCGCTAATCACCGCCGGATTCGAGTCGAGAAGCCTCACCGACGGAATCTTCATGGAAACAAACTTCGCGGCGATTCTTTTCGTCCAGAGTTCGACGGAGCCGGAAATGGAAGCTGGAGCCGAGTAGGTGAATCCGATCGTCGTGTGGGAGATAGTCGTCGACCTAGCTATGGCGGTTAGGGCGATAAGGAGGAAGAGATTTAGAGAGTGAGACTTCATCTTCTGTTTCTCTGAGAATTTTCTCTCAGGAAGAAGACGACGATTCTGTTAGAGCCTGAATAATTCTCTGTGATAAGTCTAGCATAGACAACTATCCTCGGCGGGAAAGGAGAAAGTGATTCTCTGCAACAGCTGAACTCTGATACAGTAGTCACTCATCACGCACTCTTATCTAGGGAAGTTAAAAGGGTTTCAAAACCCGGCCCGTTACGGCCCAGTACAAGCTCGGCCCTTTATCTTGGATGTGTTGAAAGTAGATCAGGTCTTGCTGTTAGCATCCAAAAGACTTCCTTGTTCTGTGCAGGTTTTAAAACTCATGATTTAGAGCAAATCAAACAAGCTTCGAAACTCTCAGTTGGTTCTCTTCCGATTAGATACCTTGGTGTTCCCCTCTGCACAAAGAAGATCACCTTGCTGCAGTGTGCTCCTCTTATCCAGTCAATCAAATCCAAGCTTCACTCATGGACGGTCAAGTCTTTATCCTTTGCAGGAAGGTTGCAGCTGCTGTCAACAGTAATTGCAGGAATTTTAACCTTTTGGTCAAGTTCTTTCAGAAATAAACTCCATTTCTGCTAGATTTCTTTGGAAAGGTAAAACAGAAGGGCTTACCTCGGCTAGAGTCTCTTGGGAGAATGTGACTCGAAGGAGGTCTTGGGTTGAAACACACATCCATCTGGAATATTGCTTCAAGCCTGGTTCCATTTGGGCTCATTGGTACACTAGAGAGGTATTGGATGGAAACATTAATAATTTCTGGGTCATCAAAAACAAAAATACTCATGGCTAGCTAACCAGCTGTTGCAACTACGAGATTTAGCTTACCCATGGATCAAACAATTTGTTGGTAATGGGGAGAATTGCTAATTCTGGTTAAGCAACTGATCTCCATTTGGGAATATCAGAGACTACCTTTCACTTGAAGGATCAGTAAGAATTGGTATCTCTCAGTCATCAACTTTAGCCGAATTGTGGGAGAATGGAAACTCAGGTGAGAATCCAAAGTTTTCTCTCAACACTCATATGAATGGTGGCCAAACAATCTGAAGTCCGACAAATATTGTACAAGTGTCGTCTATAACTTGCTCAGAGAACCCAAACCGCTTGTTACCTGGTCCGGAGAGGTCTGGTTTTTTGGAGGAATTCCCAGACATAAATTCCTCACTTGGCTCTGGGATATTCTCTCTCGAAGATGCAACTTTAGCTCCTCTCGAAATTGGGATACACTTCTCTCCCAACTGCGTGTATACACTACCTCCAAGCCAAATCGAAAACTTCTGTTAATTACATGGCAAGCGTCGATTTGCTTCATCATCTCTTTCAACTACTCACTCACTCGTCTTCTCTCTATTCCCCTCGTCAAGTCCGAAAGATCAAGTTGGGTACTCAAATTTCTGGCGTTGGCGAGAATCAGCTTATCTCCATTCAACCTGATGAGCTCAAATTTCTCTGTAAGAATCTTCGTTAATCTATGGCAAAGATCGTGCTATGCATTGTCTCATCTATACTTAATTTGTGAAATGTAGTCAATGAGAAAAGGGTTCTTTCGAATTTGCCATCTTTTGTTCTCTAGAGATTTGTGTCAATCATTGCTTGCTTTCCTCTTGTTTACGCCAACATTCAAAGTTTTGTTAACTTCTTTGAGCTTTTGAGGTTCTGACTTTAGATAATGTTGATTCTCTTGGTTATTAAGAAAATTGCTGTTTGAAACTTGTGGAGGTCCTCCTTTTGGATGACATGGGAATTATTGATTTCGTTTGCAGTTGAACTCGAGAAACAAAGCTACTGTGATCTTAAAGTTGCCAATAAAACAGAGCACTTTGTTGCTTTCAAGGTAATTCTGCATCAAACCACCAACTTCATATGCTTTCTTTCATGATCAAGATATATCGTGCTTTACATTGAATTCTTTTTTTTTTGTGTGTTTTTCTTCAAAAAACCAGGTGAAAACAACATCTCCAAAGAAGTATTTTGTAAGACCCAACACTGGTGTCATTCAGCCATGGGACTCTTGCATCATCAGAGGTACAGTGGTTCTTCATAACTCTTTCTTTCATTGGCAGTTTAAAACTTGAACATGGAGATGATTAAGATCTTGTAAATTCTAGTTACTCTACAAGCGCAACGGGAGTATCCTCCAGATATGCAGTGCAAAGACAAATTTCTTCTGCAAAGTACCATTGTACCTCCACACACTGATGTGGATGAACTTCCACAAGACACTGTAAGAAATCCAAGTTTAAAACTTTTTTTAATTCAGATTCTTGTTTCCGCAGTTTTGGGAAAACAAATTGACATTATATTTGCAATACTTGTGTCTAGTTCACCAAGGACAGTGGAAAGACATTAACAGAATGTAAGCTCAAAGTCTCTTATATTTCCCCGTCTACAACCCAAAGATCCTCTGAATCCGGAGCAACAAATGGTGATGGACAAAGCTCGGAAACCATCTCTGTGAGTACCAACTACTCCCACCTATATAATTTAATCTGCATCACTACTCGGATTTCTAAGTCAATAACTTGTGTGAATCATTTTGCTAACCTGTTATGATTATAGCAAAATCCTTTTAGTATGATGATATACCATGGACCTCTTGCATAGACAGACACCATATCAATAGTCCCTTTCCTGTGATGCCTGTGTGCAAGAAATGTTGTTCAAAGTTTCATTCAAATCCCAGACTTTCTAGTATTCACACTTTTGGTTTTCAAGGAATATAAACTGTAATGAGGGACTTAGTTGATTTGGTTGGGACAGTGAGACATACACTGGTTTTCAAAGCTTTTAACTTTTTGTCTCGGTTATGATACCTTTCTTCATAAGGTGAACAAATGTACCTCACAGTATCTCACAAGTGACCACATTCATAGCTTAAGCAAGATTAATTCGTGTCTTGTTTTAATCATCATTCTGGACGTTTATACCATTTATATGTATGAACAGACTATACAGCGGCTGAAGGAAGAGCGAGATGCAGCCGTTAAGCAAACACAACAGCTGCAACATGAATTGGTACGCTTCCATGAACCTTTCCTCGATATTTTAGCATTGGTTAATGCTTGCAATCATTTCTATTCAGACAAAATCATGTGAACATAACAGTGCTTAATAACTAAGGATACTGCCAAACCTGTTTGCAGGAAACGGTGAGGAGGCGGAGAAACCAGAGGAACAGCGGAAATGGGCTATCCTTGAAGTTGGCAGCTATGGTCGGACTCATCGGACTCATCATCGGTTTCATCCTAAAACTCACCTTAGCTTCTCCCACATAACAACTCTTGAGCTTCTCCGCATCGACTACCATCTCAGTATATGTAACTGCGGAATCAAAACAGATTCACATATATTTTCGGGTATTTTAATCTTCTAAATTTAGGCTTATTTCTATCCCTCTATTTCTTTCTCCTCCTAATGTTCTACACGTTTCTTCCATCAAATTTTCTTCTTTTTTTTCAGTTATATTTTATGTACATTTTTGACCCAACAGACCATTTCATCATTGGATTTTACTTGTCCACTTATTCAGTCCTCTTGTGCTTTATTGAAAATGACTAATCCTTTGTATTGTTTACCACTTTGTGAAGGAATTCTGTTACAATTATGTTATCGATCACTGCATCACTTAAATGAATCAACCATTCTAATCCTATGTTGTAGTGTGTGGAGCCTAAACAATGAAGATTGTCTAATTCACTTGTAAAAAATGACTATCAATTGTTTCTTAATACTATACAAACTTAATACTCAAATGAGTAATAATAATAAGAAAACAAAGCCAAGTAACTAAATTTGAATAATACTTATGTCATATGTGTGTGTGTGTGTGTTTGTTTGACACAACAAATACGAAACATCTAGAATAGGGTACCCTCTAGAATAACATAAGAATTTGTGGATTATCAGATTAGGCATGTACAAAGTGTTTAACATAAGCGGTTTCAAAACCCGGCCCGTCACGGCCCAGTACAAGCTCGGCCCTTTATAAACCTGTGTTGTATTTATCGATCTCACTACTTATTTGTAGAAATTAACCCTAGATCTTATTCTAATCAGGAGGAATCCAATTATAGATGAGATCAGAGTGGGTTTCTCCATCACCGGTTACTATGGTTGTGAATTGGCTCGCCGGGAAACGCAGCAATCCGATACATGGTTTCGAAAAAGCGATAGACCGGCTAAACAAGGTATCTATCATCCGATTTCATATGTCTTTGATCTTGTTTCTTCTTAAGACTGATTGCTTGAATTGTATCAGTAGTGTCATCATATACACACGTTTAGAATCCATTCTCAATTTTTTTTTTTTTTATCTTCTTTAGGGGCTTGAGCTCATTGAACAAAAGGAGAAATATTGCCTTGAGAAGGCTTCCATGGAATTTGAGATGGCAAAAGAACATTACGGGACTAATAACAAAAATCGTACGTACGACAACCAAAGCTTAACCTTCACTGTAGATTGGGTTTAATAATTAACAAAAACATGTTTTGTTGTCATAATGCAGGTGCTTTAAACTGTATTAAAAGGAAGCTGATAATGGAGGAATCAGCTCGACGTTATGTGCCTTTGCGCCTGGCTTTACGTGAAGAAGTGAGACTTTCTTTCGTTTATGTGGTTCTACTTGTACATCAGTTTATTTATTTTCCAACTTTCTTAATTAACACCATTTTGTTCCTTGTTTTAAACAGTTGATGTTAACGGAATTTATGAAGAACGAGTTTATTTCGGCTGAACGTCTGAAGAAGAAGAAGAAACTGATTGAAGAGTTGCGTTTGGAGCCAATGCTTATGTTTATTTGTTTTTGTTTTTTCCTTTTAATGCTAGCAATTAGCATATCAAATATATGATTTGGCTGAAGCCAATATTCTGGGGGTTTTTTTTGGTGACCTTTAGCTGCCTGCTGTGACAACAAAGAAGATTTTGTATATTCCTCCTTTGTTGTTATGTAATGAATTATGAATGGACACACCAGTATGCTTAAGACAAGAACTATTTATTATTAGTCTTTTTGGTGTGAGCCGAAAAAGAAGAACATGTTAAAAAGATATGAATTCTCTAAAATCTTTGAGGTACAGTAGCATTAGAGAAGCTTTAACTCATCAAAACCCAATAAAGTTTTCATTTTTATGTCTCCTTCACTTCTACAAGCAGAGAATAATTAATAAATTTTAATAAGTTAAAATCTTATTTTATTTGTATTAAGAACTATAAAATACCCCACCAGATGGGTGATAAGTTTGATAAGAATCAAACATAACATAACAAATATAACAAGAAATATAGACTATAACTTTTAAAATGTTGTCTAGATTTCATTATTAATATGTAAAAGTAAAATAAAAATTTAGAGGAACTATAAATTTGACTACATTAAAATTTCTACATATATTTTATTTATTTTACCATTCTATATAAAAATTTTATTTTAGTAATTTTTTCCATCCTAATAATAATAAAAGGATTAAAAATTGATATTGAAATAACAACAACAACAAAAGGAAAATATTACTTTGCTAAATAAGTAAAATTTATTTAATCAATGATTATATTATACTAGATATGGACCCGTGCGTTGCACGGGTTGCCGGTTAAAATAATCATTTTTAACTTTTAATTTTAATTTTTAAGCATAACTAAAATTATATAAATATATCTATTTAAGATAATGCAGCATTTTAATTATTTTTGAAATATAGATTTATAGTGTATATTGCGCACTATAAAATACCATTTGTAGTTACATGTTATACTAATTATTAAATTATCTAATATAAATATTAACCTATTTATAAAATTATATAATTTTTTGCTTATTATAAGTGTTCATAGGTTGTATTATTGAATTTTAATAAGTTATTTACTTCCATCGAAAGAGTGTATTACATCTTATAATTTCAATGTAGGCAAAATGAAAATAAACTATGACAATAAGCAAAGATAAAATTATATAGTTACGTGACATTGTCAACTTTTGGCTCATATTACCCATTTTTTCCTTCTATTTATTTATTTCGCTCGCCTGCGAGAAATTCTCAAATCTCTCTATTTCTCTCATTAGATTTTTCTTATTTTGTTTGAACCCCTCTTTCTCTCTCCTTCTCTTCCTATTTTTTTTCCCTGTCTCCATTTCTTTATTTCGTCAGACATCACCACCGAGTCTCACTACTCTGACCCACCACCACAAATGAATCTCACTACTATCACAATCACCACCACCATCAATACCGAATCTCGCTAATTTCGATCTACAATCTTCATCAACATTTATCGCCACCACCACCACCAAGCCTGAACCACCGTCATCAACACCAACACCACTGTTATCGCTTATTCTCCTCTTTTCCCAACTTTTCTTATTATTCCACCTTCTTTATCTTCTACGACATCAGGTCAAACCTCTCTGACAACAACTCTAGTCTATGTCCATCGCCGTTCATAATTCTTAATTTGCCTCCATTGCAATATATTCCTTGGTTATGAATATCACATGCTATTTTTAGAAAACCATCGTGATTCACAATGTTTGCTTTTATAATTAACATGATATATTTACAAAAAATGATAAATGCATGTGATTTTTACATGATCATGTTATTTTTAAAATCACCCAATCAGCACCTATATAACCATCAACCACCACCATCATCACCTCCATAACAATCACATGTTACTCCTATTTCTTTCAGTATGACATGCTATTTTATTAAATGATATTGTTGGATATCTCTATTTCGTCATCAGAATTCTAATATTGATTTTGTTTTCTTCAGATTTTTTCGTGTTATTAGTATTTATTTCATGATTTTTTCTCCAAATTGGAAAACGCAGTTGTATGTTTGTCTTTTGTTTGAGAGCCATTTTGAATTTTCATAACGTTAGTTTCCAAAACTTTTTTTAACTCATGGCCATTTCCTTAATTATTTTTGAGTCAAATGTTAGTTACTTATATTATCCTAAAAATACTTTATAACCAAGAAAAAGTTTTACCAATAGAATGAAGTTAAAACAACGGTGGTGTGTGAAGAAATTAGTTTGCTTGGTGAGAAAATATGAAACAACTTATTGTTTATATAAAGGTGATTATTTACAATCTTTTTTTATATGAATAATAACTGATTGTATAATTTCTTTAATCCTTTTTCTATTTTTAATTTTTTTTCTTGTACATTAGTAACTTATAAATAAAATGCTTAGCATAATTTTATAATCTCGATTTTTATAGAAAATATACATATAATTTCTTTATATATACGTGTATTTTTCTTACTATGATTTAACTGTTTAAATTTATAATTTTATTGAAAATATACATATAATTTCTTTATATATACGTGTATTTTTCTTACTATGATCTAACTGTTTAAATTTATAATTTTGGTATAATAATCTTTTAACAATTTTTATAATTATCTTTTAACAAAAATTTTGGTTGCTAGATGGCAAAATCTCTTATGGAAATATAGATACAATTTCCTTATAATTAGCTTTTTACATTTTAAAACTATTTACATTTTTTAATTTTCTTATAATTATGTTTTTAACTTTTTTATTAAAAAGGAAAAATTATTTGACACATGGCAAAATCTAAAATCGAAATATTTGACACATGTCACGATCTCGTGAGTTATTAACTTTGAAAACCATACTTTATATAATAAGATTGAAATCATGAATTTTTAATTTTTTTAGGAAACACTAGAATATCAATTGTTAGGGAAAAGTTAGATATAATGATTTTAAAATTGAGATATAGAGATTATTAACTAGAGAAATTGTTAAAAATGCTCATTTTTCAATATCCCTTTTCAAAAATGCCCCCTTTGAGAGTCCATTTTTAAGTTTGCCCTCTTTTAATTTTTAATAACCATTTTACCCTTATTTGAAACAAAATTAGGTCCACAAAATATAAAATATTTTTTGGCGGGAAAAGTGATCCCGCAATTTTCCCGCCAAAACACTTGTAAAAACCTTTAAAATACCTTGTAAAATTTTCCCGTAAAAATTTTTCCTGCCAAAAAAATTTTTTTGCGGGAAAAGTGATTCCGCAATTTTTTTGGCGGGAAAATTTTACAAGGTATTTTAAAGGTTTACAAGGTATTTTAAGGGCAAACTTAATATCAATAAGAGAATGAAGTGAATGCCCAAATTATAAAACAAATCTGAATTGGGTCCAAGAGATCCAACTTGAAAGCCCAAAAAGGTCCAATATTAAACAAAATCTCTGAATCCTCTCTAATCTTTCAAATCAAACAGCCCATAAAGACTCTCCCTTTAAAGCCCAAAAAGGTCCAATATTAAACAAAGTTCTCTGAACTGTATAATCTCTCAAATCAAACGGAAGCATAAAGTCTCTTCCTTTAACAGTTTCGCCGATTTCGAATTCCGAAGCTTTTTAGAATGGAGAAACGTTCAGATACAGAGCCTGCAGAGAGTTCAGAGATTTTGGGCGATTGGGATTTGTCTCCTCCTCCGGTGAATCCGGAAGAAAGAATTGTAATGGTTTCTGTTCCCACTTCACCAGAATCTGAAGATGTGAGATCCAATCAACCGAAAGAGATTGAAACTAGGGTTTCAGACAAAGAAATAGCTTCGACATCAAACGTCGACGGAGAAGCAGCGGCGAGGAGAGTGTTGCCGCCGTGGATGGATCCGTCGTATGAATGGGGTGGTGGGAAATGGAAAGAAGACGGAAGAAAGAAGAAGAAGAAAGATAAAGAGAAAGAAGAGATTATTCCTTTTAAGGAAATCATTGAAGCTCTGCTTCGGAACTCCGGTGACAAGGTTGAAGAAGACAAGGTTAATAAAAGTCATAGCTCTGTTGAGATTTTGAAATCAATGGGCTTTAAGTTTCCTTTGTAAACTTTTAGGGCTTTTTTTAATTTTATAAAGTAACATTTATGAAGTTCAGAAACACAGAAGTATCATTTAGTTATGAAGATATCATAAGGATCCATTACATTCGTACAACGCAAGATACTGAACCTACTGTCAGAAAGAAACAACATCTAGAACCACACTATAGTTGGTTTTTGATATTACAGGTCACGTACCTAAGTAAGTACTACCTTCCCAAAAAGCCAAATACACAAAGTGCCATCTCACACTAACCCTTTCAAAAGTCAACATAAGGTTGACCAGCTTTTCTTCTAAGCTCAAACTTGAACAAAATGTTACCTTGAGGTCCTCTCTCTTTCCTATACTTCTCAACCATGTATAAACCATCATACACATAATCCTTTCCTCTTTGGTCTAATCTCCTTTCGCCGCGGATCACTCGTACCGGAGTCTTTTCCTTAATGCTATTAGCTAATGCCAAATTGCCTCCAACAAGCTTCTGATCTTTGATTGCTTTTTGATCCTTGCTCTTCACATTACCTCCTTGACCACAATAGATCATCACATCGTTAACGAATCTATCGCCGTAATCATTACCTTCAGATGATACTATGCTCGTAGCTACTTCCTTGTTTCCTTTCTTCATGTAATCTATCCCACCCATGATGTCAAAGTGAAGACCGATTACATTGAGTGCTGCTTTGAACTGAATTTCATCTCCAACCTCGATTCCGGGGACTGGTCCAATCCTCTTTTGACAGTTCACTTGCATCCCCATTTCCCTGAGAATAGTCCGAGTTTGGTAATCTATCCTACTCTTGGCAGTCTCTGATTCACCTCGCCGTGCTGCCTTGTTACGATCTAGCTCATCAAACACAAGTTTGAAAACACGTAACACCTCTTGAACTTTCTCTCGTGGGCTAAGATCTTTAGAAAGCCGGTTTCGTTGTATAACCGAGAGGACTCCAAGTTGATTTGACCGCCTTTCATCTTTGTGTTGAGTTGGTCTATGAGCATAACTCAACTTCTTCTTCCCCGGTGAGTATCTATGTTTCTGCACAACAGCATTGGCTCTTACTCTTAACGCAGTTGCATTACACAACTTCTTCTTCGCCGGTGAGCATCTACGTTTCTGCGCAACTTTGGATACCAAAGGCTTACCAAAACAACGTCTTCTTTGGCTTTCGGAACCCATTAGTTTAATACCTTCTTCTACGCTTAGAGGTTTCACTTTACTTTCACAAAGTAAAGGAACTTTCCTCCTAGATGGAGGAAATTTTTCATTCCCAACATTACCTGCTACATTGAAGCCAGCTTTTTTCATAATCGAATCAAACGATTCGACTTCTTTAGGCCTATGGTGATTCTGATGTGCAACACCACCAACACAATTCCTATCTTCACTACCATACAAATTCTCTTTTGTCTCACTTATGGCTGCAACATCATCACTTCTCTGATCTTTAACACTAAATCGTGGAAAATCTCTTACAATAGAGACCTTTCGTCGCTTATAAGGAGAAATCCTCTGAGTCATCATCATCCTGCATATATTCAATTATTTCACAAAATCACTAACCATTTTGTGATTCCAAATTCAGAAACTATCATAATCTTCTATGTTCCCACACATAATCTAGAAAGATCCAAGAACATAAATTAAGCATATAATTGCAAGATTATGGCAGAAAATGACAAATTCGTAATCAAGAATCGTATCTAATAAAGTGTATTTATACGGCGCAAGTGTGAATACAGTAAAATTAGGGCAAAATCTTGAACTGTAACAATGGTAAAAGACGAAGATTACGGAGAGTGAAAATTTTGAAATTTGAAATTCGAACCGTTATTTTGAGTAAAAACCATCGAGATTGTAAAAAAAACAAACCTAGATTAGAAATTAGATCTTCACTAATCAAACCCTAAGTTCCAGAGAGTTCGATGAAAAGTTTCAACTACAAAACAAAAAATTCAAGAAAAACGCAAGAACTAAGAATGATTGAGTTTCCGAAAATCGAAAACATGCATAAATTTGTCAGAAGAAATAGCGAAATTAAAACCAAAGAATTCGCAACAAAACAGAAATGAAGAAGAAAACTAGCAAATACAGAGTATCGAACAGAGTATACATTGCAAGAAGAAGAGAAGAACCAAAAAAAGATTCAATTAACCTGGAACAGAAGTTACAGAACCAAGCGAATCTCACGGCGAAGACGACGGAGCAATTTTTTTTTTTTTTTTTGTAATCTTCTTAATGTTTTTTCCCCGGCGGTCTCTGGATTTCTTGTGATAATCTCTGAAGGCTCGAAAAACGATGAGTCACTGAACAGATACTTAAGCAGAGGCGGTGTTGGTTAATTGTGTTTTGACACAAAACTTTTGGCCATTAATTACGTTAATTGTTTTCGGTTATAATTTTTAAACTAATACATGGAAGCGAATGATTAGCGACTAATTAATTGTAATGGTTACGTGGAGCGTTATAATTGGGTAGTGGGGGTGTAACTCAGTGTAAGTTTTTCCATAGTATTTAATTCTTGTGTCTCATCTACTTTATTACTAGATTTAGTTATAGAAATTCAAAAGTCTATGGAATATTTCAAATTTCTTTTGCTATAAATACTTATATGCATTTAGTATATGTTCATATGTGGTGTTTTTTCCTAATTTTCTTCAACTACTGGTCAATAGTTTATAGGTTTTAATGTTTTTTTTTACTATATTATTTAAAGATAATAAATAAAAACCAAAAAACGAATATATATATAAAGCAAAATGTGTTAAAAAAGCGTTAGGCGCTAAGCAGGACCTAGTACATATACCTAAAACATCTAATAAAAACAAGAAAACCAATATGTAAAAAAAAAAAGAAGAGAAAAAAATGTATTCAAAGAAAGCGCTAAGTATGCGCTGACTCAGTGTATGCACCTAAAACATCTAATAGGAACTTAGATGATTTTAGACGGTTTAGCCGTTTATAATATTAATTTATTTAGTTTATATCAAACAGTATATAAACTATGTATATACAGAAAAACTTTAAGTGGAAATTAGAAAAATACACTAAAACAAATCCTATGCAATTTTAGGAGGTTGTCTAGGCGCGCCTAGTCGGGATCCTAGACTACTGTCTATACTGCTTTTTAGAACACTGGTTCAAAGCTATAAATGTTTGTGGTTTTTAGATTGTAGTTTTTGGTTTTGAGATTTATTTGTAGACTGTAGATTTTGGTTCTTAAATTTAGATTTTGGATTTTGCAAGAAACTAAATACTCCCTCCGTTTTATATTAGTTGTCGTTTTAGATTATTTCACACAAATTAAGAAAATAAATAAATGTTCTATTATGTCCTTGTTTGACTATTAGAATTCCAAACTATTTAATATTTTATTCATTTAACAAAGGGTAAATAAAGTAATTATTTATTCAAAAATGACATTGAAAAACGGAAACGACAACCAAACTAAAACGAAAATTTAAGTCTAGAATGACAACTATTTTAAAACGGAGGGAGTAGTTAATTCAATAAATTAGAAATTAGTCAAAAGAGAAAAATAGTCACATTCATGACAAACACTCAAACCTCATAAAAGTTTTTTGAATTTTGCTTTCAAATTTATAAAAACTCTCAAAATATAGATTCTTTATTTTTAGGGAAAGTACTTTTTCAAATTCTTGAATGGTTGTAAAATATTTGTTCAAAAAAAAAAAAAAAAAAAAAAAAAAAAAAAAAAAAAAAGAATGGTTGTAAAATATAATTTGAAAGAAAAACTAACCAAAACATTTTCAAAAACCACAACCATTCAAGGCCTAAATCTAAAAATTAGAAACTTTCAAGGTTTGTTAGAAAACAAATTGGAAAGAAAAATAATCAATGAGTGCAAATATATAGTTAAAAGGATTCATAAAAAAAATCTTATTTTTAAAAAAGTTTCTTCTAAAATAAAAGAATTGGAAATCTTTATTACACTAAAAATTTCATATCAATGGCAAGCTATTTTGAATAGAGTTTTAAAATCATTAAAACAATAGCACAAGAACTTGAATAAAGTGTAAGGATTCACAAGAACTTGTGGGCAACCTTAAATAATTAAGGTTTGCAGGTAAATTAAAAACATATGGCCAACCCTTTTTAATCCTATCACTAGTAAATGTTTTTGTTGGTTCGATTGGTAGTGACCAGAAACTATTTATTGTTGTTTTTTATTCGATGATTTAGCGACTAAAAATTTCTATCAATATATATTTTAGTGTTTAAAATCACTGGTTGATGCTTTTTCACCAACTGTGAAAATTGTAAAAAAATAAAAATAGTCGATGTTACTAGCGACTACTAAACGAATATAACTACCTTGGGTTCATGACCAACTTTGATTATGAGCTAATTTTATGAAGTTTTTTCTCAAAGAAAGCACAATATCATGAAATAAAAAAGAAATTGAAAGAATAAGGAGGTGGATGGACATTACCTGATGTGAGTAACTCAATCAATGAGTAAAAATATATTCCAAAGAGAAGTTTTGGTTTTGAGCTTGTACTTATAGGTTGTGATGTTTGAAATTCGGATATGCGGATTTGGATTTAATTAGTTGGAGAGATATCTTATAGTCAAATAGATACTTTCTCGTCTCCCATCTTCTTCAATTGTTGGACAACCACCCATATTTATTACTAGCTTAAACCACTAGATTGTAAATCTAGGTCTATTTTATCTATATAGAAAAGAAAAAAAATACATCAAAAGTTTTTGAAAAATAAGAAATAGAAAACAGTAAATAATCAAAGAAAACCAATTCAAATATGAATATTATAACCAAATTTTCATGGAGTTATACCACTTGTTCACGTTTTTAGAACTATTTTCAAATTTTGAAAACGTGATTATGCTATATATATTAGCATTCAGAATATTCATTAAGTTTTCATGTTTTTTAGAAAAGTGGATTCACAAGAACTTGTAATCTCATTAAAAATGTTGAAAAATCATAATTAATCTAATTAAATTAGCACGCTTTTTAGCGTTTTATGATTATTCTATAGAAATTCTCTAGTGATATACCAGTTAAATTTTTGTGAAAAATGTCAAGCTTTATGTGATAAATTTTGGATTCAATCATAATTTTAAACACAGTATGATTGACATAGTTTTAAACACACTATGATTGAATATTCAATTGAAGTTGAGTTAAGAAAAAAACAAAAGTTACTTACCCGACTCGATGTTATAAGAAAATATTTATCAACCTGTATGACTCATGATTAGCTCTCCATAGATACCCATTGAGGATTAAACTTCAACAAAAGTAAACTTTATATGAGAGGAGAGAGATTTCGAATGTGATGTGTTTCTGCTCTCAGTTTTTGTGAAGTGAATGACTTCCATGCAAAACATCTTTTTATAATGGAGAAGATAATCTCATAAATAATACTAAATATTTTTAAAATCTCCAATTAACTTTTCCTAGGGTTATCTTAACTAATGCAATATTTTTTTTTCCATTACTTTAGAAACTATTTTCCATATTTATCTCGAATAATATATATAATTTTATTCTCCAATTAAATCATGATTTGAATTCAAATTTGGAAATTACTTAATCGATAGGAAAAAGAATATATATTTTACTTTTTATAACTTCCATTCATGTGGTGCATTTATGTGGGGAAAAGAATATGTTGTGTAAAAAAACTTCCAAAACGGATACATATTTCTTGTAAGTAAAAGAACTTCCAAAATGGATATAAGTATTGTGTATCAAGTCAAGTATATTTCTAACTTCTTGTACACGTTAGATTTTTTTTTTTGTCAACCACACATTCATTAAAAAATAATTCCACAATTGGTTGCTCAATAGGAGTTTACAAAAGTAACATCAGCAAATAAAAGTCTAGAAAAACGGGCTAACAGTCCGCCTTAACATTACATAACCGAGAAATAAGAGAAAGCGAGAAGAAGGAAAAGGAGACACGGAACAATTCAAAATTATCTAACAGATTGAAGAAAGCGGACCAATTTTCAGGTGACTGTACCATCGAGATTAACTCAGAACAATCAGTTTCAAACGCCTGACAATCAATCCTACTTAAAAAGACGTTCTTCATAGCTCGGAGATGGACAAAAAAATTTAAAAAGATCCTTTATATCTAATTTTCCCATAATTTGTTCACGTTAGATTTATTAGAATAAAAATGTTTTTTTTTCTTAGTTAAAGAGTAAAAAGGTATTGATAGGCGAATCTTAATGTAATATTGCAGCGAGATTCTGAGAATACATGTTTTATATTTAGGTATCGAAAAATCTATAATCCAAAATTACTTAAACTTCTTAAGTTTCTCTTTGTTTTTTTTGGCTCAAAGAACTTCTTAAGTTTCTACTGTAGATAAAGTTAAGAGGTTGAATAAACTATTCAATTAAAGTTTTTTTCTTATTTTTTTGAATAGCTACCACGTATCAAAGAGGTTACAATATACTGTAGTAATAAATAGACATTTTTCCACGACAGTAAATAGACTCGAACCATTGTTTTTTTTTGTCCAAAAACACAGTAAATAGTAATCTGACACATTACCATAATCTTTCTCCATCTATTTCTAATAATGCAAAAAAAGCATTAATGTATTTTAAATTTGCCATTTATTGTCTTAAGGTAATTTTCGATAATTACAAAAAAAAAAAAAAACGAGTTTGCTCTACAATTTAAAAAAGTCTGATTTATAACCTTTTCTTTTTAGATGAGGACTGTATATTAATTATTATTAGGACTTCCACTTTTTAAAATACTTTTCACTTTACTCAATGAATATTAAATTAAACAAAAATAAATAAAAAACCTTTAATCCTCTATTTTTATTTAACAAAAACTGAAAGATTTATCTATACAATTTTAATTTTTTTTTTCTCAAATCTTATTACACGATCATCATCGATTTTTATTTTCATTTATCTTTACAATACTCATATCAAGTCAACGAAGGTTGACCAGGAATTCTACAAAGCTTGAACTTATACACAGTTTTTCCTCTAACCTCTCTCTCAGGCCAATATTCTTCAACCATATACAAACCATCGTACACATATCGTTTCCCTTTATGATCCCATCTCTCTTCTCCACGAATCACTCTCACTTTCTTCTTCTGCCTCATACTAGTAGCCAATGCTAAATTCCCTTTGACCAATTTCTGATCTTCAGTCTTCTTATCCTTGCTGATCACGTTACCTCCTTCACCTGTATAAATCATCACACCAGACTTGAATGTATCATTGTATCCATACCCTTCTGATGCTACTATGCTTGTCGCGAGTCTATCATCTCCGATTTTCAGGTAATCGATACCGCACATCGTCTTGGAATGGAGCCCGACGAGACGGAGTTCAGTTTTGTACTGAAACACATCCCCAACTTCTATTCCGGGAACTGATCCGATTCTCTTCTCTGTGTTCACTTGTTTACCCATCCTCTCTAAGACAGTTAGTGTTTTGAGGTCGATTCTGCTTGTTGCATCCAAAAAATCTCCACAGCGTCTTGCTTTTTTATCTCGATCCAACTGGCTGTATACTTGTTTGAAAAGACTCAATACCTCGAGCACTTTCTCACGAGGAGTAGGATCACAAGCAGAGTTTCTGATCTCTAGTTCTTGTCTGTGAGATGAAGTTGCATAAGGTACTGTAGGAGCTGCAACAACATGATCCTGATTAGCTAGTTCTCGCTTGGCCTTAGGTTCAGGAGCTGCAACGATATGATCCTGCTCAGCCGGTTCTCCCTTGGGTTCAGGAGCTGCAACAATATGATACTTGTCTGCTGGTTCTCCCTTAGGTTCAGGAGCTGCAACGATATGGTCTTCATGATCAGCTGATTCTCGTTTGAGACAAGTTCCTTCCGGTTTAGGAGCTGCAAAACTCAGATTCTTCTCGCCAGAAACATCACCAGTTCTTTGATTCTTGAAGGACTTGTCAGCTGCAAGATTAAACCTCGACGAAACATCAATATGAGTTCCACAACCCGGTGGGAAGTCTCGAATGGCGAAGACTAAAGATCGCTTCTTAGTATTACTCATCTTCCTGCAGAAACATTACAAAATGCACAAAATCAACTTTCTTAAGTAATCAAATCACACTATACAGTTCTGCGATTTCGATTCCAAACACACACCATAAAGAAAATGAAGAAACTTTACACAAATTTCTAGTTTACCACACAAAGAAACCAAGAAAAGCTTCGAAATTTAACACAGAGATTGAAATAATCAAACGATCTTCGTGTGGTGAGATCAATCATTGAAGAGTGTAAAAGAAGAAACACTAACCCTCGATGATGATCTTTCTCTATGAGCTTCTTCAGATGTTGATAAAAATGCGATTTTTCCACCTAATTTCAAACCGAATCAATAGATTTTGAGCAAATTCGCATAAACAATCCAAAAGCAAAAGAAGAAATTGAGAGTTTCACTCGATTGTTTAGAGAAAACTCGATGAATCGAAGCAAAATCAGAACATGGAGATCAAAAGCATTCAGATTTCATTTTCTTGAGAAAACTGAAAAAGCAGTTTGATGAAATCGAGAGCAATGAACTCAGAAACTCAGACGAAATCGCAAAATCAGTGAACGAAACTCAAGGAGAGAAGAAAATGACCGACGAAGAATTTAGTGTATACCTGAGAAGCCGCGATGTTGTTACTGATCGAGTTCTTCTTCAACCTCGCCTGCGTTTGTTCTCTCCGTCTCCGGCGAATCGAACAGTTAGTTACGACCTCTCTCTCTCCGGCTCCGGCGAAACAAGAATTAGCAGAGATTTTTGAGTTTTTTTTTTTAATTGTGTTGTCGTCTATTTAATGTTCTCTGTTTTATAGTAGAAATGTAAATTAATATACATAGATTTCTGTTATTATATATGGGCCTACACCATTAAGTCGTGTGATTGTTTTATGTAATTTTTAAATAAAAACAAAAATTGTTAAATGAAAGTTCAAAAAAAGTAATCATACTTTAATTAGTAAATAAATAATGAAATTTCATAAGAAATGAAAAAAAAAAAAAGTATTACATCATACTATAAATACGTATACGTAAAGACGGAATATAAAAAGAGTGTTTTTACCATTAGAGGTTGAAAAAATATGACAATTTATTTTCTTACAAAAATGTTTGCAATATAAAACTTGCTTTCACACTTACTTTTAGAAAAAAAAAATTACCAGCAAATCCTCTTGTTCTTCTTTTTGTTAATGAGAAAGTGTAATATTTATATTAAAAAGCAATTTTTAGATAAAAACCAAAATTGTTAAATGAAGGTTAAAACAAAGTAATCATACTTTAATTAGTAAATAAATAATGCAAACACGCTTATGCTTTGCTTGGTTTCATAGGAAATGAAAAAAAAAGAGAGGTTATTACATCTTACTAATAAATACGTATACGTAAAGACAGAATATAAAAGAGTGTTACTATTTTTTAAAAAAAAATTGCATTAAAAAAGTTACTTTTAGGGAAAATTAATTAAGAAATTTCATTTCATATGCAACTATGTAAATGTTTATCACAAACATACAAAAAATACTTACTTCTAACCGCAAAACCTCTTGTTCTTCTATTTGTCAATGAAAAAGTGTAATATTTATATAAATTGTAATTTTTATATAAAAAGTGTAATCATCCGGTTACAAAATATTCTTATCAGCCAAATTTTAACCTACTTTTCATTTTGCTTTAGTGCAGAAGATGTTGTGGACTATCTACCATTAGGTTGGTTGCAAAACCTAAAAGTCCATCTTACCAAAAATACATATACATACAGACAGTATATAAAAAAGAGTGTTTTACTATTAGAAGTTGAAAAATACTACAATTTTTCTTTTAAAAAGATTGCGATAGAAAAGTTGCTTTCACTTATTTTTAGGAGAATAAGTTACAAAATTTTATTTCGTATGCAAGTATGTAAATGGCTAAATATACCTAAAATACAAAATACACTTATTTTTTTAAAAAAGCAAATCATGTTGTTCTAATTGATGAGATTGATAAGGTAGCAAACAAACAAACCTCCATAAGAAAGTGTAATAAGCCTTCGGTTACAAAATATATTTATATAAGTTTGAATAGTTCCAAGCAAGAGCATAAGCACTAGTCAAAGCTTTAGAATGTAATGTTTTTAAAAGTTTTCCATGGTTCAAAACTTTAAACTCATTGACATTGTCATCAAAGCAAGTTTCAGGTTTGTCATCTCCATTTAGGTTTCTTAAACCATTTTCCATTTTTTATTTATTTGACTTGGTTGTATTGTGCTTGCTTTTGCTATCTATCTCATTACATAGATTTCTCAAAAGTTATTTTCCCTTTTGAACTTTCTTCTCTTCTTTTCGCAGCAATTTTCATGTTGTTAAGCCCAATTGTACTCACAGTTTGAATCATGAACTTTGAGAAGACATAAATTCTGCCTGATTCTTAAAATATCTTATGTGTGCTATAAGTCGATGATTCGCTTATAACAGCTACGATGGTAACAATTGCTAGATTTTTTGTAACAATCGCTGCAATGTTACATCCTGGGATGAATCTCGGACTTTAGCGGCTCTAGTATTCCACTTCTCTAATCCCGCCTTGAGTTAGCATCTTTAGAAATTCTTTATACTAGGTACATTAAAGAGAAACAATATGGAACGTAAATTAAAAATTCAATTTCATTATTAAATAAATTTATAATAGCTTTCATGATAAGAATTACATTTATATTGATAGTACTTTTCTTTAAAAATCAAGTTAAATTTAGGTTATTACTTTATTTAAAATTAATTTTGATTGTTAAATAGTTAAAGAAATATTTACAAATGATAATCATATTAAATTTACCATTCAAAATAAAGTATTCAAATTAATACTACAATGCTATTTTAAATTAATATTTTACATGAATTTTATTAATTAAATCAAAAATGAAATTAATATTAGTAATTTTTATCATTTCAATTTTGTTTTCAAAAAATTTCTATTAAATAGATTTCTAATAATTGTTCAATTTTTTTGTTTTTCATTTATTATGACATTTTGTTCAATTCCTCTTCTACTTTTTTTTCCTCTCCGTATTCTTTCATATCCTATGTAAGTATATACAATAGTGCGTATAAATAATAGTATAATACAATAGAGTATAACTAACACATACAAGAGATTGGATGCTTCTCTTCTCTCATCTTTTTAATAAAAATCTATATACTTAGATTTATTGCTTCATTTTTGCATTTTAGATATCAAAATGCCTAAATGCTACTAAATATTTTTCTCCTCTTATACAAAATTTAAAAGCACAAAATTAAACTTCCAAGAAAAAGATAAATGAAAACGAAACTTTCTTGTTCTTCGAGTTTAGTAAGAACAAGAAGACATATATATCAACATATATATGTAAGACCACCAAAGAGAGCCCTTACAATAAAATCCTTACTTCTTTATATCTGCAAATTGCAATTTCTAGTGCAGAAAATTCTCATTTGGCCACATTTTCTCTTTAAAGCCTAAAGAGCAAAAGAGTTCTCTTGAACAGGAGATATATATCTTAAAAAGTCTTAGTCTTTGTTCTGAGAAACACCAATGAGTTTGAGAAATTTTATCTTCTTTCATATCATGTGAAGAAGCTCTGCTTGAGGGAATGAGCCGTTCGACGGCACATCAAGAAGGAGATCCTGATCAGAAATATCATTTTCTTCATAGCTAAACACCAGAGGTCCACCACAGCTAATAGGTTTAAAGGAAGAGACACTGTTCTCTAAAATCTCTTCAGTTTCAATGTGCTTTGATCTAATCGTCACCACTTCTTTCGGGCTTCTCATCACACCTCTTGTCTCTGGAGAATGCAAAACTCAATATAATCAGAAACAGACAGATATTATAGCATAAAGTTATGGATTGACATGATTCAAGAATCTTAATTGACCTGAGAAGTTTTGGTTTAAGCTTTCACAAGGTCTTTCAATAGTTACAAGACTATTATTCTTTGATGGACTCAGGTTTGAGACCGTTGATGTTGTATTAACAGAGTCTTCAGTCCTTTTTCTTTGTTCCTGAAGCAAAGATTTAAGTGAACAAAAGCCAAAACTATAGAAACAGAAACAATTTGTTTCAAGAAGAGTATATGTGGAAAACCTTGAGCATGTAATAGCTTTCCAACAAATGGGATTTGTTAGGATCGGATAAAGCAAGCTTTGCAAGTGTCTTAATGTCTTCAAGTTTTGATCCAGAGGAATAAGACGAAGTTGTCTCAAAAACACCATCTGCCACAAGTTGCTGAAACAAGGATAAGTTCCCTTTGAATTGAGAACTCTCAAACATGCTTCTTAGGCTGGCAAAAGAGAAAACAGCAAGTATAAGAACTCGAAGAAGCCGCTGAAATCAGTAAAAAATACTAAAGTTTCATTGAGTTAAAATACCTATCAGGACGATCAAGAGAGTCAACTTGAGGAAGTAATTTCATCAGTTTTTGCTGTTCTTCCTCTGTGAATTTTTCTATGAACTCATCAAAGTTGAAAACGTCCTGCAGAAAGATTTTCCCAAGTCAACTTAAGACATTCAAATGATTTTTAAAGAAACATTCAATTGTTGGAATTGCAAATAGTACCTTCAAATCTATGCTACAGAGTAGTGAACTATGTCTTCCTAAGACTTGAGATTTGCTTCTGCAACAAAAGACATTATTTATACTTGCTGAAATTAGAATCTCCAAAAGCAATCTTCAATCTTTCTTTTCTAGAAAGACTACACAAGTTATTTACCTCTTCAGTTGCTCCTGCTTTATTGCTTTTCCACCAAATTTAGCAGAATGAACTGATGAGGACTTGCTGCTCTCAGCTAAGAGTGAGCTAGCTTCAGATTCCTCTTCTCGAGCACCCGGGTGAGGATCTCTCATAAGAACACTCCCATGTCCTAACAACATTGGTGTTTCACTCTCAAAAAGCAAATCTTCCTCTGAAGTACCAGAGAGACAAGAAGATTGTTGTTCTTGTAAAATAGTATAGAGGTCCTTTGTGAGCTTTTCAACAGAAGAAGCTGCCTTTGGACGGCCCACACATGTCCTCCTCTTACAAGGAAACGTCGCGTCCCACGCATTAGATTGTGCACAGCTCTCGGAGTTTGATACAACCGACCCTGAACTCGATCTATTGCTAGCTTCTTCATCCAGAACCTTCCTCTTGAAACCGGCATGGAATTCCAAGTTAGCTCTTTTAACTGTAAAATTTTCTTGATACGGTTTCCTCTTGGGAATCTTTTTGTTCAAAGACATTCCCTTAATCATCACTCTTTGAGCTCTATGATCCTCAATCTCTATCTCATCACCTTCAGCACGAGCATGAAGAGGTGTGTAGTTTACTAATGATCCTTTAGTTCTCCACCTCGAACCACACGCATTGCACAACACCGGCTTCTCTGGTGGCCCGTTTCGCCATAGAGGTGTACCTGTTTGCAACAATTTTCCCATTGATCAAACACTCAGAACAATGATAATTCAAAACCAAACAATCCTGTGAAGTTCTTAACATCAAACTAGAGTCTTGATTCAACATAACTGAGCATTTCAGACACAAACTACGATCCTAATTCCTTTGATAACATTCAAAGCTCTCAATAAGAGTGATCAAAAGGACCCTACAACATGTTCTTGTGATCAAAAACACAGACACAAAACAAAACAAAATCATTTTAAAATGCTTAATCTTGTTCATGTCTCCAAGAAACGTTTGCATTATTCAAATAGAAGCAGTTCTTGAATGGTCAAATTTCTCAATAACATCAAAAATAGAAGAAACAAGAACTCACTTGTAACTCCACAGTGATAGCAAGGACCTTGCTTCCCCATCTTTTTTTTCAAATATACAAATTTTCACAAGAATCAGATATTTTGTGAAATTGAGTTTTACTAATTGAGCTATACAAAAACTGGGTTTTGGGAAGCTTCTTCACGAAGAAAAACCCAGAAATAAAGTTTTTATTTTTTTTGCAGAAGAAAGCCAATAAAAACCCAGAAAACAAAACCTCCACCAAGAAAATTAGAGAAATGAAAAAACAAGAACAAAGAGAAGATTTTGTGTTGTGGGTTTGCTTTGAGCTAATCAGTCTAATGCAAAAAATCCAATAGAAAAGAGAAGAGAGACTTATTGAGAGAGGAATCTAACAAATGGCTGTGAAAAAGGAGAAGAGAGAGAAATTGGTGAAGCTTTTAGAGAGATTGTTTTTGTGTTATGTAAAAAAATGAAATTTTGGTTTTGTATTTGTTGTATATAATGGAAGTTAATATGATTCAGCTTCCTCTCCTTTACTTAGCTTTTTCATATTAATTTTCTACTAATTTTTTTTATGTTTACTTAGATTTAGATTTTTCTAATTACTTTAGTTACCTAAACTGATTTTTTTTTCCATCTGGTTGATGTAGTAATTAATACTAGTACTATAATATAATATTTTATAGTTTAACTAATATTAGCTGTTTTAATTTAATTGTGTTTCCAAGTGTCTAAACTTCCCCAAATGCTATGAACATAATTTATTTCCATTTTTTAAAATATTTTTTTAGTGAGGTATATCTCAATAATTTAGAGAAAAAAACTTCTAATGGTTAGAAAGTGATGATGGCTGGAGGAATATCATTGCTTGTGCCTTATGGTTCCTTCCTGTTGACTATAGACTTTTTCTTCTTGTTTGTTTTTTCTTTTCATATTCTAAAGAAGATCATTCATTTTAAATTGTGATAATGAAAATAATTATTATAATTAAGAGGGTAAATGTGGTTAAAAATATTATGATAAAATTGTGCTATAGTAGAATAAAATAAAAATAATAATGACTGAAATTTAAACTTTTTCTAACTAAAAACACTTTCTTTTGGACCATATTACAGGTGAATATTTGCAACATTTATATTGAAAATAAAATGTTAGTTTTTTGTTACTTACCAATCAAACTACAACTTATTCTATTGGTCAATCTCATTTCACTCTTTTACATTAGGTAAATGTACTTTATTCTTGTTAATGTTTTCTGTATCACAAGGATTTTTTGTATTAAAGTGTTAAACCAAGAAAGTAATAGTTGAAAAAGGCCAAAATTAGTTTCTGTTCACTTTTTAAAGTTCCAAGTTTAAATAAATTTGATGTAGTGAATAATTGATTGTCTTTTTGATAAAGATAAGACTAGGTTTAACTTGTTCTAAAGTATGACGTTGGTAAATTAATATAATTTTTGTATATGAAAGAAAACAATACAAAATTAAATGGTTTATGAAGTCACCGGCCGTAATGACGACGACGATCATGGACACAACTCTTTTGATTTGGTTAAAGTATTTGTAGTGATGGGCCCCCACCTTTGTGGTTTGTGAATGTGATTAGTGAACTAATTTTTGGTACATTTCTCAGTGTCTACACGCATTTTAATATTCCAAATCTCTTTTAACTATAGATATTAAAATATGTAATCATCCATGACTAAGATCCACATAATTTTGAGGTTTGGTGAAATTAAAGCATGTTACTCACGATGAGATGTATCAAAAAATAAAATTAGGTTTTTTATTTCGGGGAAAAAAGCAAATTGTAGAAAACGGTGATTATTGTTACGTAACTCCAAATATAATGTGGAGTCACAATCAAATAATAGCCCTTTCGCAAGAGAGATAAATGGAGACAATATAATTATAATTTTTATATAATTACAACGTCAAATAATTTTTTAATGACAATATAATTTTTTGGACCTTAAATTGATGATCGTTATTCGATAGCTAAACTTTTGTTAAATTACCAAAACAAAATTATATATTACTAATTTACTATATTTGTTAAAAATTGTCATCATCATCATCATCATCTCTATTATACAATTTCTATGTATCTATATATCTACCATGTCATAATTACAGAGTAAAAAAATAAAAAGTAACATAAACGGTGAAAAATTCGTAACCGTAATTTGGACTACGTTCTAATTTTTGATGGAATTATGTAATAGAATCGGATGGTGGAGATGAGGCGATGGAACTAATAGATGGGATAAGGTTAGATAAAACAAAAGGTAATGCACGAGTAGTGCTTAAATAAGAACAAAGTATATCATATGATGATCTGCTTACAATTCATACATTCATGCTAATAAAACACAACCACTACAGCACAAAATGACAACAATTAAATATAAAAGGATTAACTTAAATAATAGGTCCAAGCTCTTTTATTCCCTTTTATCCGAATAATGGTTACCAAGAAAGAGTTTGACAAAAAAAAAAAAAAAAAAAGTTACCAAGAAAGAAATAAAGTTCTACATATTTGTAGTATTTCATTTATTTCTTCTCCATGACTCCAACCATAGTGATTCTGGAATATCACTTAATTTCACTCATGATTAGATTCGTTTCATCCTATATATGCAAGCCCTCTACATTCAAATTGGATTCTCCAAGAGTCCTATATACCACCTTAAACAAAATTATAAGAATCAGTTGTAGAATTTTCACTTTTCCTACTTTTTATTCTTATAGCCTAATGCGATTTAAGCAGCAAAAAAAAAAACAATACCCTTAATTAACATCTAAGGATATGATTGTGAAAGCTTGAAAAGAACAAAACCAATTACAAAAACCATCTAAGCCATATTTACATTCCAACATCAAAGTCATATATATAAAACCGTATAGTTTTACAAAGGCATTAACCATGAACGAAATTGCAGCTAGAGGAGACCAAATCAAACACTAGTTTTTCAATGCATATGATGAAACTTTCGACCACTTGATCGCTATAAACTCTTTTACAAATTGTAACTGAAAAACATGTATCACCACAAATGTGTCTTTTTTTTTTTTCTTGTTTTTTCGTCTCCACAAATGTGTCTTAACAAATTAACACTCACTCTTTAATCTTGTTTTATTTTTCTTTGCCACTTTTAGCCTCAGTTTCTCCATTATCTCTTCTTCTCCTTTTTATCATCAGAGTTCTTCAACTGCATAACAAAGGACCCATCACTGAAGTTAATTAACAAAACAAAAGCACCATTATTAATATCAGCAGAGAAGAATATCTTAGTGAACTTACCATAACGCTGAGAATCTGAAGGAACACACGTACAAAGGCAATGAAAAGGATCAGCGAATGTACCACGTAGTCCATGTCACCATTGTGTGCTTTCTCTATTATCTCCTGTGTGTTCAACACTATACATCCCACGAAGAGCAGGAGTCCAAAGTACATCTGCGACCAAAGGTTCATGTATAGAAACGGTGAGGAACCAAAGTAACTACAAGAAGAACAACTTTACTTGTAATATTAGATAGTTGGTAACCTGAAGCTCGACGGTCGAAGAGGCAAACTGATCAGAATTCTTGAGCCACGTTAGCAAAGAAAAGCCAGACGAAAGTAGTCCTCCTAGGTAGAGATATTCCCTGCGTCTTGCCACCATTGCCACTGCCGAGAAGCAGAAAAATACCACCGCAGTTCCTAAGAACGCGGTGATAAGGATGCTGGAAACATTCGAGAAAGAGTACATAATTAACTGTCATGTTAGTTTTAGATACGTTAGGATATAATTAAGTTGAAACCTAAAAAGCAAAATATAAAAACATATACAGTAGTGTGAAATTGCACCTGTAATCAATATCGATTGTCGACTTGATACACGGACCAACTGATGCCCCGTGAAGAACACCAAAGAGAAGCAGAAGTGAAAACCTCTTTTTCTAAATCAAGAAAACAAGTGTCAAAGAACAAGACTATATAGGATACAATATCTTAAGAAAGAGAGTTAATTACTAAATTAAACCTACACGTACATGTTCGTATGGAGGACAAGAAAGCACATGCTCCAGTAAGCTTAAAACCCATCCAAGCTTAGTGATTGTAGCACCAATATTCAAGCGTACGTGGAGGTAAGCTCCAAAAGCAGACGCAGCAAGAATACAGAATAAGCTGAGATAAACCTACAAATTTCCACCAAGATCGAAAGAGAGAAAGCAGATTAATGAATACATCACTGCTAGTACTTTTAGTTGTCTCGTTTTCAAATTCTTCTGTATGTTTTTCAATCTTTACATTGACAAGTGAATCCAGAGTCTATAACCAGGCTAATATGTGCCAAAGAGTTAGATATTTTTGTCATTTGAAACATTTCATTTACTAGCCCACAATGACTGAAATCCCAATGAAAAAAACTAGAACCATATAGTTTCTCAACTCACACATTAAATCATTAAGATCAATTACTGTGAATTACATCATTAATCTTTTTTTGTCAACTTTTATCAGTAATCTTTATTCAGAATAAAAAATAATATATATATATATATATATATATATATAGAGTATGAAGAAATATATCTCTTATTATATAAAGTATGATTTTCAAAGTTATTAACTCATAGGATCGTGTCATGTGTCAAATTTATCGATCTCAGATTTTGACACGTATAAATCAAAAATTTCTTTATTTACTTAAGAAACAATATATATATATATATTGAAACAATACGTATGTGACAAATTTATCGATTTCAGATTTTAACGTGTCAAACAAAAAAAACAAATTATAAGGAAAGTATATGTACATATCTTATATAAAACAATTCTAAAAATCTAAAGAAGATATATAATTATAAGCAAACTATATGTATCTTATTAAATAAAAATAGTAATTTAAGAAAAAAAGTTATAAGAAAACTATACGTATATTTTATTATATAATTTTTATTATATAAAGCTTAGTTTTCAAAGTTAGTAACTCATATGATTGTGACACGTGACAACTTTATCAATCTCAGATTTTGACATGTGTAAAACAAAAAATTTCTCTTAACAATTTAAAATTAGAAAAAGATAATTGTAAGAAATTATGAACGTAAACAATCTTAAAAATGTAAAAAATATAATTATAAGGAAACTACACATAAATTTCTATAAAAAAAATATAAAAAGATAATTATAAGGAAGCTATATGTATCTTATTATAAAATAAAAATTAGAAAATATTTACTTATTTTAATTTGAAATTACTAATTCTAAAAAACAGGATTACTTTTTTCTTTAAAAAAAGATTTAAGAAATTATATCTATATACATTTTTGGTGAAGATTTGGCCTCAAAAATCCTTTAACAATTTCAATATTGTACATTTAGTCCCTACAAATAAAATCTGGAAAAAATATATGTCTTAATCAAATTTACAAATCAATAAATAAACTCTTAAAACATTTCCTATTTTTATGGTTACGAGATTTGAGATCCTAACATATGGAAGTCAAATATTCAAAATTAAAACTATTAATAACCAAAATCTCGGTCATATCTACTAAATATAAACAACTAACCAAAAGCTAATCGTAATCAAATCTTAATTACCATTTCAATATTCAATATTTATAAATAACTAGAATATTTCAATATTCTTCTAACAAACGAATATTTGATAATAAATTTGTCTCCTACAAAAATGGTAAAAAAAAAATTTCGAATAACATTTGTTTCCTAAATAAAAAGAATAATATCAGATCGATATTCAATCACAACAAATAAATTGGAAATGATTCCTAACTAAACGACTAAAAACTTACCAAATTTGGATTCGAAATCAATAACAATAATTAGTTATATCAATCTTCAGAGATCTTGAGAACTAAATTAAAGCATATTCTTTAAACATCCTATATTCAAATCTTATATTTCTCGAAGATATTTTGGCATTTATTTCGGAATTATTATTATGTAAATGTTGGTTAATAATATCTAACAATTTAATTATTGATTTGAAAATATAGAAATCGTATATGAGTTATAACAAACAAATATTTTCAAATAAAATGGTTTCCTATTTAAATGCTTGCAAAAAAAAGTCATAAATTTTTAATGCCATAACAAAAAAGAACTCAATAAATTGATATATTGTTCTAACAAGTCAATATTTAATGCTAACAATAAATTAATTTGATACACGTTTTTAATTTAATGTTAAAAAAAAATTAATTTTTTCTTACTTTTTTTAGTTATGGCATTAAAGATTTATTGCCAAAATAAAATAAAATTTGAATGCTAACAATAAACATAAATGTGATCGATTTTTTCCCTATAAAAATGGTAATCTTTAGCATATTACTAGCATATTCCATAACTAATTTATATTTTTTCCTAAATAAATTCCAAATATATTATATTATGAAGATATTTTATACTTGCTTAACAAGAGGTTTTCTACTCACTCAAAAAAAACCCTACAATTTTCTGAGAATACTATAAATACATCTAAGTCGCATTCTCTATTCTCACCAAACAAGACTAACACTTCTTCGAGGCCATGTAGAAATAAACACCGAACATGTATACGATTTTGAAAACAATAGTTTGTTTTTTTGGTGAATTCAATAGAAATAGTACTAATAAAGTTTTTGTTTCTTTTATTTTGTTATAAAAACTTTCATATTTTCTGTTTTGTGTTCCATACAAAGATTCTTTTGGTATTGACTAATGATTGAATTTGTTATGTCTACTGCAGATTTTTTTTAAACTTTTCCTTGAAGTCAACAAAGCTACAATGAACATGGAGCTAGGGTTCTTGGAGTTCTTGCCATGTCTAGAGTAAATGGTGAGTGAAAACTATTGTGATTCGACTTTGTAAAGCTATTTTATTCTGGTGGAACAGGCTTTGGACAAGATTAGGTTTGAGTCGTTGACGGACAAGAGCAAGCTCGATGGTCAGCCTAAGCTATTCATTCATATCATTCCCGACAAGACTACCAAACCTTGACCATTATCGATAATGGGATTGGGATGACTAACTGATTAAGGCTGGTACGTAATTGATTTCAGTTAAAAGCAAATTGTATTGGTTTTTTGTTTATTAATCTTGCATCTATGTGTTGGCTAATGCGATTATGTTCTGTTGTTTAGATTTGGTGAACAACCTTGGAACAATTGCAAGGTCAGGAACCAAGGAACTCATGGAGGCATTGGCTACTGGAGCTGATGTTAGCATGATTGGTCAGTTTTTTAATTTGATTGTTAGCATGATTGGGTTTCTATTTGGATTCGGTGTCTTCAGGGATGGATTTCACAAGATCCATGAATCAGTTTATCTTGAATGCGATCCCAGATTTAGTTGCGGCGGTGGCCTTGGACGTCGCGGTTATGGTTTCCCAGTTCCGGCCGGTGGTATTAACTAGCTGTGATGATCTCAATTGTTTTCGAATCGGCGTTTTGTCTTTGAATTCGAATTTGGGTATAGCATTGATTCTTTAGGTTTTTGCACAAAACCCTTTTTTCTACTTATTGTAACATAGGATTTTGATGGTTTCATCTGCATATTTTCAATTTACTACTTTACCCACTTTCATATATTACAAATAGCATACTCTCTATTTTCTTATCTCCATTTCTTTATAAGAGTGATTTATATGTTTAAATTTAAGATATAAATACAACCCTTTCATATTATTTCAAATTAAATACATGTTTGTTTGTAACTAACATACAATGACAGAGTCGAAAATAAAATTTCTTAAATGGAGTGTATTACCGGGCATAGATATATAAAACAACAAATCATACAGATTAACAGGTTAGTCGACTAATGTTCAGACCCATCTAAATTCTAACCCGCAGTGTCTAACGTGAGAAGAGAATGGTAACAACGAACAACACTAAAATGAGTTTTATACTTGATTAACATATGCACTTCATAACTCCAATAAAATTTTACAATATAAACACATATATTACTTGGCTTGGAATTAAAACACAAAATTCAACTCTACCACTATATTTCAAATCAAAAATATTATACTCAATACTACACTAAAATTCTCAACCAAAATCTATACTAATAGATAACAAAATTTCGCATATATTAACAAAACATAAGATCCGGGCGAAGCACGGGTTATGGTTGATGTTAATACGGGAAAGTATACCATAGGTGAAATCCTAGAATTAACAATCAAAATACAATTATATAATCTTAAACACTAAACATAACAAACAATATTAACAAAACAAATATAACTTAAAATTAAAATTTATAGTTAAAGAAAAATTGATTCTCAGTGAACCCAAAATCAAACATAAATTTATACCAATAAAACATCAAAAATTAATACAACAATATCATAAATTTATAATAATATATATATATATATATAAATATTTACCCCGCGGTGTACCGCGGGTCAAATCCTAGTAATTAATTAATATCGTAAATGACAAAAGATTGTAAATACTCACCTCTATAAAAAAATAGAATGTTCATATTTTTTCACCAAACAAAATAAATTCTTCAAACACACCACAATTGATTCAACTTCGTTCTATTGGTAAAGCTTTTTTTTTTGTACATTCAACTTTAATATCTAGAAGATCATGTACGTTCTATTGATACATGTTCTATGGGCCATGTAGTTACATAGCATACAAGAGTAAATTGAATCATTGCGATCCTCAAGCGAAAATACACAAGCATTGGCAAATGGAGTTTTCTAAAAAAGGGGGTAAGACTGTGGTCTAGTATTTCAATAGTGAGAGGTGGTGGATTCACCGAGCAAAGCGAATGTACACTGAACTTACAAACAAAACAATGATAGTATACACCGTAAATATTTACTATATAAAGTTTGGTTTTCAAAGTTAGTATAGTAACTTATTATATAAAGCTTAGTTTGCAAAGTTAGTAATTCATATGATCGTGACACGTGTAAATATATATATATATATATATATATAGTGGTAAATAAATAGTAAATTTGGTAATAGATGTAAATAAGATGATGATTTAACCAGTGGTTTGCATCTAAAATATTCTCTAAAAAAGCTGTTAAATTATTTTAGGCGAGATGATAAAATTATGGTTTTCGAGATTTGACAATAATAATAATGAAAAAAATTTGGAAAAGTTTTGGTGATTGATAATATAGTTTTACTTGATAATTGTAATAAACATTACAATAAATTTAAAATTTACAAATGCAAATTGTTTATTAAGACAAAAAAACGAATACATAAATAACTTTTTCTAACTAGAAAAAATTCTATATATTTTAAAGATAATTTCTACTTACAACCAAAGTTTAATTTAATTTATTTGTTAAATTTAATTTTAATTAAAAAGATTGAAGGACGGGTTCTAATCTAGTATATATATTTTTTATCACAATCTCATCTACTAACATTAATAAGTTGCCACTTACCATTTACTTAATTTTGAAACTTCAGATCTGTATTTACTATACTATACTATACTATTTAGGAAGAAAATACATAATTCATAATTCTTAATTCATAATACAAAAAAAAAAAAAAAAAATACATAATTCTTAATTATTTCGAAACTATACGAGAAGCGCAGAAGACGGTCTTAATTAATTAATAATCACAACAAAAATCAATGGAGTGACATAATAATGACAACTCTCTCTTTAGCATAGTTTCTAGCTCTCAGGTTTCTGAGTATCCATAATCGAACAAAGAGAAAGAGATATTTTGGGAATAAGAAAATTTTCACTCAATTTGACATAAACGTGGAAAGAAAACTTAAATACAAAACATCATAATCCAGACTAGTAACTCTCTAATAATAACCGGTGATTATGGAGCAACTAATCCCCTCTCACCATCTTTCTAAGCTTTCTCCACAAAAAAAAAAAGAAAAAAAAAGAACGAAGCAATGAAAACCTAAAAAACTGAAATGCAATCGAGACAACAACCAAAGAAAATGAAACGGATCTCACGTCTCGAACCAAGAAACCACAGTTCGTGCTAGAGGAAGTAGCGATGAAGAGATTACCCTCATAATATGAGTTTGAACCGCCGGAGAGATCCGACTGAAGTCTTTAAGCCCGTCCATGATCTGTTTCTTTTTAATGGTAAGATTATAATGGAAAACGAAGAAAAAACAAGTATGTATAATGGAGAACGAAGAAAAACAAGTGTTATCTTTGTTTGAGAGGGTAACGAGTCATGTGTTAGACAATAATACCCTTTGTGACCTATGTGATCGATGTCGCATTGCATGAGTTGAAATTCTGCCGCAAAAGCAGCAAATTTGATTTTCCACGAAACGAACCATTAAGAGCCATCCACTTCAAGATTTTCAAGGTTTTTATTGAAGTTGTTTTGTCGATTAGCAAATGAAAAATATCTTGAAAGAGATGAGTCAAGTGGTAAACCAACGTTGGTTAACTACCAAACCGGAATGAAGAAGCCAAATCCAAAGTCCTATGATCAATATCTCTTGAGCAAGTCTTCCATTTATTAAACTTTTATTTTGTAGCAAATAACGAAGTAAGTGCCTTGCTGCTTCCTAGAAAAAAGGAACCAAGTATTATTGTTTTCCTCCATTCCCTCAATGTATGCAATTTGCAAGAACTTACGATTCCAATTTTCCTATCTTCTGAAAAAAAAACCAAAGGAAAAACACAGAGATAATTGTCTTATTCAAAAATTTTGTTCTCGTTTTTGGCTTTTATTATACTCCTCCTATCAAAAAAAATTTCGACTTAGACCGTAGATCTTCGTTTCCACCTGTTACTTACTTACTTTTATTAAAAGAAATTGCTAGGGGGTTGTTCCCATGTTTGGCACTGCTGGCCAATGATTTTTTTAATTTCGTTTGCCTTGCACCAGAAGTCAGAACATATAAACAGAAACTAATATTCGCTCCATCGTTGGTTGGATTCAAAACCCAAGATCTGGTCTTGGGCTCCCGAGGTCTAGAATCTAGATGTAAAACATAACGTAGTTTTTAAAGTGAGAACGTAATTTCTGATGTACGTTCCTTGCCTTTTGACGTACCACTTATTGGAACCCAATTCTGACAAAAAGATCTAACCAGAACTTTCGATGGCATTTCCTGCGGAGCAAATCATTGAATCATCGTACTCACCGTTTAACTAAATGCAAACGCCGGTTATTTGCAATTTTCATGTCCACGTTTCACGAGAATTTAGGTTTTTACACATTTTTCATTGGAATTGCAAGTTCCTTTTCGGTTGCAACTTCCAAACAATACCGTTTATTTGTATCTTTCGATGAAATTGAAATCCACACATGTTAAGAAACCATGAAACAGCATTTTCATTTTCTCCTTTATTTTTCTTGGCTTGATAAGATGAAATCAGTAGAACCAACCTGTTAAACAAAAATGTTTATGAAAAGAACAAACAACACTCGAGTCATTTACAATCTGAAGGTGATATTTGTGCAGTAGAGGAACAAGCAAATCCTTTTTTAGTGGGAAAACATGTTTTGTCACCAAGAGAGTGTCCTAACAAGTAATAATAACACCAAATTGACCAAACATGATGACCAACATTCATCGCCTCAGTTTCTCCTTTTCTTCTTCTTCTCTTCTTTATCTGCCGAGTTCTTCAACTGCATAACAAAAGTACCCGTCAATAGAGGATTACTAACAGATACAGTGCGCCATTTGTTTATACCAAATGGCAAATGAACTTACCATTATGATGAGAATCCGAACAAACACAGCTACAAAGTCGGTGAAAAGGGTCAATGAATGTTTCACGTAGTCCATGTCGCCGAGGTGTGCCTTCTCTATAATCTCCTGTGTATCCACCACCATGTATCCCACAAAGATCAAGAGTCCAAAGTACAACTGCAACCAGAGACATATTCATAACCAAGGTGAGATGTCTAAGAGAAACCAAGATAAAGAACAGATATTTGTAGAACCGAGACGCTTGGTTTACCTCAAACTTAAAGATAGATGCAGAGCCACCAAAGATCGAAGAGGCAAACTGAAGCCACATTAGCATGGACAAGCCAGATGAAAGTAGTCCTCCAAGGTAGAGATACTCCCTGCGTCTTGCTAACATTGCTGCAGCCGAGAAACAGACAAACGCTATTGCAGTTCCAACAAACGCAGTAATAAGGATGCTGGATAACCAAAAGAAAGATAAAAACGTCAGCTCCTATATAAGTCTCACCGTCCAATGGACAAAAGATTTGATCAATAACAATAAAGTACCTTGGGTCAACATCAATTGCCACTTTGATCAAGGGGCCAACAGAAGCACCTTCAAGAACAGCAGACACAAACAGAAGAGAAAGTCTCTTTTGCTGCACCAAAGGAAACAACAATGTCAAGAAAATCAAACTTGGATACAATAATAAAGACAATAAACTAAGTTAAACACCACGTACTTGTTCATAAGGAGGACAAGAAAGAAGCCAAATCATAGTTCCAACGCATCCAATCGTTGTAAGAATACCGCCGATATTCCAGAGCACATGGAGGTAAGCTCCAAACGCAGACGCCACAAGAGCACAGCATAAGGTCAGATAAACCTACAAGTACAACAACCAATGATGAGTAACATTCCCTTATACAAAATCAAATTCCCTTTACCAGACCATTTCTATGTAAATCGAACATGACGATCAACGAAATATTTCCAAAGAATCATAAGCAAGTAAACTATTAACCAACTAATTCATGGAAAGACGCAATTAGAAACCCTAGAAATCTATGGAGAGCACAATCGCAACGATTCGTTCAACGGAAAACAAATCCTAGAATTTGTGATGCAATCGACGAAACTAGAGCGATTAATACGAAGAAAACGAAACGAATCACAATCAATCGCCTCTAATCTAGAAATAGCGGTTAGTGTGCGATGTGAATAGAATCGGAGACGAAGAAACTTACCCGCTTAAGATGATTCTGAACGGCGGGAGAAATCTGACGGAAGTTTTTAAGAGAATCATAGCTCCAGCTTCTGCTACCAGGTTGTGAATCGAAGAAGGAAGAGAACGCATCCATGGTTTCGTTTTTTTTTTGCTTGACTTTGAGAATCGATTAATGAAGATATTAGTGAAAAATAAAGACTTTTCGGTATTTATAGTGATTATGATTGGGGAATAATTTGACAATAACACCCTTAATGCTTATGTGTAATTACCTATTCGCTACACGTGTAGGGGCATTAAACACGGGAAAGGGTAGTTCCGGAAACTTCTTGAAACATTGAGATTGTCGTCGTATTGAGTTGAAACTTTGCCGCGAAGCAAATGAAATATCTATATCGTCATCGAACCAATAAGAATCGTCCACGTGTTTCAGTTTCATCAAAGTTTGACAAACTATTAAAGAAAAGACCGAGGACAATTTCATATCGTTTAGTCAATTCGTAAATCATGGGTCTAGACTCTAGAGTATGGTATTATGTCAGGTTTGAATTCTAGTTCTATTTGGGCCGACCGCAAGCCCATTAGTTGTCTCGTTTTTATGCTGACACAAAAACATCACGTAGTTTCTTCCTTAAACTGAATAAAAAAACGAAAACGACATACAGTCCAAGCTTCTAACGATAACATCTCTTTCACTACCTTCAAAGCTCATTTCAAACCACACATTCAAACTAACTCTGAGAAAGGAAAAAAAAAAAAAAAAAACTCAGAGCAGAGGACGGAGAGAGATCTCTTCAAGAAAAATGTCAATATCCATGGCGTTATTCTCTCCACCGATCTCTTCTTCACTTCAAAACCCTAATCTCATCCCCAGGATCTCATCTTCTCTCCTCTCCACCAAGCGTTTCTCTCTCATCTCCGTCCCTCGAGCTTCCTCCGACAATGGTACGACTTCACCAGCGTCTGCTTCAGTCTCGGCAACCACCGTCGTGGAGATACCGAAGCCTGCGGCTGTGGCTGTAGAGGAAGTTCCGGTTAAATCTCCGGCGGGAAGCTCCTCCGCTTCTGGAAACGGCGCCGTTGGAGGTGAAGAGAGTGATTTGGGTACTGCTGCGACGGTAATCAAATTTGAAGATGCGAAATGGGTTAATGGAACTTGGGATCTGAAACAGTTCGAGAAAGATGGGAAAACAGATTGGGATTCTGTTATCGTTTCTGGTTAGATCCTTCAAAATTTTGAATTCAATTCTTCAATTCTGTTATGATTTAGATTTAGAATTTGGAATGACTCTAGAAAATGATAATGTCATAATCATGAGACAGAATTTGTGAAACTGGAATTTGGAATTTGTATAAATACCTGATCTTTGTTTATGCTTTGTTATTAGAAAGATTCTACTTTGGTTTCTTATTTAGTGTGTGTAAGAGGAGGAGTGATTATTGTGTAATGTGCTGATTATGTATGTATAGAGGCAAAGAGAAGAAAATGGCTTGAAGATAACCCGGAAACAACTAGTAACGATGAGCCTGTACTCTTCGATACCTCGATTATTCCATGGTGGGCATGGATGAAGAGATACCATCTACCCGAAGCTGAACTTCTCAATGGTAATTTCCACAGCACTAAGATCTAAGACTTAGCTACTAGTTAGTATGTTTAACATTTGCATCTAAATGGTTTTCATGGTGGGTGTAGGTCGAGCTGCGATGATAGGGTTCTTCATGGCTTACTTTGTTGATAGTCTTACCGGAGTAGGACTTGTCGATCAAATGGGGAATTTCTTCTGCAAAACACTCTTGTTTGTGGCTGTAGCTGGAGTTCTTTTTATCCGCAAGAACGAAGATTTAGACAAACTTAAGGATCTGTTTGATGAGACTACGTTATATGACAAGCAATGGCAAGCGGCGTGGAAAGAACCAGATTCATCAACGGTTTCTTCAAAGAAATGAACAAGTTTTTACAACTTTCATTTTCCTCTTTCGTTATGCGAAAATCTGTGAATCAGTGAAAGTCTCTCTACTGAACTACTGATCTTGAGATTTGTAATCTTTCTGCTTTAAAAATCTCTGTGAAGTAGTCTCAAAGAAAACGTATCTAAGGAAAGGTCTTTGACTTGTAAAGCAGACCTATTCCGTTTTGACGCTTGATAAATTGATCAATGGGAGATTTTTTATGCTTTCTACTGTTAATACATCATCAATTCATAGTGTTTTCAGATGGATGTTTTGTGAAAAGTTATCAAGTTGTAGTCTTTGAAAATTAATACAAGAAAGTTAATACATCATCAATTCATAACGTTTTTAGATGGATGTTTGTGGAAGAAGACATCTAGCAGCAATTGTTGTATTAGAGAGAAGTCATGCATTATCAAGTTTTAATCTTGGAATATTGATACCAGAAAAAAATCATTGAAATAAGTCATATTTGTGAACTTAATCAACATCACACTTCAATACTTCATCAACCAACCAACCTCCAAAGAATTTGGGATTTAGTACTAACGTCCTTTAGAGTTTAAGACATTACTGCTCTGCTCTTATTGCTGCAACCACTTTGACTCAATTTTAAGTACAAAATGGACCATTTTAGCTTCAACTGTTGTCACTTGTCCAGGACCACCGGCCCAAAATTAGTAGGGACAGTTCTATATTAGTCTTTTAGTAAAAAAAAAAAACTCTCTATATATAAAATGCAATAATTTTACCAAAAAAAAAAAATGCAATAATAAATTTTTATTTTAATAGATCTTAATTTTCGAAAATATCAAAAGTCTATAGGTTTATTTTTGTGTGAGAAGTTTTTAAATAGTTGGCTATCAAAACTTAAAATAAAAATATTAGGTCCAGGTCCAGGACTTTGGCATCTCCCACTTTCTTGAAGAACCGACATGAATATTTTTTTTGTTTACTATCCTCATATTTTTTTTTTCCTCATAATCTATTTTACTATTCTCATCATCTTTTTTTTTTTCTCATCATCTTTCTACTATCCTCGTAATCAGTCTCCTCATAACTCATATCTCAATTCCATGATATATGTGACACTATTGCAACTGCAACAAGGGTTCCAGTGTATTTTATATATGGATACCACTCTTATTTGCATAACTGTTTATGAACAAATAAATCTCCTAATCTTTTTGTTTCCGTCTACAAAATTATTTATCTACTAAGTAGATCTTGCATATCATGTAAAGAATATTCATGAATAGTCGTCGTTTACTCTCTTGTTCTTTCAAATTTATCCTTCAAGAACATGCATGTTAACCACTGATATCACCTTCAAAGTCACCACACACCACATACACAATTGATCTTGTGGGAAATTCTAATATAAATATCCAGAGTTAACTTGGTCCTGCTTGGATTTGAATTATAAAAAAAGACCATTTTCATTTAGAATTCTAAATCCAATATAAAATTTTAAACCACTTTTACTAGAGACAGAATCCCAGTTTCAAATTTATATAACATGCATGATTTGACCATGTCTTCTGGATATACATATAGGCAAATGCTAATCCATTTATTAATTAGTTTCAAAATTTGATAATATACATGATTCGATCATGTCTTATGGATATATAAAAGTAATTATGCTAATCCATAATTCTTATTTAGACCGACATTATACTATTGGATTTTTTTGTTTGGCGTACGTGATTGATTAGACCACTAAAATGTGACCAAAAATATTATAATTCTTCGTTTATCCCAAAAGGTATATGACCCATATTGAAATTATTATCAAACACACTCTATATGAATCTTGAATATATAGATATAAATACAGCAATTAGTCCCCTTGCTAGTTGGTTTATCATACTATATTTATTTTATTACGAGATCTTGAAGACTATTAGTATATTCTTTTGAGTATGTTAATTTAAATCTTGACTCTACAAGTATTAATTACCTCTCTACACAATTTTTTTTTTATTAAGTTACTTTTTTGTTTTGTTTAGAGCTTACATAAATAAAAAATCCCAGCCTGAATATTTCACATATTTAAAAAAATACCAAAACCATTACAGAATTGTAAGAAAACTTGTAAAAATGATTTAAGTTTCTTAACCAATAAAAAACGGTAACTTGAAAGTTGAAATTTCGAAAGTAAAATGTCAAACAACAATAATGGTTTTTTTTCTTCCCAGACTGTAAAAAATAAATAGAAAATGGGGTTGGTAGAAAAAAGAGGTAAAAAATGACAAGGATGTGTTTCACACGCGTTCATACATACAGTCACACGTGTGACGATCATCTTATAAACGCTCTCATAATTTCCCCAATCGGAGGCCTCTGAAGAACAAAAAGCCCAGCAAAGTCTGAAGTTAATCTCAGCCGTCCGATCAATTCATCTACCATCGTCACGGATCTTCTTCTTCGTCTCTCTCTTTCGTTTCTCAAAAATCAAAATCCCTTCCTCTCTCACCGAGCCGGCGAGCCCGTTCTCTCGGTGGTAAGTGCTCAATTCGATTTTTCATTTTAATTTCTGGGTTCGGAGATTCTCGAGCCGCTCCTACATTACCTGTTCAATTTCCGATTGCTATTCAAAATTTTGTTAATCTGATGAAATTTTTGTATCTCATTCTATTGCCGCATCGCTGCTACTTTTTTTTTCTAGGGTTTATACAAATTCAATTATCTTGTTCGTCTTTTAATTCAATTTTCTGGGGTTTTTGTTTTTCATTGAATTATTGTAGATTTTAAAGATGCTTATGATGATGGGAAGTAATATAAGAAACCAAGCTTTTTTACAATCTCAGAAATTGTAGTAGAATTTGGCGATTCTATTAACCTACGCAACAAGCTTCTTCTTCTTCGTTATACTTGTCATCTGTAAATGGGTTGTTTCCATTCCACGGCTGCTAGAGAATTTCCTGGACACGAGAACCCTGTGAAGCTAGCTTCTGAGACTGCTTGTAAGTTTACTTGCACTATACGTTTCGTTTTCTCTTTTTAGCTTAAATCTACAAGAGCATGAGCATAAAGATCTCTCTTTTATCAATTGTTTGTTGATATGAGAATCTGTTTTCGCCATTCATTGAATCCGAAATATCTGAAAAATTGGTTCTTTAATTCATAATCTAGTTAATCTATTTCAAATTGAATCTTGATCAGAGAAAGTTTTCAAGAACCATCACTTTTATCATATTTTGTTGCGCTATACATGATCTTGATGTTAAACTCGCAGTTTGGCTAACTATTTCTTTGTTTTTCTAGTTAGTGTTAGTGAAGTTGAAGCATTGTATGAATTGTTCAAGAGCATAAGCAGCTCGGTTGTTGACGATGGCTTGATAAACAAGGTATTGATTGATAAATCTCATAGCCATTGATTATTTCACACCTCATGGGGAATCTTGAAGGCGTGATGTACAGTGACATAATAATATTCATTGCACTATTATCCATATTCCATACTAATTTGTCAACTTTCTTGACTTTCACCAATTTATTATTGGTAATTATTGAATCTCCATGCTGAGCTGTGGGCTCCTTATTGCTCACCAAGTCTCTGTGTTGATGATAGTTGACTTGAATTTTAATTCCTTTTTTTTTATATTGGTTTGCTTTTGAAAATTGATGTTTTCTTGGCCCACTTTTGGATATTGTTACTTATTTCTCGACCAACTTGTATTGCAGGAAGAGTTTCAACTTGCTTTGTTCAAGAACAGAAAGAAGGAAAATTTGTTTGCCAATAGGGTAAATCTCAAGTTTCTCAGACCTTTATAACTTTGAAGTGAACTGTAAAAATCGGTAGTTAATGGTAATGGCCTCTTTTGCAGATATTTGATTTGTTTGATGTGAAAAGAAAAGGCGTCATTGATTTTGGAGACTTTGTGAGATCACTCAATGTTTTCCATCCTAATGCTTCTCTAGAGGAGAAAACAGACTGTAAGTTGCCCATAAACGAGTTTATATCTATCGTCGTTTCTCTAAAGCCTTCCCGTTATTATTATTCATGTTGGTTTGTATATATTATCTCAGTCACCTTTAGGCTTTACGACATGGACTGCACAGGCTTCATTGAGCGCCAAGAGGTATAAAATTGTCCTGTATCTTCACATCTCATTCCAACATGATATATGTTTCAAAGATTTGGTTTTAAGCTTTCAATATTGATTCTGTATCATTTTAAGGAAATCATAATTGTGTAAGTGATTTTGGCAGGTGAAGCAAATGCTGATTGCACTTCTCTGCGAATCTGAAATGAAACTGGCTGATGATACAATAGAGATGATACTGGATCAGGTTCACTTCTTGTTGTCTAATACAACTTGTTTTTTCTATGAAAGCAAAAACTCTTTTATAAAACCAGAGTCCTTTCCTTTTTCGTGTAAACAGACATTTGAGGACGCGGACGTGGATCGGGATGGAAAGATTGATAAGACAGAATGGAGCAACTTCGTCATCAAAAACCCATCTTTGCTTAAAATCATGACTCTTCCGTATCTCAGGTATGTTTCCTTACTGTGGAATGGTGCAGTTTTTCTAAGTTTCAGGACTTACAAATTAAATTTGCAGGGATATAACCACGACGTTTCCGAGTTTTGTTTTTAACTCGGAGGTGGACGAAATTGCTACGTGAAGAAACAAGACAAACTGGTTTATAGAGACCAAGTCGTGGGTTGGACCAAGAACAAGAAGAAGACTGATTCCAACAAATGTTACGCTTTATTTCCTTGGTTTCAGTTTTAATGAAATGGATGATTACTTACTTTTGGTTCTTTACTCTTTTTAACAGTTTTGAATATTAAGTTGTAGTTGTACGAAAAGATTAATACAAAATCTCAGTTCTCATCAAAGATTATTTTGATTTTGTACTAATAATCAACCCAACATTTTTGTTCGTGTAACAAGAAACAAAATCGAAAAAAGAAAAAAAAAACCAAAACCGCTCACTACATAAACCGGGTTGTCAATTAATCAACCAAAACAAATTGGTAATGAGAAGATTGAGGAATCAGAAGAAGAGGAAGAAACGAAGAATCCTACAGAAGCTAGCTCAAGCCTTGGAGAGGTAACTTGTATATTTTTTTGGTGCTATATGTTGGTTCCAAGATCACGAATATCTCATTTTTGATTGTGGTGAAAAATCCTCGTTCACACATATCTTAGCTTGTCGAACATTTTCAGGTTACGAATAGCAATGGAACATTGCATGATAGAGAACAGAACAACAAGGCAACAACAGTTCACATCAATCATGCAACAGAAGTTCTTATCGGGAGAAGATCATCAACATTTGGATTACACAAAGATAGACAATGACGAGACTCTTGATGATCATTGGCTTCGAGAGATTGTACTTGACGCTGAAGAAAAGTACTTTGGTGAAGCAGACTAATGGACACAGTCAAATACCATAACCCGGTCTATGTAAGATATGATCTTTCCTTGTCACTCTCTTTACCTTGTATAACAATGGTGATTCATAGGTATAAGCAAGGAATCCGGAGTTACCATCCATGAGAGCTATATATCTTATGATAACGAGAGTCTTGAGTGATTTTCATTTCTTCTTCTTGCAAACGACACCGTTCTATCGAGCCCATTATTATTGGGCAGGCCCATTATTATTGGGCAGGCCCATTACCATTTTGAATCATAAAAAAAAAAAAAAAAACAGAACACTTGTCATATGTTTCTTGGCTTGACATGACAAAGACAAATGTAACAACTGGGACAGAAAGTCAGTCCGAATGTGTTGGGGGATGGCAAAAGTAGTAAATAAGGAAGAAAGAGAAGGGGTGTTTTGTGGGAAGAAGGACGAATGAGTGTGAGTTGTAGGAATCTGGGGAAGACAATAATAAAGGCTCTACCTTTACATCAGAGGAGGCTTGGTGTGAGTATCTATCGTCGTCGTATCCAAAGCTCTTCTTCAATGGAATCCGATCTCAAGTCAACCTTTCTCAACGTTTATTCCATTCTCAAGTCCGACCTCCTTCACGACCCTTCCTTCGAATTCACCGATGAATCTCGTCTCTGGGTTGAACGTGTATGTACCCTTCTTCTCCTATCTCATCAGATCCTTATCCGATCCACTTACTCCCATTTCTTGATTCTCTCTTTCTTTGCAGATGCTCGACTACAATGTACGTGGAGGTCAGAGACTCTCTCTCTCTCGCTTTCCATCGATCCTAATCTCTTTTTTTCTCACACTTACTTCTTCTCTTTCTCCAGGGAAACTCAATCGGGGTCTCTCCGTTGTTGACAGCTTCAAACTTCTGAAGCAAGGCAATGATTTGACTGAGCAAGAGGTTTTCCTCTCTTGTGCTCTCGGTTGGTGCATTGAATGGGTATAAGAATGATAAAGACTTCTCCTTTGAATCTCTATTTAGTAATAGATACCCTCCTCTCCATCTCTCTCTCTCTCTATATATGTCTCTATCACTCAATCATCCTATTCATTATCTTTGCAGCTTCAAGCTTATTTCCTTGTGCTTGATGACATTATGGATAACTCTGTCACCCGCCGTGGCCAACCTTGCTGGTTCAGAGTTCCTCAGGTTAGTTTTTTCATTTTTTTCTTCTCAATGTTTTAAGTCCCACTAGACTACTCTTTAACACAATGTTACAGGTTGGTATGGTTGCCATTAACGATGGGATTCTGCTTCGCAATCACATCCACAGGATTCTCAAAAAGCACTTCCGGGCAATGCCTTATTATGTTGACCTCGTTGATTTGTTTAATGAGGTAATCTATTTGGGCAGATCTACTATCTATACTCTTTCCATAACTGTTAAGCATTCGGAATATTTTCATTTTGCTGTCTAGGTTGAGTTGCAAACAGCTTGTGGCCAGATGATAGATTTGATCACCACCTTTGAAGGCGAAAAGGATTTGTCCAAGTACTCATTGTCAATGTGAGTCAAGTGTGGGCATTCTCAAAAATAGTATAAATGGTTTCTTTCTGATGGTTGATGAGATGAAAGCCAGGCAGTGAGTTTTCTGACCTGATGAAATGGTTTTCTACTTGCAGCCACCGGCGTATTGTCCAGTACAAAACGGCTTATTACTCGTTTTATCTCCCTGTGAGCATGAATTTTCTCCCTCCCTAGTCGTACTTGGGTTCACAGTATAGAGAGAAATCATGCTTATTCCTTTTATCTCCATCATTGCAATTGTAGATCCCGTGACAAGCTGTGTTTTTCATTCAGGTTGCTTGTGCATTGCTTATGGCGGGTGAAAATTTGGAAAACCATATTGATGTGAAGAATGTTCTTGTTGACATGGGAATCTACTTCCAAGTGCAGGTACTGGTTTGCTGTTAAGTATTCATGAGAGCTATATGACAGGGTACTGATTTGATATCTGTTCTTTTGAGTAGGATGATTATCTGGATTGTTTTGCTGATCCCGAGACGCTTGGCAAGGTTTCCACTCCTGCTTACACTTGGTGGTTTCTCAGGCTGATCTGAATGTATTACTGTGCTCACTTGATGTTTTTATAATGCAGATAGGAACGGATATAGAAGATTTCAAATGCTCGTGGTTGGTGGTCAAGGCATTAGAACGCTGCAGCGAAGAACAAACTAAGATATTATATGTAAGAAGCATACATACATCTTTTATAAGAAAAAAAAGGTTTGGAGCCTGAAACATGTTTGTTTTGTTCTGATTTCCTAGGAGAATTATGGTAAAGCCGACCCATCAAACGTTGCTAAAGTGAAGGATCTCTACAAAGAGCTTGATCTTGAGGTTTGAAACTAGTGGAATCTGAGAGATATGATGTTTAATATACACAAGTAACATATGCTAATTGGATGTGGTTTTGATAATAGGGAGTGTTCATGGAGTATGAGAGCAAAAGCTATGAGAAGCTGATGGGAGTGATTGAGGGTCACAAAAGTAGAGCAATCCAAGCAGTGCTAAAATCCTTCTTGGCTAAGATCTACAAGAGGCAGAAGTAGTAGTAGAGACAACATTAGTCTCAGCCCTCAAAAAAAATTCTTGTTATGTCTCTTTTGATTCTTCGTTGTTTGTTCTGATTTCACTCTGATTCTTGTGTTACAATTGTATTTGTTTCGCGACTCTGATCTTCTTCTTTCATCATTTATATGAACTTGAGATTCTTGTTGATGCTATGACTACATACATAACTATTGACCAACTCGTTTAGCAGCAATCCATGAATACATTACGAGTGGACTCGTTGTGATGAACAAGGATGTGAAATTCACTAATGAAACAAACGGGTATGTTTGGGAGAGAATACATAAAGTACAGGGACTGAGGTTGTAAATTTCCTCCATTTATCTGAGTTTGAAACCCTAAATTTGGGAGTGCTTGCGTTTAGAGAGATTCGAGAAGAAATGTATGGAAGAAGATCTGGACTTGACAGGTTTAAGAAGTCCGAAACCTCGGAACCATTCTCTGTATCAGCAAATCCTCCTCCGGCGACGGCATTGTCGGGGAAAACTCAGATTGGAGCTGGTCAATCAAACTGGCATCCACCTGATTGGGCGATTGAGCCTCGTGCCGGTGTCTACTCTCTGGAGGTTGTGAAAGACGGCCAGATCCTTGATCGGATTCATCTAGATAGACGGAGACATATCTTCGGGAGACAACATCAGACTTGTGATTTTGTGCTTGATCATCAGTCTGTTTCACGCCAACATGCCGCCGTTGTACCTCACAAGAATGGTAGTATCTTTGTGATTGACTTGGGATCAGCTCATGGTACCTTTGTTGCTAATGAGAGATTGACTAAGGACAATCCTGTAGAGCTTGAAGTAGGTCAATCCTTACGATTTGCTGCCTCTACAAGAATCTACCTTTTGAGGAAGAACAGTGAGGCTCTCTTTTCTCGCCCTCAGATTAAGCTTCCCCCACCTCCTGATGCTTCTGATGAGGAAGCTCTTGTTGCATACAATACTTTGCTTAATCGATATGGTTTAAGCGATGGATTATCGGGTTGTGTGTTAGGTAAAAGGAAAGAGAAGACCGGATCAGAAGCCGGAGTGGCTAAGAGGATGAAGAATGTGAGAGTGAGCTTCAGGGATCAACTAGGAGGAGAGCTGGCTGAGATTGTTGGCATGTCAGATGGAGCAGACGTGGAAACAGAGCCTGGTCCTATAAATGTCAAAGAAGGAAGCCTCGTTGGGAAATATGAATCACTGGTGCAAGTGACACTCATACCCAAAGGCAAAGTGAAGGAAGAGAAAGCCTTTACAGGAACCAGAGGTGTGACGGATCGACTCCAGGAAGCTATGAATATGTTAAAAGGGGGTCCAAAAAGAGGGATTTATGATGATCTTTACGGTGGTGACTCACTTGCCAAGGCCGTTGGTACGTCATGGGCTTCTGTGAGTGAACCACCGTCTAAAGTTAAAGAAGAAACTGAATGCAGAGGGGTTGGTGAAGAAGATGATAACGACGATCTGTTTGGTGTCTGACTGATTTTGAACACTCTTCTTCTTCTCTAATGTCTACGTCCCATTCCAGGGCATTGGTATGTTGTTTCCTCTTTGTCTATCCAATGGCAGCAGCAAGCAAATTGAGCTCTAACAATGGCTATGTGGGATTCTATAGTTCGATGAGTTTTTGCCTTCTTTAATCATCATCTAAGTATTGAGTGTGTAGTGCGTTTTCTTAAACTGAAACATTATTAGACTTTGATTTTGGAACTGAAACATTAGTTGTTGTTTGCTTTGATTTCAGAGCGATATGGATTGGAGCTGAGTGTAGATGAATTGCTTGAGTTTGATGCTTTTGAACATGTCTACAAGGTAGATTGGCACTTGAAAAACCTGCGAAAGAAGATAAGTTCGACCTCAGAAGAGCTGAATTCGAGGTCTGTAGCTGTCTAGTACTTGAATAAGCTTATATCAGAGGGACATAATTTCTCAGAGGATGCTATGAGAGATAGAGAGCCGTATATACACACGAGTATGTCGGGAACCGTCAGGGTTTAATGGGAAGGAACATGGCTAGGCCTGCAGAACGTTGGTCAGAGACGTTGATGAGACGGGCAGAGGAAGCAAAGTTGGTTACTCGGATTAGAGAGGAGGAATCAAAAGAAGAGAAGGAATAGGAAGAAGAAGAGGAAGAAGCGAAGAATCCTCCAGAATCTAGCTCAAGCCTTGGAAAGGTAAATTGTTTTATTTTGCTGTGTGTTGGTTCCAAGATCATGAATATCTCATTATAGATTTGTTGGTTACTAAATTGTACTGCAAAACCCTGGTTCACATCTTAGCTTGTCGAACATTTTCAGGCTACGGATATCTTGCATGATAGAGAACAGAACAACAAGGTAAACACTCTTACCGCCAGAGGTGATGCAAGATATGATGGATCACTTCACATCAATCATGCAACAAAAGTTCTTATCGGGAGAAGATCATCAACATTTGTATTACACAGAGTTAAACAATGACAAGACTCTTGATGATCATTGGCTTCGAGAGATTGGCCTTGACGCTGAAGAAAAGTACTTTGGTGAAGAAGACTAATGGACACTGTCAAATACCATACTTTGTCTATGTAAGATATGATCTCTCCTCTCTCTATCTCTTTCCATGCAACAATGGTGATCATTGGTGTAAGCGATGAATCCGGAGTTACCATAAGAGCTATATATCTTATGATAAAGAGAGTGATTTCATTACTTTACAAGTCCAAATCACCAACACAATTTCATGTTAGTTTTGGTTGAGAGATTATTCTTGATATCCCTATGTACACTTTATGGTTATGGGTTTTACAAAAAATGAAAACATTTTAAAACAATGTAATTCTGTTCTAAAAATTTAACTTTGTTGCATTAATTTTCTCATTGATTTAGATTTTAATATATTTTGGCAGAGGCAGGCGTGGAAGCGACTTGGACAGAGGACATTATTTTATTTTGTCACGAAAATATATCAGCATCCTCTGCTAATGGAGTCAGTCAATCTTCTACCTCTTTGATAATATCTCCAGCACACAAAGTTCTCAGTGATCTTGAAGCTCCCTCCCCCTAATTCTAATAGATTACTTGATTCTTCCTTAGGATCTGTGCTGCTACAATAGGATTCTTTGGTTACTTATTATTTACGTATTATTTAAGGTTGATAAAGATGTCCGCAAGAACTCTCTCTGTCATATTTATAAGGAGTTTCAACGAAATTCACATTTTTTAAATGGTGTATGTGAATTATTCATGATTATGAGATTCATGTGTTAGACACCAATACTGCTTCTGCTACTGCTTTGCTTTCATGTCTCTACAACGGAACAGTTCTTTGCCGTTGCTCCTTTAGTCTCTGAAATGGTGGTTTCCCAGAACGAAAGTTTCAGCTCCGATGCGTCTCTGCTCCTTCTGATTCGTTGCAGTTTGATTCTTGTGGCCTCCAAATCGATCACGATCTCCTTGTAAGCTTCACTTGTTTACTGCTGCCTATTACAATTTCTTGAGTAGATAGCGTTAAAGTCCAGCACTATGGAACAGTTTATAATTTAGCTCTTTTGGTCAAATTTTAAGCTCTATGAAACAGTTATTCGAATATATTGTGTTAGAAGATTTGTTGAGAAATTAGTAAATCATTTTTGGGGTTTGTTTCATTTCTTGTGAATTGGATGTTTCTGAGTGGTATGATCATGCTAATGCATTTTTTTATTATGGACTTATCAAGGATACAATTAGTGTTGCTGGAGGGAAAGTCTCATAGGATGGTGTTGTTGAGAGTTTTGATAAAAACGAACGAAGAGGCTGCTATGGATGCGTTTGATAATGGACTTGTGGTATGTAACTTAAACTTGTCTTTGTTTAACTTTGGAGCTTTTTTGGCTGTTTATTGTGAATTGGATGTTTCTGAGTAGGGCCAATGCAAATGGAGTGCATTGATTTTGACCATTACTGACTTACAATTCTCTCCTCAAGGCAGACCAATTCCATCAGAAGAGGACATTTGTACTCAAATACCTCTCCTCCCATTCTTTTTCACCTTTTTACCTTTTTTGCATTATTAAAATAGCACACTAATGATGTGGGTTGACTTCCTCCTCCCCCACAAAACAGAGATTCCATAGGGGAAATGGACAACAAGCAAAACACTTGTAAAAATGGTAATCTTGCTCTGATGCTTTAAAGTTGTGGGGGAAGGTATTTGTCTGGGGATCCATGCATCTTTGCTTTATGACATATATATATATATATATAATATAAAGAAGAAAGAAGCTAATTGTGCTGCAACCAAATTTAAAAATCTCTTTTGAGTTAAGCCTATCCAACTCCTAACTCCTAGTGTGGTCCATTGTAATTTAATCATAAGAGTAAACTCGCTTGTATTTTAATTCTAAGTAGGGAAAAGTGTAAGACCCACTTTTGTTTTCTCACTTTCTTTCTGGTTAGGTGAGAAGTTGTTTTCCTTATGCAAAAGATGGAATGCATGAAGGACACTTGTGTCTGGCTTTTTTAATTTTATTTTGGTGTTGTGGATACTTTCTTGATATACTTTACCCACCTCAACCCTTTTAACACCACACAATCTACCTCCTTTCATCTTTTCGTCAGGGACTCCCAACTTATAGCTACTAGATATGCTGAGCCAAATTTTCTGGTTTTCATTTTCAAACCAAAACAAGTATGAAGGAAATAAATATCAGACACCATTTGGAGACTCAGTCCATGCGGGGAGCAACAAGTGACGAGGCCGGGACCCTTGTTGCCATTCAACTCTTTATGTCAATTTGATCATTACCACTTTAACATTTCTCTCTCTCTCTCTCTTCTCCTTCTTCCTCCCTCATATCAACCTTTGAGCACACCAGTTTTTCATGGTAAATCAATCATCTTTTTGCTTGATCTTTTTCGTTTTTCTTACTCTTTTGGTTTATTATCATAAACTACAGGTGTGATTGTATCATTTAGCAATACAGATAGCAAAACTTGAGCTTCAATATTTTCAATTCTCTTCCTTTCTTTCCCCTTTTGACCTAAAGTTTTGATCACTTTCTCATGATATATTCCTCTTGATCGCAGAGAAGTCTAAGATGAAGTTCATGAAAATCGGGACAAAGCCTGACACTTTCTACACTCAAGAGGCTTCAAGGTTTTGTTCCTTCATCTCCATGCCTCTAAATACCCAAAATCGCATTTCTCTAATAAAATTATTCACACTGCAGGATTTTGATAACAGACACACCCAACGATCTCGTTATTAGAATCAACAACACCACTTATCATCTTCACAGAGTATATATCTCGAATGACTTTATTCTCATAGTAGCACACACATATTTATATATGTTATACATGTATGTTATAGTGGTTTCCATATTTCTCTGCAGTCTTCTCTTGTTCCAAAATGTGGGCTGTTGCAAAGGCTTTGCACTGATTCAGAGGAGTCTGATACTGTTACCATAGAGCTGAATGACATACCTGGGGGTGCCGATGCTTTTGAGCTGTGTGCTAAGTTCTGTTACGGCATCACCATCAACCTCAGTGCTCATAACCTTGTGAATGTGCTCTGTGCCTCCAAATTTCTTCGGATGTCTGATTCTGTTGAGAAGGGAAATCTGTTACCAAAGCTTGAAGCTTTCTTCCACTCCTGCGTTCTCCAAGGTTGGAAGGACTCCATTGTCACTTTGCAGTCCACTGCCAAATTGCCAGAATGGTGTGAGAATCTTGGAATCATCAGAAAGTGTGTAGATTCAATTGTGGAGAAGATCCTTACTCCAATTGCAGAGGTTTTTTCAATTTTCTCTTTGTGTCCAGATGATTTTCTTGCACATCCATTTGATCTTTATTTTCCTTTTGCAGGTCTCCTGGTCTCATACATACACCAGACCAGGCTACGCAAAGAGACAGCACCACTCTGTTCCAAGAGACTGGTGGACAGAAGACATATCAGACCTTGACTTGGACTTATTCCGCTGTGTTATCACAGCAGCAAGGTCAACCTTCACGCTGCAGCCTCAGCTCATTGGTGAAGCTTTGCATGTATATACCTGCCGTTGGTTACCATACTTGAAATCAAAAAGCCATTCAGGTTTCTCAGTTATAGAAAACGAAGCAGCACTGGAAAGGCATCGGCGTCTTGTTAACACAGTTGTGAATATGATTCCTGCCGATAAAGGTTCGGTCTCAGAAGGTTTTTTGCTGAGACTTGTTAGCATTGCTAGTTTTGTGGGAGCATCTCTCACAACAAAGACTGAGTTGATTAGAAAAGCTGGTCTACAACTTGAGGAGGCAACTCTTGAAGACCTCTTGTTGCCTTCACACTCATCCTCTCATCGCCATCGCTATGATACCGACTTGGTTGCTACAGTTCTTGAAAGTTTTTTAATGCTTTGGAGAAGACAATCTTCTGTACATCATTCTAGTAACAACAGTCAGTTGCTGCATTCAATCAGGAAAGTGGCAAAGCTTATTGATTCCTATCTTCAGGCAGTCGCACTAGATGTCCATATGTCATTTTCCAAATTCGTGTCTCTTGCTGAGGCAGTGCCTGACATTGCACGCGAGAGCCATGACAGACTTTACAAAGCCATCAACATATATCTCAAGGTATCAGATGCTCTATTGTTGAGAGTCACACCAGTCTACTTTTATGCAAAGAACATGGTTACAGTATTTGGAACTGAAAAACATTGGTTACATTATTGCAGGTGCATCCCGAGATAAGCAAAGAAGAGAAGAAACAACTATGCCGAAGTCTTGACTGCCAGAAATTGTCTGCAGAGGTACGTTCACACGCTGTGAAAAATGAGAGGATGCCATTAAGAACGGTCGTCCAAGCCCTCTTCTTCGACCAAGAGAGCAGTTCCAAGGGAGCATCAAATCGATTAGAGAGACAAGAAACCGTCTCAAGAAGTAAAGAGACGCCCGTGGATACACATATGCACAAGCTTCACCTAGCTCCAGATGAAACAGCTTCTTTAGGGAAAGCTAAGAATATACTTGAGGGAGGAGGCAAAAGAGGAGAAGAGAAAATTAGATCCAGTACAGACCCCAAGAAGATAGTGCGTGAACGAAGAGGGTCAGAGCATAAGCATCATATAAGTAGAGACAGGTAGTGGACTAAACGTCTTAGGCCACAGATTTCTGCTTCTTTTATTTTTCTTTTCTAAAAAGAATTGATGATGATTGTAGAACCCAGTGGCATAATCTGTATTAAGACAGTGCAGAGCTCAAGCTCCTGCGCAACCATTCTCGTGTAGCTTATATCTTACGAAAGCGATTATGCAACTACCATGAGCCATCTTTGTTTCAAACGTTTCCCATTTCTCACCTGGATTGCCTAAGAAATCAAACATTACTCCGCACTCAAAGGTCCTTCAGTTGCTTGCAATATTTGATCATATACATCTTTGGTGAAGACTAATGGAGACAGTCAAATACCATAACTGGTCTATGTAAGAGAGTGATTTCATTTCTTTACAAGTCCAAACACCAACACATTGTCATGTTAAATTTTGGTTGAGAGATTATTCTTGAAATCTCGTTTTTTTATACGGAGTATAAAATATTTAGTTATAAATCCGCCTATATGTGGGTCCTAATTTTATTTTTTTCTTACACGGGCTATAAACTTTTAATTTTAAAAACCTATAAAGTATAAACAATGGCAATAGTAAACAACGTTTAGGGACTTTAGGGGTAATATGAAAGAATCAAAGAAAATGGACGCAAAATATAATGCAGTGAAAAGTTGAAGGACTTCTCCTCACGCGCTGAAATTTGGCAGTTTTGGAAAATTAGCTGATTTGGTGGACTATAGAGTATAGACCACGGAAAATCATTGACGGAAATTGAGCGAGTTATTAGCACGCGCGTTTTTTGCGGATGTGGAAGGATTTTCACGCGCTGACTTTTAAATGTGATGACGTCTTGGGCCTCTCTCCCTTTATAATATTCTATTGGCATATTGTTTTTAGTTTAGCGGACTTGTAAAGAAATGAAATCACTCTCTTGATTTTGACCAAAGTTCAGTTTTTCTATTCTTAATTTTGACTTTTAATAGTACTGTATATGTTTACAGTTTACTGTTCTGTTTTCTTGGTTTTTTACCTTATAATAAATCTTTGGTTCTAATTTTACTGTCATGTTTCCTAATTTTCTTTTAATTTTTATTTATTTCACTACTTATGGAAAGAAGGAAGAACAGAGTGAAGACCTTAATGATTTGTGGCTGTTGTTTAAATTTTTACGAACAAATGTTGCAAACTGAATCCTTTTTTTTTTTTTGGTAGGATGCAAACTGAATCCTTTTGTAAACTAGTAATGTGTGTTTTGTTTGTTTTTGACTAAACAGAAATGACTATTGTGAAATAGAAGAAAGACGGTGTGATCTCATTTAACTGTGTTGGGCTTAAAATGGAAATCAGCCCATCTCTTCATATTAGGCTTCTTTTTATCTTTTACCATTTTTAGGTGACAAGCATATGATTTGAATAGAGCGGTAGAATTATGATACAATTTTTTTTCCCATGAACAAAAAAAAGGTTAAAAACCCACCCTAATATTAGACTTAGGGATGTTAATATGGGTAAAAATTTCGTTGGGTATCTTAAACCCGTTTTAAAAATGGGTACCCAAAACTCGCTCATTTTGTTTAAAATTTCGAGGGTTATAAATGGACCGGTTTATTTCGGGTTTTGTTTATTTCGGGTTTACCCATTTGGGTTTCCGGTACCCGATGTTTTTTTAAAAAATTTCTCTAAAACAATTTTTAACTTTTTTTTAAATAAAAAATTACATCTAACTACAAATTTTAAAATTATACTTCGTAAAAATAGTTTTTAATTTGTTTTTAAAAGAATCAGAGAAAAATGAAGAATTGGAGAGAAAGCGATGAATATCATAGAGCGAAATAAAATAAAAAAAAAACTTATCCTCTCTCTTCCCTCTACCTGCGCCAAATCGTATTTTCGGAGACTTATTTTTACCGCCTTCAGTTTATTTCGGTAATTTCTAAAATTTTAAAATTAAGACCATAAATATTTGTAGATTTTAAAATAGTTTTTGGTTTTTAGTTTCTGATTTTATGTTTTAAAAAAATTTGAATGATAAATTGTTTTGTTTTTGGTTTTTATCTATAATTCTTTTAAAGAAATTTTTTTTATTCTTTTCAAAATTACTAAAAAGAAAAATGTTGATGGACTATATTGTTATTAAAAAAAATTGTCAGAAGAAAAAAAAGAAAAAAAACAAATTGAAAAAAGTGTTATGATGAATTTTGATTTTTATTGAGTGAATAATTCAAAAAAAATAGATTTTAGTTTTGTTTTTTTTTGAAATTTTTTTATAAACACACCAAAACTAGATTCCTTAACTTTTAGTGAAAATATTTTAAAGTTATAACATAGATTTTTGGGTAAAACAAAAAAAATTAAAAACCACTTGAAAAAAAAAACATTACAAGGCTTCAATTTCGATAATTCGGTTTGAAAGTTCCAAACCAAACAGAATCAAACCGGTTAGGTAATTTTGTACTCCTTCTTGCCGTCTTGTGCCGATGAGTTTATTTCATCCAATTAACCAAATCCGAATCAAATTTTCCAAATTTCGGTTTGGTTCGGTTTGCAATAAATACAAAATTCCAAGAACTTGAAACAACGTCGTTTCACGCACTAAATATAAGAAGAGATTCATCCTTCAAATCTTGCGCCAGTTTCCTCTGTGGTTCAACGTTCTAATTAAGAGAGAGAAAGAGAGAGAGAGATATAGGATTATTACAGAGATACGATTTCACAGCGTCATCCTACATAGACGACTTTATATCTCACAAAATCAAAACTTTTGACCAGGTTTTAGAAGAGGAAGATATAAAGAGGTTTTAATATACACACAGAGTATACACTCCAAAGCCGCAGGTCAATCGGGAGAAAATCTTTTTGGGTCACAATCATAAGTTATTACCTCTGTTTTCTTTTTTTTAATAAAGAATGGGATAGAGGATTATTACATTTTTCCAAACATTCTCTTTTTTTTATAGTATAAAATTTGGACTTTTCATAAACATGTATACGTTTTTTTTTTTTTTTTTTTGGTAAAAAAAAAAATTTAGACCATTTCTCGAATTAAGCGTGTCATCCTTGCACAGGGGCCATGCTAATCTTCTCTGTATCGTTCCAATTTTTGTGAAGGTGACAAAAAACTGTTAGGGTAAACTTTTTATAGTGACAGACCCCACCGCAAAGCGGCCCCATATCCAGGAAAAACTCCACCTCCAGCCTGGACCTACGGGTTAGTATACACCGCTTGCCCCTACTCGTATGGAGGAGTTTTTATTTGGAGAGGTTCAGTACCACCGTGGTGACAGAGAGACTCGAACTCGAGACCTCTGGCACTCATCTGTGAGAAGGAAATACCACTAGGATACCATCACTTCTCTACATGTATACGTTATTTTTAATATACAAATTTACGTCAAAAACGCGTATAATATAAGAGGATTACTGATGAAAGATGTAGACGGAATATATATGTTTCTAATTTTGTGTATATATACAGTAGTACTATACGGTTTTAAGAGGATTACTGTATATTATGAATAGTTTTAAGAGGATTACATTTTACGTAACATTACATTTTGACGTCCCTAACTAACAGGTGACATTTTATCCCTCAACACACATTCGCATATATCTTTTACTTTATTTTATCAGTTTTCTATTTTAAATTATTCATTTGTATTTTAAATCACATCACAAATAATTTTCAAATGTTATAATATTTGAAAATCAATTAAATGCAGTTCCATTAAAAAAAGATAATTACATTTATTTATACATACAAATAAATTATGAATAATATAATAACTTTTTGTAACATCTAATATTTATTAAGAGAAATATGAAATACAATAATCACAATGAAGACTTGATTTATTACAGAATGTACACAAATATGATACTAATAGCTTTGGGAAGAATATTGCATGGTTTATTGTAATCCTTTTTTCACCTATTCAAAATTAATCTCTTGGAATCGCGATTTCAATTTCAACCAAGGAATCCTTCGATTCTTCTTTTCTTGACATCGCAACATCTTCTGATTTCTTCTCCTAAGTCGCGATGTTGAAGAAACTTCAAAACCTCCGATTCTTTCGATTGAAGGAGCCTAAAAGTCTCTGCGCCCAACTCACACACATTTGACTCACACGTACGTGTCTCTTGTTGACTTTAGTAAACCTTCGCTCTTGAGTAGAGTCTCCAATATACTTAGAGAATACTTGTGTAAAGGACACTAGTTCTTCACCGTTTGCCATCTCTTGTGGTCCCCAAAAGCCCTTCTAACTTTAGTTAATATACATCAACCTTGGTTAGAACTTGAGTTTATGCAGAGTGTCTTTGTCATGACTTCGGTACCTTGGTCATCAAGTTCTCATCTCCACACGCATATTTAATAATCTGTAAACTTTGCAGACGTAGGAGCGAAAAACGTATAATTCAAAAAAAAATATTTAATTCCCAACAAATCATTTACTTGTTATAAGAAGAGAATTAAAAACACTATACAACTCTCTGTCTATGGCAAGTGGTACCAAGTAATGCAATGGAAGAGTGATGTGTGAATATATTAAATTTTTTTTTTTTTTTTTTCAATTTCTATGATAGCTTCTACTTCTATGTTTCCTTATTTGATATTTTACCTCAGAGAGATGGAAACAAATTAATACATATATAGAAATGTGACTGGCTAACAAAAGAAGCACAATAAGTAATAATAAGTAAGTAGTACTAGGCCTGGGCATATGAGTATTCGGATCGGGTTCGGGTCGGGTCCTTTAAGGTTCGGGTATTATTTTTTAGATTTTAGCTCCGTTCGGGTATTTTTAAATTTCGGTTCGGGTTAGGTTCGGGACTTTTTGGGTTCGGGTCGGTTCTCGACATAAAGTCGAATATCCGTAAATATCCGGAGACTTTGCCGGTTCTGATTCGGATAGGTACTTTGAATACAAATTAACCTAAAAATATCCAAAAGTATCCAAAATACTCAAAAAAATTAGCTCTGAATTATTCAAATAGTATTCGAATTACCCAAAATACCTGAAATAATTATAGCTATATTACACTAAAAATATATAAATTATCCCAAAAAATATCTAAAGCACCCAAAAAGTACTCAAATATGTATTTGTGCACAGGGCTATAAGTAACATTGACATGTTATCCCTCAACACACATCCTCACATATGGAGTATCTTTTACTTTATTTTATCAGTTTTCTATTTTAAATCACATCACAAATAATTTTCAAATGTTATAAAATTTGAAAATCAATTAAATGTAGTTCCATTAAAAATGATAATTACATTTATTTATACATACAAATAAATAATTATGAATAATATAATAACTTTTTGTAACATCTAGTAATATTTATTATAAATATGAGATACAATAATCACAATGAAGACTTGATTTATTACAGAAAATATGATAATAGAACAATAAATCATTTGGAATTCGATATTTGGCAAGAATATTGCATGGTTTATTGTAATCCTTTTTCACCTATATGATAAAAATCGAAAAAATTCCATTTGATGTATAGTTGGCAATCACATATTATACATCCTATTTCTCACAAGAAATTTGTTGTGAAAGATATTCAAATACGATATGATTAATTGGATCTATAAGATATTGTAAATATGTAACATGAAATATCCGTTGTAAAAATATGTGAAAAGACATATACACACGTACTAAAAGAGGCAACGAGCAGATAGCATATCAGAGGAGGGAAGAACTAGGAAACAGAGTAGGCGAAGAAAAAGAATTAAGAAACAGAGGTTTAATGCATACACAAGAAAAAAAAAGTTAATGCACATGAAGATGCATGAATACATCAACTAATCAGCACCGTCCATTTCATACTGGAAATATAAAAACCAATCAAAACCGTCCAATTTTTCATCTAAATCTTTCTTATTTCTTCTTACTTGGCCGCAACCAGATCACAAACACTCTGTATTACCACCTCAAAAGGACACAAACAGAAACGCTTGTAGTTTTTATGGGTTTATGAGAATGGAGGAGAAAGGTTTGATCAAGCAGTTTTGGGTTGCGGTGGTGGCGGTTGCACTCTTGATTCACGTCTCAGTCTCGGTTCCGTTCGTCGTGCTTCACGGAATCACCGCTGCGTGTTCCGATCCGACGAATGCCAACTTCACACAGCTTCTCATGAACCTCTCTGGCTCTCAAGGGTCATGCTTGTAAGTCACTTTCTTATTTTTATAACGATTGGATTTTTACTTTTTAATTGCCTTGCCGCTCACTCATCTCCTTCCTCTGTTCTTCAATCTCTTCTTCTTCTTTCTCTGAAACTTATTCTCTCTCTTTTTCTTTACTGTTCTTTTCCTTCTTTCTCTTCTTCTCTCTCTCTCTTAATCCTTTCTCAATCCAGCCCCTTTCCACAGATCGATCCATATCGGAGCAAAAGCAAATTTCTCATATTCTTTCCGTTTTGTTAAGTGGTGTCTAGCAATATTTAATTCTTTCCGTTTTACTGAAAATATCATTTCTCTGTTTTGTTTCACAAAAGATATTGTTTTACATATATATACAAAAGTTTAGCGATGATATTTAAACTAACAATTTCTTTTTTGAAACCAATAATTGGAAATCTTCAAATTAACCCTGACTTGCGTCTATGGTGGTCAAGTCATGATTTACTTTGACACCAAGTCGTTTCAATTTCAAAAGCACAACACACGCCATATTTAAACTAACAATTTACTTTGAATAATAAATTCCATTTACTTTGAATTATACAATCAAACAACGTACACGTAGAGAAAGAAACAGACTTGTTAAAGATAGATCATATGTATGTTAATGGCTGAACAAAATCCAGCCCCTTCCTGTAACCTGCAAAACCTTAAATCACCTCAAGAACCCATGCTCACTCTCATTCTCTCACGTTAGTAAAAGAAAGAAACAGAGAATAAAAGTAACGAACACAAGATTTGTTAACCCATGTTCGACTTATCGGTCCGGGGCCGGATCAGTCCAGGCAATATATTGATTCAGAAACTCAGAGATACAACTCAAACGTGTTGGATAATTCCAAATAACTTAGGAAATAAGTTATCTCTTTAGGATGTTGCCTAAGAGATAATCACAAACAAGATTTAGATAAGAAGAGTCTTATTTAGATAAGGATTTGTGTATGGTTTTCCTAATGCAATTAGAATAAGGTGTTGTCTTATTTCTACATATAAATACCAAGTCCATGGAGCTTGAGAGAGATTTAGTTTCGTGAAGTTTCTAAATCAATAAAGATAGTTGTTCTTTAAAGCTTTCTTGTTCTAAACGTGAGTTATAGATTTGAGACAAAAACTCAAGCTTTCTCTCTCACACTCACGCCCACACAAGGAAGAAGAGACAAGCAGAGGCTTCACAACGTCTCTGTCTTTTACCAAAACGCAGTGCTTAGCACAAACCCAAACCAGCTTCAATCATGACTGAACCATTTTTAGCAATATTTAATTCTTTCCGTTTTACTGAAAATATCATTTCTCTGTTTTGTTTCACAAAAGATATTGTTTACATATATATACAAAAGTTTAGCGATATTTAAACTAACAATTTCTTTACTGATTCTTTGTTTGTTTTCTTTTGCTTTGGTGTGGAATCCAGAGAAATTGGAGACAATGGACAACTCACTTCAATCTTCATGCCACTTACACAGCAAGCTGAAATAGCATGTGAGAAGGTGAAGCAAATGAAAGAGTTGACTCAAGGATACAACATTGTTGGAAGATCTCAGGTTCTTGAAAACTCAAAAATCAGTTTTTGATCATTATTTACATGTTTCAGTTTTATGGATGTTGAGGAATGATGGAACAGGGGAACCTAGTGGCTCGAGGCTTGATCGAGTTCTGCGACGGCGGGCCTCCGGTTTACAACTACATATCTTTAGGTGGTCCTCATGCTGGGATATCCTCTGTTCCTACGTGTGGTGCACAGGTTTTTTATAATTTCCTCAAATTATCTTAACTTTTTCTATGATTTGAATCAATAATCACAGTAACAACAATGTTTGTTTTGTGTGTATTTTCTTTTTTTTTGTAGATGCCCGGTCTCGTATGTGATGCATTTGATGCGCTACTCAAAGCAGATGTCTATAGCGAGTTCGTTCAGGTATGTATTTCTCTCTCTATATATATCATATGATTAAATCCTAAATTAGAAATTGATTAAAACATTTAATGACTCTGCAGGATCATTTTGCTCCCAGTGGTTATTTCAAAAACCCTATGGTATGTCCATTCACCATACTACCATAGTTTAGCTTCCATCGACTAGCTCCTAGTATTTTAGATACTCTGTCTTCTCTTTAAAGCTAATTGAAGAGACCCCTCATTGCCAAAAATCTCTGTTTTATCAGTTTCTCTTAACCGAAATTGAAGTCATACTCGCGGTTTAATTCAGAACTCTTGGTTTGGGTGAGAAATGGTGTAAAAGAAGGATAGGTTTCGTTTTAACTCGCAGATTGAACAAGTTTATGTAAAAAATGGCAGATCTTCTCGTTTGAGGACTATGAAAATTGAAAACAGCTGGTTTTGATTAAAGTTTTTCTCAGGATATGAAGAGGTACCTGGAAAACTCCAAGTATCTGCCTAAGCTTAGCAATGAGATACCAAACCAAAGAAACTCAACTTACAAAGATCGTTTCACCAGTTTACACAATCTGGTTCTTGTCAAGGTTTGATCTCTTCAAAACCATTAGACTTTTTAACTTTCTTTTGATTCTTCTCTTGATGGTTTTATTTTGTTTTACAGTTTCAGAACGATACGATTATCATCCCAAATGACTCAACTTGGTTCGGGTTTTACCCGGATGGTCAGGTCGAACCCGTTCTCCCGGCTAACCAGACAAGGCTCTACACCGAGGATTGGATCGGATTGAAAACATTGGATGCGGCTGGAAAAGTGAAGTTCGTGAGTGTACCAGGTGGACATCTCGAAATGGCAGATCAGGATGTCCTCAAATACATCGTCCCGTATCTTCAGAATCAATCTTAGAGAAAAGACCCCAATCAGCTATTACTAATTTATGCAACTTGTATTCCGTATCTTTAGAATCAATCTTCTCCCGCTTAGTGATGATTGTATCGAACAAGAATCATTACTTTTATATAAATATAATCGAATTAATCAGTATTTATCTGAGTCTATTGTTGATTTCACGTCCGCCTTCTCGATTTCTTGATACAGAAGGAAACAATCGAGATACCTTTCCGACAAACATAACTCCCTGAAAACAAGACTGCACGCAAGACCATCAGGTCTTATCTCGCGGAGCAACATCTTTTCATACGGATTAGCGACACAGTAGCCGAACTAAAACATTCAGAAAGAGAAACACCGCCAAGTTTCACCAATTTATCAATCAATTTACCATTCGAAACAGAGCTTCTAGGTCAATGGTTCTTTATTTTTCAACGGTTTATGTTGAATGTGAGTCAACTTGAAAGCCTCTGTTGGAAATAGAGGGTCTCATCTAAAGAGTCATGTGGCTGCACGTGACTAAAGACTAGAGACGGTGTCGTTTCACATATAAGAGAAGAAAGACTCGAAGCTTCTTTGACAGAGTGTGAAGAATAACGAGAAGATTTAAGATTCATCTTTTTTTTTTTTGGTAAACTAAAACTGTTTTGGGTAAACTTTTTATAGTGACTAGACCCCACCGTGAACTTTAAGATTCATCTTCTTCGTTAGAGAGAGAGAAAACAGAGTTCTAAGGTTTTGGCCTTTTGGGTATCTCTTCTCTACTTCTTCTTCTTCATTCTTGTATCTCGGATTAGGGTTAATTTGGGGGTGAGTGAGTGAAATCTCCATTGTAAACACAAGTGTAACTCTTGATTGATTATAGTGAAAGATCGTGTTACACTAGAGGGAACACCGAGACGTACCTCAGAGTTGCCAATTGCAACTAGAGGGAACTCGTAAATCACTGTGCACATCGTTTACGTTATTTGCTTTAGATCCGTGAGAGTTTTGGGACGAAATCGGAGACATCGATTTACTAACAGTTTATTTGGTCGGTTTGCAACTAAACGTTTGGTTCTCGTCTGGTTATAGTAAACTACAACTAAGGGCCTGACTGGTTTAAACGCAGCGATTGCGGTTGCGGTTGCGGGAGTTTGCGGAAGCGGGCGGTTGCGGTTTCAAGCGTTACCAAGCGTTTTGAACGACTGGTTTAGCGTTTGAAAATGGGTGCGTTTGCGGGAGGTTTATGACTGGTAAACCAGCGGGTGCGGTAGCAGTTAAATAAAAAATGACCAAAATAAATAAAAAATATTACAAAAAAAAGAAATAAAAACACCAATATATTATTATGATAATATTTGAAAAATTGAACATGCTTAATAATTAAAACTATAAATAAAGTACTAAATAATTATTCAAAAATAAAGAAATTTTGTAACAAGATAGTACTTTATGCATCTGGTTTAACATCAAAAATTGCATCAAGTAATGAGACAAACTGTAAATAACGTTGAATTCAATTAAAAAGCAAGTGAGTTTCTATTCGATAAAACAAATCGAAACATATATTCAATCAAAAAGCAAAGCAATACGTAATGAAAAGAAAAAAAAACGATGGCATGTTAAATATTCAAAAAGTTACACATGAGGTGATGAATGAATAAAAGGATATATGATACTTACGTTTGGTTCTTGATTTTCATCAGTTTGGGTAGAAGACATTGAGAGAATAGGGTTTCAGAATATTATTAGGGTTTCTGATGAGAACGTGATTAAAAGATGAAAGATATATATAAGATTAATATATATTGTAATAATTATAAGTAAACGTTTGTTTTTTTTTTTTTTTTTTTTTTTTTTTTTTTAATCCAACCGCTACCGCCCGCAACCGCAAACGTTTGCGGGAAGGAGCTTTTGAAATTCAGCGATTTCGAACGGTTCGAAGCGGTACGGAGCGGTTTCTATGATTGGTACCAACCGCTAGCAACCGCTAGGAGGGTGTTAGCGGGAGAACCAATCAAGCCCTAAAAGTTCCATCTCAACAATGGGCCTTCGATGGGCTTCTCTGATCACTTGGTTTCAAAACCATTTCCTTTGTTGGACCACTAGAGCTTATGGGCATAATTATGTAATAAGCTAAAAAACTTGGGCTAGGCTTTGTAATATTTTTATTTCTCATGCTTTTCAATAGAAGAAATTATTTCAAAAAAAAAAAAGACAAAAAAAGAATTTAAGAAAAGAATTGATAATCGCAGACGCATAATATTACGCTTCCTTTAACACATTAACAATTATTGGGTTCACCTCTAGGGTGAACCTCCTTATTCACTCCTTAGCTTAACCAATCAAAATAGAATAAAATGTCACATCATGCTATATTTAAAAATAAGTCAAAATTAAAATTTTTTAAAAAAAAAACAAAATAGATTATGGAAACAAAATCTGTATATATATCTACTTTCAATTTAATTGTAAAATCTAAACCCTAATCACTCATTTGTCAACCCAAACCGATATCTAATTTCGTTTTAATTGTAAAATCTAAACTCTAACCACTCCTTTGTCAACCCAAACCGATATCTAATTTCGTTTTAATTGTTAAATCTAAACCCTAACCACTCCGTTGTCAACCCAAACCGATATCTAATTTCGTTTTAATTATAAAATCTAAACCCTAACCACTCTTTTATAAATCCAAACCGACATATAATTTAAGAAAAGCATTGATAATTGCAGAGGCATATTACGCTTCCGACATTTGATTGAACACACTATAATTGAAAGGGTATACAATATATGAACTTCTGAGTAAAATTGTTATTCATTCCCACACTATAATTCCCACACTATAATTGAAAGGGTATACAGTATAAAATTGTTTTATACCAAAAATGTACAGTTGTATATAAATCGAAGTTGCAATATTTGGACGTACTACTTTTTTTTTAAAAATCATATATAACCGGCTTGTTTCTTGTAAGTATTTTTTTTTCTTTTTCGTAATTAATGGCTTGTTTCTTGTATCTTTAGTAGTTTTACAATTATGACTAAATGTTTTACCAGAATTTGTTTCTTTTTTTTAAATAATAAAAAATAAAAATAAAATCTTTTTGTAGCCAGAAATACGACTCAATGTTTTACCAGAATTTTTTTCTTTATTACATCTTTAGTTGATATAGATTTCAAAATAAAGTGAAAAAAATTCAAGACTTGCATGGAAAAATGCAGATGCAAAATATGCTTCCTGGATCATCTCCAGGAAAACAACCGCCTATTCCCTTCCATTTTAGTAGGCACAGACCAGTACACGAGAAACCATTAGGAACACAATTTGTGTCAGGTAAAACCTTAGGACACAACCCTGGCAAAAAACTCTTAGTTTCCTCCTCTTGTCCTTGAATCTCATTCACCATCAACCCTGTAAAAATATTATTTAAAACAAAAAATTATCACCTTCTCATGGCACAAAACTACATGGTTTTATTATAGAATTAGAGATAGTAAAGAAAGAGAACCTAGAATAAGGATGATGAAGAGAGCAAAAAAGGTGGATTTAGTCATTTTCTTATGATAATTGGAGTTTTCAAAATATAAAAACAATAAGAGTAATGGTATCACCTATATATTCATTGTAGAAGATAAGGAAACCAAATCAATCATATCGTCAATCACAGTAATTGAGATTACTCACAAAATATTCTCAGTAATTATGTCTGTGATACTATGTCTCTATAAGTCGGTCGTCATATTCTCCATAATACACAACACATTCTATTTCCCATATGGTATCATATATTATCAAATTAATATTTCCCTTTCGTGTATATATTTTTACTAAAAACAATATTCATGCATATATTATCGAAATGATATTTGCCTTTGATGTATATATTCTACTAAAAACACATATATATACTATAAACAATAATATATGCATGTATCTATATTTAATTTTAGATTTATAAAAAATTCTTATAATATTAATATATTTGAACATCTTATATAATGTTTTAAATATATACTCATATTGTCAATGATTCAGATGCATGGTTAACCACAACGGTCGTCCAAGCCCTCTTCTTCGACCAAGAGAGCAGTTCCAAGGGAGCATCAAATCGATCAGAGAGCCAAGAATTCGTCTCAAGAGTTAAAGAGACTCCCACGGATACACACAGCAATATGCACAAGCTTCACCTAGGTCCAGCTGAAACAGCTTCTTTAGGGAAAGCTAAGACTATACTTGAGGGAGGAGGCAAAAGAGGAGAAGACCCCAAGAAGATAGTGCGGGAACGAAGAGGGTCAGAGCATAAGCATCATATAAGTAGAGACAGGTAGTGGACTAAAAGTCTTAGGCCACCGATTTCTGCTTCTTTTATTTTTCTTTTCTTAAAGGAATTGATGATGATTGTAGAACCTAGTGGCATAATCTGTATTAAGACAGTGCAGAGCTCAAGCTCCTGCTCAACCATTCTCGTGTAGCTTATATCTTAAGAAAGCGATTATGCTACTACCATGAGCCATCTTTGTTTCAAACGTTTCCCATTTCTCACCTGGATTGCCTAGATTTAGAAAATCAAACATTACTCTGCACTCAAATGTCCTGCAGTTGCTCTCTGGTTGATGACTAATGTTATCAATGCAATGTGTGATCATATACATCGTTGGTGAAGACTAATGGACACAGTCAAATACCATAGTCTATGTAAGATATGATCTCTCCTCTCTCTTATTTCTTTACCTGCAACAATGCTGATCATTGGTATAAGCGATGAATCCGGAGTTACCATGACAGACAGCTATATATCGTATGATAAAGAGAGTGATTTCATTTCTTTACAAGTCCAAACACCAACACAATATCATGTTAAGTTTTGGTTGAGAGATTATTCTTAAAATCTCTATGCACACTAGTAACATTGGTTAGTGTAATTAAATTAAATGATTACAGTCTATAGCGGTTTTTGTTTCTATTTAGTTGAGTGTTTTCTATCATTGAAGTAAATCATTTTAGAAAAACAGTAGAAAGGTAGAATGGTGAAGCCATGCGATGATAAAAGTTGAAGAACTTAAAACAGTTGTGATACATTGCTGCATAGATACATACACATAAATGTATATAGCAGGTGAAGTATATATTATGATTGTGCCAGGGGAAGAGTCATCTTCCGTGAGAAATTTCTTTTTGGTATGAACTCTGAGTTTCATACAAATGATCCTTGTCTTCACTCTGAGTTTCATACAAAAGATTCTTGTCTGAACTCAGAGTTTCATCCAAATGATTTATGTCTGAACTCAGAGTTTCATCCAAATGATTCTTGTCTGAACTCAGAGTTTCTTCCAAATGATCCACAAACTTGGCTTTTGCAGTAAAGAAACAGAGAGGATAGTTAGAAGCCTCGCCATAGAGAGGGGTAGGGAGAATTACTTGATAGCATGGATCTTTCCATGATGTCTGAATCCGCTTGAGTTCTTTAGCTACTTGGATCATCTTTGGTCTATCTTCATCTCTTTTCTTACAGCATCTCAAAGCCAGCACCACACACGCTTCCACCTGCAATCTTTGACAACATGTCATATCTTTTGCCACCATTGGATCAATTACTTCATCAAGCTTCCCATCCTCACATAACTCTCTCACATAGCCAAGAATACCTTGGCTATCCCCATAAGATGTGGTGAAGACAACAGGTCTACCAGTGACAAAAACCAACAAACAGATTCCAAAACTATACACATCGGTATATTCGGTCACAAAACCCGTGGCTTGATGTAATGGATCTAAGTACCCAAATGTCCCCAAGACTCTATCAACTTGTATTCTTGATTTTCCCTCAGGGAGCGTTATGGATAGCGAGAAATCAGACAACTTTACATTCCAGTTCTTGTCCAAGAAAATAATCGTTGGCTTAATGTGTCTATGTATGATGATCTTAGGGAACGCCATGTGAAGATAAGTTAAAGCATTTGCAATCTCCTTTCCAATCTTCAAACGTACACTCCAAGGCAATGAAGATTCCTCTCCATTAACCATAAAATATCCTCTCTCATTAAGGTACCCATTCTCTGCGTTTTCAAACACGAAAACAAGAAAAAAAAACTCGAAACAACATCCAAATAGTTTGAGAAAGTTGTTGTGGTTACTCATCCGAGCAGCCAAGACAATGTCATTGTATTTGTAACTACCCTTCCCAACCCATCGCCGTGTAAGTAAGACTTCGTTGCCTTCTGTGTCTCTATCCCCGTAAAACTTTTTGATCAAGTAAGGCTTATCTTCTATGATACCTTTATACCATTCATGGTCTTCCTCTTCAGTGACAAAACATGTTCGATCGAAGTTGTTGGTGGCTTTCTGAATTTGTTCAGAAGAAAAGGTGCGTATAGGAATTGATTTACCGTTACAATCAGCGATGAGCTCTTTTAAGAAGATGCTTCCGTTATGTAAGAATCTCCTTTCTTCTTCTTGACCGTCTTTTTCCTTCCTTTTCCGGGACGATCCAGATCTCATACTCTGCTGCAACTTCTTCACCAAAGATTCCATTTCAGAGTGTAATTTTCCTCCCAAGAAAGATCGTTGAAAATTCCAACCAGTGGCTAGCTACAAATATATTGGCTGGTCTAATTTCTTGACAGTCCTCATTAGTCACTTATAGGTCCACAGAACGAATTGGTCAATTTTACTATGAGAACGAAAATGCACTGAAGCAGACTTGGACCAAAGTTCAGTTTTTGTATTCTTTTGACTTTTAATAGTATATGTCTACAGTTTACTGTTCTGTTTTCTTGGTTTTTTTACCTTTAGAATAAGGGGGTGTTATTGGTTTATTAATTTGTAAATCCATATAGAATTTGAAAATTTCTATTAATTATGAAATCAAGATATATGGATTTTGAAATAACATGTGTTTACCCATGAATTTGAATCCTTCTATTTTTTTCTTTCAATTCCATTCAAATCTATTTAAAACATAATTTGGATTCTCAAATCCAAAAACAAATGACTAAACGAATAACAAAGGATTTTAACTAGTATTTATAATTCATATAACCAATAACACATGATTTTAATTAGGATTTTCAAATCAATGATTGAATAACAAATGATTTTTGTTTGGATTTCTAATTCCTTATAAATCCATGAACCAATAACCCCTCCTAAATCTTTGGTTCTAATCTTACTGTCATGTTTCCTAATTTTCTTTTAATTTTTATTTATTTCACTACTTATGGAAAGAAGGAAGAGCAGAGTGAAGACCTTAATGATTTGTGGCTGTTGTTTACATTTTTACGAACAAATGTTGCAAACTGAATCCTTTTGTAAACAGTAATGTGTGTTTTGTTTGTTTTTGACTAAACAGTAATGACTATTGTGAAATAGAAGAAAGACAGTGTAATCTCATTTAACTGTGTTGGGCTTAAAATAAAAATCAGCCCATCTCTTCATTTTAGGCTTCTTTTTATCTTTTACTATTTTTAGGTGACAAGCATATGATTTGAATAGAACGGTATAATTTTTTTTTTTTTTTGAAAAAAAATAGAACGGTATAATTATGATGAAAAAATATCCCATGATGAAAAAAAAGATTAAAAACCCACCATAATATCTTTTAAGGAAATCTGATTAATCTCGTATTTCCTTATTGAGATACTAACAATAAATTCTACTTTTACCACCATAATATCTTTTTCAAAAAAAAAAAAAAAAAAAAACCCACCATAATATTAGAATTAGGGATGGTAATATGGGTAAAAATTTTGTCGGGTATCCTAAACCCGTTTTAAAACTGGATACCCAAAATTCGCCCATTTTGTCTAAAATTTCGAGGGTTATAAATGGACGGATTTATTTTGGGTTTACCCATTTGGGTTTTGGGTACCCGATGGATTTTTTTTTTAATTTCTTTAAAAAAAAAATTTAAAACTTTTTTTTAAAAAAATTTACATCTACTACAAATTTATTTTAAATTTGTTTCTAAAAGAATCAGAGAAAAATGAAGAATTAGAGAGACAGCAACGAATATCAGAGAGCAAAATAAAAGAAAAAAAAAACTTCTTCTCTCTCTTCCTTCTACAAACGTCATTTATATTTTCTTTCCACACTAATACAGAAAACTACCCAAAACTCAAAACTCTAAGAGCATACACAATGGCACATGTGTGAGTGTGGATGTAAATAATTTTTTATTATTATAATTAAAGAGAGAGAGAAAAGAGAGAGAGAAAAGAGAGAGAGATAGAGAGAGATAGAGAGAGTGCAATATTTCTCTTTATTTTAATACTCACACCCAAGTGTAAACTTACACCCAACATACAACTTCTACACAATTTTTCTAATTTTTCTCCTTTTTATATTACTCACACCCAACCAAAGATTGTACCATTGTGTATGGTCTAATTAATACTCCAATTCCTAATAAAAACTTAAAACTAACTCTTTTCCTAAAAAACCCCAATATTTAATTCCCAACAAATCATTTACTTGTTATAGGAATAGAATTAAAAACACTATACAATAACTCTCTGTCGATGGCAGGTGGTACTAAGTAATGCAATGGGAGAGTGATGTGTGGATATATTAATTTCTATGATAGCTTCTACTTCTATGTTTCTTTATTTGATTTTTCATTCCAAATATGAGACAAAATTATAATAAATATTATTCGACATCGGACGTGAAAATATTTACTCTCAAATATACTTTTATCGGAAAATAGTTTTGAGATGTTTTACCTCAGAGAGATGGAAACAAATTATTATCTAGAAATGTGATGGCTAACAAAAGAAGCACAAGCTTTGCACAAAAAAAAAAAAAAAAAACAAAAGAAGCACAAGAAGTAAGTAACTAACAGTAATATTTTATCCCTCATGGTCCAATTTCTTGACATTGACTCATCCTCATTAGTCACTCATAGGTCCACAGAACGAATTGGTCAATTTTACTATGAGAACGAAAATGCACTGAAGCAGACTTCGACCAAAGTTCAGTTTTTGTATTCTTAATTTTGACTTTTAATAGTATATGTTTTGGTCTCATTTAACTGTGTTGGGCTTAAAATGAAAATCAGCCAATCTCTTCATTTTAGGCTTCTTTTTATCTTTTACCATTTTTAGGTGACAAGCATATGATATAAACAAGGTGAATAGAGCGGTAGAATTTTCTTTCCCATGATATAAACAAGGTTAAAACCCACCCTAATATTGGAAGGGGATTAGGGATGTTAATTTGGGTAAAAATTCGTAGGGTATCCTAAATCCGCTTTAAAAATGGATATCTAAAACCCGACCATTTTGTTTAAAATTTCGAGGGTTATAAATAGGTGGGTTTATTTCGGGTTTTGTCTATTTTGGGTTTACCTATTCGGGTTTCGGGTACCTGATGAGTTTTATTTTAATTTTTAAAAAACTTTTTAACATTTTTTTTACATCTAACTACAAATTTTTAAAATTATATTAAGTAAAAGTGGTTTTTAATTTGTTTTTAAAACTTTAGAAAAGATTACATAACAATAGATCAGCTTAACAAAAAGCGTTCCTATCGTCGAATGGTAGTACGTTTAACAAGAAAGTGGGAAGCGAGAAATTTTAAAAAAACAATGAGCTCATAGGAATAAATTTCCTCTTACTTGATGAAAAGGTAAATTTTTAATGTATTTTATTTTATTCATTAAACCTAAATATTCTCCTATTTAATTTCTTTAATTTTTATTTATTTCAAAACAGGAAAATACAATTCAAGGCTCTGTACATCATTTTCTTATTGAAAAATTTGGAGCTCAGTTATGTGAAGGAAGTCTTATCGAAATTTGCAACTTTAATGTGCAAGATTGCAATAAGAACTACAAGGTCTCCGATCATAAATTTCAGATGATACTAACAGAAAGAACGACAATCACATCCGTCGATCAAAATTTTTGCAAAATATCCCTCGAAAATTTTCGATTTAGAAATCATGAGGATCTTGCTAAATTGAAAGATATGACACAACATTTATACGGTAAATATTCTGAATTTTAAATTTCAATTTTTTATAAATATAGATTTATTTATATTAAACGTTGTTTTTCCATCCAGATGTAATTGGCTACATAAAAAATCAAAAAATCTGATGTTCGTACTCATGATACACCTACTCTAAGAAGGCTTACCCTAATTTTATTGTTAGAAGGGTACGTATTTTTTCCTGGATCTCTTCATCTCTTGACTTTAATAATCTCTTTACTTTAATAATGAGAAATTTAGAATTTTAGTTATATCATATGTACCTTTGTTTTGGCTAACAAACAGTCTTTTTACTTATTATATATAGTGGAATGGAAATTACAGCAACAATATGGGCAGAACAAGCAGAACAATTGGAAGATAAATACCGTGTTGTGGGAAGCGATAACATTGTTCTCATCATGACAAGTGTTCTTATCAAGACATATCAAGGTGCAATTTGTTTGTCGGCATCTTCTGGAACCAAATTCTATTTGATCCTGTTACTACCTTTCGAAAAAGGTACTTTATTAATATATATATATTTGAGATTTATCTAATTAGTTAAAAATCAATTTAAATTAAAACTAACTATTTGTTGTAATTATTAGTTTCAGCTACGATGGTGGTTGCTTAGTTAACCTTGGCAGCATGATTGAACAAGCTCCAATGAATATTAGGTGTTCTGAACCACTACATTCAATAAATGATATTTGGGAATTTATCTCATCCGACGTCCCTCAGGTAATACAACTACATGCAAATAATAATTTCCCAGCTTATGAAGATATGGTATTAAGTCTATACGATGCTCAAATATTTCTAACATATTTCCACACTTTTAAATTGCAGAAAAAGACTTTTGTGTGTAAAGCAACTATTACTGATATTGTGTTACGTAAGGGTTGGAATTACATATCATGTTCAACTTGCTCAACAAAATTGGAAAAGTCAGGATCATCGCTTAATTGCCAAAAATGTGGTAAAACATCACAATCCGTAGGAGTCCTAAGGTATTATTCGTTATATTTTAATATCTACTACCTATATATATGCTCATATATACTAAGTTATTATTAAGTTAAAAAAAAGTTATTATTAAGTTTCCACACTATATTAAGCCATTATATATTTTCAGTTTCAAAATTGAAGTAATAGTAGATGATGGAGACGACTCTGCAACTTTGGTTATATTTGACCAAGATGGTTCACAAATCACTGGAACAACTGCTGAAGACGTAAGAACTATATAGTTATATGTACATATTATTTAGGTTGACATAAATTTCGATTAATTAACAATTAAATGAATGTTGACACGCAGATCAAAAGAAACTCCGGGGAAGAAGAGTTGAAAGGCATTCCCAAAAGTTTACGTACAATCATAGGAGAGACTTATTTGTTCGCACTATCAAGAGTCACTACAACTGCAGGACTTCAGATTCTTAAAGTTGGGACAAAACACTATGATAGTAGTGTTCTACAAAATATTGTCTATCAAGAAGTTTTCAACAACATATGATCCTCATAGAGAGATGAAAATCAGAGCTTATACAGTTATATCTACAGTTTGTTTTAGTTTCCAGATTTGAAGTTTCCATAATACAATTGTCCATTAATTCTTTTCAAGAACGTTACATGTTTGCTTTGGGTTTCATGTTTTATTTTTATCACACAGTGTCTTAACTTCAAGATATTTATCAATAACACATTCTTTGCAATATGAAATAAAATACAATCGAAATAAAACGTTCAGCATAAACTATATGCAATAATAAAAGCTGAAGCAGCTTCTGGATCTCACAGCTACTCATACTTTCAAATTCCACTTGGTTTCTAATTGGCTACTGTCACAAAACTCTAAAGTCTCTAACACTTACAAAAAAATATATAAATCCTTTTTAGCTTCCAACTCTTAACCTCAAGTGTTTAAAGTGATGACAAGTCAGAAGTGAAGACAAGTTTATCATCAAATAATTTTTAGCTTGAGCTTGGTATTTAGTTTTTGCCTCTTTGGTAAGTTGAGTATAAATACCTCTGTTCCAACTAAAATTTATAAGAAAAATGTAAAATCTTTTTATACCTTTGGACTTTTGATTGTATGAGGAAGATAATTTCCAAAATAATCTACGGAATTTCTTTGGTTAATGGTACCAATGTTTTCAAATTCGATCAGACCAGTAAACCGATTACCTTCCGGATCAATCGTGGATCAATTAGTTTATGAACCACATTTTATGATCATATCTAGGCCTGGGCAAAAAACCCGGACCCGAAACCCGGACCGATACCCGAACCGAAAAAACCGGTTCGGGACGGGTACGGGTAAGAGGAAATTACCTCATTGGGTATAGTTTTTGAAAACCCGTGGGTATCGGGTCGGTCCGGGTAATACCCGTTACCCAAACAGGGTACCCGAATACCCGAACATATAATTAAATATCAAAAATATTAATTATATATAATTTAAATATAATTTAATTATATAGAATTACAATTATAAATCTAAATATGTCAATTAAATTTAGACTTAAATATCCAAAACAACCAAACTATCTAAAAACTATTTGTTATGTTTGTCAAAATTTAGCAAAATGTATTCAAATATAACTAAATTTATTAAAATTTAACAAATTTTTAAGGTTTTTTTCGGGTACCCGGTATTTTACGTATAAAACCCGACATTTTACATATAAAATACCCGAACCGAACGGGTACCCATATTTTTGGGTATTTATAGGGTTTAAATTTTTTTACCCAAACCGACCCGAACCCGACGATATCCGAACCGGACAGGAACCGAATGTTTAGAAATACCCGAATGGGTCGTAAATTCATTACCCATTTAACCCGAACCCGAACGGGTTTTACCCGAACCCGAACGGGTTACCCATATGCCCAGGCCATATCGCCAAAACCAATTATACGATATTTTTCTTCTATTGCTTCTACTCTTTCACTATTTGTCTCTTCATGATTCACTTCAATGAAAATCCACATCAACTAAAAATATACAATCAACTTAATTATAAACAAAAACCACTACAGACTAATCTCTCAACCAAAACTAACATGACATTGTGCTGGTGTTTGGAATTGTATAGAAATGAAATCGCTCTCTTTATCACAAGATATATAGCTCTCTCATGGTAACTCCGAAGTTATCGCTTATACCGATGATCAGGCAGCATTGTTGCAGGTAAAGAAATAAGAGAGGAGAGATCGTATCTTACATAGACCAGGAATGGTTATTTGACAGTGTCCATTAGTCTTCACCAAAGTACTTATCTTCAGCGTCAAGGCCAATCTCTCGAAGCCAATGATCATCAAGAGTCTCGTCATTGTCTATCTTTGTGTAATCCAAATGTTGATGATCTTCTCCTGACAAGAACTTCTGTTGCATGATTGATGTGAACTGATCCATCATATCTTGCATCTCCTCTGGCGGTAAGACTGTTGTTGCCTTGTTGTTCTGTTCTCTATCATGCAATGTTCCATTGCTATTCGTAACCTGAAAATGTTCGACAAGCTAAGATATGTGTGAACGAGGATTTTTCACCACAACAAATCAAAAATGAGATATTCGTGATCTTGTAACGAACATATAGCATCAAAAAAAAAATACAAGTTACCACTCCAAGGCTTGAGCTAGCTTCTGTAGGATTCTTCGCTTCTTCATCTTCTTCCGATTCCTCTTCTTCCTCCTCTTCTTGTTCTTCTTCTTCTGATTCCTCCATCTTCTCATTACCAATCCAATCACTCTCAGCAACACCTAACCTCTGCTGCTCCTCTCTAATCCGAGTAACCAAAACCGCTTCCTCTGCCCGTCTCATCAACGTCTCAGACCAACGTTCCCCAGGCCTAGCCATATTCCTACCCATCACATCCTGAAACTTCCCAACATACTCATGATGTAGATACGGCTCTCTATCTCTCATAGCATCCTCGGAGAAATACTGTCCCTCGGATACAAGCTTATTCAAGTAAGCCAATCTTCTATTCCTCACAGCTACAGACCTCGATTTAAGCTCTTCCGAAGTCGGACTTATCTTCTTCCGCAGGTTTTTCAAGTGCCAATCAACCTCATAGTCATGTTTCAAAGCATCAAACGCAAGCAATTCATCTACTAGTAGCTCCGATCCATATCTCTCTGAAATCAAAAGCAAACAACTAATGTTTCAGTTCCTAAATCAAATTCCGCATAGCCACGAAGAAATCGGTAGTACAACACCAATACTTAGAATTAGAATTGAGCATTGGAGAAGAATAATGGAAAGTACCGAGAAAGACGGCGGGATCACGACGGAGGAGGTCGAGGAGGATGGATTTGCGTTGGTCGGAAGATGCGGCGGTTAATTGGACGGCGCGTGGAAAATAGAGGTTGTCGAGAGAAGACAGTCTCGCCGTTATTTCTTCCGCCGCCGTGGTTTTCATTGTTGTTCCTTCCATCGTCTTCTTCTCTTCCATTGTTCTCCTCTCGGACTCGACCGACTAAAAAAGAATGATGTAAATCGTCTCGTTCATGTGCTGCTCACGTGAGAAGCACTTTGGCGGTCTTCATCACCTGTTGGGCTTTCTTGGGCCTTCTTAATTAAACCATTAATTTATGTTTTGGATGAGATAAATTGGTAAAAGACAAATCGGTCATTAAAAACAAATACTGTAATAGGAAAATATATATATATATATATATATACATGACATACAAGATTATAATTAGTAAATAAATTGTTAAAAAAATATCTAAATATAAATATTTGATTTCAGACTGTAATAATGTGTATGAAAAAAATAAAAAATCTTTCATTTTTTTATGTAAAGAATTTATGTTCACCTGACTGCCTTTTTGTAAAGTGAGCATATTTCTACCGTAAATTTTAATTTTTACTCAAAAAGAGAGTAGAATACTAATCTTACTTTCCAATTTTTACCGAATAAAGTTGCAAGAACATCATGTTTGAATAGATTGATACAAAAAAAAAAAATTAAACCTCCACCACCCAATTATTTAGAAATTAAAATCATAAATTTATCTCATTAAAATTAAAATTAAAAAAAAAATGTGGGCAAGTCAAGAACGGTCGTTGCTGAGTAGTGAACTGCCACGTGTTGAACCAGAAGTTAGTGGTTGGTTCGACCCATCTCTCCCACTGGCCACTACTTTCTACCGATTCACTCCCTCGTCTCCGGGAACTTTTAATTCCTCTATTTCCCATTTTACCCCTTTCTTTCTTTTTTTTTCAAATCAAACATTAAACGGTGACCGAAAAAATAAATAATAATCTTTCTCTGTACCAAACAGAGACGCTAGTTGCGAAACGCGAGAGAACAAGATTCGACAAAAGCTATATTAAAAAAAAAAAAGCAAAACCCTAGAGCTTCAAGCTAATCGCCGTCGATTTCTCAATCTCTCACCGGCGATTTTAAGCCGGTGAAAGTTGTACAATAGCTGTAAGAGAGAGATTCATTAGGTATTTTAGAATCATGTATAGAGACAGAGGAACGGTGAATTCGAGACCTGAAGTTGTGGATCGTAAACGGATCAACGACGCTCTCGAACGACCTTCTCCGTCGACGTCTCGTCAAGTTAACGGCAAAGGCAAAGGAACCGTTACGGCGGCGAACTCCGTTTTGATTGGGAAGCAGCAGTCTCATGACAACAACCATAGAGATTCTCGTTCTGCTTCTCTCTCGAAGAACAATAATGTTTCTGATGGTTAGTCTCTCTCTATTTGGAAATTTTTCTGTTCTGTTGAATTAGGAGACTTAACTTAACCCTAGGGTTTCCTGATTTGGGAATCAAGTTTTGCTCTTTATGTTTAAGCAAGTTCATTTGTTAGTCTATGGAATTTTTTGATGTGACTGATGAATTGTGTTTGTGGGTAGATGAATCAGACACAGACAGTGAAGAATCAGATGTTAGTGGTTCTGATGGAGAGGACACATCATGGATATCTTGGTTTTGTAATCTACGAGGAAACGAGTTCTTTTGTGAAGTTGATGATGATTACATTCAAGATGACTTTAACTTGTGTGGACTCAGCAGTCTTGTTCCGTACTACGAGTACGCTCTTGATTTGATTTTGGATGTTGAATCTTCTCATGGTACGTTGTTATTATATGTTTTACTGTCGTTTAGGAGATTTTAAGGTTTAGCTAGGTACAGAATCTGCATTTAGGGATAGTAGTGAAACCAATATGGGTTCCCTTTTACGATTGTCTCTTGAATTTTTGATTTGGATTGGGTCCGTCGGTAACAGGAGAGATGTTTACAGAGGAACAGAATGAATTGATCGAGTCAGCAGCTGAAATGCTTTATGGATTGATTCACGCTCGTTACATATTGACTAGCAAAGGGTTGGCTGCAATGGTAAATAAAATTCTTCAACACTCATTTGCATATCTTAAACATTCTATAAAAGATGCATAGATTGATTCTATTTATTTGCAGTTAGACAAATACAAAAACTATGACTTTGGAAGATGTCCAAGAGTTTATTGTTGTGGCCAACCTTGTCTTCCGGTTGGTCAATCGGACTTACCTCGATCTAGCACTGTGAAGATATATTGCCCGAAATGCGAAGACATTTATTACCCACGATCGAAGTACCAAGGCAGTATCCTTTTTTCCACAACTTTCACTTATGCTGATATAGAGTTATAAATGCAGTTCTGAAAACTCTGATGTTTGATTCTTATTGCATAAACCAATGATTTTCTTTCGAGTTTCTAGAGATCTTGCAGGTGTTACCTTTTTTGTGTTTTTCCTTAAAACAATGAACAGACATTGATGGAGCTTACTTTGGGACAACATTTCCACATCTGTTCCTGATGACTTATGGGCATCTCAAGCCACCAAAGGCAACACAAAACTATGTTCAAAGAGTTTTTGGGTTCAAATTACACAAGCCGTGAAGGAAGTTTAAAGACAAAACCCAAGGATCAAGATCATGGCGTTGGATAGGGATTGGGAAAAGAAGAGACGTGTGTGTGAACAGAAACGGAAAATAAACGCCCTGTAATCACGAATGGTGAAGAGAGAGCATTCATGCCTCTATTTGTCTTCAGGTACATACACATTAGAAGAAAGCAAAAGCATGGTTAGAAAGAAAAAAACGAAAATCTTTTGACGAGTTTGTTAAACTTGAACATGTATTTTTCTACCTTTTTTTAATTTTGTTGTTTCTTTTAATGTCAGATTTAGTCATTTATTATTAAAAATGCTCTTTTTTTTTACCTCTACTAGATTATCCATCAAATTTATCATAAAAATGCTCTTTTGAAAGTAAGAATATGAAGAAACAACAAAATATCAAGTACGATGAAGCTATATATTAGTATCTTGCTCGAAATGCAAAGATATTCATTACACATGGTCAAAATATCAAGGCAGTATTCTTTTTTTTTGTTCCACACATTCATTTCTTGTTGATGATACATATTTTTATATGCAATTCTAAAAACTGATGTTTGATTCTTATTGCATAAAGCAATGATTATTTTTGAGTTTCTATAGATCTTTTGGGGGGTTTTCCTTAAAATGATGAACAGAGATTGATGGAGCTTACTTTGGGACAACATTATTTATGCATCTCAAGCCAACACAAAACTGTATTCAAAGAGTTTTTGGGCTCAAATTACACAAGCCGTAAAGGAAGTTTAAAGACAAACTGACAAAAGCCAATTCGTTTGTTGCAAGTTTGCCCTCAATTACCAAAAAACAAAAAAAATGTAGATCAAACCCATGGAATCGAATCTAACCTGCAATATCATTTGCCACTCTTTTTTATCTCTAAAATTTCTCACCGCTTTATGTCATTAACTTACCGCCTGTTACCGGACCCATTACATGACAACATACATTCAAACTTTCCAGTGTGAGTAACCTTGTCAAAAAAGGATTAAACCCAACTTATGGTTAGGTAATCCTTAGAACTCGAATCGTAAAAGACTGACGAAACATTCATTGATGACAATTATTGTGATGTTGTGATCTTAAGATGACGTGTGAAGAATGACGTATTGTTGGTGATGTATTATCTTTGGAAGAACTAGTTGTTCCAATGAAATAAGTAAATAATGGAGAAAAGAGCTCCCCTTTCTTCCCCAACTCGCTATATTTTTTTGTGGTTGTTAATGACTTTGTATATATATATATATACAAAAAAGTATGAAAGGAGACATCTAGAGATCAATTTGCTTGCGTATTTTGACTAGACTTAGGGAAACAAATAAAAAAACGTAAGATATTTTGTGGTAGCAAAATTGGTCCCGAGAGCACCGTTGATTATAGTCGAGGACACGTGGCGTCCATCGAACCTACCAGTTTCGCAGGTAAATATATAGAGTAGGCTGCGTAGGGAATAGTATACAAATCCATCTCCTAGTATGTTTCTATAAGTTGTTCATCTTTGATTATAGTAGTATTTTTCTTTCATTACAAAATATTGTTTTAAAGTGTTTTCATTATGAACCATGCAGTCCGAGCAGTGGAGCCTCGACGTCGTTCCCAAACAGCAGACCCTGCACCCGCTCCCAGGAGAGCGGACCATGGTCCCGCTCCCCAGAACGCGATCATTGTAGGCAGAGGTGAGGAGCGTTCGGATCGTCGATACGTTGCAGTCGAAATAAAACAGCTTGAAGATGCCTGGACTGAACATATTTTGTTAGAGAAAAAGCTAGAGGCTATGCTTTCTAAAGAGCTTAAAGCTGAGACTCGTTTTGAACAAGTTAAGAGCCAGCTTCGTCATGCAGGGATGACATTTGCTCGAGGTTCGCTTCCGTTCGGCCCAAGTCCTTCTCCTAATCATCATCATGCCGATCAGACAGCGATCGTTACTGTCGGACATGAGGGGCATCGTCGTGGTACACGTGAAGCGACTGTTCCAATCCGATTTGATGAGCTCCAAGCTGCCTTGCTTCGCCTTAGCATGACAAAAGCAGATCTGAAAAAAGCGACTTCCAATGAGCGTGAATTTCGGATTAAAATTGAACAAGGTGAGGAACAGCTTCGTCGTGCCGCAATTAGACCTTCTCAAGGTTTGCTTCCATCCACCGTACCGACAACCCGCCTAAGCAGCACCTACCGTAGCAGCACCAGCACCCACCGGAGCAGCAGATAGTTTCACTGTTGGCTCATTGGAGATGCTTTTTCTATTTCTCCCTTGTCTTGTAGTCTTCCAAGTGGTAATAATCAAAAACTCTTTTTTTCTGCTGCATCCAAGTTGTGATAATTAAAACTCTTTTAACTTGTCTTCTAAGTTTGTAATAATACGTTTGATATATTATACAATACATGTTTGTTTGTCTGCACAACATTGTTAGCTGTGGGTTCCAATATATCATCGTTGAGTTCCAATCTATCACTCTTATGGGACCAAAAGAGAAGGCTGATAATCTGAAGAAGATACTTTCACGCTGAACTCTGTTTTGTACTCTGTTTTTCGTAACCAACCTCTAACGACCATATTTTGAACTGGGCCTGTCCGGCCCATTACTAATCTATTCCTTTCTTTTTTAGACCAAACTTTTCCCTGCAAATTTTACAACTTGTTTCTATAAAGGGAGACTCACAAAAATGTCCCTTTTTCAATACCCCTTTTCAAAAATACCTTCTTTGGCTGTTCATTTTTAAAAATACCCCTTTTTATATACAAAATGACTAAATCACCCTTCTTTTAATAAAAGATATCACAAATATATAAGGAAAACATGAGAATGTGCACATATCAAAATTACAAATTTGATTTTGTAAAAACTTGTAAAACCTTTAAAATACCTTGTAAAATTTTTCCGTAAAAATTTTTCCCGCTAAAAATTTTTTTTTGCGGGAAAAGTGATTCCGCAATTTTTTTGGCGTTAAATTTTTGGCGGGAAAAATTTACAAGGTATTTTAAAGGTTTTTACAGGGTATTTATAAGGTTTTACAATGTATTTTAAAAGGTTTTACAACGTATTTATAAGGTATTTATAAGATATTATAAGATTTTACAAGCTATTTTATAAGTTTTTACAAGTTATAAGGTTTTACAAGTTTTTTATAAGGTTTTACAAGTTATAAATACCTTATAAAACCTTATAAGTACCTTGTAAAACCTTTTAAAATACATTGTAAAACCTTACAAAACACTTGTAAATACTCTGTAAAACCTTTAAAATACCTTGTAAATTTTTCCCGCCAAAAAAATTGCGGAATCACTTTTTCCGAAAAAAAAAAAATTTTGGCGGGAAAATTGCGGGATCACGTTTCCCGCCAAAAATTTGCGGGATCACTTTTCCCGCCAAAAAATATTTTGTATTTTGTGGACCTAATTTTGTTTCAAATAAGGGTAAAATAGTCATTAAAAATTAAAAGAGGGCAAACTTAAAAATGGACTCTCAAAAGGGGTATTTTTGAAAAGGGGTATCTCAAAAGGGGCATTTTTAACAATTTATCTTCTATAAATGTAAGTTTATTCGCTATGTCGAGTATTCCACAATGCTGATATATTGTTCATTATTGCAACAAATTACTCGATTGAAACACTTTACACTTGTATATATGTTTTGATTTGCAGGTATTTCTGGGAGCAATTGTTTAATGTAGCTGCATCTTTGACTTGTACCACGGGTTTGTTCCTTGGCGTCAACTCAACGCTCCAAGATATTTAGAAAATATCCAGATTGGTCGTTTGATGTGGAATTGGAGATTGGTTTCAAGTTTCTTGTCGAGAGTTACACTTCCAAATTCCAATGTCGAATTCGAAAGGCCAAAATAGATAAAAAGATACTAGTAAAATGTTTTTATAGAAAATAATAGTGTGCTATATTAAAAACATGTTTTGCCCAAAAAAATTATGATTATTTACTAAAAAAAACGTAAGGTCATATATAGTGGAATTGTCATGGGTCTGAGATGGATAAATGGATTTCAGTAATTGAGTAGATTCATTTTCTACGAAGTGAAAACGTGGTTCGGCCATTTTTTGAATATTATAAGCCGAACTTTATTGAATATTTTCTCGTATGTTTCATTGCAATAATTAAATACACAAGAAATTAGTAGACTATAGAGAGGAATGGGTTGGTTTGTTGGGGACTTGGGGTGATTTAGGAATCATTAAAATTATGTTGTTGTGGTTAACCATCTGAATTATTGACCTACTTTCTTATTAATCAGTTTTTATATTGTACTTATAGACCAATATGACTCAATCCAATAAATGCAAGTATTGACTATAGTCACACGCTTTTAATAATTTTCGTTTGGAGCTTTTAGAAAGACGAGACGAGACCATATATATACATGTGTCAAACATTTTCAACATTACCAAAACGTATCAAACCGTAGGATTATTTTATAATCTTAGATAAACTATACAATTGACTTCATTGCAATTTTGACATTTAATCGGATTTTACCTCTCTATATCTAATTATTTCACTACTGTACCATAATAATTAAAAAAAAAAAAATCGAAACTATTATACCAAAAACAGAACATACAATATTTGAAATGAAAAAAGAACAAAATATTAATTTGATATAGAGTAAAATACAAAAATAGTTATCTTTACTTGTTTGTAATACTTTTTTTTTTGAACAAAAATCTAAAAACAGATTCTATTTTATCTTGTTTGACTAGTTTTTTTTTTTTTTTTTTTGTAGAAACTTGCCTAGGTTTATATCAAATTGATACTTTCCACTTGTGTATATATTTTACTAAAAACATATGGATAGTATCAAATCCATATGTTTTTAGTAAAATATATACGCAAGGAGTAAATATCAAATTGATAATATATGCATGTATATATATATGTGTGTGTGTCTGTGTGTGATACTTCATTATACACTACCACTACTCTTATTATTTTTGTAAACTCCAATTATCTTAAAAATGACTAAATCCACATTTTTTGTTGTTTACATCATTCTTATTCTAGGTTTTTATTTTTTACCATCTCTATTTCTGTTATAAAATCATGTAGTTTTACTACCATGAAAATTAATAACTTGGTGTTTGTGTTTCAAATATTACTTTTACAGGATCGATGGTGAATGAGATTCAAGGACAAACTATGTGTCATGAGATTTTACCGGAAACTGATTGTGGTGTTGGCTCGTGTACCGCTTTGTGCTTACAATTATGGAGAGGAACCGGCAAGTGTGTTAGAACTAATGATCGACGCTTAATATGCCTTTGCAATTTTGAATGCATATTTTGAATTTTTCACTTTATTTTGAAATCTATAAGTCATCATTTACTAAATAATGATTATAATCCATAAAAATAATCCTTGTAACCCATTCTGATTGTACTACATAAAACTACTAAAGATATGTTACAACTTACAAGAAATTGTTTGTTCAAAAAAACAAACTCATAAAGATATTATTTTAATACTTTTATTCGCTTAATTAACTTTTAAGTAATAGAAATTCAATAAGCTGGAACAATTTTAAACCAAATCTCTGTATAAAAAGTTTTAAAAAATTTCATGAATTCACATCACCATTCATATTCAACTTTATCATCAAATGTCAAAAATTTATTTGAATTATTTGATCACTCTATTTTTTTTCTTGTGTAAGTTATGCTCCTCCTGATTTGGTTACCTATTTCATTTTGTTTTAAAGTTTGGTTGACAAAAAAAATAACTTTTAAAATAAAAAATAGGTAATAATCCTAATGCACAGGATAATCAATTTAAAATTTTAGGTTATTGTATGGTAAAAATATGAAATTTTGCATACTCTTAAGCCTAATTGTTTTTGTAGTAGTACACATGATTTTAACTTATTCTAACTAAAAATATATTATATATAAGAGAATTTGTTATAATATTTGACAATAAATATAAACAAAAATAAAATAAAAATGAGAATAATTATGGATTTGTTACGCTATTGATTACGTTTTTTTAATATGTAGAGGATAGTTGGTATTAGCCAAATTTTCATATTTATTTTATGATATTGTGCAATTTTCCATAATTTTCCAATAAAAATGTAGAATATGATACAGTAGTAAAATAAAACGAATTTGACATTTCTATTAGGCTAAAATAAATTCATTCAAAAATTCCACAATATCATTTCAAAACGTTACACCTATACAATTAATACAGAGTCTAGAAATGTATGAGTCTTTCACACATACTTTTCAACGTGTAATCCGTACGGACGCGATTTCTTCTGTTTTCTTTTTTGTTAAAACACGATTTCTTCTCTTCTTTCTCTCCTTATCTTTTAAGAAATGGCGTAACGTTTTGTGTCTTTTTCCTTCATAATTTGTTTTCTCATCAAAGAAAAAGAGTCTTGTTATACTCTGGCTTTTAGTTTTGCTGTCTCTCACCTTCATTTTCCTGGAAAAAATCTCTTTCTCCTCAAGCTGTTAAATAGATCTGTGTTCATACTCTTCTTCCACAATTCACTACTCAATCTAACCCAAAGAAAAACCCTTCAAATTTCTTTGTTCCATTTTCTCAATTTTAGAACTTGAGAAACCCAAAAAAGAAGAAGAAGCCTTTTTAGTACATTTTTGGGTTTAACTAAAGTAATTAACTTTTGTGTGTTTCCATCAAAATTCCACTTGTTTTCTTCATAAAGTTTCAATCTTTTGATTCTTGTATCTCTTCTTAAGACATGAATTGTCTGTTCTTGTTCAAATCAAAGAAACCCAAATCCAGAAATCAACAGAAAGACAACAACAACAACAACAACAAGAAGAACAAAAGAAAAGGTAAAGAATTGTTACAAAACTCAGCTCCAGAACTGACGAATCGGAGTGAAACGTCGTCGTTTAATCTCCAGACGCCAAGATCGTTGCCTTCTCCAAGAAGTATCAAAGATTTGTATACAGAGAGAGAACAGAATCTTAGGGTTTTCACTTACGAAGAACTCAGTAAAGCCACTTATGGGTTTAGCAGAAAGCTTGTGATCGGTGAAGGTGGATTTGGTATTGTTTATAAAGGAAAGATTCTCAACAATGGAGATTCTGATCCTCCACTTGTCGTTGCCATTAAGAAACTCAATCGACAAGGTTTACAGGTAAAAAATTCAAATTGTGAAATATTAGAAGATTAGATTGATTCAATTATGAAGAAAATTCAAATTTTGTCACTTGTTTTGAAGTAAAGTTGAAGAAATTTCGTAATCTTGAAATGAAGATTTAGAATAGTCAAATAGAAAAGTAAGTATGAGTCAATGGATGCATTTATTAAGTAAACTTTGTCACTTTGTTTCTTTAGTAATGTCAATTCTGCATTTTCTTCAAAAGTTTTGAATTTTCCCTTCTCTGTGTTTGAATGGTGTATTAGGGTCACAAGCAATGGCTAGCAGAGGTTCAGTTTCTTGGAGTAGTGAATCATCCGAACGTTGTGAAGCTCATAGGTTATTGCTCAGAGGACGGGGAGACCGGGATCGAGAGGCTTTTGGTTTATGAGTACATGTCAAATCGAAGTCTAGAGGACCATCTCTTCCCTCGTAGATCACACACATTGCCGTGGAAAAAAAGACTCGAGATTATGCTTGGTGCAGCTGAAGGATTGGCTTATTTACATGAACTTAAGGTAAAATTTCAAAACCCATTAGAGGAAATCTGGTTTTAGACAGACCCTTTTTATTGTTTTTGATATTTTAGGACAGGCACAATGTTAAACATTAATTAAGTTATATGTAAATGTGGTCATAGAGGCATGATTAGTAGATTAGTATTGAGACTTTCTGTGAAAAATGTTGTAATATGGGGATGAAATATAGGTTTGATTTTCGCCAATTTGTCGCGATGTGTGTTTAATGAAAATATTGGATGATCATGTCTTGTTTATTTGGCTGCAGGTTATATATCGAGATTTCAAATCGTCCAATGTGCTCTTAGACGAGGAATTCTGTCCGAAATTATCGGACTTTGGGCTTGCCAGAGAAGGGCCTGAGGGCGACAATACTCATGTCACTACCGCAGTAAGTTTGGTTTGATATATAACTGTGTATTTATAAGCTTACTCGTGATGAATCTCTTACAAATTTTAACAGTTCTTCTTCTTTCTATGTGTAGAGAGTTGGTACACACGGCTATGCAGCTCCGGAATATGTGCAAACAGGCCATCTTCGGTTAAAGAGCGATGTCTATAGCTTCGGTGTTGTGCTCTACGAGATCATAACCGGACGCCGAACCATTGAGAGGAACAAGCCAGTGGCTGAGCGAAGGCTATTGGATTGGGTCAAAGAGTATCCTGCTGATAGTCAACGCTTCAGCATGATCGTTGACCCTCGGCTACGCAACAATTATCCAGCTGCTGGAGCTAGGAGTTTGGCTAAATTGGCTGATCTTTGTCTGAAAAAGAACGATAAAGAGCGACCCGCGATGGAAATTGTAGTAGAAAGATTGAAAAAGATTATCGAAGAATCCGATAATGAAGATTATCCGATGGCTACGGCTAAGGAAAGTAGTCAGGTAAGGACGAGACAAGTTGCAAAACCTGAGAAACAAAGTTTGAGAGGAGGGGTTAGTGTCAGAGGATGATTTTGAGTTTAGTAGTTTTTTGCAGGTTTTTATATATAAATAAGTTTATGCAATTTGTTGGTTTATTGTAAGATTAGTAGAGAAAATGTATCTTATTGTGTTTATAAATTAAATTTATTACGGTGAATGAGAGAATCATTGAGATCAGGTTTTAAGAGTGTGTTGATAGCGTAACATTTTAGTCAAAGTTTTCGATTATAAATATTGATTGGATATATGCAAATTATTTGTTACATGTTCTAACTTCTAACTAATAGTGTGGACCATTATAAATGAGTATGGTGGAGTACTCGCTACTCTCATATTTTTGTAGGAATGCAAGTGCAATGTTGTTGTTTGGAATTTATCATGAAACCTTATACGTTTTAAACATTATTGCATTTTATAAAAATCGTATTCTTCAATTTATATGAGTTTCTGGTCCACTGCTCATATTTGTTTTGGAAAATATTGTACTACCATTTCGTGAAGAAAAAGAAAACTGTACTACCAAAAGCATTTGAAGGAAAAAGATATTTGATACCTTTAATTTCCACTTTTCGCAAGTCACCAAATCTTACCACAAAAAGAATCAATTTCAAACTGTTACTAAATCTTATATCAAATCACAAAAACGTCATTTAAGCAAGTAAAAAAAATGACATTTAAGCAAGTAAAAAAAAATGGCTTACTCTCGTAGTTCTTTTTTTCTCGTATATATTCTCATGGTTCAACATATTAATTTCTGTATATTCCTCGAAAGACAATTTTACCGAAACAGAAAAAACAAGAAAATTTACTCAAACATGCCATGGACATAATTCACATAGGCATTTACATTTTCTCTTCTCATACTCCCAAAATTTCAAGTCAAGAAACTCTTTTTCCTCTTACAAAAAAAGAAAAGAAAATTAAAGGATCTTTAGCTTTCCTCTTTTCACAAGACTTGAAGCTAAAGTTAAAAAAGATCTCAAGATCTCGAGAGAGAGAGAATCCAAAACAAAACCAGCTTCATAGCGTTAGATATAATATAGCTTATTCTTTCTTTCTTTTTTCTTAACCTAATTAATAATACTTATGTAATTACCAAAGTCTGGATTTATATAATTAAGCAGCAGCAACAGTTCCATTGTGAAAAGCAAAATCACGAGATCTAGTTGGAGAAGATTGTTCTTTCCTCCTCATAGCTGATTTCACAGAATAAGACAGATTCTGTTTCTTCTCTTTTGCTTCATCTCTCTCTATCTGTTCTTGTCTACACTCTTCACTGCAAAACGGTGTATCTCCTCTGCAAAATTCACAAAATCAAAAAAAAACTTTAGATCAGACCCATGAAACAACAAAATTCAGGAAACGGGTCTCTCAAAAATCTGTTCTTATTTCTAGGGTTTCGACCAAAAACAGAGGAATTTGAAATCAGACCCATGAATCGTTTAAATTGATTAATCAGAAGATTGAAGAAATGGGTATTCGAAAAAATCATTCCTTTTTAATAAATTCGACTAAAAAAGTGAGAGAAATTGAAAAAAAAAAACTCAGATCTGATGTTATAGATCTTAGATTTACCTGTACATAAAGATGTCTCTGTTATCACCAAGAGGTTTCTTACAGAGGAAACACGAATCCAAGAAATGAGGTTGTTGATTATCGAATCTGAAATCATGAAATCTTCCAGACACAACAGATCTCGGAGACGAAACAGCGTACTGATTGTAATAATTATTACAAGTGTTCCTGAGACTGTTTAATCTAACGTAAGAGAAACGGCTTGAAACGACGCCGTTTTGGGGGTTTCCATGGTTATTGTTGTTATTACCAGAAAACCCAGCTTCCATTTCTGTTAAAGAAGAAGCTAAATTATCATCTTCTTCTTCTTCGATGAAATAAGGCTTTCTCGTTGAAACCTCCATTTTTTTTTTGCTTTCTGGTTTTTAGAGAGAAAGTGAAAGAGAGAGGTTTTGTTGATGTGAAGGAAGTGTGAAGTGGGATTTTATAGCAAAAAAGATCTTTTGTTTTTTTTTTTGGGGTTTAAGAGAGAGGAATTATAAAACAAGGGGCGAATTTTGAGAGAGGAGAATCTATTGGCTTTTGTAAACTTTTTATGCTAATTTTGAAAGTACAAGAAATCGAAAACCACTTTTGTTATTTTCTTTTTGAGAAATATATACTTTGACACATAAGGAATAATTGAGAGAGGCGTTAGAAAATGATTTTTTTCATGACTTATTCAATTTGTCTTTTGGTTTTTGAGGAACTTTCGAGAGAGCCAAGTAAAAAAAAGTTAATTTTTCAACATTTGCTTTTTAGTTCAATTATTAACTTTTTTTTTTCTTTTTCACCCAGACACATCATTAAAGTTAAATTACTAACTTTGATTTTTCAATACATGAAAAAGTTACATAAGTTTGAAAATTTAGGTAAATTTGGTAATTACTGTAAAATATTTTTGCATTTTTAACAATATTTTTAAGGACATATGCATTAGATAGTCAAAAAATATTAAAGTAAATAAATGCAATGGTATAATCGTAAAAACAATTTATTAAATTACATAATATGTTATTTTATGAAAATATTTATATTATGTTACACACATAATGTTTAAATCTGTACGCGTAAATCAGTATTTATTTATTTATAAATTTTATCTATATTGATTTTAGAATTAAAATGATAGAATTTACTATCTAACATATTAATCTCTTTTAAAAAATATAAATTCTACTAATCAGATTATTAAAATAGTAGGTGGATGGATCCTACTAATAATTTAAAGATAATAATTTCTACTAGCTAATTTTTATGGATTCAATCAATATATATACAGCTATAATTCTAACAGACATTAGATCAATAATTAGTTCTCATTTAACCACTGTTAGTAGCAGTGATGCCACAGTCAAAAATAGTGATCACATCCGTCCAAAGAGAAATAACTTTTCTAATAAGGCATTCAAAAAAAAGTTTTAAGGTAACAAAAACAAGAAGGAAGCAACAAAATAGCGGCAATACTGTAATTATAAGAAATATATGGGTCACAAATGCAAATAATTAAACTTCACCACGGTTCCATAAAACAAGGGTCCCACCAGCACTCGAGAGACGTTAAAGAAAATCATGGGGATTCGGGGGAGAGGTGGGCCCTACGCGCGTGGGGTTTTTGGAATAAGCGTTACACCGTAATCACTACACCACTTCTACTACTTGTGTTGTGTCTCCTTCTTCTAATATCGCGAGAAAATGTTAAAATAATTTCTTAACTTAAATTTTTAATTAAATGAAGAACTAAAAAAGTTGTGAATCTAAAACACAAAAAAGGATTTAAAAAATTGTCGTTTTGTTTTTTTTTTGGTGCAACAATTGTCGTTTTGTTTACTTTATGAATTTCCGTGGTGGGTGTGTGACGTTGTTATGGCGAAGACTTTTGAGGGAGGTGCTTTGGAGGTTACAACTACAAATAGTAGTGGTGCGATGAGGTCGGTGTTTTTTAATGTAGAATAGATTTGTGATTTTGGTTTTTTTATAGTAAGTAAAAGTGTAAAACAATACTAGTTTGAATCTCTCTAATAATAGTGTGGACCTTGTAGAAATAGTGGAATCGAAAACAACAAATAAGAATTTCGACGAAACCGGTGTAGTTCCATTTGGTAATGAATGGTATGTTATAATATTAAAATGAGAGTATTTGTAAAACATTACAGTTTTATTGAGTTTGAGCAAGATATTTCATACTCAGCAAAATGGCAAAATCTCTTGTTTGTAAATATTAACTCAATAAATTATGTGATCGATCCATGAATGAGAAACGAAAAAAAAGTCATATCATTATTTCAAAAGTTTGCAATTTTTACTTTTATAAATACACTTCTTAAAATGGTGATATATTTGGTACGTTACAACGTCCTTCAAACGAACTTTAAAGTCCACACCATTAACACCCTCCGAGTCACCATCACCGTCCCAATTGTTGGTTACACCGCAAAATGTCATTTATTTCAATTTTTGTCAAACCAAAAAATTACATGCGTGTGTGTTACTGTGTATATATATCACTCAAGTAAATATTTGTGGACAGAGATTTTGATATATCATTTGCCCAAAAAAAAAAGATTTTGATATATCGATTCCAAGTGGTTAACCTATATTTTTTAACGTGCGATGTATATTATTACATATGATCATATTTTACAAGTTTCGGTAGTCTAGCAATTGCCAATAAAATAAAAAATATAAGAGTTTCCGATGTTACCGAAACCCACTCAAATTTGATAAATTATACTATACTAATTTATTGATTGATGGGAAGAAAATAAGAGGGTCTTGGAGTGTGATACACCTTACACGAGCTAAGGAATACGTGCAAGCAAATATTTTAACAAGTTGACGTCGTACACTTGCGTAAGGCTCCGATGTTATCGAAACCCACTTGTTTCTGTTTCAATCTCCGAACTAAAACCTACCTAATTCTTTAAAAAAAAAAAAACTAAAACTAAAACATACCTAATTATATACACACAATATCTATTTCCAAATATTTCTAAAATTACTTATTTTCCTCCTCAATTTCAGTTCAAATTGATGGATCCCATTGGTGACAAATATAATTTATTAATGATACAAAATGCAGTAAATATATTTTTTATCACTTTTTTTTCACTAGAACATGGAAGTTTTATTAGAACTGAAACCAGAAATTACACAACGCCGGCAAAGCTCGAGATGACACTTTCCGGACACAAAGCCGGCAAAGTTCAAGAAGACACTTTCCGGACACAAAGCCGGCAAAGCTCGAGATGACACTTTCCGGACACAAAGCCGGCAAAGCTCGAGATGACACTTTCCGGACACAAAGCCGGCAAGATACGAAACCTTCCTGAACCAAAGCCCCACACACGGAGAAACATTAGACCCAAAAAGGGCACGGCCTAGACCCACAAAGGGCACAACGATAAAAGATAAAAACTAATTATACAATCTGAACGAAAGAGCTAAACAAACAAATCCACAAATTGTTTCAGATTTCTTCTTTTCGCCAATTGAATCCGAGATCGAAAGCTATCTTCTGGTCTTCTTTCCTCACCTGAAGCTATCTTCTGGTCTTCTTTCCTCACCTGATAATATAAAGACTTCGAAATTTAAAATCTTAGCATCCTTAAGTCGGCAAAACGGTGAAACCTCACTAGAGGCTTAACAACACCGTATATAGGGATGTCAATTGGGCTGTCCAAGTCCAAATGGGCCTGTCCAAATGGGCAGATCCGTTTTTTTGGACACTGACGGTCTAAGTCCAAATAGGACCATGTCCAAATAAGACCAGACCAAATAAGACCATGACCAACTGGACAGCCCATGAGGCCCAAATAATATAATTTTCTATTTCCCGCCAAAACCGCAAAAACACATTTTCTCTCAAAATCGAAGAATTGTATTTTTCCGCCAAATCGTAAAATCACATTTTTCCGCCAAAACTGTAAAAATATTTTTTTGAGTGAAAATGTCAGTGTAAATCCTAATTTTTAAAAAAATAAAGAAAATTTTTTTCCTCCAAATTAATAACCCTAATTTTTAAGGCTTATTGGACGGCCCATGTCCACATGGGTTCGGCCCATTTGTTTGTGGACTAAATGGGCTTCTAGCCCATATGGACCGCTTCGAATTTTGGCGAATTTGGGCGTGACCAAATCCGGACCATTATAATTTGGACTGGTCTTACCCATGGTCACGAAGCCCATTTGACATCCCTAACCGTATATGGAAGCCTAGGCCGGAATAATCGAGCAAAGCGACATAGATCCGGTAAGAAGAGCCAAGAACTGATCAGATCTCGCCCAGATCTGAGAGTTAGTTCGAGTGGAGGAGACCTAAAACTAGGCCGCCCAAAACCGATTCACCACCCACTGCAAGAACCAAGGATGGCTACGGGTCGACACGGTTAGAGCCATGGAAACTTCTGACGCTTGGAAGAAGAAGAAACAATAGTAAAAACGAAAACTCTCTAAATTCAGATCTAAAACTAAAAACAAACGGAAGCCGACGAAAATTCGCCGGAGACAAAAACAAGACAAAAATATTTTTTATCACTTAAACATTAATTATTTTTGTTAGTAGTATGTCAAAATATTGCTTGTGGTGGTAATATAATAGTGTGTCACTATTCAAACTCAAAACAACATACTAATCCTAAAAATAAAAACATGGCTTCCTTACGTCGGCCTTCCTCTGTCTTTTTCACTTTTTCACAAATTCGTTTTAAATTTTTTTTTTTTGTTAAAAAAATTCGTTTTAAATTATTCTCTCCTCTCTAGTCTTTTCCACTATTCTTACAAAAAATTCGTAGTAAAAAATATTTAATTCTTACTCACTAAATGACGTGGACTCACCGCCCAAACCCATGGGTATAGGTCCCATATTTTGAAGTACGTACATAGAGCAACAGCAATGGGACATCCTTGGGGATATGAATATGGGGGGAAATATTAATAAAATAATCTAAGACGAATAGGGACACGTTGGAAGCACGCTGTAAATGAAATCAACTTTTTGTGTTAAAGCTTTCGCCGAAAGAGAGATAGATGAGAGAGAAAGGAATAATTCATTAACCCAAAAAGGTAACCAATCCCAGTAAGCCACGTCATCGGTACACCTGAGTGTAACTTAACACCCGAGTTTCGGATCTAAGCCAACATTTGCATTTTTTTCTCTTTTTTTATTCTAACACTCGACGACTTACACCCGGAGAATTGGTCCACTGCGTATGGTCTTACTCTTCCCTTCCCTGCCATTGATTGCCTCGAATTGTTTGCTTGATTCCGCAGAACCGCTCTCACTATTACTAGTGTCGATGATAATTGATTTTTCGTTATAGATGTGTAAATAACAAACTTAATCTTGTCTCTGTGTACACTTACAAGTTTTACCTGAATTTGAGTTGTTCAAACTTTTACATTCTCGTCTAGTGTTCTATACA